AAAGGCCGCATCAGCCTCTGACGTCCACTTAAACTCGGCATCCTTCTTAGTAAGTTCCGTTAAGGGGGCCGCTATCCTTGAGAAGTCCTTTATAAATCTCCGATAAAAGTTTGCGAACCCTAGGAACCCTCGCACCCCTTTTACCGATTGCGGTGCTTGCCAGTCCAGAATAGCGTTAACCTTCGCGGGGTCCATCTTGATTCCTTCTTTAGTATCGATAATAAACCCGAGATACTTAGTAGAAGTAACTTCGAATTCGCTCTTATTAATATCGATAGGTAGTCCTGCCTCTCTTAGTTTCTGGAGCACTCTCTTTACCTGCGCTCTGTGTTCCTCGAGGGGCCCTTCTGTGAAAATCAAGATATCGTCAATATAGGCTGATACGAATTCGTCCAGGAAGTCCCGTAGTACCCAGTTGATATATCGTTGGAATGTGCTCGGTGCATTAGCTAGACCAAATGGGGTTACGAGCCATTCGTATAGGCCGTACCGTGTCCTAAACGCCGTCATCCATTCCGATCCTTCCGCTATCCGAAGCTGGTGAAAGGCAGCAATCACATCGAGCTTAGTGAACCATTTCGCCTTCGAAATCCGCTGTAGTGTCTCATTTATTAGAGGAAGGGGGTATCTATCCTTCCGGGTGATCTTGTTTAGGCCCCTATAGTCAACGCAGAACCTCAGTCCTCCTCCTGGCTTCTTGGCAAACAGTACAGGGGCGGCCGCAGGTGAGTTGCTCACGCGGATAAACCCTTTCTCTAGTAGTTCCGTAAGGGTTTTCCGAAGCACCAATAGCTCGCCTCTGGACATGTTGTAGAGGGGGCCCCAGGGGATCTTTGGCTTGTTTCCCCGTTCGTCCTGTTCGACTAGCTCGATCTCGTGATCGATGCCTGGTCTATGTGGGGACAGCGTTTCTGCTACCTTCTGGTCGAACACGTCCAGGTACTCGTAATACTGCGGCGGTAGCTTCGTTCTGGGATCCGTCCGTGGCTTTACCTTTAGAGCCTTCTCGATGTCCGCCATGCTCGCTGCGAATATTTCGACAGGAGCTGTCTGGTGAAGACTTCCACAGACAGGCTCTGTTGTCACCTGTGCGCACAGCGTACTCTGTGCAGTGGGCTCGATAGGGGCCGTCTGGTGATGGCATCGCCAGACCGGCCTTGTTGGTGCTTGTGCACCTTGTCCTACAGACTCGCTGGGAGCCGTCTGGTGATGGCATCGCCAGACCGGCCTTGTTGGTGCTTGTGCACCTTGTCCTACAGACTCGCTGGGAGCCGTCTGGTGATGGCATCGCCAGACCGGCCTTGTTGGTGCTTGTGCACCTTGTCCTACAGACTCGCTGGGAGCCGTCTGGTGAGGTCTTCGCCAGATAGATTCTGACGTTGTTCGTGGACGGCACCCTGCCTCCTGCTCATCGAGGTCTCCCTTTTGCGCCTTCTCCCTCCTTGCTCTCCTGTATAAGCAGCTAAAGGCTGCGGCTGAAATTTCCTTTATATCCATTTTCCTCTGCATGTCCCCTACCTCTACTCTAACCCCTGTCCGATTAAAAACCAATGTCCTCGTCTGTTTTTCCAATGAGGCGTCCTGATCCGCCATCCAACCCCTTCCCAATATAATGTCGTACCCTGCTGCCCGCGGCAGGATATACATGAACACACGCTCCTGTCGGTTGCCCGCGATATCTAGGGTCATGTACCCTACTTCTGTTATCGTCTCGCCCGTCGGTCCATTCACACCGGAGAGTGCACGTGGTGTGATTGGAATACGCTTAATACGCTGCTTCCTGGCAAAGGCTGATGTTATTACTCCATAGGCTCTACAGCCAGTATCTATCATAGTTCTAGCTACAGCGGTTTGATTCACTATAGCATCTACAACGATGTGTGGACTTTCCATCTTTCCTTTCTGGAACCTTTGCCATTCTTGCAGTATATCTTCTCGGGGCTCCTGTGTGCGCTTTAACACAGGAGCTAGTCTTTTCCCTGGCCCGAGTAGTTGGCGTCCTCCTCCTCTTCTAGGTCTGGCGGTGGTCCCGACGCCGCCGGGGTCACATCTGTGACCTGTGTTGTTGGGCGTGGCGGCAGGTAAGGGCAAGCTGCGACGAAGTGGCCTGCGCCTCCGCAGCGTAGGCACCTACGGCCCTGCCTACGCTTTTCCCTCTCTTCAGGCGACGCCCACTTAGCACGGCGAGCTGGCTTCTGGGCGGTGCTGTCAATATCCATAGGGTCCCCTCGAGGGACCGCTGGGGCGAGAGCGCGGGGCTGCTGGTTCTGAGAGCTCCATGCTCTGTAACCTTGGAGCCCGATGCGCTGGGCCTGGGCCACTCGCTGTGCCTCTCTAGACCTATCATCCGTTCGCCTAAGGAGGGAGCAGTAGTCCTCGTAGGACTCGGGGGTATCTACTCCAATCATATACTCTAGGAGCTTAGGGTCTAGGGCCATCTGCAGTGCTCCTATCTTTGCTGTGTCGTCCCAAGTGTGGCCTCCTGCTTCCATAATAACTTGATCAAATTCTGCAAGAAACTCAGCCAGTGCTCGCTTCCCTTGGCGTATAGTGTACACCCGCCGCCTGGCCTTCTCCTGCCGAGCTGGGTCGACGAAAAGGTGGTCCAGGTAAGCACAGAAATGTGCTGGTGTAAACTGGCTTGGGTCGTACTGGTTGCGCTCTACCCAGGGAAGGACTCTCCTCGCTGCTACTCCTTCTAGTCGGGAGAAAATATACCATACTCGCTGGCTAGGGCCCCCAATTGACTCCCCATCCACTGTAAGTTTAGCGTTGACTTCCATCCTCCATGATGGATAGTCCAATAGTCTTTCTCCACTGAACTTCTCCGCGTTTGGTAAGGCGGGTTTTGGCCGATCAGGGTGTGGTGGTGTCTGTATCGAGGGGGCCGGTGAGGCTTGGGGGGTGAGATGTGCTACTAGGGGTGTCCCCTGCTCCTGTACCCTCTCTCTCAGCGTGGCTAGCTGCGCTGTTAAGGTTCTGATCTGCTCCGTCTGCCTCTCCATAAGGGTACTCTGCTGCTCTAGAAAAGCTCCTAACCAACTCGGTGGCTGGTTACTATTCTGCTGTCCATTTCCATTGTTCTCCTGGCCCTGACGTTGGCCTTCCGCTGTATCCATTGCGTTCCAATCTTCCATTCCAATGTTCCTATACCAATGTTTCCAATATCTTCTGTGTACTCGATGTACCCAATGTGTCCAATGTAACCAATGTGTCCAATGTAACCAATGTGTCCAATGTAACCAATGTGTCCAATATAACCAATGTATCCAATATGACCAATGTGTCCAATGTAACCAATATAACCAATATAATGATGTGTTTTGTAATGTTAACGGCCGAAGAGAGTTCTATTCAACTAACTAAGGGTATCCGTAAGTCGAAGACAAAACACATGGGGAAGAAGAAGAAAGGGGAAAAGGAAGGAAGTCGGTGATGGGGGATGGAGCTATAGCTTCAGGCGTTGAGGTCATGTGACCGTGTTGAGGGTCACGTGCGCGAGAGTAAAAAGGGGGAGTCTGGTGATGGCATCTCCAGACAGGCCTTGCTGCCTCGTCGATTACGGAGCGCGCGGTGACCCGAGAAGGGAATAGGGGTCCAACCCCTTACATCTAATATTTCTATACTAATATTTCTAATATCTTCTATATACTCGATATACCCAATATATTTAATATAACCAATGTATCTAATATAACTAATATATCTAATATAACTAATTTACGGAGCGAAGCGAAGTATATTGTATTCCAAAAAGTAGATATATTCAGTATCTAGTCCTTTAGTCTAGTATGCTCTTCTAGATAATAGTACTCGTTATACTAGTATATTCCTCTATAAATATAGGTTAGAGCTAGTCTTCTAAACTAGGATTGAGTCCGTCCCTAGAATATAGATTTCGAGGTCGTTTAGGATATTAATTAGGATATTATAGGTATTAAGAATACTATTTAGAATTTGATCTTCGTTACCGTAATATTCTTCCTATAGTAACGTTAGAAGTCTTAAATAAGGTCTATAAAGTTAACTAAGTTAGCTTAATAGTACCAGATAACTGCGTACGCGTGGTCAATCTTTTTATTCGCTAAAATAAGGTCGTCCTTTACTTATTCTAGACGTAATATCTCGAGCTTTTAGGCTTCCTAGAATACCTCTATCTAGTTATTAAGCTAGGTAAAGACGTCTCTAGCTCTTAATCTAGCTTTTAATATTTTATATTTTTATTCTACCTTATATATTTTATCCTTATCCGTTAGATAGAGGCGTTTCTTTAATCCTTTTATTATCTTGTATAACGAATCCTCTACTCGGAGTTAATTAAATACTAGATAGGTAACTATTATTATTAGATAGATTCGGAATATTAATAGGGTATTTCTTTCTATTTAATACTTTAATTACTATTTCTTATAGTCCTTCTTTAGAATCTTTAGTATTTCGAGCTAGTCCTTATTAAGGTCTAGAATACTAGTTACTTAAGGATTTATATCCTTATATTCGACCTTTTTAGGTAGAGTAGTATACTCCGGTTCTACTTCAAGATCTAGGTTTACTAGTATCTAGATATTTAATTAATAGGCTAGGGCTTTAATACCCCCGTACTAAAGGTACTAGTCCCGTTCGTTTTTAAGCACGGTAATCCTCGCCGTAGTAGTCTCAGTATATTGATTCGCTATTATTAATCGATATTAGACGAATAACGTTTAATATTATTAACTACTACTTCTTATTAATAGTTAGCGTATCGGAATATTTAAATCGGACGTTATTTCGATTTAATTTGCGATAGCTGGGCTTATAACTATTAAATATAAGCAAGAGTAGCGAATAATGATTGGCTGAATAAGTTTAAACGTATATATAGGTGTAAAATATACGTATATTGGTGAGCTTGAAGAGCTTAGGTGCAGGGTGTAAGTCTCTGCCGGATATAACAGGGGCAGTGCACGTGATCTAACTACGTTGCTGACTAAGTACAACATTTGACACTAACTCTTTAGCTATGGTTGGTCTATTTTTCTGAACTCCACAGCAGCCTCACCAAGAACACCTTCAAGACGCGATGCAAACCTCAAGACCTTCTCATGATACTTGGAATCTTCAACACCCGCAGCCATACACACACCCAACGAGGCTTTTAACTCCTGCAAGCCGTCCTGGGCTGACGCTGCAACCTGAGCATAGATGTTGAAAGTTAGGCTGAGTGCTCTGAGGCATTCCGCGGAAGACTGGAACGAAACGTCAAAAGTTTGTCGTAAGTAGAGGTCGGCTGTGTCCGTTAACGAGGTTGCTTGTTCCAACACATACGCCACCTTTGCGCTGACTGATTCCTTCATCTTTGCCTCGTATCGTTCCGCATTGAATGTCGCCTGGCAAGAGACCGTTTCCTCTGCCCAGCGACACCACAACGAGACAAACTGAGAGATGGAAGTGCTAATTACATATGCTGGAGGGCATTCGGATGGGCGAGCCATGGTAGGTTCAGGCCAAACCTCGAACCTCGAGCCATTTATGAGATCGTTCTGCAATTGGACCAAAGCATCCAAGCGCATTTCCCACTTACCAATATCAGTCGACGAGGGAGTGAGAGTGGGTGTTGGCATGAGGTAGCCTATGAGAAACCTGGCGAGAATGGCTTGCACTTCAAAGCTATCACCGTGGATTAAATCCATTAGCTCCTTTGCTTGCCGGCCGCTGACATGCAGCATGACTTTCTCTCCTCCAGGATGGAACTTCAGAAACGGTGTCACATCGTAAACCATGTCTCCTACGGCCATCCATGCATCGCCAGGCGCGTTATGCAGAGCTAACTCCGCCTTTGTAATTGCTCTCAGCCCTGACTTATTAACTTGAACACTGTTGTTGCCTGTTGAGGAAACATGAAGCTTGACCGTTGGCGCTCGCGATGTCACAATCGGGGACCGGATAGGCGAGAGTTCGGAAATACCAGCACTCTGCTCCTGATGTTCAGATATAGCCGCCAATGTCGATACCCCAAACGCTGCACTGCCGCATATGTAAATGCATGTGCCGTCAAACTGGTCAAGCTGCCTGATGTAAGCATCAACTCGCCCAGAAAATGGTACTAATCCCAATGAGATGATAAACTGGCCGTCGTTGAAGCTCAAGTTTGGCGTAGCGACCGTGACTCGGACATTAAGACGACTACCAATTTGGCACAATTCTTGCTTGAAGGGTATCTCCCTTGGGTTCCGCACCCCGATGACAACATCGTAGGTCCCTACCGAGGCTTTCTGGTCTTTCAACCATGTAGCAAATACTCCGATAGCACCACCCTGGCCCAGCATGAATATGTGCCCCTCGTTTCTTGTATTTGGTGAAAGCCGAAAGTGTGGTGATGGCAAAATACTGGCCTTCGCGGCGAATTGCTCTTGCTGGCTGCATATATACGATGAGACATTACGTCCGGTAGTACGGACACAGATCTCGACAGCTTTAGCCAGTGGAAATGAGTACTCCTCTTTCGGGGTCAGCGTTTCGGACTCTACAATCGAAGTCACGGTGTATGTACGTGTTTCCCGCTTCTCCTTTTCGATATTAACCGCCAGGCTAATCGCATCTCCAGGTAGGACCACGAGAGGCGTGGCAAATTGGACAATAACTCGAGCCCCCAAAGAACATGATGTGGCCCCTTCAAACAGAGGTTGTGTGATGCATATCGCGTCTATCATGTATTTTTCGGGCTTCTTGCCGAATCTGACCTCCATTGCCTTGGAAAGACTTGACATAATATGTCTCTCAGGGCTTCCTGCTCTTTCAGTTCCAGATGAGGTGGAAAGCTGGCCCGCACTTAGCGATAACAATATCCTCATGGCCTTTTTGCGATGCATCTTATAGATGTCATAATATGCTTGCTGTAAACCATTAAATGCTTGCTTCAACCCATCAGGCATACCAGCTCTTGCAACACACATTCTAAGCGAAGGCGCTTTGGCTAGCATCTTAATCATAGTTCGGATATTTGGAGGGAAAAATCGAGACCGGAAATCAAGTTCTTCCAAAAGTGCTGCCGTGCTATCTTCGTTCTCCATGCCGCATAATACATCCAACATCCTAAATAGAGGCGTGTCAGCCCCACCGCCTCCAATGTCTGAAGCCCCAACTCCTTTAGAGAACCGTGCAAACGTCTTGCCCCAGATTACTTCATCGAACATCATGCTGTACAGCTCTTCCCGACAAGCTGCGACAGCACATTGTAAGGTACCCAACGCAACAGATACTTCACTCGAAGTACTGGGTAGCCATAAAAGAGCCCCTGGGAGTTGCTTTAACGTTAGCAATGCTCCACTTGCTTCAAAAAGCTCCTGAAGCCGCCGTTGAGTGCCATTTGTATGCGTTGTTTCATGAAGACGACCGAATTCCAAGTGGCTTTCGTCATCTTGGTAGTGGCTTTGGTCATACCAGTCGCCGCGACTAGTACGGTATAAAAGGTTGACCGTATCCTGAAACTTATAACGGCCTCCTGGGGCTGCTTTACTGGAGAATACCATGGAGCCATGGATAATGTTGCGAGAGAGCCGTAAAGCCCTATCAATTGCAAACTCAGATACCACAGACATATCATCCAAGTTATGGAGATCTTCCTTTAGGAAATGATGAAGCTCTTCGTGTAGCAAGACCTGAAAGACCAATTTGTGCTCCTCAATATTCGGGGGTGTGGTTCTTTGGATATCCCTTGGCCAGTGGTAGGCTTGCTCGAGGGTAGTTAAGTAGACGGATAATTTAGAAATCAAGCGACGGTCGTGAAGTGCAGCATTTGCCATGATGACAAGAGTTTGTTTGTCTAGCTGAAGATCGACACACTCGATATACGGATGGTGACAGTTCAGCTGGATAGCGCGCCCCAAATTTTGCATCATACGGCGGAAGAAACTGAAAATGATCAATGCACTTGGTGAGACTGTTTCCTCCAGACTTGCAAGGTCGATGATAGGAAGTACTCTGCCAATATTTTCATCCTCGGCAGCGAATCCTTTCCATTGATGGACATCCGTGATTGTTGCCGATTGAAACATAGCGGAGGAGAAGAAAACAGATATCAGCCTTCAGGAGGAGATAAATCTTGAATAACAAATATGATACCAGATTCTTGGTCTTATACAGAGCGATTCCCGAAGCAAAGAGCATACCCCTTATATAAATATTGAACACCAGTTTCTATACTTATATACCTAGCCCCCTTCCTTAATCAACTCTTCTTACAAGACAGGACATTCTTGTATTGCAAATATGCAGTATCAATTAATCTAGGCTGTGCATGCATGAGAAGGCAGTGTTCGCAGTTGGCTAATGGCACTTGCTACATATCTCGCTTGACTGATGGTTGCCTACAGTACGTATATACGTATATACCAGGTCTGTTAAATACGGGGTTTATCTTGACCATCCAGCTTCCACCTTGAATGTTGGTAAAGCCATGCATAACATATACCCTGCTGCTCCAGTCCCAAATCCATCCGTACGTCTTGAGTACAATGCTTGTCCCTTCAGCCTCCTCTTTTTTTTTTAAAAAAAAAAAAAAGAAAAGAAAAGAAAAGAAAAATAAGACAAAAGAATCAAAGAAGAAGAGATATAGGAAAACTCGGGTCGAGCCGGCATTATATGCAATAAAGTGACATCTCGCACCCCCCAGAAATTGTGGATCCTTGGCCTCTCGGTCTTTTGCAAAGGGGTATTTTGAAGCTCGTCCTCCCTATAAAGACACTGACCATTCGCCTGGGAAGCGAGGAAACATTCACCAAAGATCTTATCATCTATAAATATCCGCTAGAACTTGATCTCGCTCAGAACACACAATGGACAAATATTTGAATGTCAATAGCCTCGTGCCTTCTTTACATTATGATGGCAATCTATTAGCTTACATCGTTGTTAGCTCTATTTTTGTTGTAAGCCATCTCCATAATTATTAAATTTGCGGTTTGACTGACATCTGGATTACCATCTGTAGCTTTTTTTTTGTTGGCGAATCTTGCGAGACCCTCTGAAGGGCATTCCCGGGCCGTTTTTGACCCAATGGCACCCTTTTTGGCTTACATTTCAGTGCCGCTTACTTCAACGTGCTGTCAAAATTGACGAACTACACCGGCAATATGGCCCTATTGTTCGTGTTGGCCCGCGTCATATCTCCGTGGCTACCCCTAGCAGCTTCCAGCAGATATATGGCGCTCGAAGTGGGATATCTAAGGGGCCATTCTATGATGATAAGTTTATCTTCCTAAGTTTCGAAATGAATTATGCTAAAAATTTTAATTACTATTCAAGCAGACTGTTCCCATTATATTTTCTACTCGAGATAATGCTTTCCACGCTAAAAGGCGGAGGGACCTCAGCCCAGCGTTTTCATTACGAGCACTGAAGGAATTTGAAGTCAATATGTCTGAAGATATTTTGAATTTTAAAAGGGCACTATACAAGGAGTTAGGCGATAATTTATCTGCGACGATAAACTTTTCCCCATGGGGTGAGTGGCTAACTGAATATTCCGTATCTTTTGTGATGCTAATGTGCTTACATGAATATATTACCTAGCAAATCTTCTGGCTTTCGATGTAATAGGTAAGCCAAACTCCCACTGAACCTATGGAACTCCGGAAAAGTGATAGAATATCCTAGCGAACTTTGTGTTTGGAGAAGCCTTTGGGTTTTTATCTGTCGGATCTGATTTTCTCAATCTGATTCCTACTTTGGATGGCCGAATGCGCTGCATTAACGCACTCGGCACACTTCCAGGATGGCTTCGGCCAGTTATTCAGTACCTACCAGACTCATTCTGGACTCAAAAATCAGCTTTGAGCCTCCAGATGCTCGCGAAGAATGCATTTAATAGAAGGAAGTGTGCTGGCGCAAACCATCGTAAGGATATGCTTGCTTCCCTCTTGACAGCTAAATCGGAAGATGGAAAACCATTACCGGAAGAAAGCATCATTGCAGAAGCGGCAAGCTTTATTTCCGGAGGGAGTGACTCCACTTCTACAACATTGACACATTTTGTTGACCTAGTCTCACGTAATGATTCCGTGCGACTAAGGCTGCAGGACGAATTGGACAAAGCATTCCCCAACTGCGAGGAAAATTGGGTACCAGAGGGTGATATAACCGGAAAACTGCCGTATCTTCAAGCTACGCTTAGAGAGGTGATGCGAGTAAGGCCCGCAAGTGCATCCGGCCTGGAGAGAATTGTCACAGAACAGCCACTGGATATTTCCGGCTTCAAGCTTCCTCCTGGGGTTTGTCTCACCAAGCTATATGACGTATTCCAAATTCAATTCAGTTGTTAATCGGTTTTTCCAGACGCTTATAAGTGCCCCTACTTACACTGTGCATAGAAATGAATCTATTTTCAAAGTAAGTAACTGCCCCAAAATCTCTAGGCAAACGAATTGTTGTTAATGATTTGTCAGGATCCCGGGAAGTTTGACCCGGACCGATGGCTAGGAAACACGGTTATGGAGTTGAACAAGGCATTTGCCCCTTTTAGCATAGGACCTCGCGGGTGTATGGGTAAGAGGTTAGTTATTCCGGCGGCGGAATAGATGGATTCAAATTCATATGACTGACTGAAGTATAGTTTTGCCTGGATGGAGCTTACCAAGACCATTGCCATGCTTTTCCGGATCTTTGATATCGCAAGAGCTTGGAATGAATCTACTGCATTACGAGAAGGGTTTTTCTTGAAGTGTGAGGAATGCTATGTTGTGATAAAAAGAAGGTGACAAATCATCATGGCGAAGCCAGGCTTTGTTAAAAATATCCCCTGGCTATAAATCCTCCTGTGTACATACCTATGGGAATCATGCTGAATCACATTTCACGGCTCCAACTTCCATTTCCTTGAAAATTGTAGTATCAACCACAGCGGTAATGATACTCTCTCCCGATGCCTCTTGGACGGTGTGTATGTCAATAACACACAACCCCGCTCCTTTGAGCAAGCTAACCCATTGTGATTTGGACCTTTCCCTGGCCAGAAATAGCGCCATCATGGTTAAGTCACTTTGCATTGAGTTGCTGTGTGCATTGGTATCAGGCAGAACTATGTCTCCGATTAGGAGGATGGAATGTCCAACCATGGCATTTCTTAGGTGCCCAAGGATTTGGCGGCATGGTTCATCTGGCCAATCATGGAGAATATGGTGGAGGCGGTATATTCTTGCCCCTAACATCCGTACGTATCAGACCTCTAGTCAAACAGCTTCGTCTACATGTATAGTGCCTTACCGCGTACTGGTTGTGGGGAAAAAAAGTCATGTATCATCCCGTCAACTCCATGCATGGAAGAACATTTTTGGATGATCTCTGAGAGATCTTGGAAGATAATGCGGCCTGGTAAATGGGGATACCTTTCTTTTACCAGCCTAGCTTCATGGCCATTCCCTCCACCAACATCTACCAGCAGGGTTTCAACTAAGTTGTCAGCCTCGTCCAACCTGATGTACTTGTCAAGGGGGTACACATCCAGCCAGTGGGTCTCTCCAGCATGCCGGGTATTCATCCAAATATGGAAGTTTGCCAGGGAAGCTTCATTTTTCGACAGCCAGGGGAAGAAAGATGCATCGGGGTCGCCGACTGAGAATTGGAAAGGAGTTTCGAGCCGCTTCTCAGAACCGGCTCCATTATTTGCGGTCAACCATGCTGGTAATTTCAAAAATACTGGCGCAGTCACGTCATAGCTAGATAACGATAGTTAACATTAGCAATTGTCTGTGGCAGTTTTGATAACTATGCTCACTTGAACTTCACCCCTGCTGCGAATCCTGCATTTGCAAGGGATTCGCACGCAGTTGTACTCTTCCATTGACCGATACCGGTTTCTTCGATATAATTCATGGAGGCTAGATACTTCAATATCCGTTCTAAAAGGGTGTGTTCAACTGCTGTGGCTTCTACAAGACTTGCTGTACTAAGGGGACAAGAGCTTTTGGCCAAAGAGTTGAAAAGGTTGGTATCAATAGCACATCGAATGATGCTAACCTCGAGTGGCTAAATGCGCAAGAATCAGCCAGGGCGTTCTGTGGTCAGGGGATATTTTGAGATGATACTCCCAAGCGATGGGGCGAAGTTACCAGGAAAGCAACCCGTCTGCAGGTCATGAGTGGAGATTCTAGAGCTACAGTGAGCCTTTGTGAAGCAGCTAGTAGCCGCTTCCGTGAGTTGACGTCTATAAGCCCGGCCTGTACTTGAGCAGTAACCTCCTCAATTTGGCCGGCAAGGTCACTGGCTGATCCACACTCCGAGAGCATTTTTGACATTAAATTGCGGATAAGAGGTGGGGAGTGGCTTTGTGTCAAGGGATTTGATCGTGATGGCCCGGAATATGGGTGCCTTGTTCTCGTACAAAGAAAAGAAAAATGAGAAAGAATACGGTACACTGCCTGAGTCGGGCTTTTTATGTTACAGGATCGCAAGACACATGCTGACGGCATACATCCATGCTTCAGCGCCGGAGTTAGTCCAATATAGCTCCGTATTCTGTGTCTATTAGCTATTGGCAGCTTGCAATTGTCGGGAAACGAGAATGCAATGCGTGCAGGGAGCTGAAGTTTGCGTGTCTTGCAACAGGCGAGACGGAGAGAAAATCACTACCATGGGTATTGGCAGGGGGCATGGGAGCAATTACATAGTAGGATCGCTCCACATTTACGCTGTGTAGGACTAGGTAGTCACTCTACTTTGAACAAACCGCATGAGTCACTCTTGTTATTTATCGTTGATATATTTTACCCAATACCACAGGGCATTGCCATTGTACTCCGTACCCATGCACGTCAAATCCAGACCATGGGGTCTAGGCCGGGAAATGCGAAGTGTTAAGGGATCAGGATAGCGAATGCTGCTGGGATTCACGCATGCACATGTGATGCTTTAATGAAGAGCTTCGGAGAATCTGGATATCACCTTGCTTATAAACCTGAGTCATTATGCGGAGTTCCCCCTGCTAGTTATGTACCCAGAGTAATAATATCATGGTATCATATCTAAGCTTGTCTGTACCGGAGCTGGATCCATGCAATGCAACAGGTCATATCCTGGAGAAAGATAACAGGTATGCCGAACTAATGCAGTCTCGCCATAACGAAGGCCTCATTTGATTATAGGCGTTCAGCTGTTGACAAACAATTCCGTAGCGTTGTTGTCTCGAACAGTGGGTCAAGGTAAGCATTCACCAAGCAATGGGCCAAGAAGCTAACTGGTTAAGCAACTAGTTAACTAGTAACTAACGGATATAACCAGTTGGTAAACTAGATTGCATAGTAGGAGCTGGAGAAGCTATCCAGCCGGCTTCATCCGAGATTACTTGCAAGTACCAGTTATTAGTTATCATGCCATGGTCAACATATTCTCCATGTTTTTCCTATCTCCAGGGAGCTATTGGTTGGTTGATCACCATGTGATTATGAAAACTCGCTAAGTAACTACAAAGGTCTAATCATCTTCTTTATTGGCTGCAAACGGGCTTTGGCGTCGAAGAGCCTTCCCAAATTTCCATAGCAGCAACACCGCAGGCAATCCAATTCCGAGTCCACAGAATCCAAGCAGGCTGCCTGTCCACCCGTAACCTAGAGCGATATATCTATACAATTGTTAGCTTAATGTTTTAAATGGTAATTCGTGTTAAATATTCTCTTACACGTAGGGTGCAAAAAGTGGAAAAGCGAACGCGGCTAAGGATCGCAGGATCGCAACGGCTGCAAGAGCACTCGCAGAGTATTTTCCATAGGTGTCGATAATATAAGCATTCACACAAATACCACAAACGACAGCCCCAGCCATGAAGAATGCACTTCCAATATCGGGCATTATCCAATGCAATTTTTTCTGAGCACTCCAGCCGTACCAGAACAATCCAACACTAAGCAGGACCGTAGCTGGCGCCATGATTGGAATGCGGAATTCTGGCTTAGTTGTCCCGCCATTTTTCTTCTTGAGGGAGGCAAAGATCCTGTCGTTGATGTGAGTGCAGACTTCACTTGCGAAGGCCGTACCGACAGCCATCGATATGTAATGCAGACCAGCTATGCTCGTGCTTTGGTGGTATATTTCAGTCCATAATTCAGGAAACGTAGCATAAAGGATAAATATAATTCCATAGAGGAAGGCGTTGTACAGAGCTAAAACTTGAACGATGGGTTGAGTGAGAAGAAGGCGAATTGCTCTTCCTAGGTTAGCAGAAAGCCGGTCTCTGACCTGTCGTATAGCCTGTACCATTGTTACGGCCGGTGTTATTTGCAGTCGTGCCTGTTTTCTTCTCAGGAGGACAGGGGCATAAGTTTCTTCTAGGAACAAGATGCCTAGAAGCTGAACCACAGCATCCAGTATTGAAGCTGAGTAGAATACCCAGGACCAGTGTGCGTGTTGAGCAATCAGTCCGCCCATTATGGGTCCAAGGACAGGGCCGACAAGAGGAGCAAGGCTGTATATCGCTACCGCTTTACCACGATCATCTGCGGTAAAAAGATCACTAAGTGTGCCACCTCCAATCTTTACGTTTATCTTGTCAGCATACGGACACGATCAAGAAATAAAATCAACTTACCCCAAGAGTAGCGCTTCCAAAAAACCCCGAAATAAATCTCAGGACCAATAGGGTTTCTTTCGAATTCGCAGCACCGCAGCCAGTATTGAAAATTAGATAAAGGAGGTTCCAGCTCTGGACGACACGTACTCGGCCATATATCTCCGACAGAGGACTTGCGATCAACGGGCCAAAGGCAAAACCTAGAACGAAAATGGATACAACCATTGTTTGTTCGGCAGGTGTCGTAATGTTGAGGTCTGTCGATATGATCTCAAGGCCGGGTGCAACTATGGTAGAAGAAAGCGGACTCATGAGAACGAAGGATGATATAGCAAATACAGCCTTCCATTTTCGGGCCAGTGTCCAATTCTTTGGATTCTCATGTTCGTCGAGAGTAATGCTTGGAGTCTAGAGAATGTTAGCTACGGCATATTCTCCCATCCTTTGCAGGGCCTTACTAATTCAGCATCCACCTTAATAGCTTCAGATTTCTCTTCATTCGCTTTTTCGTCCTTGTCGTGCTTATGTTCGGCCTTCTCGCCATGCGTCTGTTGACCGTCCGCTAGAGATGCCATCGTTTTTCAAATACTGCCTGGGCAGACGTTGAGATATGAGATAGAAAATATGTTCAACCACTGTAATGAAAATAATGAGTGATGATATATGGTGTAAATATACGGGACAGTGATGCCCTACAAATGTCAAGGAAATTACACCATCCATCCATACTGTCCCTGGAAGTATTTGCGGCCCGTGCCGAACCAAAGCGACAGCATGTGGCAGGGAGAGGGCGAGATTCATTTTTCTTGGGTCTCAGAGAACATGGGGTGCTTCTCAAGGAAAGGTGTGTGACTAGTCAGGGATGTGAGAATATTATGTAGGGGGCATATATAGATATGCCCATTTAACTCCGAAAATCAGCGCCGTAAACTCCAGGCCCGAAGATTAGCGCAGACCCACCTAGCAAACTTTACGCGCAATGCTTGTTCCGACTACTTGACATAATATAAACGTGTTTTCACCAACACGTAAAGAGAATTTTATGCATTCGTCTATTGGCTGCTACTATGTATGTTATCACGGTAGGATGAATATACATAGACAATGAATGACAAAATGGCTCATGCAACGTTGACTCATCGCACCAGGCCCTGGTGACGGTCACTTTGAACTTCCTGGCCCTTGGATCCCTTTCCCCGACAGCACCTCCTCCATGACACCGCGTAGTCTTGATACTGCATCCAAGCAGATTTGATAGTGCACCACCAACCTCCCTGCGAGCATGCCTTCCATTACTTTTAGGCCTTTAGCCTTGGCCAGAGCAAAGAACCTTGCCTGGTCTACCTCGGGATCGTTTAGGTCGAGCCACACCATATTTGTCTCCGTGGGATTGGTCAAACGCCCGCCTAAAAGTGTCCATGTTGCAGCAAGGGACTTTGCAATGTCTTGTGCTGCGCGCAGTCTTCCTCCGAGGAATATTTGCTCCACCGCAACCTTTGCTGGTGCAGTAAGAACCCCAGCTGCGCGTATGCCTCCTCCAAGAAGCTTTCGCACCATTCGTGCGCGCTCAATAAACTCTGAGCTACCCAAAACGACGGATCCAATCGGTGCCCCGAGACCCTTGGTCAAACAGAGCGTTACACTATCAAATTCCTTGCAATACTGCTGCAGGCTACCAGCCGCTGCTGCATCTGCTTCCCAGAGCCTTGCTCCATCGAGATGCATATGAATCGGTTCAGGCTGGCTGCGAGCCCAGGTAGATATTTCCTGGACATCCTTTAGTGGCATAATTGTACCGCTCAGAGTATTCTCGAGGCTTATAACTCTTGTGGGGCAGCCGTATAAACCAGACGTTAATGTTGCATGTCGCCGAATGTCATCCAGGACCAAATGATGTCCGTTAGAAGGCCGGATTCCAATAATAAGAGCACCGCATAGGGTTGCAGCTCCACCAACTTCCATTCGAATTGCATGGCTGCGCTCGTCCGCAAGGATAGAGTATGGAGGCGCCTTTAGAGCTGCACGAAGCGCCACCTGGTTTCCCATTGTCCCCGACAGCATGAAAAGTGCCTCCTCTTTCCCGGTCAAGTTTGCCATGAATTCTTGAAACTCGTTAGTAGTCGGGTCCTCCATCATAACATCGTCACGAAGGGTGGTATTCATAATGGACTGCAACATGGGGAAGGTTGGAACAGTAACATAGTCCGATCTGAAGTCATATGCCGCGGCAGCTGGCCTCGACCACGCAGATTCACCTAATTTAACTGGATTGTGGTGAAAACTAGGACAGGATTTTTGAGTGGAAATTCGGGGGGTTGAGATTCCGGATGGAGCCATTTTGAGATGATTAGTTCGGATGATGATAGCAATGAAGTTGTCATTTGCTCCAAAATTTCGGGGATTTTTAAATTTTTTTATAGAGGTCAAGAACCACCAGCAGTCCTCCCTCCTCCCTCATCCCTGCAAGGGGAGAACAAGCACAGAGGTAGAAACCATTAGATATTATGTTTACTAATGCGTACTTTTTTACAAAACGCTTATACCCAGCGCATAGCGGCTTACCATATTACTTTTTCCCCAAAAAAGCAATAGTATCGGTATTCACCTAGAAAATTGGACGGCTCCTATTACATGGGTCATTGACCTCACCCTCGATCCGTTTCCCCCTCTTATACCTACTTTGCAAATTTGGTATTACACTATGCGGTATAAGTTAGCTATGCAATATTATAACTGCAGTACACCGCCCTCACATTCGTGTTTGACGTAAAATGTTGGTTACAGCCAGGTTACCAGCCAAATCGCATGAGAATCAACGCCCCCAAGGCTAGAGCCGGGAGTTCTACGTGGATGTTGCGTTAGGAACAGTGCACAACTGTTGTAAGCTCCCCCCCCCTTTTTATACCCTTTACTCCTCAGGTGGAATTTATCAACATACACATTCAATGCCACCGTTCGAGCTCTGGTTCCTAGCCCTATAGCCTCCTCACCAACGAATTTCACAATGGAAGATATCAAAGAACGGTTCGTACTCGAGCTTATTAAGTTTGCTAGGCAAAAATCAGACTACTACCGTCAGCTATACGAGTCACTCCCTCAGGATATTGTGAATATCGAGAGTCTCCCGATCACCGATGTTGAAGATTATTGGAGACTCGCACGCTCGGACCCAAAAAATGTCTTGACGGGACCTTTTATCGATGGTGTCCCCCTCCGGAGTGGCGGATCTACCAATGAACCAAAGACAATCTTTTCCACCCGCGATGAAGTAACTAAAATTGCTAAAATCGAAGCCAATCTTCGAGCACAGACATCTGGAATTTTACCTGGAGACCGAGTGGCAAATCTGTTCACATTTGGCGGCCTTTATGGCGGCTACTGGTATGCTATTGCTCTCCTTCAAGAGATACCAATACCATTAGTCCATTTGCCTATATCTGGGAGCCAGCCGCTGGATAAGATTGTGGAGGAGATGGAGGTTTTTGAAGCGACGGTTATATTAGCTCCCGTCTTCACCATCATCTTGCTGGCTGAGCACCTGACCAAGAAGGGAAGGTCGCTTGACAACATTCGTGTCATTGTGTTTTCTGGAGAAAGCCTCTTTGAAGATACTCGCCCCCTATGGGGTACTGCTTACCCAAATGCCAAGATTTATTCGTCATTCTATGGTGGTGTCGACGTTGGCCCCTTAGGAGTACCTGCTCGTACCCCAGCTTGTTTCGAAGAAGCATTCGACCCTACCTTCAAGATGTGCTTCCCGGCAGTGTTGATGGAGATTATCGCGGAGGATGGAACGGTCATCAAAGAACCTGGAATACGAGGCAATGTGGTGGCTACAACTTTGGTTAGATACCTACAACCCATGATTCGGTACCCAGTTGGTGACGTTGCCGAGTGGGTGGACTATGAGGCTCGAACCTTCAAGCATCGCGGCCGTGCTTCCATTGCCATTAAGGTGGCTACAACTTTCCTCGATCTGCCCCTAATCAAGAAGATAATCGCGGAGGTCCTCGGTTCATCTATCACAGGGCGCTTCCAATGTATTGTTCGTCGCAAAGAAGGCAGCGCGATATTGACCTTCCGGCTCGCGATCCCAAAGCCAGAACACCATAATCAAATTCGTGACGAAGTCGAGGCAGCTCTTTCGCGAGCATCCCCTAAATGGAGAAGAGATAGAGAATGCTCTGCCATTGCACCTTTGATTTTGGAGTGGGTTGATAATAGCGGGCTGTTATATTCTGAGAAGAGCGGGAAGTTGAGGGAAATCGTCGATGAGCGATACTAAATCGCTGCCTGGTACCCTCTTATGATATGGCAATTCCAAGGGGGCACTCGTATGGTATTTAGTATTTCATAGGATTTCCTGTTCCTTTTGGATAACACATCTATCGTTTGGTTCATTATTCCGCTTATTAATGATACCGTTTTAGGAATGCGTTAAGTCAGTATCTAAATAGCGATTGGAGAGAAGCATAAGGGAGTCGGGAGCAAGTGTTCTATGAGACAATAAACGATAACTATACTAGTATATTCTTGTATATGTAAAAAGAAGTTACAAGTTGATATCCGCACCATTGACCAATTTTCTCTTATTTTAACTCTGTGGCTAACTCCATAGCGCTCCTGCATGGAAGCGCGATCCTCTCCATGTCCATCTTGAATCTATGTGGGCTCGACGAGCTTTGCGGAGTACTCACGGGTTGATGGTCATTGAACGTTAGCGATAACTAGTTAATTAGATAACGTTAAATATAACCAGTCTCTCTGCCACCAATTGGTGCGGGCTCGCCTTTTTGGCCGACCGGCAGATTCTGACAGTTAACTACATGATTATCTTCAAATATGGGGCCCTACAGAATATGAAATGTAATCTATATATTTTCCAATCCTCATCATAATTAACTAGGCGTTCAGTTAGTGTACGTTTATCTCTCGTAGATTCGTACCAACAAAGGCATAGGAAGCGGTTGTTGACTCAATTACTTTTACCTGCTGCATAGCTAGTCGTTCACAAGTTTGTCTAGTTTTAACCGGATGCTGTTTGATTTCGGGTTTCCATATTCAAAGTTCGACCTAAGGTATGTAAAATGAAGTAATAATAATCACTCCTTTGTATCATATACCTCCACCTGGTGAGCGGAATTGAGGAAAGACAGAGAATCTAGTACCATATTTAATAAGAGTTGATGCAACAGTTGGTGGTCAGTAGGCTGTTGAATTAGCCCTGCAGATGCTGGCATTCGCTGGCCATGCAGGCCAATATGTTGTTGCCTGGAGATTCATCATATAAACAAGCGCTAGGCCTATCTATATATAGTCTATACCAAAGATCTTATTATACCTATATCGCCTACCCTGAACGCCAGTCTGATTTTTGATTCTTTAGCTGCATCACTATAGCAGTCAGCATACCCGGACTCGACTTCAGCTATGAACGCTTTTGCAATTTCGTCCCTATCCTAACCCGCGGCTCCTCGGAGCCGACAACTGTAGATAACCTCAACCCCTTGATTCATCGGGTCCTCACACACTACCCTGGCTCGACCATCTTCGGCGTAGGAGGCCACTCCATCTTGGTATCCATATCCGATGACCTGGCCGTGAAGGTTTCCTACAGAGCTGGCGGAGAGCACATTCGTCATGAACAGTCTATCTTCAAGCTACTGGAGGGACAGGCCTGTCCATACATAGTCCATTCTTACTTCTCTGCGCCTGATCTCATCTTCATGGAGCTTGTGAAGAACGGCAGGCTGTACGAGCGCATGGAGCAAGTTGATAAACCACGCCCTATCCTGACGTGGATGCAACAGCTCTCAGAGGCAGCGGTGGCTCTAGAGGAGGTGGGGTACGCTCATGGAGACATCAACCCTCAAAACATCCTCTTTGACGAACAGGACCGACTTCGATTGGTCGATTTTGATCATGCACTCAAGGTCGGGGAGGAGGTAGAGGTGGGTGTTGAGCCATACGTGCGCCACCGCTACGTGAACTATGGGGTAGCCGGGCCTGATACTGAACAGTTTGCCTTGGGATCGATTTTCTGGTTCATGACTCGTGGTACAGAAATGTATGCAGACATCGACGGGGTGCAGAAGGTCAATAGGTTGAGCCGATGTATATTTCCCGAAGTGGACTCCGCAGACCCGATCGATGTGATCATTAGCGACTGCTGGCAGGGGAAATTTGAGTCTATGGCTGAACTTGCAAAGCGGATTCGTCAAGTTGCGTTCGACAAGAGCGCTGAGGAGAAGAAGAAAGCATGCGAGCAGCATTACAGCTCCGTGCTGCCTTGGACCAGTAGCCCTGTCTACATCTTCATAGAACTATAGATAAACAATTGATCTTCCTCTTCTAGCATCAGGAATAGCACGGGAAAGGGGAGCTTGGTGTTTCAGCCTATGCAAGGCCCTCCAGCTGTCAGATCTCCAAACTTCCTTTCCATCGAACTGTGCAAAATATAAATCGCATGACATGGCGTTGTTCCAGACCAACGACAACTAGCAGTAGATCCATCTATTTGAGTTCAACGTCAACATCAGCCAGACAGGTCGTAGTTTTAGCTTCTCTGTTCGACTAAGCGCCGCAGTGCGCATGAAGCAGTGACCTTTTGTGACATCCATCTATCCCGGCATATGAAACGTCTGCCGTCATAGCTGTGCCGCCCTCCAGGCAGCAGAAGGCAGCCTGTACCATCCCCTCAACACAGCCAAGTAGTGCCATCATCGTAAATAGGCAACCCTCGTATCCCTGATTAGAATGCTGGGGGATGGTGGATCGGTTCCACTCTGGAGGTCGAGTCACCAGCTCCAAGGGTGTTCCACGGCCAGATCTGTGGACGGAAACAAGAGGAGAAGACAAGCCCTGTAGCCTGGAGAGAGAAAAAGGGTCGGCAACTGCGTGAGTCAAGTATATGTGATGGATCTCTTGTCGACTGGCCAGGCAGACAGGCGGGAGAGGATCAGGTTAGACAAAGGCAAGGGAGCAGCCACCCGACGCCAGCGTGTCTCCAGCCAGCGATCTCCAGCGTCTCCGCCATCCATGTCTGGCTCTCCGGCGCATCCAAAAGGCAAACGGGGGGCGAGGGTGAGCTTGTTGTTCGATGGTTGCCTTGCTTGCGGGCGAAGATGCTGGTTGGGCGGCGAGCGCAAGGCGGTTAAACCCTCTTTTTGGGGCTAGCGAAGGGCCAAGTTAAACGGTGAAGGGAGCGAGGACATCCTCTCACCATCTTCAACATCCTCACCATCTACCAACTTCTTCTTCTTCTCTGCATTCTTCTTCTTCTTTTAAGCCTACTTGTAGGTCTCCTTCTCGACCAGGTCGTACTTCATCAGCTGTTATTCTCTACCCGTCTTACTCATACCAGTATAGCTGTCAGTAATAGCTTGTCTCACAGTCATCTGCCATCTCCTGCAGCAGCTAACCATCTTCACAGCTTCTTAGATACACGATACTCGCCTGTTTATGTGCTGCTGGTCTCCTGTTTCATTCATCTGCAAGCCAGAAGGGCTCATCTTTCAAGACCGGCCCGTAGCCTAGCCAGGTTGCAGCCCTCAGACATCATTCACGGCACAGCCTTTCAGCTCATTGAGAGCCAATGGAGGTTGCCGTGGAAGCTCAACGGGCATCTCTCAGCCGTCAACCGGCCCCTCCCTACACATCATCCCCTCAGACTCATGCATCAGAACCACAGACTGAGCCCGGGGAACAACCAGAGGATGAACAAACCCTGGAACAACCCTTACAGAATGGCGTGATGCCCACTCTGGCTGATGTCCTTCCACCTTCCGTCACATACAGCTCTACTACAGAAACAGAGTCTTCAGCTCCTGACCGACCGGCTGTAGAGGTTGTCACACCGGTGTCTAACGAGACAACAGAACGAGCAGTCAACACTCAGGTAAACGAGGTTATTGAAGCACCTGCCGTGAATGCTGCTGCTACTACTACTACTACTACTACTGTAAACGGGGATCCAGAGACGATGGAGACCGATATTGCCGTGAATGGCGTTGAGGCTGCTGAGGAAGACCAGACGCAGCCCCATGGCGAGAATGAGAACGAGAACATGCCCGTAAACGACAGCACCGAGCAGAACGAACCAGCGCAGCCCCGAGAGAATGAGGAGCCGTCAGAGGAGTCGTCACCGTCAACTGCTTCTGACGGATCGACAGATTCCAGCGAGTCAACCGAACGAACTGGAGAAGACTACGACGAAGACGATGAGAATGACGAGCCAGCCTACTGGGCCGAATACAAGGAGGACACATCTGTGGCAGAGGGAGATGAGCTCAAGGAGATTGAAAGCGGCGATGCTGATCACAGTGCACATGAGTGTGGGTGTCTTTCTCTCTACGTATCTATATCCACCAGTTACTGATCTTATCGATAGATGACTACATCGAGAAATCATTCTACCACGAGCTAGACGACCCAGAATATAAACCGATCGAGAAAGCACGCATAACGTGGAAGATAACCGGAGTCCGGGGTACCAAGGAAAAACCTAATAGAGCTACCATAATTCGGTCTCCACCGGCATACATCGGCGGATACTACTGGACACTAAAATTCTTCCCTCGGGGAAACAGTGTGGGATCGCTGAGTGTTTATCTCGAGTGCTCTCCCACGCCACCAGAGCAGGATAAGGCGATACTTGAAACGGAGTTTAAAGTCCTCAAAGGGCCGCCGGATGCCGTCCTGAGCGAGCTAACTCCAGACCAGGAGTTCAAGCTGCCTGCTACTACCGCCTCACCCAAGCCCTCTCAATCAGAAGAGTCTACCAAAAAGAGTCAAGAAAAGGATCAAGAGGAACTCCCGGAGGCAGCCAGTGAGGAAAAGACAGGCTCAGACCTCCGCGAATCATCTCCCAAACCCAAACCGGACTTTCGTATCTCGGCTCAGATCGGTGTGGTGCTCTACAACCCAGAGGAACCACGCACAGGCTGGACGCAGTCCTCCTGTCACCAATTCAACTCTCACAACTTCGACTGGGGATGGACACACTTTCATGGTCCGGGACCATGGAACACTATCCACCTCCGCCAACATGGCCAGCGCCAGGCTCTCCTCCGCAACGACACACTCTGTTTCGACGCATACATCCGCCTATTCGATGACCCAACAAAATCGCTATGGTGGCATTCTAGTGACTCTGAGCCCATTTGGGACTCTTACTCGCTTGTTGGTCTTAGGCCCATGGGTGATGTGTCGGTAAACTACTGCCAGCACACAGCTGGGTTGATCCCATTGCTACTCTTAAAGCCGTTTAGAGAAATGGTCAAGGGTATTGATGTTATGAGACATCTTAATGATGTGACTGCGCGTCCAAAGCCGGTGTGTGAAGCACTGCAGGTTATAGTTCACGAGATGACGGCGGAAAACATAACCTCTGTTCGCACCGAAGGAGTGAGAAGAGCGCTTAGATACCTTCTCGAGAGTTCAGGAGATGTCGTCGAATTTTGGGAACGGCTTAGACGCAGTCTGCAGATCGAACTTGCGGGCACTGAGGCTATAGAAAAGCTGGCCTCTATATTTGACAGCCCACACGATGACTCGAAAATGTCGGATGAGTCGCTAAACATGCTCTCTCGCGATTTCAATAGCCGCATCCGCATCAGCTCTGAGAACACTGAAAGTATCCAGTCAGGTATTGTAGAATACCTGAAATCTCGAGAGGGCAAATGGTCTCTCCCTCCTGTCCTCCAGATTGAGCTCTCCCGCCAGAAGTTCGACAAGAAGGCTCGTCAATGGAAATTCTTGGTCAACCGTGTACATCGAAATGAAGAACTTGATCTCTCTGACTACGTCAACTCCGAGACCGAGGGTAAATATACCTTGTTCAGCTTCATTGCACACAAGGGTCATCGGACATCACGGTGGTATTACCCCCTCGTTCGCCCCGGTGGGCAAGGCACCCATTGGCTTGCCTTCAAGGGTGAAGACCCCTATCGAATCGAGTGTTTAACCACCAAAATGGCCGTCGAGGGCTTCGAAGGACTAGATATGGCGGAAGCCGGAAATGGGGAGCCCGTCAATGCCGAGATCGCGGTTGCTTTTATGTACATTCGAAATGACCTGCAAGGCGAATACTTATCCCCCAAGCTGGAGCCATGGACTCTTCCACCATCATGGCACCGTTATATGCAGGCAATCTCGCCGGATAGATCTGCTGTGGAACCGGAGAAGCAAATTCCGGTTGCCTTTTACGGCCTAAACGGAGTGTCGAAAGATGCACGGAATCCAGCAGCGGCATATGATCTTATTAACCACCAAACATCAGAAAAGGACACTACAAGCATGATTGTTCCCATGTCAACGACCATTGGTGAATTGAGAGCTAAGTTAGCTGCCCAAATCTCGACTGAGGAGAATCCGATTACCAACGAACGAATACGCATGTGGTCTATTGGGGCGCCATATGAGGTCCGTTTGTTCAACTTCAGTATGGAACCCTTGGTTTCCATGGGATCGCAGTTGCTGAGTCTTGGATGGAATGCTCTGCGCATATGGGTACAAATTCTTAACGAGGGTAAGGAAGGCTATACCCGGAATTCGTGGACTATATAAAACTAATTCTAGCCTTAGATGATATGAAATTCTTCTCTATCCCAGAGTTTGTTCCCCCACCACCCATTTCAGACGAGGTAAATGGGATGAAGGATACTATAGAAGCTCCACCATCTCCACCACCCGTTCAAAATGAGGAACAGTCGCAATCAACTGAGCTGGTTCAGCCTCCCAATCAGGATGGAGATGTCGAGATGAATGATGCCACTCCTGATGATGAACCTAACCCACCTACTCAGCCACCTACTCAAATCCACAACGAGGAAACTCAAGAGTCAGAGAACCTTCCTAGTGCGCCTGAACCAGCAGAGCTTGAAATGACAGATAATGTTCCTGATCAAGCCGAACCCAACAGTGTTGAGCATGCACCTGTTCCAGACGTTAATAACGACGAACAAGCCGCCAACGAAGCGATCATTGCCTCAATAATTGCCCAAGACCTTGCACTTTTGGATCAGTCACAAGAGATGGACACAAGCGGAAGCTATACTGAAGCCAACTCAGTTCCGCCGCCCCCTCCTATGGTGGACACCATGGAGCACACCAACGAAGCAGTAGACGGATCATTGAGAAATGATGTTGAAGAAGACCGAGAAGCTCAGGACCAATCCAGCTCCGAAGACTCACAGATGGAAGGCTCTCCAATCGTTGAATCAAACAACAATGTTCCCGGAAATACTGATACCCAAATGAGCCAGCAAAACCTAGAGGAAAGCCACGAAGAGGGACAAACGGTCCCTGAGCCTCCAGTTATAAAATCAGAGCTTGTCCTACCATGTGATCAAGTCTACTACTTCGTTCAAGAGTTCGACGCAGACAACCAAACTGTTGAAACGGTTGGGGCATTCTTTGCCAAGTCATGCCGCAATATTCGTGAAGAGCTTCGGAAGACGCTACAGCTCCCTGAGGACCAGCCATACAATTTCTGGTCTCGTCGTAAGGCCGTGGCTTCTGTACACAGTGTTTCGTCAACCCATAGGTTCAGAGATCTAATGAACGATGTGGGATGTATTATTTTTGGAAAGACCATCCCTAAGCGCCGGTAAGCAATTAATATCAATCCTGGAGGGAGCAACATATACTAATAAAGTACCTCAATAGACAAACCGAGCTTGTCGAGGCAGGCTGCTTCATATCCCCTGACCGTCTATTAGAATACCTCTGGGCAGTTGATCGCCAACACCCAACTAAATCCTTCACTGGTAAAAAGACCGTGGAAGCTATCTTAAATGGCGAATACTACACTGGTGACCTCTGCAAGGGCTACTACCACGGCAGCGGAACCCACATCTCCGAAGCCGGTGACACATACACTGGCGACTTCGTCCAAGGCCGACGACAAGGTACAGGCTCCATCGAACACAGCTCTGGTGATACCTATACCGGCGACTGGTTCGAAGACCAGCCCCACGGCCAAGGGACGTGGGTCGAACACAAGACTGGCAACAAATATGTTGGCGGCTACCGTAATGGTAAACGTCACGGCAAGGGGGTCAGTTACTGGGAAGTAGCTGACGAGGAGATGAACCTTTGCCAAATCTGCTATACCGAAGAACAGGATTCACTGTTCTATACCTGTGGGCACGTCTGTGCTTGCGGATCATGCGCGAGACAAGTCGAGATTTGTCCCGTCTGTCGTGAGAAAGTCATCAGTGTCGTGAAGATTTTCAGATGTTAAGATGATATATCGTATATCATACACCATACACCATCCATACAAGACTGAGATATAAGCCATCTCTTTCAAAAACCCTTTATTAACCTCATATCAAAAACTCTTTCTAGAGCATATGGTCCTTTGTGTTCTCTCTCTCTACCTTATATGGCATCCTGTCTTTTGCCCAAGTCCATTTAAGTAAGTTTGCCATCTTTTTTTACTCATGATCTGAACGCTTCGTGCGCTTTTTTTGCCTCTCCTTTATCTATCTGCGAGATTCCCCCTTCTCCCGAGTTTAGGCTGCGTTGAACTTGTTGTTTTTTTCCATCCCACTGATCCTACTACCTTCTTCGATGTGTTCAGACCAAAGTATCCATATCCCCCGGTGACCATCCTGCATTGTCACTTCTCCCGGCGTAAATTGTTTATTAGCACCTGACGATGACGAATATTAGTTGAAATCCTTTCTTTCCTTCACTTATTCGGGCCAATAGATATTCATATTCCTGGGAATTTATTTATCCTTTCTTGACAAACGCATGAACCAACGTAAACATAACTATTCCTTCGATAAGCAACTACATATTGATGGTTGAAGCATGTGAACCGGGAAAAGTGCCTACAGGAATGAGAGAGACAAAAAGTTAGGGTTCAACAGTATCTATCTACGAGAGCATTAAACGGGGTCAGGCTTTGTAGAGACGAAGGTATTCTATAGAGATTTGAGTAGAAATGTATCGAAGATGAGATGGTATACAATGGCCCTTGGCTATAAGGGAAGAAGCATCAAGGCTTGTCTCGTATGTCCTCAGGTACAAGCTCCGTGATGACCTCTTCCAGACGCTCGCCGATGGTATAATGAGTGTCATCCCACTCCTGGAGCTCAGAGCAAGGCAGCTTCTCAGCCATGTACCTCGTCAACCTGATGGGCGAATTCGCGTCATTGATCCCATGCCAGATCCGGATCCTATCGTACTTGACGTCTTCGAACCGAAACCCCCAGTCCTTCGAAAGCAGCTGCGCCTCGTGCACGAATCCACGAGCTCCCTGCGCAAACCCCTCAAACGCGATCCGCAAAAGGCTCTGTCGGCCCTCGTGCGTGGGCGTCGTGTCGTCTTCCTTTTTGGTGCTCTCGATCCAGCTGTCGAGCCAGCGCGTCACGTAACCTGTAGTCGAGACCCGCTGCAGCGAGCCGACGAGCATGTCCGTAATGCCGGTAAACACCCAGGGACAGTTATTCGCTGCCACGCCCATCATCCGGGACACAAGAGGTACGTCCTGGGTGCCGGCTACCCATGGACCGGCGCCGGCAAGCACACCGACGGCGGAGAGCGACTTGTGAGGCAGGGCGTGGGCGCAGGCTACCGCATAGGGCCCCCCGCCCGAACCACCCAGGATGGCGAAGCGGGATATTTTGAGGTGGCGGGTGAGATCCTGAATGTCGTTGGGCCAGTCTGTGATGCGGCGATGGGGCTGGAAGGTGGACATGCCGAAGCCAGGACGGTCCGGGGAGATGATGCGGAGTCCATGGCGTTTGGCTATCGAGTCAGCCAGGAAGGCTTCCAGGCGTGAAGAGGGCCATCCGTGGAAGTAGAGTAGCGGGTAGCCTGTCGGACAGCCGTATTCAGTGTATCCCAGCACTCGACCGTCACGCAGAGAGACGGTCTTGTCGGGGAACGATGCCAGAGCCGGAGGTATAGATGTCGTTGAAGCGGTTGATAGCGAGAAGGACAGCCTGGGAAGCTTCATCTTCGCGGTAAATCAGAGGCTGTTGTTTTATTGTGTTCGATGAGGATGTCCCTGACGAGCAGGAGGGCCTCTGCCGGTCCATCATGGCTGTTTAAATACTCCATCTTCTCTGGCAACGTCTGACTGTCATCGGTGAGACTTTGATATCGAATCCTGCGCTTGACGAGCCGCCGTATATATCCCAAAACGGACGCTGCCTCGCTCTCATTGGCTGTTAACATTCAATCCTTGTTGATATTCGATGCTGCTATGGGTCGGCAGCATCAAGCATGAGACGAAGACAGTCGGACAGTCGATGGACGACGAGATGTCAGTAACAACTGGGTCGACTTTGATCCTTGACGGACTTGACGGTCTTGATGCTACTTTTGCGACGACCAGCAGGAGAACTTCAACACGACAGACGAGATGGTCTTCTTCAGCTTCTTCTACTGCTTCTTCTACTACTACTTCTACTTCTACTCTCATGACATCGTCATATCTCATACTGTGTGGACACTACATAGTAGACTTCCAACCCTTCTTCAGGTCCAACCTTGACAGCCATGATGGCTTGTCCATCTGCTAATCGGCCCCCTGATCCCCTGATCTGCCTTGATAGTGCAAGCCTCGATCTCTGCATCCTGCAAGCCCTTGCGCAGAGGAATAAACACAAATACCTATCACATGCCGTGCCGAGGAGAGAGCCAGGAAGCCATAAGCTCTGCCTAAAAGTGAGGATGTGCAGGGGTTCGACAGGTTCAACCGCGCAGCTATACGAACTTCCCACCACCACATGCCAAAAGTCACGGAGATGTTGACTATTTGGACCATTGAGTTCACTCGGTACTACTAGCTATGATGGCACGGATGGATGTCTTCTTTTTTTTTTTTCTTACCCCAGGTTGCGGGGGAGCCGGGGAGCCACCGAACGCGTCTATAAAAGGGGCTCTCCAGGACCACAGCCAGTCCACATATACCCACCGTCCACACATATATCTATATCTCACATATATCAACTTGGAGATACACAAGATACAAGATGAAGCTCTCATCCATCTTCACGGCCGTCGTTGCTGCCCTGGCCACCACCGTGGCCGCCTCCCCCGTCGCAAAGCGTGACGGAGCTGCCGTCGTCGACACCGTGTCTGCCATCTCCCAGCAGATCACTGACCTCGATGCCGTCGTCAAGACCTACAATGGCGGCCTCATCACTCCCCTCAAGATCCAGACCAAGACCAGCAAGTTGACCTCTGGTCTCAAGAAGGCCATCAAGACCGTCCAGGCCTCCGCCAAGTTCAACGACCAGGAGTCCCAGGCCGTCGCCACCGCCTTTGTTCAGCTCAAGCCCAAGATCGATACCGTGCTTGCGACCATCACCAGCAAGCAGCCTGTCTTCAAGAAGGGTGTTCTCGGCATCTTCCCGCTCGACTGGTTGGTTAGATACAACCTCAAACAACAAAAGGACCTCTCGGCCAAGCTAGGGGATGAGACCGTGCTCAAGCTGAATGAGCAGTTTGCCAAGTTGGCGCCTTTGATCAATGCTGCTATTGCCGATGCTTTTGCCAAGGCAATTGCTGCCTTTTCCTGAGCGATATAAGTGGGATGAAGAGCCGGGTTCATGTCATGTCATGTTGATGTATATAAATGAGACCGTCATGATAAAAGATAACTAATGACATTCATCTATATCAGCCATCCAAACACCCGTACGTAGAGAGTATAATCATCCCCGTACCGTCCAGCCTATGCATCTATAATATGTAGCATATCATGAATACTGTCTGTTACCTTCATTGGCATCATCACTGCCGTAAAGGACCTCACACACGCCCCCAATGGGTATGTCCATGACCGCATCAGTCCCTTCATTCCACACTTGGTCCCACGGTATCCTCTTCCCCGAACCCATGATCTGGGCCGTCGCGGCATCGGGATTCATCTTCGCTGAGCCTCCCGGTCGACGACGTCCTTTACTATCAATTACAGCTATATTTGCCGCATCATCGACCAAATTCTCAATGCTGTTCATCGGCAGGGTCAGATAGCCGGTATTATACGCCGCGAGGGCAACGTATATGTATATAAGCGTCATCACCAGGTAAGAAGGTATGGCCAACGACCACCATCTATTCGGATAGTAGTGTATTCCCAGATTGTGCAAAAACGGGGATGGTAGAAAAGACCATAGCAAATACATTACTATATACTATGTTAGTGGCGTCATCACTAAAGGAAACATGTCAACATACAGAATGCGAGGGATGACGCCAGATACAAGACGAAGCCGTAGTATTCATATGTAGGCACCTTTGGGCTTGCTCGAGGCACCGTCGTCGCATTACGCGCGGACTTGGCCACAGCAGCTTCGGTATCGTTTGGTGTCTCGACATCTGAGCTGTCAGGCGTGGTAGGACGAGACGTGGTTGCCGAGAAGGACGGGCGAAGAAGCGACGTCAACGACGGCGAGGGAGGGAGAGGAGTAGGAGGTCGATTGTAGAACGGCGGCGCAAAGGCATGAGGTAGAGATACCGTTGATCGTAGGAATGGCCGGTCAATGGCGGCGAAGCTGTCTTCTTCCTGAGAGCTCCCTTCTTCCTCCTCTTCCTCCTCGGATTCAGAGGCTTGCGGCGAATATTGAGAGAGGAATTCCGCCTCTTCTGTTCCTCTGTCTTCTAATATCTGCTCGTCTCCCTCTGCTTCTCTATCGTCCACGGTGTCCACGCCTTCGATGGCCTCTGACTGCTCTTCTTCATCGTTGTCTTCTGCGCGAGAGTCTTCCTCGGTGAAGCTGCTCGACTCGAGGTCAGGGCTGAGTGGAGGGAACGGCTGGTTAGACTCAACCGACCGTACGCTCCTTGGGCTCAGGGGACACTCATCGCCGCTCCCATTCATCGCATCTGCTCTCAGCTTTCGTGTTGTTTCGACTTCTTCGTCCATTCGTTGCTCTTTTAACAAAAGTTTGACATCATAAGAGGCTCAAGGCACGTGTTTTCAATACTATACTTAAGTTACAGCGGCAAACCCCATATTTTACCAGGTACATACGGTATTATTACATCCTAGTTATCTTCATCTTGTCACGACTTCAACTTCGAAAAGACAGCGAAAAACCAGCTTCTTGATATCTCGATCTTTCAAGCAAAAGACTAGCTTGTTGGGTTCGAGACAAAGATGGAACCTTCACAGCCTTCGACACCGAACAAAGCAGCTGGCGCTCCTGAATCAAAACCACTTACTCCAGAGCAAATCCAGCGCATTGTACGCAGCCCATGATTATTCTGTTAGAGAAAAGGGCAGCCAAATAGCTAAGAGGCCTTTTCCAGGAACTAAACCGCCTGAAAGCTAAGGGACTTCGTGAAAAACGAGAAGCTGAAGCACGAAACGGCGGTACCGCTTCAGCTGTAGCTGGACAGAAAAGGCCCATCTCTTCCGTACTCTCGCCGTCCAGGACTCCAGCAAACCTTCGAGATGGGCGAAATAACCCGTCAACGAGAGGCGAACGGCCACTAGATACCATCAGGCCAGTACGGGCTTTTGCCAAATATGTAGAGTATGACTTTAGCAAGATGACAGATACCAAAGGAGGATTCTTGACAGCGGAAGATGACCCCCATAACAAGGCTCTATACTCCAAAGAGCAGGACGGGAAGCCGGCTCATATGACCCAACGAGAGTGGGAGCGGTACCAGCATCTACAGGCCGCCCGGAAAGACCCTCATGGGCCCTTTGCCCCAGGAGCTACAGCACAGGACTCCGGCCAGCAGAAGAAGTGTCGAGAATGCGGTACTGCAGACATTGACTGGAAGTGGGACGAGGTCTTCAAGTGTTCCGTCTGCAGCCTCTGCAAGGAGAAGTTCCCTGAGAAATACAGTTTACTCACAAAGACAGAAGCAAAGGAAGACTATCTCCTTACTGACCGTGAGTAGGGCCTCTTTATCTATTTCATTATTCTCCAAACTAACTACCTTGGATGTCCAGCTGAGCTCAAAGACGAAGAACTACTGCCTCATCTAGAGCGTCCAAACCCGCACAAGTCCACCTGGAACAACATGATGCTCTTTCTTCGGTTCCAGGTGGAGGAGTATGCGTTTTCAGCGAAGAAATGGGGATCTCCCGAGGGCCTTGACGCCGAGTTTGAGCGACGAGAGGCAGACAAAAAGCGCCGAAAGGAGGCCCAGTTCAAGACAAAGCTAAAAGAACTCAAGAAACGCACCCAGTTTGAGGCTCATCGAAGGAACAGAGAGGGCGGCGGCGGCTCCTTTGGCGACACTCTTGGTGGCCGCCAGAGACACGTCCATCAATGGGGACGGCCGGTAGACAATCCAGAGACGGGGATGAGTGTCAAGACCTGCGTCGACTGCGGCATGGAGGTAGAAGAAATAGTATTCTAAGCTCTTCTCTGTCTTGTTTGCTTGTTTCCAGTATAATAGCCATTATATTATTCATTTACATAGTATTTGCCCAAAATTTATCGATGCCAGATCGCGGCTTGGCAGGCTAAAAAGAGCTTCGAACAACGAGATCCTTTTTTTTTTCTATTTTTATTTTTATTATTCTTCGCATCGACCAGCAAATAGTTGGCGACAACGTCCTGCGGATTAAACCTCATATAGGCATTGCTACACTTGCGTCTCACCTCCAGGCTTGGTCGGGGCTGTATATTTTAGCCAGACTTGGACCCCTTTTTCCCAAACGAACAGCCGAACCGTCGACGGTTTTTACCCGCTAGGCGTGTCCTCGCGGTATTGAATAGAACTGTTTTACGATTCTGTTGACGAATAAAACTACGCCCGTCGTCCTGGTATTTTGATGGCCTGGCAGCCACAGTCTGCCATGGCCGGAAATGGTGGAATGGGTGCGGGTATGGATGCAAGTAATGGCGGAGGTCAGCCTCAGGGAACGGAATATACGTTACAGGGTCAGTTCTGCATCTTCTTCTTAGATGGAATACTTCATGGTTACAACTCCGCGGGGAGTTATATTAGATATATGCTAATCATAATATTGTTTGTTGCAGGTGTCATGCGCTTCTTGCAGACTGAGTGGCATCGACATGAACGTGACCGTAACGCCTGGGAGATCGAGCGCGCAGAGATGAAGTCAAGGATTGGGAGGCTAGAAGGCGATGCTCGGACAAGTAAGCGGATGCATGAATCTCTAGGGAAGCATGTACGGATTCTGGAAATCGCGCTGAAGAAAGAGAGGGAGAAGACGAGTAAACTCGCCGAAGGGGAGAAACTCGAGCCCGGTGTTGACCCCAAGGAAGTGGCTAAGAAGAGCCTCAAGGCTTTGGAGAAGAGTATGGAGCTTAATCCTCGCCCATTTGTGTGCTTGAGTGATGTTCTAATGCGCGTTTACTAGAGCAACCGAAACCCTCATCTGGATTCGATATCAACGCCGAAGACGAAGACTCGAACGCCCAACACGAAAATGAAAGAGAAAAATCCCGCCTATATCTTGGAAAGTGTACACAAGAAGTTGCTTACCATGTCATTCCCGGGTCTCATCCTCCTCCGGAATTGAACGAACAGGACTTGATGAACAATGATTACCAACAGCACCAGTTGCAACGACAGCCTTTGGAGAGCGGTTATCTGCAGGAACACCAACGGCAGCAACAGCAGCCCGTACCACAACAGCAGCAGCCGCAAAAGCAGCAATTAGCTCAGACACAGCCCCAATTGAACCATGTTAATATGGTTCGAGAACCAGAAGGCTCCCAACTAATGATGCCAACGTATAACGAAAACGGTGCCCAGGGTCCAACCCAACGGGAATTCCTCGACAGAAGATCCCAAGAGCAGCAACGAGCAAACGAAGCCACGCAAGAGGAACGTAACGCCAATTATGAATTCCCCTCCAAGCCAGAAGAACCTTCGCAGGGAGAGAGCAAGTCTACAGAAGCGTTTTCAGGAAAAGAAGATTTTGGAAAACCACCTACTACGAATGAGATTATTGTTGATGAGGCTGATGGTTGGAATTTTGACGAAGCACCTTCAAACGAGCCCACTCCAGCTCCAGTCACACGCCGTCCGGACACAGATGCCTTCCCCAGTGCTAACTTCATCCCTCCCAAGTCCCCCACACGAGGACGTGGGTCAAGGAGAAAGAGTTCTGGCGGGAGAAGACGAAGTGATGGGCACACTGATGTCCGTGAGCTATCTGGATCGGCTGGACCAAAGGCAGACACGACTAACTTCAAAGTACGCTTTGCTTTGCGCGGACATTTGGATGTGGTTCGATCAGTGATTTTCACCGGTGGTGGAAGCCCCTCGGAACCTGAAATTTGTACTTGTGGAGATGATGGAACTATCAAACGATGGATAATACCTGCAACATACGGCGTCTTTGGTCCCAATGCTGCAGCCCCAGGTTCCGATCTTGATGTCACTAGCTATTTTACTCATCGCGGTCACAACGGCTCTGTCACCGCACTCGCAGCCTGTCCGCCCTCTCAAAATTTCTCTAGCGGTGGACGTGCCACTGGAGATGGTTGGGTCTTCTCTGGCGGGCAAGATGCGAGTGTCAGGGTCTGGGAACGTGGCCGAGTTGACCCTAAGGCTACGTTGGATGGCCATAAAGATGCTGTTTGGGCCATTTGTGTTCTACCAGGAACTTCCAAATCTGTGTTTGGTGATCAATGCAATGCTAACGGAGGCCCTGACCGTGTGCTCCTTGCCTCAGGAGCTGCTGATGGCCGGATATTGATTTGGGCAATAAGCACACCTCCACAGCTATCGTCACCGCAAATCAGCTCCAGAAGAAGTGCAGGCGGAAGCAGGCGTGCAAACTCCATATCCTCAGGCTCTAATTTCCCTACTTCCCCCCAACCCAGCACCGCAAGTACAACTGCATTCCACTACACGCTGGTCCATCAGATTGTCCGGAGTGACTGTGCCCCTACTTGTATTAGCCCTCTGTCATTGGCCGGTGTCAACTTTGTTGTTTCCTACGCAGATGCGTCCATTATAGTTTATGATACCCGAACGGGAGAGGAAATCGTGGGAATGGCAAGCCTTGAGACCTACGACGGCACTCGTGCCACCGGCGTTAACGCCGTTGTAGCTAGCACTATTGGCTTCGATGGCACAGCTAACTTGGACCCTAACCGAGCCCTCTCAGAAGAAGAGTCCGTCGTCCACGGTGCTACTGGAACTAGCGGTGGTGTTGAAGGTGTTGTCATCAGTGGTTACGAAGACCGTTATATCAGGTTTTTCGATGCTAACAGCGGTAGGAAGCTCACATTTCTTTCTTCTTAATAACACAACGCTAACCATAACATAAACAGGTCAATGTACATATACCATGCTAGCGCACCCAGCAGCAATCTCCTCTCTTTCACAATCTCCAGATGGACGAGAGCTTGTCTCTGCTGGACATGACGCAAGTTTACGATTTTGGTCCCTAGAGAAACGAAGTTGTACGCAAGAAATCACGAGCCATAGACTAATGCGAGGTGAGGGTGTCTGCTCGGTCGTCTGGAGTCAAGACGGAAGATGGGTTGCCAGCGGTGGCGGCGACGGCGTCGTGAAGGTATTCTCGAGATAATATCAAGCTCCTCACCCCCAACCTGCCGCACCGCGAGGACCTCCCAGGCAAAAGAGAGAAAAAATGGTTCCTCGACGACATTATACACTGTCTTTCATCTACTCACTATTCCTATAATGAAATACTTGACCTTTGAGTGAGCATATTCGACTTGGGTTTTCTCCTTCGCAAACTGCGAAAGCTAATCTTCTTGTTCTGATGATACCCCTTTCATAAGCTCACAGCTCTGCTTTACGCCATTATTATTATTATTATAAGACATGAGCGTTTGTATTTATTCATGCGCTGAAATCTCCTCTATGGGCCATGTTTCCTTAAAAGCTCCTGGAGAATTGGAGAATATGTTTATCCTCTTCTTTGTCCCTCAAGATACGTACTTAATGTTTTTCTTTTTATTATTCACATTTGTTCTTTTGTCTTTTCTCTCCTCCCGTTCTCTACTGCATCCCTTTCCTAACGCTTGCCCTTGCCTGTGTTTTTCTCTCTTGCCGTGGTGTACACTATCAAAATTCTAACCTTCAAGCTTTATGTCTTCTTGATGCAACAATTTACTCATTCAACGAATATATACAATTTATGATTTTTTTTGGTATGCGCTCTCTCCCGGCTGCACGAGATGAATATGTGAGGGCTGTCATTATGCAATATCATTAGAGCTGACCTTAAAACTAGTCTGATAAGTAAAGACCTATTTATCCAAGTAAGCCTTCAACGCATCTTGGAAAATGGTGACCATGACCCCAGCGTATTCTGGCTCGACATCCATCCTGGATTCTATGAATTCCTCAACCTGTGCCCAGAAATCAAATGAATTATAACAAGCCTGGAACTCAGCACGCATTGCTGCAACATTCACGGGGTTTTCTTCCTCATCTGGATTCTTCATCTCTGTATCCTCAGGTGAATCCAATGCAACCGCAGGCTTATCAGCCTTCGTAGCAGCAGCAGCTTTTAACTCCTCCTCAGAAATAGCAGATGCTCCGCCCAAAACCATCACACTGAACTCAGCAGGACTCTTCCCGTCGATTATATCAGGTTCGTCTGTCAAAATATCTGCAATTGATGTTCCCTGGACAGGCTTGCGTTTCCATAATAGCTTTATCTTATCCAACAGCACTCTTTCGTCGGGGTTTGTTGAATTAGTGGGTCGTATTCTCTGATGAACGGCATCCTTAAGCTCGTGGACTGTTGCGGTAGCTAGAGCTACATTTGCAAGTTTGATGTCTAGCACAGGGTTGCGAGCGGACTTTAGGTGGATAGTTATTCCCTTGGATGAGCCTGGAGGTGCTGTGGTCTTGATTTTCTTGGGCATAGGCGGGTGAGGAGGGTCAGAAAGACGCGGAAGGGTGATCTATACATAGATAGAGGCTTAGCACAGGCTAATTTCCATTAGAAAGAGATATCTATAGCTCCTTACCGGGAAACGAGGGGCGAAAGTTTGGGGGTTATAGACAGTATCTGCGGGGACTTTAATAGGTTTTGAGTCCAGAGAAGCCAGGAAGCTCTTTGTAAATGCTACTTCCGCCATGATCACAGCTTTATCCTTTTTGTAATAGTCTGAAGTTCGTCTATCAAGGTGGTTTGATTCTACCAATTCTCTGCTTCTTATAGATTTGTTGTTACTTGCTGTTTTTAATCAGATAAGCTAGACTATCACGTGATAAGATAAACTCTAAAAATATTTTATTTTTTGCTTATCAGCAAAATTTCGTGGAAGAAAAGAAAAAGCAGAAATATTCACGATCCGACAGTTTGACCAATTGGCCCTTGATTTTGAGAATTGAGGCAAGATGGGTGTCGGACGTCGCATTGGGAAGAAGCAGGGTCCTCCACAGCCGCTTGATGAGTCCAAGCTAAAAGGTGGTAAAAAGGTGGTAAAGAAGCGGAAAGCGGACAAGGCAGACAGCGCAGGCCATGCTCCTCAGGGAGTTAAGCGACGAAGAGGAGCTGACGACGATGAGGAAGACGAAAGGTCCAAAAGCGCAACGACCAATGGTGCAAGTGCCGGGAAACCAGGAACTGTGAAGCAGAAGAATAAAAAGGCTTCTTTCACGGAGAGCACACCACACAAGGATGGGAAGAAGAAAAAGGCGACCAAGCCGGTAGATATTCCTGAACCTGACGACTCTGATGAGGATATGGATGATGAGATGCTCGATGACGAGTTTGGTGATCTAGACGGGGTCAGTGACGGGTCAGACAATATGGATCAATTAGATCAGGAGGATGAGGATTCAGATCTCGAGAGTCATTCAGCGTTCGATTCTGACGAGGAACGGCCGAGAGAGAAAATGTTTTCAGACGACGAGGACCTTTCGGATGCAGAGGAGATACTTACCGCTGCCAATATAGAGGGTTTGTCGAAGAAATTGGATATGCAGAAGGAAGAAGAGGCTGCACAAGCAGAACTTGAGTTGAAAGAGGCTGCTATGCAAACGAATATCGCAGGCGACGCACCAGATGTATTTGCCGAACACGAAAATCTCACAGCTGGATTAGCTCCAAACCTCCAATTGCTTCGAACCAGGATCACCGATACCATTCGTATTCTTGGAGATTTGAGCACGTTGGGCCAACCGGGGAAATCTCGCGCAGACTATACCGACCTTCTCCTAAACGATATATGTGTGTATTACGGGTACACACCTTATCTTGCAGAGAAGCTGTTTTCTCTGTTCACGCCCATGGAAGCATTCTCCTTCTTTGAGGCTAACGAGTCTCCTCGACCTATCGTTATTCGAACTAACACACTACGCACAAATCGACGATCACTTGCTCAGGCATTAATCAACAGAGGCGTTGTTTTGGAACCCGTTGGAAAATGGTCAAAAGTTGGTCTTCAGGTTTTCGAGTCCCCGGTTCCCCTGGGCGCCACTCCAGAATATCTTGCGGGTCATTACATTCTCCAAGCTGCCTCTTCTTTCCTGCCCGTCATGGCACTTGCACCACAGCCGCATGAGCGTATCCTCGACATGGCAGCTGCTCCAGGTGGTAAGACTACATATGCCTCTGCGCTGATGCGAAATACTGGCAGCATCCTTGCCAACGATGCCAGCAAAACCCGTGCAAAGGGTCTGATTGGAAATATCCATCGGCTGGGATGTAAGAATACTATTGTCTCAAACCTTGATGCACGAACGGCATTTCCCAAGGCCGTCGGAGGCTTTGACCGGGTCCTGCTCGATGCGCCATGTTCTGGAACCGGCGTCATCTCCAAGGACCCGAAGGTGAAGACCTCCAAGACAGAGCGTGACTTTCTAGCTCTGCCACACATGCAGAAGCAGCTACTTCTTGCTGCCATCGACTCTACCAACCACGCCTCAAAAACAGGAGGATATATAGTCTACTCAACATGTAGTGTTACGGTTGAAGAGAACGAGGGCGTTGTACAGTACGCGCTGAGGAAACGGCCAAACGTGAAGATAGTCGATACAGGGCTGGGAAGCTTTGGAACCCCCGGATTCAAAAGCTACATGAACAAAAAGTTCGACGACAAGATGCCGCTGACTAGACGGTACTATCCCCACCGTGAAAACGTCGACGGCTTCTTCGTCTGCAAGCTGAAAAAGACCGGCCCCAGCCCTGCGGAGACGACCCAGAAGGTACCAGGCACCGCCGAAAGTGAAGGCGGCGAGGAGGCCGTTGATAGGACCCCCATAGCTGCGGAGAACGGGGATGCCGACGAAGACGGATTCGGCCCATTCAACGAGGAAGAGGACGAGCAGTACATCGCCCGCGCTCAGAGGAACAGGCTCCGTCGCCAGGGCATCAACCCCAAGGCAGCCACGGCAAGAAGAATGACAATATCGAGAACAAGAAGAAGCAATACCGGGCAAGGGTGAAGGATACACCTGCTTAGTCAGTGTATTATAACCTGTATTCTGAATACTAGTGTAATTTTTGATTTTTCCGAAATTTTTTTTTTTTTCAAAAAGTAAAAGAAAAAAAACATCCAAAAGAGCCAAAAAAAGGACAAGAAGAAGAATTTCAACAATCACCAACTTCTGACTCCGCCCCCGTATTTCTCGAGGCTTTCTGTTTCAGTTGCTCAGCTTCTTGTTCTTCTTTTTTCCTTTCGTTGGTGTTTGTTCTAGGTGTTGCCTTATATACGTCTCCTACCCTCGATCGTCTGCGGCAAGTCGTCGTCACCCCTGAGAGAGACAGAAAGACGCCCAGGTGGCCTTGCACAGGAGCGAATATATCATAGCAGCGACGTGGAGCTCGACTTTTGCGGATAGATACAACCTCTCAAGATGTCAGACCAGAAGAAGAACGACAACTACTCCATCGCCATGGACAAGATGGACTCGGAGTCGTCCAGCTACAAGCCGCAGCCACCACCGCAACCGCGACACAGCTCGGCCGTCTCCTCTGCAGCAAACAATGCTACTCTCGCCATTATCGCCTACTGTGCTTCCTCCATTCTAATGACCGTCACGAATAAATATGTGTTGTCCGGCGTCGACTTCAATCTCAACTTTTTCCTTCTCTGTATTCAGGTTGGTCGAGAATCTCCTACCAGCGTTCAGCCATGATCTCTGACACTCTTCTAGTCCATTATTTGTATTATTGCAATCCAGTCCTGTAAGACCATGGGACTCATCAACTATAGGGATTTTAACTCGGACGAAGCTAAGAAATGTATGATGCCGTCCTCTATCTGCCATCAGCTACTCCAGCTAACAGAGCCTCCTTGCAGGGTTCCCGATTTCTCTCCTCCTTATCGGCATGATATACACCGGCTCCAAGGCCCTCAAGTTCCTCTCTATCCCCGTCTACACAATCTTCAAGAACCTTACCATCATCCTCATCGCGTATGGCGAAGTCCTGTGGTTCGGAGGCTCTGTCAGTGGCTTGACCCTCTTCTCGTTCGGTCTTATGGTCCTTAGCTCCGTGGTTGCTGCTTGGGCTGATATCACCCATGCCGTTAGCAGCTCTGCTGGCTCCGGATCCGCTGCTGTTTCTACCCTCAACTCCGGCTACCTGTGGATGTTGATTAACTGCGCTTGTACCGCTTCGTACGTCCTCGGAATGCGAAAGAGAATCAAGTTGACCAACTTCAAGGATTTCGACAGTAAGTCTTATATATGCCAGGACCACTATTATTTTGTGCTGCTCTAACTCCATCCCTCTAGCCATGTTCTACAACAACCTCCTCTCCATTCCAATTCTCATGATCAGCTCTCTCCTCGTTGAGGATTGGTCTGCTGCCAACGTGGCCAAGAACTTCCCAGTCGAAACCCGTAACAGGCTCTACCTCGCTATGCTCTTCTCTGGGCTGTCCACCGTATTTATTTCCTACGCCTCCGCCTGGTGTGTACGCGTCACCACCTCCACAACCTACTCCATGGTCGGGGCCCTCAACAAACTTCCCATCGCTCTGTCTGGCCTAATGTTCTTCGGCGACCCAGTCACCTTCCCCAGCGTTTCCGCCATTGCGATTGGTTTCGTCAGTGGTATCGTGTACGCTCTCGCCAAGATCAAGCAGAACGCCAAACCAAAGACTGGCATCCTCCCTACCTCCAACCCTCCCGTCAGTGCCAGCGCGCAAAGCATGAGAGATGGATTCAAATCGTGAGCAATTAGCTGGTCTTAAAAATGCCCACTCTGTCTAGTTCCAAATCTCTCACGAGGCATCGGTCTCGGGATAACGACTTTTAATGCAATCGACGGGCCTATATTTTGTAATCTCCAGGTGTCGGTCCAACATAAAATATTCAGATGGCCCAGACTGTTCAGTTATCTTTGGCGCCCAACTACTTCTTACTACTTCGCTTTCTTCTTACCTGGTGACTGGACATTCAACCATATCACACTCTTCAACTCATAGAACTTGATTTTTGGCTGATCGTTTCCTGAGGGAGTTTTATTCTCATTTTCTTTCTTCCGATTCTGTTCTTGTAATGTGCGGCTCGCCATTAGCTCAGAGCCTCTTCTTACACCCTTGCTACTTTATTTCTTTTTTCTTTATATTCTTTACCTTGTGTTAGAGTCCTCATCGGGTTACCTTTGGCACTGCTTTTTCGATATCCCCAATTCTTATATACTGCAGAAAATTTTGGGTGCTGTAGTATACTGTACTTAGTTTTCTTTTCTTCATTCTTTCTTATTTCTATGTTTTATTATTTCTTCGACCTGTGTAAACGATTTAATTATAGAGTAATGTTGTCTGTACTGTCTTTGCCAATGCCTCCATCGTGGCAGTGAAAACCAACTATAAATAAACTGGCGAATCCAAGGACATACTCCATAGAGGTAGATGTCTTCAGACAAACCACCAGTCTTCGAGAGTGAAACCTGCTCGCAACGATTCGCCTATCGCAAGTCGTTATCAACATCGCAAAAAAGCCGTCTAAGACATCCTAAATATATATATATATTTTTAAGCTTTTTATCAATATCGACTGCAACATACAGATACTATCCAATAGAACCCATCTGTCAGTATCTTTGAAGTGATTACCAAGAGAAAATGGGTAAAGCTCGGAAGCCTGCTGTGAAGCAGAGCAGTAAGAAGATGAAATCTTTTCCAAAGCTATCAACATTGATGAAAAAGGCCCAAAATGCCAAACAACAGCAGCAAAAGCAAAATCAACCTCGGATTCCCTTTCGACCTTCTGACCGGATTCTATTGATCGGCGAAGGTATGCATAGTTTCAAGTCCTTTTACTACATTTATATCTTATGCATGTAGCTAATGCTTTATATCAGGAGACTTCTCGTTCGCACTATCTCTCGCGACTCACCATAAATGCCGAAGGAGGCTTATGGCAACATGCTATGATAGCGAAGAGAAGCTACTTGAAAAATACCCAGATGCGAAAGGCCATATAGAACAACTCGAAGCCTTTTCGTCTCCATCAACAGGCTCGAAGGGTGCCTTGAAGCGCAAAAGAGACGACAACGACGATTCAGAGAGCCCAGAGGAAGGAGATAAAGAGACACAGAACCACCTCAAAGCTGATTCAGCTCATACATCAAAGTCATCTGTATCATCGCCCAAGGTTGTCTTCTCAATCGATGCTCGAAAGCTAGGTAGTTCCGGAGGAGGCGGGAAATTGATACGGAGTGGCTTTCCTGTTCCCAGTCGAAAGCGAAACTATTCAAACCGAGCCAACAATGGCAGTCATGAAACTGAAGGAGGAGGGCCGTGGGATATTATATGTTTCAATTTCCCTCATGTTGGTGGGTTAAGTACGGACGTGAATCGGCAGGTTCGGTCCAACCAAGAGCTTCTAGTCGGATTCTTCAAGGCGTGTGTACCTCTTCTCTCTGTTCCGGCATCCAGCGATGACTGGTCTGATTTTGAAGATGAGGATGAATACCCGGACGATGAGGAAGATGACTCGTTATTTAATCCTGATGAAGTGCGATACAAACCTAGAAAGGAGCCAGGTTATGTTATTGTGACTCTATTTGAAGGAGAGCCATATACGCTGTGGAATATCAGAGATCTAGCCCGGCACGCGGGCCTACGTGTTGTAACTAGCTTCAGTTTTCCATGGACTAGTTATCCTGGTTACTCTCATGCACGTACAATAGGTGCTATTGAAGGGAAGGATGGCGGGAGAGGTGGATGGAAAGGCGAGGAGAGAGAGGCGAGAAGTTATGTATTTGAGCGGAAAGGATTCGAAGACCAGAATATCAATTCTGGAAAGCGTAAACGAACGGCAGGAGGATCTGAGAGCGGAAGTGACTGATGCTGGAGCAATATTCTTACTTGGGATAGTGAGTTAGGCTGATATCAGAGAATTTGGTCATCAAGTCATTCATTATACGCTACATTGAGCTGAATTCCTCTGGGAAAGCTAGAAAAACACAAACCGAAACAGGAGCCCTCGAAAAAAGGACAATTATAGGTACAGTCATTGATGTGTACCGCTATGAAATGAACACCTTCTTCAATTCAGATACATCGAACAACTCTGATGTAATGGGGTCTCTGACTTTGCCAGCATCAACACCCGCCCTAGTTGACATATAGCAAAGGCTCTCTCTACCATACAGTCGGCCATTTGGCAAAACAACCGGGTCATTCTCTACAGAACTCTTCGTATGGTGAGCATAAGGCATAGGACGTGCGAGCTCATTAAGCTCAGTAGAGCATATAGGGCATATAGAGGGTCCTGCAGAGTACGTCGCGCTGGAGGCGGAAGTTGTATATTCAGAGTGACATGCCGGTGTCTTCAGAGCTGAAAGGCCAGCAGAGAGAGCAATCTGTAGCAATGGATGGGACGTTAGGGAGAGGAGGTCATGGTGGGTTTTTATGAAGAGGCTGGAAAGAGTTTGCCATCGTTCGAATGAGTATATAGACTAGATAGATCGACGCCGATTAGCTTCACTCTCCAAAGTGAGTTCGCTCGCGAACATGTTACCTTGTATGGTTCTGCATCAGTATCAGGAGGGAAGACCATCAATCCCGCAGCACGAAGTATATCTGATTTGTATGTCTCGCTGTGTGGCGTGAGGTATTTTTTGGCATGCTGTCTAGCTTCTATTCTCTCGCCAGCGCGTAACATTTCAATATACTGCTGCATCCGCAGTTCGAACTCTAGTTTGTTCTATAAAGTCGTCAGCAAAACGGCCTTTGAGACCGACATCAAAAAAACAAAGGACAACATACATGTAGCTTTTTCAGCGCGACTTTGTTCTCTCCGCACCATTGAAGAGCTTCTTTGCTCTCCCCTCTTCGAAGACTCTCCGCTATTCTCTGGCATTGAGAGAAGACGTTCACATCCACCAAATCTTCGATGCCCTCCTCATGTGCAAGCTGCTTTGCGCTTTCAAGGTATCCTGAGCGTAGCATATGGTCGACCAGCAGCCTGTTCAATCTTATCCTAGACCATCTGTCATATTTCACATCCACCAAGCTATGTATGCCGAAGAGGTCCTCCAGATGCTCGATTCTCTTTCTGGACTGAGAAAGGATACTCTTCTCCTCCTCCTGCAGTGCCTCCATCTTCCGCTTCAATCCCTGCATCCGTGTTATCATCGTATCTAGAGAGGCGAGTGCTTGGGTAGGATCTTGGTTCCCGGAGAGCGAGGCATTTGCTGATTCTTTCAAGGCCGGAATGACGTATTCTTTTTCTCTCTCCACGATGCGTTGTACGGTCTTAAAGTTGCGACGAGCCAGTTCATGTGGAAGACGTAGGAGAGGTTGATCCTTTAAACAGGTCAGTCAGTATATGCGCATCTGAGTACTCTTCGTCTCTCTGCGGGGAGAGGTAGCTACCAGGATCAAGTGGCTCTCCGGATTGAGCTTTATCGGTTCGAGTTCTGCTGCCATGTCGACAACAAGGACAAAATATCTCTATTCGTAGCGTCTCTATCAATTCTATAGACTGGAAAAACAGCTAACAAAAGAACAGCTTTGGGTGTAGTTGGAAGTTGATCGTGTGAGGTCGAAGTTGGAGAAGCCGAAAGTTGTGATGTCAGCAAGCGCCGTTTTTGGCAAACTCAACGTCAAGCCACAACATCGCAAAGAACAACAGCTTCAACCTCTGCAACCACAGACAGGTTTGACGGCGAGAATAACATACATGCATGGCGACGACATCATGGAGGGTACATCTACGGAGCCGCTAGTTTTCAAGTCAAGCTGTTAACCAGAGCCCAGAAAGCCCTCATTTGGTCACTTGGTCATCAGCGGCTTTCCATCTTTTCTACCTAGTGAGTTACAAATCGGTATATTCACCAGGTAGCTTGGCTATATCATGATATCCCTGTATTACTGCTTGAGACGGTAGCTGCACAAGTTTGTGGCTTCGCTGTCTGGATATCCAATTCCATGACCTGGCAAGCACCAGAGAGGCTTCCTGTAAGTCAACAATACTTTACACAGAAAATAAAACTGAGAAATCATTGTAAAACAAGCTATTCCTTGCTATTTAATAATCAATCCTGCAATTTTTGGTTTCCAATATAGACAGCAATGCAATCTATATCTTCAAAGAAAGCTTTGCTTCGTTTTCTTGGAATACCGTCACTCTCAAGTCGCAGTTATGGGAATATTGGAATAGCCCGGTCAACAAAGGGCCTTTCAGAGAATCACTCAGAAGCTCAGCTTGTTCTTCCTACAAGCCTGAAGGACACGCACTCCATTTTGGCCACGGCATCCTCTGCAACCCAAAGGTCAACAACTCCTCTGAACAGCCCTGTGGTCTCGTCTAGAGGTTCAATCTCAATACATCGAGTGCCGGGACGGTTTGACTGCTTATCCAAATCAGCGATAGGCAAATAACTTCGGCTAACTTCTGGCGGGCAGTCCTCCACATTCTCAACTCGTACTATAGCCTCCTTTGCTTTCATGACCTCCGTCTGCACATATCGCCTGCATCGGCCTGGCTGAGTGAGCTTCCATAGGGCACACTGATTTTCACCCTCGCTACTATTTAGGATTATCATGTCAGCCATGCCGTTTTCCTGATTAGCATCGACCCATGACAGTTTGGGGAGGTTTTTCTTCCAGAAAACATCAAAATAAATCCCAAGTGAGAGCATTTTTCCGTCCACTACCCTTTCTGGCCACGATAGAGCATCATACTCCCCTGAGTTAACGACCCCTGCGACCAGGAATAAATTCCATTGCCACCGCTCAAGAAGGGGCTTGAAGAACTCCTTCTTGACTAGATCCATGTCCTCCCCCTGGTGATACCACGTGTTAGGGAAGGTCAGGTCTAGGGCTCCCAAAAGTGCCCAGCAGTAGTCTTCTGGCTGGCTAGAGAAACGGCCCACTTTTCCAGATAAGATGTATAATGGAGAACCCTTTGCATAGGCGACAAGGCCCGATCTCATTATCGTAGCTAGGACGCCTGCCACATACGCGTAATTCTTGCCCTGCCGAATATAAGCCATCAGAGGAGTTTCCTCGTCTTCCTCAGCTTCCCCTCGGTTGCTGAGCCGCATGAAGTCTGCGCCAAGTCGAATCACCAACTGGGTAATACCCGCGGTTAGGTCAATCACGGATGCACAACCATTATTGTGGATAAACCGCTCATCTTCCAATACGTTTCCGTCATGATCCAAGAGGATTGTTTCACTTAGAAGTACACCCTCTTGAAGTGTCCAGATCGACTTCAGCCAAGGCTCCGTTTCCCGTACATCCTCTAAGATACCGAGGACTGCGCTGAAAAAGGTAGAGAAATCGCCCGCTGCCGGAGGGATGCCGTCCTTTAACAATGTCCGCATCGATGATTCTTTAGCCCAGTTGGTCTGATGGACCCATACGATGCTGCTTGTTGCGCCGCGATAAATTGCCCTGGAGTGGTTTATTAGAGAGATAAACTATTGGTGTAATGCCGGCAAAACAATAAAAGAGTCGTATCAGCGTGTCAGACTCTAGACTTACATCTGCTTTCCAATTTCTTCCCCCTTTGCGCGAAGAAGGTCATTGCTGAGATCTGGTGCTCGGCCCTGTGGAACACACATCCAGTCCCACCAAACATATCGCCTCTTCATGCTCTTCATTACCCTCTGGGCCTCATTCAGACTGAACGCGGAGACTAAAGGCACGTCCCACATAATACCTTGTGGAAGGTCTGCCGGGTTCTGGATGCCGATTGCATATTTCCCCCACGTATAGGAAATGATTCCATACTCCGGCTTACCACCAAGTTCTTCTTGAATTTCTTGATAGGGACGAATAGCCCATTTCTCTAAATCCAGCAGCCAGCGAGGAAAATTTGGATCGTTGTCTGGGATAGGATTCAATGCCATTTTGAGAATGGCTATTTCCCTATGTCTGTGGAAGAGCTATTGGTAATAAACGCTAGTGAGGGGTGAAGTATGCAATGGGAATCAGATGGATCAGACATAGAGTAAGGGCATGTAATTTCAGGATTATATTTCAATTCAGGGTCGTCCCTAAAGATGACTGACTATATATTCATCACAAAACCTACCTCTTCATTCAACCTCTGCTCATATCACTCGAAGCAGCATGATGTCAGGTTCCTGTCGTGAATCGGGTTGTTAAACTTTCAAAACACGAGAAAACTCGGAAGGGCAAACTTATCATGGGGAAGCCTGGAGGGGCTCGGTAAGATACACAAGTCGAGCTGAATGAGGCATTAATATATGCATAGCTAGCTGTTTTCAAAATAATGACAGTTCGCCACAAAATGGACTTGACATGCATTTGCAGCTCGCCTTTACTATCTTGTCGTCTTGATACACTTTTAAGGTTCATCACTTCCCCACACTGCGGGCCGTAGTTAACTAGTGGAGCCATGCAGAAGTGCCCAAGCCTTACATAGAATCATAGTTTGATCGGCCATGGTACATCAACGCAATGAGATACATCAGACCTCGAAGCCTTTTACTTCCACCTGATGTCAAAATGGTATTTCAAGGAAGGGGGTGCATACTCATAGATTGGTTATAGAAGGTTCTGCTACTCTTAAGCTAGGTTTCAAAAAGAGGGGTTTGCATAAGATAGTAACGTCATGTTGTGGGATTGAATGAAAGAGCAGATACTCTTACATAGTAGATGGAAATATTCTCCACCCATACATAGTACATGTCTAAAGAATGTAGAATAGGTACGTAGCCTGTGGGTGGATGGGTATTTTGTACTTCGATCTCGGGATACATTACCAAAACAAGACATAAACCTAGAAGGTACTGTTTCGTCCAGTGACTTAGTATGTAGCAATATTTTCAACCTTCAAGAGAATGTTTTGCCATCTAGGTTTGAGGTAGTAATAATAAAATTTCTAAGTTAATATGCTCTCGAGCTTTCATTCTTCGCTACTTTTGCTCAGATGACTTGGGGATAAATCGCTTAACCTTCGCCTGGATCTCATCAAACTTTGTAGCCAGCTCTTCCGGGATATTGTTTCTGCCATAAGCCTGCCTCAGTTCATCCAAGATTGCCTCAAGCTTGGGTGCAACGTTGGGCTCCACTACGGTTTGATCACAAATCTCGAGGATTGGTTTGACAAACTCGTTGATGAAGAACGCATCCCCCGAGGCAATAACTGCGTTATTGTACATCTCATCCGCCACTTGCACCGCCTGTATAGCTCTCAGTCTCAATTTTCCTATAGCTTCGGACATGGAGTCAATATTTTTCGCAGTCTGGCTAAGAGCAAGAGCCAAGTCGCCAAGCTGCTCCAAGAGGGAATCAAACTGTTTCTGATCGTTAATGCAGTCCGACTGCTCCTTCTTCGCTTGGAGTAGGTTATTCCTAACGGAAACAAAAGTGTTATATGCATCCTGAAGTGCTTGCTGCTGCGCACCGACGTCAACTAAGACGTTACCGGGAGATAATTTATGATCGATCAAACCAGCTATTCCCCACCATGGTATAAGAATACTCAGCTATAACTATTATCAGCGATTACGAAAAAAAAAAAAAAAAAAAAGTGTGGTAAAGAAGGACTCATAGATAGTTGAACGTACCCCAATATTTGCGTCCCTCTGGGCTTCTCTATCCTGCTGAAGCTTCTCTTCGGCCTCCTGTAGAGTTTCCTTACACGTTTCTACTTGCTTTCCCCAAGTGTCTACCGCTTCGGAGGCTTGGGCAATTCTCGTCTCGAGGTTTTTTAGATTCAGGTCAGTAGATTGCTTTGCTTCTTGTACATTTTGCTGCAATGTTGCAACTTTTGTAGAGTTCAGGTCGATAGTCTTTGAAATATTAGCAGTTAGGTAATGGCATTGAGCAGACAAGAATGCCGCCTACCTTGTCCTTTATGCTGGATATCTCGTCCAGTGTGCCAGTTGTAACTTGCTCAACCTGCTGAAAACTTGCCCTTACATCATGAAACAAAGCCTTGCTTGATGGAGTAGTATGGCTGCCTCCAATCGGCGAGTTGAAATTTTCATGGACAAAGACTGCGAGTTTGTACAGCTGGGATATGCTACTGTTTAAGGCAGCAGATATGGCCTGTGGCCCCTTGGTTTGTTCTTTCCTGAGAGCTTCCAGTAGTGCATTTTGTACCTGGTGGATTGTGTCGAGTTCAGAATGTGCAGCCGCGGTATCAAACATTGTTGAGGACGAGCAAGAATCCGTGGTGGGCGAGATAACGAAGAGAAATGTGCCTAGTTCAATGGAGAAACGGTTTGAACCTGGGCCTTATTTTATAGACCCTACATCCATGGTAGACAACAGTTTTTGGTTAGGAAGACAGGTGATACCTGACCGGGAACTCTCTCAGCGTCGGTGGTCTTCCGAAGTAATACACGCTGATACACCATTGTCCAATATCTTCAACAGGGTGCGCCCATGGGCAACCTAGATAACAGAAGCATATGCATCAAGGCAGCTGATTTTTGAGAGAAATGACGCATCTCGACAGATTCGGAATTCGAAAGATGTAACTCGATCTTTAGAGTTTCCTGCCGCTAAGACAGTGTGCTCCAGGCTGGTATGAAATATGCGGTAGTACGTGTTTCCCTTCGAGAGCGGAAAATCTTTGGTTAAGTCATCGCCATGCATAACATTATATGCAGAACGATAATGAGCCTTCTGGCACAAAGTATAATATTTGCTACCCAGTAGGTAATATTAAAAGGCATCCTTGTGTCGAGTCGGTTGCTAAGAATCTAATAATTCTTACAGGAAATATCTTCCACAATTCCAAATTTCTGCTAGTTGAATTGCAAGTCAATTTTGAACGTTCCTAGGCCGAAAATGGCAGACGACCAAAGTGGACAGCTGGTGAAGAATGCCGTTGAAATCCAAAGGAGGATGGACTATGGCAATGGTCCTGGAGACCTCCCCAAGATGGCCGACATAGCCGTTGCTCAAATAAAAGCGTCAGCTATGTTCGCACATCCATGGCAGCAGCTCTTAGGCTCTGCTCCTGTTGCTATCAATTCCACGGGGTTAGCGTTCATCGCTGCTGCCTCTGACACTGCAGCCACAATTGAGCTTGATCCTCCTCGGGGTGGCTTCCAGTATCTGCAGTGAGTCAAATTCCCTGGCAGCATATTGGATTGTATTTTCTGACTAGAGATATCCTAGTTACAATTCTCTCCGAGCCAATCTGAATGAATGTGGTGACATGGGAGCTAAAGCCTTCTTAGCCGCAGACAGTGGAATGTCGTATATCCATAGTGTTGCGTCTATGATTCCCGACAAGGCATGTAGTTACCACTACCTGGCACTGATATTTTCAGAGCCCGAGTATAGCTAACACAGTCTACCACAGGTGAATGATATAATGATGATTATCATCAATCCTGATGACGCACAAAGAATGCTCAAAGGTTCATTGATGAGCATCAAAAAGAGTGCAGATGACTGTTATGAGCGGGCAAAAACCATCGACAAGGGATTCAACGACTGGATGTTGTATGCAACAGAATTATATACCTGCTGTATACAGAAAGAATCCACTGCTGAGGAAAAACTTGCAGCAACCAAGATTCAGATGCTTGTGGCTCAGAATATTCTGAAGGCCGACGAGATCAACGTTAAGACTCAGAAAGCAAACACTAAGGTATTCCAGAAACAACTGAAGATGGCGTCGGATGTCTACAAGAAAGCCTCGGATAGTTTCCCCAGTGGGTGAGTCCGGACCCCCCCCTTTCAGATATGTGAATTATATCACAAGCAGGAGCTGATTATCACGATAGGTGGGATCTCGTGGGCCAGGAGCTTGTTGGAAAACTTGGAGATGTTCTCGTCACAGCGCTGGGCCAGCTGGCCTCCTCATATGCAGAAAATATGAATGCCACAGCTAAAGCTGCAGAGGCGGAAAGGCTGTTCAAAGACTTTAATGGAAAGGGAGACAAGGATGGGAACAAGAACACCACTCTCCCGACTCCTGAACCAAAGGCAAAGGTTCCCTTACCACAAAACAGCAATGACCCGGCTTATGTGCGGATCAAGCCGACTATCGTCTTCCTGCGAGGCGTGAACACAGTCCTAACAGGGGGAAAAGACGGTGGTGTCAACTGGGAGGAGGTCTCCACTGTCACAAGCTCAGGCTCGAAGTCGCTTCTATTCAACCTCCAGATGCTAAAGGATGCTCGTCAGCAGTTTGTAGGAGTTGCCACGGAGGAGGAACCAAGCGTCCAGCTCAAAGGGATTCTCCAAACTGCTATCCAGGTGAGATAAGTCACCATTTCTCACTGTTTCCCTTTGCCTCCTCTCTCTCCTTCAGCCAATGGTGCCTTTACTGACTATCGGACTTCACTTTAGATCGCAGATGAAGTGTACAAGCTTGGCGGGAAGAGTAAAATAGAAGAACTCCCAGGTCCAGATGACAAGCAAGTCAAGCAATGGCAGAGTGGCTTCAAGGAGGTATATGACCAGGCAAATCAACTATATGCTGTTTCCCAGTCACTTCCTGGATCAACAAGCACAGTAAGTATAGGCTCTCATATTTGAGAATACGGTCTGACCATTTCAATAGGAGACAATAATGGCCAATCCTGATAAGCAATCAGCCCCGGACCCTCAGATGGCACAAGGCAAAGCACTTCTTGAAGCCGCCAAAGACCGATTGCACACTACGCAGCAGGCGTATATCGCGTCATCAAAGGCTTACCAGGACGCCACCAAAGCACTCGCAAAAGACCAGAAAGATCTAGCTGATGCTCAGAACAATCTCCTAAAATTGAACACTGATGAAAAATCACTTGTAATCCCCCGTTTTCCCATCCCATCCCATACCTATCGTGAAAATGTCGACTGACAGTTTGGCCATTAGACTGCCGTAAAACAAATTCTTGAGGCTTCCATCCGTCTTATTGCCGTTGTCAAGACCAGAGTCATGGATCTGGTTACCTTCTTTAATTCTATCAGTTTGACTATCGAGGTCATTGTCGACGAAGTTGTGGAAGACTTCGTCAGGCAGATCAAAGAGAACGTGGCCAACAACGACCCTGATGGAGAGCTGAGTGATCTGAAGATTGGGAAGTACAATTTAACAGATCTCGCTCGTACTGTAAGATCCAAAACCCGCCCAAAGGAAAAAAAAATATATGAACACGTCTCACAAAGATATCTTAGCATATATATAAGAGCGCCATCTTTATGCGCGCAAACTTTGAAGTTTTCGGAGAAGTTGCCAAGATGTGGTCAGATTTGTCCGTCGAGAATATCATGCCAGGAGTTCGACTCTTGAACGACATCAGCGCGGGTGTGGCTGAGAAGGGATCCAAGGATCCAGTAGGCTCTCGGGATGAGGTCAACAGTAAGGTGAAACAGCTTAGGGACTGGTACGCCGCTGCTCAGGGAAACATCGAGAAACTTGCAGGTGACGTAAGTACTCTCCTGAGAGGCATTGCAAAGCAATATATTCTTACCCATTTTATAGGAGCAACAAAAGATTCTTTCTGGTATGGATGAACGCATTCAACAGGTTGCAAAGGATACAACGGTGCTGCCGCCTCCAGATGACTCGACTAAGAGCGCCATTAATGCCGGTGCGGAAGAGGTCAGCGATGCAGCGCACAAGGCTCTTAAATTCAACTCGGAAAACAACCCCATGGCTGTCTGGGTTAAGAAAACCGCCTCAGGCTAATCCGAGAAGATTTGTCTTCCTTCAATCCTATTGATATTGTACTCCTTTCATGTCAACGCCACGCTGCTTTTGCTGTATTTAAACAAGCCAAAGTATGAGGCCACAAATCAGATTGCCGGTAGTTGCAAATAAAGCTACTCCTGGATTGCAGCATATTGAAATGCTCATATCAAAAATATCACGTCCACATTATATCTCATGCATTCATAGCCTGTATATGCCTTATATCCCAGAGTCTTTGGTATAGAGCAAAGCCGTACGGCTTTACCGGGCCTGGATGCCTGAGGGTTCTGCGCTGTGAGTTTCGAGATAGTTATCTATCCTCTGCGAGAAGGATAAATTGGTATAGTCGATCCATAAAATGAGAAAGCACTTAATCAGTGTACAAATGTATAGTGATTTGTGAGATTGAACACCATTTAAGATGAAGCCGTTGAGGAGGTTTGACATCGATGGACGAAACAACCAAACTAACCATATGGAGACGGTTTCCCCGGTCATCTATTGACTGAATGAGAGGCCATGAGGTCCATAGCAGGTTCTAATAATCAAAGAAACGTATTTAACCTAACTATCCAGGCAAACTATTGAAAGAACTAGAGTGAAATAGACAACAACCATGTACTCCGGCAATAAATAGGTAACCCATTTTGGATCAGTCCCATACTCCAACGGTATAAAAAGGGATATGATACAAAAGAAAAAGTGAGAAAACAACCGCCTATTTGGTATGTCCAGTTCTCTACTCGCTGTCACTGGCATCTTCGGCCTGCTTGGATTTTCGCTTTTCCTTCTTCTCTTTTTTCTCTTGCTTCTTCTTTTCCTTTGCTTCTTTTTTCTCCTTCTTCAAGCGCTTTCGTTCTTCTCGCTCTTCTGCGGTTTCTCCATCTTTTCTCTTTCTCTTCTTCTCGGCATCTTCCATCTCCTCATCTTCATCCTTCTGTGGTGATGAAGCAGCAGGAGCAGCCTTTGCGTGCGTGGCAGCCGCAGGTGGTGGAGCGGCGTTCGCCGTACCAGATGCTTGAGCATCATAATCCTTATACTCTGATTGCCACTTGGCAGGGGTGGATGCATTGGTACGACCATATTTCTGGTGGTACAAAGTTAGCAATGGATATAAAAAAGAGAAACGATCAACAGGATAACTTACATCAAGCTTTCCGTCCGCCTTGAGTTTCTTCTTCTCAAGGGCAACTGGACCCATACCCCATCGTCTGGGGTAGAGATCACGCTCCATGATACAACGCTTGACCTTTGCAACGACTCCGTGGTCACAAGTCGATAGTTCAACTGTAGACATTTGTGCAATACCAATGGCAATAGCTTCGCCCTTGGTAGTCATAAGGACAACCTCCTCATACACCTCAATTCCAGCCTCTGAAAATAGCACGTTAGCAATGGGAAATCATGTGGTTGGTCATGGAGCTTACCGAATCGCAGGAGACCTGGAATCATAAGCTTGGCTCCGTAGCAGACAGCGTTAACAGCGCTGTCCTTCACAACAATACGCTTATATGAAGTCAGCAAGCTCTCCAGCGGCCTAATGACCTTCCTTAGGTATGATTCATCACGGTGGTTATCCATCATCCACTGAGCATCCAAAACATCATGCAACGTCACCATGCCATCCTTCTCGTCCATAGCTCCACTGCGAACACGGCGCAGCTCCTGCATATGGGCTCCTACACCCAGAAGCAAACCCAGGTGCACGCAGAGAGTTCTGATGTAGGTACCGGCCTCGCAGCTAACCCAGAAGACACCCAAGTGTCGGTCATTATCGAATTCATACAGCTTACTCTCATAAATCGTTCGGATACGAAGCTGACGCTTAACGGCAGATATCAGCGGTGGTCGCTGGAACAAAGCACCAGACAACGTCTCGAGGGCGCGAGCGAATTGCGCCTGGCCTCCAGGGATCTTGTCATGCAGCCTGATAACGCAAACGTACTCCTTTCCAGCTCCCTGCTGCGACTTCACCAGGCGAGTCGCACGGTCAATACACACAATTAAACATCCAGTAACCTTGGGGTCCAAAGTTCCACTGTGGCCAGTCTTTTCCACCCTATAGTTGGCAAAAAAAAGAGCATGTTAATTATCTAATTTATCTAGTAACGAGGTAGAATGGATCGCAAACCTGAGCATTCTCTTCATCCATGCAACAACCTCGTGACTCGATGGGTTTGATGGTTTATCGAGGTTAATGACACCAGAGCTGATATAGGACTTTAGGTCGCGCTTAAGAGGAGTGCAGCCATTGGGGATTGGAGTGAAGTGACTGGTTCGCACAAGTACTATTAAAATTCAAGACCGCACAAGTTAGCGAACGGCTGCATTCTCTCCTCCTACCCCCGCCACACAGGCCGTAGGTGGGATACATACGCTTATCATAATTCTTCAATAGAAGAGGCCATTCCGATGTAGGAATCGGAGGAGCAACAGCTTCAGGCTTGATGCTGAAGTCTGCAACTTCGCCTTTGCCCTTTGTAGCAGCTTCCATAGTCAAAATCTAGTTCTTTTACCACGGGACAGAACACACAAAAGCGCTCAAGATGAAAAATCAGAGCTCAAATAACAATGCAGACCCAATACGGAGCGCGCAGACAACACCTGTTCCGGACGTTGTCAATTGGGTTGCGAGATATAATAAATTCTTCGAAGCTTTCCTTTTTTTTTTTTTTTCGTGTTTGGAATTTTTGGTTGCTTAAAATTTGCTGTGGGCAAAAAGTTGATCCGACCGCAGAGACTAAGCATGTTATTGGTTTATTAGACGCAATTAGGCGCGCGTCACCGCTTAGGGTTAGTTATTTAGATAGTCATAGGTTATATTCTTATATTTAGATGCTTAATGAGTACTAGTAGTTGTGGTAGTAGTGGGAATACGTAGTAATGGTGATAAGTATTGTATCAGTGCTGTTTTTAATAGGCATAACTACTCCTTAGGTTTTCAGTACAAAACTAGTGTGCACCGAGGTGAATATATGAGGAATTAAGAAGTCGATTCATGAACAAGGCCTCTACATGTAACGCCCACTCTCGGGATCGGAGCTGGAGAAAAATCAAGAAAGTGCTTCAAAGTCTTCAGGGAACAAAGTCTCCTTCAATAAACCTGCGATTTCCGTATCGCCTCTTTCTAGGAGCTTTGCCATTCCCGGGAGAAGCTCCTCCTTGCTCTTCTCTGGATACATCTCGAAATTGACTTTTAGGCTATGACTCACAAGCCATTCAAGAATCGTTTTCATGTCGCTCATATCATCTGCAGCTCTTGACATGCTGGCTGGGCGAGTAGAGTCGGCAATATGCATCCAGCGCTTTAATTTTGTTAGAGTTAAAATTCCAGGATGCAAGAAGGGCACTAGCAATACTTGTCAGTGTCTATATATCTTAATACTAAGTTCTTAGTAGAGCTTACTTAGACTGTCCACTCGGCAGCCTTCAATCTCCCGAGGGTTCCGTTGGAGTATTGCTGCAGTATTGATATCTGGTAGCTTCATCGGCTGGTCTTTACCCCCGCGTAAAAGTTCCACCTCGATGTCAATATCTTGATCCTCCTTTTATCCGGAACTCCGTTAGATTCATTTAGTTCACATTCAACATATGGGCAAGAGTAGAAGGTATGTAATTTATAACCTACCAGGTGAAACACGAGTTTGTTTGCTGCGGAGAGAGAAAAGTTTCCATCTCCTGCCAGCAACTGCTGGTGAACCGCTTGTGCATCTTCTCCGACGATCACGTCCACGTCCCGCAGTAGACTTGTGTCAGTTAATGCCCCAGATATCTCTAAAAACAGAGACCGCGTATCCACCGATGAAGGCATGCTTTACCCCATGGCGGGACAAGACTTCGGTAACAGCAAGTGCTGCCATGTCAAGTTTTGCATTATGGCTGCGCTTCGCATGGTCTTGTTGCTGCATGGCTTTTGATTCTCTATACGAGAGAAGGGAAAGCAAAGTGAGTAGTAGTCAGAGTTGATGGTGAACAAGGTGGGTGGTATAAGTTAGAAGGAAGGGTGTCGTGGATGAAGTCCTTGCTTTGTACCAGTGTTCATGCCCGAGGGATTCCATGGATCCCAACGTATGAACTAAGTACTTAAGGTTTCGCCCTATCCTTGGGCCAGCCCATTCACTCCTGTGTGTCACGTTAGTGTGGTGAGATCTGTGAATAGAATAAGCTGTAGACGCTCATTCTTAGTGAATAAAAGATAATCAACGCAAGTATTTGTGGGAAATACCTTGCGACGGTGTGGTAAGTGTATGACTAATAGGTGATTAGATGACTATTTCAAGGTATAAAGTAATTGGCAGTTGCGGATTATTCGTTCCGAAAGATCCAGATATTTCTTCTCTTCAGGCCTCCAATCCCACTGACGAACAACGGATAACGCTTGCTCGACACGTTGCTGAAAATGCTCCTCGCTTTCGCTTTCTTCGTCTTCACCATCAGGTAGTCTTGGGAAAACACAATAGTTGAGAAACAGAGCCGTATTACCAACTATAGGGAGCCGTGAGAACCCAGGTGGTAGAGACTGTAGAATGCGAATCAATGATATAAGATACGGCCGTGGTTCCGGGATAAGCGCCTTTAGTTGAAAACTAAAAGTTGACGCCACTTCTTTACAGTCTTCGAGGGATAAGTGCACGGTTGATAGAGGTATCAAATGGATCCTGGTGCTCTCGCATTTGTGCATCTCGCCCGCTGTCTCCCATTTGCCGTACGATCTAGCGTAATGTGGGATAATGCCGCCTTTTGGTATATTGTGTTCCAAGAGGATGCTAGATACGCGCGATACCCGTGAGTCAGGTATTGCCCATCTGACTGTCTATAGATGGACCGTGTTAGCTAGGCACTGTTATTTACATAAAAGTACCATGTTGACGTTAGACATTACCACTATGCAGATAGGATGCCCAAACCGTGCATTCAACAGGTCCCCATACTCTACTACAGGGATATTCTCCTTATTAAGATCTTCAACGACAGCGGCAATAGCAGGGAAGTAAAAAGTCATTATATCTTGCTGGTTTACTGCTGAATCAAAAAAATTATAAAATTATGAGCTCGGTGAATGGGCTTGTCAGTTAAATGCTATAAATCAAGAAGTTGGATAATTCAAGCGAAAAGCAGACTAAAAAGAGCCTCAGCGTTCGGATGACCGGATGTCCACCTTGGCGCTACTAACTTCATGGAGGAAGTTTCCCCATTTCTAAGTTATACAGACACCAAGGGATGTGGACGGATACATAGCCCATGTCACTATCAGAATCTACCATGTAAGGCCAGTCGTACATCACCCCATTTAGTAACGTTAAGATGGTCACCCGAGGAATAAGACGGTTAATGAAATAATGACTACGGAGTACCTCTAGCCTGCTAACGCAGATTATTCGTTATTGCATACATTATCTGCTTCCATGTTCAGCCCCCTGTCGTAATGACAAATTAACCGCTGCCCAACTTCCTACCAGCTCCTCTACCTTGCCATGACCCTCCCATGCCAGAAAACCAGTTACCGCTGGACTGGCCAGTGCTTGGGCCTGAGGTATCATTTGCTGGTGGGCGATACATGCGGTAACCACCATGTGCCTGGACCAACTTATTTGTCCTAAATAAGTTCTGGATGAAGCGAGGTGTACGGATGTAGTTGGTCCCTCCTCCAAAGTTAGGGTAGATTCGTGTTAGAAATTCATAAAGGTGGGCTGCTAGGATGCCACAAGCTTGGGTGAGCGCGGCGTGTTGGCCGGAAAGGACAAGCGTTGCAATAAGACTGGCGAAAGGCAAGTATTCAGCCGGAAGCTGGAAAATAATAAAAGGCATCTTCTTGCCAGCATTATCTTGGGAGAGAGTAGTCAAAAAGGCAAGAGACAAGGCTATCAAGATTAGTTAACTGGAGGATAGCCTGCTTGGGCAAAAAAGCAGAGGTAAGAATACGGATGGTAGTAGGTATTATCATACCTCCGAGGAAGACATAGGATTGCAGGTACAAGCCCGCGGTTAACTGCACATCCGTCAGTCCCAGACACTGGAATGTTGCGAGGAAAGAGAGATATTGATATAAAGGGTATTCTCTATATTAGATACAAAACCAAAATAATAGGAATACATGTTGTTGAGATGTAGGGCAGCAGTATAACCAGTATGACATAGTTCATCAATACTGGTCAAAGTATACCGCCATCCCACCATGCCTACACCGCATGCATCCCTAATGGATTGACGTTTGCGAATGATGGGTATGCACGAAGTGCAGGGGCAATCTCCCTCGAATTCAGGAACCGCTGCAGCTAGAAGAGGCTGGGCGGGCAGATTTAAGAGGTGTATTTCAAAAATGAAAAGACGTAAAGAAGAGATAGGTGGCAGCAAAAACACAAAGTGCTGGTCATGTTGGAAACCCTCGCGCCGGGCAAGGAATGGATGACCACTCACCAGGATAACGATAGCTACGAAAATCACATAGGTGACAAAGTCACCCGGCCCTGAGAAACGAGGCGAATTGACCTCTATATCACTGGCGTATGAGTATACTGCAGGTCTGTTAGTGAGGTCCATCAAGGGCGCAGTAATAAGTCATTTTTAATGGACCCGTACGGAAGTATAGGTCGAGGAAGAAGCTAAGCCCGCCTCCAGTCAGGATGAACGGCGTCAACAGTCGCCATAGCTGTGGCAGGATTTTGAATATTTTCGGCATGTAGAATATAACATGGCGGCCATCCAAAAATCCTCCATGTACCAGGACTGACTGGATAAATGTAGCTGCTGTCAGTGTTCTATTGAAAAACAGTGTTAGCTTGATGTTGAGACTCCATTGCTAGGATGTAATGGCTCACCTGCTAACTGGCGGTGCCGCCCAGTATCTGTCCATCTTTACTACCAAACTGCTTTGCTACAAAGTGTTGGCCTGTTGGAGTCTGAACAACTCTGAAGAGTGGAAGGAAAGCTTTTGTGGGCTTTTATATGTGGCTTTTTTCGAAGGGAAAAACTTCTGCCTTAAGCTATGGCGGATTTATATTATTCCATTAGTCACGTGTGTAGCTTAAATTTGAGATTCTGATAGCAAAAATAAGACAATAATTGTTCTATCAAAAAGAAAATATGATAAAAAGTGGGCTTTAAGTCAATTCTACTATCGTTAAAAGGGCTGATATTGATAATTCCCGATAATTCTCGATTCCGTCGGGGTTCAACCCTTGGGCCAAATAACATGTGCTATTTTTGTTCCAGTAGCCATCTCATACCTTTGATGGTATCCTCGACGAATGTCTTGCTCATTTCTAGCTCAGGGAAATTCGTCCAAAAGTAATGACCCAAGCCCTTATACACATCAACCTTGGTATTCACGTCGGCCTCCTCCCTTAGGACTCGTTCATATATCAGTGCTTCGTCACGCAGAGGATCCAGCCCGCATACTTGGAAGTAAGCTGGTGGAAGATCCCTGTGCCCTCGTTCCTCTTTACCGTAGAGAAATGGCACAAATAACGGGCTAGACATATCGCCCCTCATGCCTGCCATACTGAAGACCTTTGCCAGAAGACTCAAGGGCAGAAGACTCAGGATGAACCCGGCAACGGAAGCAAGGGGGCTGAAAGATCCCAACGTCAAGTTGAAAATAGGGTCCTTGCAAGGCGTCACGATAGGATGAGAGATATACTCTGGTTGATACTGGGCAGGAAGATGAGATGGCGGCATGAAACACATAATAGCAGGAACACAAAGATATTGGCCTGTTAGAGGAGGCGATAGCTGCTCATCTCGTGCGATGTGTGCGAGTACAGCTGCTATATTACCACCTGCCGATCCTCCCCCAACTATAAACCCCTTCGAAGGGTCGGCACCAAGCATTGAGGCATTCTTAGCACACCACTGAAGTGCATCCCACGAGTCATTGATCCAGGTTGGGAATGGATGCTCAGGTACAAGCCTGTATTCCACATTGACGCAAACAGCTCCCAGATCTCGAGAGAACAGTCGGCAATTAACCTCCTCATCAGTCAAGTCTCCCATCCCCCATCCGCCTTCGTGGAACATGACAATCAAGGGACTACTGCCGTCTTTCTTCGCTGCAGGCTTGTAGACCCTGATTGTGATCGCTGATCCATCACGAACGGGGATTTTCCGGTCCTCTTCGGTAACTTCAGTGATGGGGCCGGGAAGGTATCGAAGCTTCCACTTTTCCTTCAATATAGTGGCTCTGTGCTCCCTGGCAGCTGTGTGGTCTTTCCGACCATAATAGGGGTCTGATGGATTGGGTGGTCTGACGGCTGGGCCCCTTTCCAGAATAGCGGCCATGGCTGGGTCCATGACCGCGAGGGCGACAAGTTCTTCCCTCGTACGGGGCGCCATAATGATGGCGTTTGTGAAAATATGAAAAGACGAGGAACCGGACTTCAGCTCAAAGAGTGCTATTTTTATACTATCGGACCACCTTGGACCGTTCACGTGATATAATCTGGCCAAAGAAAGTAGTCAGTGACAATACTCACTTAGATTGCATTTCGTCCTATGCCACTGTAGCTTGTATATATATAACTACAGAACGCTCAGGATGCGAGGCTATTGGACGCGGTTGGCACTGTTCTAATGGTCCCCTTAGCTGCCAACCCTCCATCTTTACCCTCGACCCATATATCCCAGCTACCGTTTGACCCGTTGGGCTTTTGTGCTGCGCAAACCTTCATCTCACGCTCAACCAGAAGTGGCGCCAAATTTCGGTATTCAACACTTGATACCGCCTGTCCTAATGCGGACACATGTTTCTGAAATGCGGTAAGCATGATCGTGAGGGTCAACGGCCCATGGACAAGGAGGTCACTGTATCCTTCAACGTTGCGCGCATAGTCTCGATCTAAGTGTATGGAATGGGCATTAAAAGTGAGAGCAGAATATCTGAATAAAAGGGCTTTCGAAGGTGTGATGGTTTGAGTGAATTCCGGCGTAGTATGAACTGTGAACTACAGTGTTAGTAACGTACTATAGGGTTACAAACATAGAGGATAAGATACCTTTGATTACTTTTCGAGGAAGATCAGCAGCTTTCATAGCTTCTATCTCCTCTGGTGTCCGATCCTTCATAAAGACAAGGTTGCGTCTTTCAATCACAATGCTATCCCCCCGTTCCTCCTCTGACTGAGTCCACACTCTGTTTCTGATCGCATCATCGCTTTCGTGCTCGTCCACTGTAGCTACCCGCCTTTCAATTCCCACAAATATCTTCTCTTCGCCTTCCTTGCCTTTAACATTCACTTCACGTATTCCTTCGACACAGACTGCTCGTTGCCCGTTAAGTAGCGGACCGCCATCATCGAAGAAACGAACTGATCCTCCAGCCCACATTCGGCGATTATACGGCTGTCCGGGGGAATGCAGTTCATCGCAGCCATCCGGAAGGAGTTCAGATGAAGGAACTTGCGGTGGAAAATATACTAGATGGTGTCCGCGAGGCATGGAGGTCGGCCCGGAGATGGACGGAAGACGCCATTGGAACTCTGTAGCAGCAGATGAAGCTTGAGACGGTGTGAGAAGGCTATTGAGCGAGAGGTTCAATAGATGTGATGGCTGGGGCGAAAGATAGTCGTATATCAGAGGCAGTCGGCGCCGTACCAGCTCACCCTCGAGCTTCGATAATTCTGGTGCCGTACTCAGCGTACGCCTTTGCAGAAGGGTTGTAAGCCGTTGACCAGAGCATATTCTGGCCAATTGGGACATAGCTACCTCGAGTGTTCTGTAGAGGCGCACATCCGTGGCATTCACTTCGGTCTGCTATAGTTGATAGTCAATATAAATAAACTAGAGACCAGTTTGGCGTTTTGCGGTATAAAAAGCGGCTTCTCCGACCTCGGACTCAACTCCGTGGGGGGCTTTTGACTGGATATTTAGACCAACTTTTCAGTATCCCTTACCAAATACCAAAATAGATGGCTATATCTAACGGTTATAGAGTGCACTGTATCTGAAAGGAGGGAATTTGTTAGTTCCGTACACGCGAGTCTATTATGATGCCCTCCATGATCCCCGGCTTAAACGATGCCAACATTATGTTACAGCCCATCATTTCATTTCTTGGGCCTTTGGGTTCCTTTTCACATCAAGTGAGCATAGGTTGCCATCTTTTCTGAGTTCTCGGGGCTTATATTTATTCTATAGGCAGCTATAGAGTGCTTCGGCTCGACGAACAATACGCTACAGGCTGAGGTCTCTTTCAACGATGCATTCTCAGCAGTTCAATCACAAGAAGCAGACTACGCCATCATACCGCTGGAGAACTCCTCTAACGGTGCCGTTGTTCAAACTCTTGATCTGCTAGCGGATCGTGACAACCTATACCCCGATATCGTTGTGTCTGGAGAATACTATCTCGCAGTTCATCATTGTTTATTGATGAAGAAAGCCAAAGGTACGGCTTCTAATGCTATATTTTGCGTTTATACCGCTAACGGCCACTGATATAGACGGATCTGAGAATACTTCTAAAACTAACCCGGAAGTGTCAAAGTTCTACTCTCACCCTCAGGTTTGGGGACAGTGCACAAGATTCCTCTCAGGTTATAATGGAGTAGAGAAACAAGATGCATCTTCAACATCGAAGGCAGCAGAGATTGTTAGCAAGGACAACGATGCGAAGAGTGCGGCTATTGGAAGCGAACTCGCCGGCAAGCTTAACGGTTTGGAGGTTGTAAAAGCCAACATCGAGGATGACTCCTCGAACGCAACCAGATTCCTCGTTTTACAGAACCTCAAATCGAACCGTACCCAGGCCATAAAGCCTCCGCAGAAGTCGCAGTCTTGCTCAAAACCAGGGTCGAAATGCAAATCACTCATTTCCTTCATGGTTGATCATACATCGCCCGGTGCATTAGCCGATGCGCTCCACGTCTTCAAGAAGTACGGCCTAAATTTGACCAGTATTAATTCTCGCCCTGGAGGTGTCCAGGCATGGCAGTACGTGTTCCTTGTGGAATGCCAGAGGGTTCACGGTGTTCACGATGACCAAGTTGTGGACAAGGTCATCAGTGAACTGAAGAAGATTACGCAGACATGCAGAAACCTAGGGAGCTGGGAAGATCAACTTGTGGAGAGCTCATAAAGAGGGCTTTTTAACTTTTTGGATATTGATATTTATCGAGGTAAGTAGACTAGATATGGACCAATTTTCATGATTTTAGTGTTGTCTCGGGGCATACAAACTTACGGCTTATATACCCTTATATGTACATATTGCCCTTATTCTAAGTGATATACTTGGGAGAAAGAGGAAAGAGGGATTACGGATAACCAACACATTTATATTTGATCTATTTATCCTGTACCAGAAACATTGCGGGTAACGAGCGTGTATTTTTTATATAAATGAACAACACTATCATTTGAACCCTGGGTGAGTCCATACTTTAGTTTAGCATCCTGATAAATGATATCAGGTTATCAAACTTCTAAGCACTGACTTTCATGTTCCAAATCATAGAGCGAGGCAGGGCGCAAGAAGAGGACAGCAAAAATCACACAAATAATTTAGTAGGAAGCAAAGGGGTTCCACCTAGAAGCATTATCCCAGCTCAGATCGAATATGCAGGTAACAGACAGATTCGAAGAGGCGTCCATCTCAACCAATCTTCAACTCTGTACGAAGTGGGTTTGGCGAAGCGACGAGGATACGCTAGAATAACATCCGCCATACAGTCTACCCTCATAACGTAGGTCTCTGCTATGGCCACTTAATTTGAAGTGGCCATGTTGCGAAGCTTGGACGGTCCTAGAATACCCGGAGTTAGTGATGATAGAACAATAGGGGGAGGGAGCGATTAAACATACCCCTGAGCAGCTTCGAACCAGTGAGGGAATGTGGGGCACAGATCTGAACGGCTGATGCGTTTATATTGCCCCTGACGCCGTTGGTGCGGCTCAAAGGGCTAGTCGTCAGAACACTCCCCGACGGGATTTCCGGGCGATCTTCCTCGCAACCCGCGAGGTTGCCATATTGTCAATCTAGCACCGTCGTTAGTAGGTATATACACGAAGTGGAAGCTGTCATTCAAACGTACCATCGTAGAATTCATCATCGTCATCTTCTTCAACGTCGGCCAACTGCTCGAAGTTGACCTTGTAACGAAGCATTGCTCCAATACCACCAAAGCCCTTGACGAACTGGTTACCCTCGCCGGACTTGTCGGAAACGAATTCCAGAGTTGCACCAAAATCTTTGTAGTTCTCGGCAAGCCATTCAAGGAGCGAACCCTGCTCAACGATTTCCATCTCTTGTCCGGTTTCCTTGTCCATGAATTGCTCTCTGTCAGACTCCTGGGACTTGGTGGTGTGTAGTACAATGTCAGATCCAGTCGAAGGTTTGAGTACCCAGCGAGTGATGTCCAGATTCTCAAATACAATAAGGGTCTCGGCAGCTCCAAGCTCAAGTGCTTTCAGAGTATCGTCAACGCCGTAGCAAACACGGCCGCTATCCTGGCTAATTTCCTCAAAGTATTTGCCGATGAGTTTCTTCTCCTGAATGAATTTGACATTACCTAGAGTTTCAGAGGAAAGCTCGATAGCCTGGTTGAATCCGTTTTCACCACCATACGACACATCAACAACCTTAATGACCTTGGACTGGAGGCGGTTGTCGAAGAGATCAGACTGGTTGAGATCGTTCTTAAAATCGGCAGAACCAGCAAGAATCAAGCCGGCGACATTGACCTTATCCGCAGTGATGAAGTTCTGGACGGCAAGCTCTGCAACCTTACGGACGTAGTTGTGACGCTTCTCCTCACGAAGACGAGCAAAACGAAGAGCAGACTGACCACCACGACCGTGCTTCTTGGGCAGGTCGACACTGAACTTGTGAACGACATCTCTGGTATTTCCACTCAAGGTACCGAACAGAGCACCGTTTCCGTCCATAATGATAAATCCAAACTTCTGATCGGACTCAAGGAGCTCGCTCAGGGCTTCGGTATGGAACTTGTTATCACAGAGGTAGAGGGAGGTGTTGATGGGTTTGAAGGGCTCAAAATCGATGTTGATTTTACGCTCTTTTCCCTCGGAGGTAATAATTTCACCACAGTAGACAACAAGGCCATTTGGAGGAACTCTGGTGTAAAGCTTCAGGCGCTGCTGGGTAGACGTAATCGCTGAAAGGACGGATAGACGGTTAACTCGGGATTTAATGTTGGAGGCAGTTCCCTAGAATATTAATTAGGAAAACTAATCCTTTCTTTTTTACGGGTAATAAATCAGAGACATACGAATTCTTCAGCCAACATCTTCGCTGCTCTCGAGATCTGGTCCTTTGGAGCTGTGCCGCCGTGGTTAGCGGGGCACCATGATTACAGCAATCATCAAAAAGATCCCAACTTACGAATAATCAACGAAATCATAGAAGTTCCGTTTCCTCGTGCCGCCTCCAGGCGCTTAATCAGCTTCTTTACCTTCCATATCTCAATATTCTTCTCCGCCTCGCCAGTTGGTTGCGGCGCGCTCATTTTGGATGACTCTCAGCCAAAACCCCGATCGAACTCGTTTTGGATGGACCTGATCGGTGAGCCTGTTTGCCCACACAGGCCCGTAGAAGTCAAGTACCTTTAAACCAACGCTCTACGCCGTATGAGACGTATCTGGATGTCACTGGCCTGCTCAGCGTGTTGAAGTTATGGTATTTTTTTAATCAACCTGAATCTGGTTGTGGGGTGAAGAAAAAAAAAAGAGCCAACGACAAATGCTTATGTCAGCAAGAGGCTGCCCAACTTCATGATCTTTTTTTTAGTGGGAAAAGTAATAGAAACTTGAGATGGACGGTTGAACGGCTTTATAGAAGACCAATTGCTGCTGTTTTTACTGATATTACTTGGATAATCATTCGATGTGATGGCAAACATATAATTGACTTTGAAGAAAGGATACTCCTTTATGTATCGTTTCAATGGCGCAGTTGCTGAGGTGGACCAGAGGTCTACTCAGACGAAGCCCATTAACTCCTTTACAATTCCCAACGACTGGCTTCAAAGCCGTCCCCTGGACCAAAGTACTCGAAGAGGAACATTATGACGAGTTCAAGGCTGGTAACTACTGTCCGATCAAGATTGGCGATGTATACTCATCCTACCAAATACTGGGCAAGCTAGGATTTGGATCAACCTCGACAGTTTGGCTTGCTCGTAACTTACAGTATGAGAAGCCTTCGATCGTCAGGCCTTCTCAATACTAAAGTTTTAACCACCTAGGAATCGTGGATATTGTGCTTTGAAAGTGTTTACACGAAATCATGGCGGGGCCTGCCAAAATGAACTTCGGATCTATGAGGCCATAAACAAAGCAAATCCTTCACATCCTGGGCATCCGCACATCAGGACTGCGGAGGGAATGTTTGCCATAGAACGACCAGGGGGTGATCATCAGTGTCTTGTCCAAGCGCCGATGTGGGATAGCTGGAGGGACCTTCTGTATAGAAACCCAAGCGGCAGATTTTCCGTGGCGCTTCTGAAGGGCGGTTTACGGCATCTCCTACTGGCCCTTGATTATCTTCACACAGAGTGCAGGCTTGTTCATACAGGTACATATTGTAGGACCTCGCATCCAGGTATATGATATTTTCTAAACATGGAAGTGTGAACAGATATCAAAGCGGACAATATACTGCATGCAATTGCCGATGAAGGTATTCTCAAGTCCTTTGCCAACGAGGAGATGGAAGCACCGTCCCCCCGAAAATATGTCAACGGTGTTCCCGTCTACATGTCCAGACGATTCGGCCTGCCGGAAGACTTTGGCAGAATCATACTGAGCGATTTTGGCGAGGCCGTTAATGGAGATAGGAAGCGGAACCACAACGCGCAGCCTGATGTGTATAGGTCACCAGAAGTTATGCTCCAAGCTGCGTGGAGCTACCCGATAGATATATGGAACGTCGGTGCCATGGTCAGTCAGCCTTATCGGTACCTTGGAGGAACCCATGACGGAGTTGGTGTGGCGCTAACGAACCGCAGATCTGGGATGTATTCGAGGGCGGCCACTTATTTTATGGCATAGACCCTAGCCCGAAGAAGGGCTATTACACCACCAGGGCCCATCTGGCAGAGATAATCGGGCTTCTCGGCCCACCACCTTTAGATCTACTCCGAGAAGGTGTCCGAAGCAAAGAGTTTTTCTCCGATGATGGTGAGTTTGCCACCTTTTGTGCGGTTACCCGATGTCTGGTGCCATCCAGTGGTGGCTAATATGGCGATCTACAGGTAAATGGATCGCGGATTGCCCAATTCCAGAGGGTAAAAGTTTGGAGAAGGCAGAGCTGATCCTCAAGGGGAGGAACAAGGAAATGTTCCTGAACTTCATAAGAGGGATGTTGACATGGCGACCGGAAAACCGCAAGACAGCGAAAGAGTTGCTGGAGGATCCATGGCTGAAGACCTGGGAGATACCTGATTAGGTCTCCTACTCCACGTTACGCCGTAGATGGATTCCTTGATGTAATTTGCATATCCAAGGTGCTCAAGGTCATCCAGAAGGCTTCAGCACGACAGCAAAGTTATTCTTTCCCGGCCCAGGGCTGATAATTTCCTTTGCATAGCCTACCCCTCTCGTCCTGACCTTGGGTTGACTGTATCTCCATAGGTAATAGATGAGCTTTGAAGAGACCTTTCTCCGCAGTAGCTGGTATCCCAGAGACGTAAGGATATCGTCCAGCCGCCCCTCAGTCAAGTACCTCGAATTCAACACACAGGCGGCAGGCAAGACGAGAAACAGAGCCGGTAGAAACTCGCCTGCAGACGTAGTAGAATCGATATTCGTGGTGAGAAACTGAACGGTCCGGCGTAGCATTTCTCCTCTCCCTAAGGGCTCCGGCACATAATTGAGCACCAACGAGAGACTGACGATGTGAAAGGTCTCTTCTTCCGTGCTGGGCAATGGCCGTTCCATAAAGTCCTGCTGTAGGATGCCAGCCTCTTGTGAATGCAGGTCTATCCTCGTAACGTCCAGCGCCTTTGCCATGGAGCACGCATTCCTACTGCTGAGTGCGCCGACTTCGAGCAGACGAAGCTTTCTCCTGCCAGAGGTATCGCTACCACCGTCTGCTTGTATCTGGCTGAGTAGAGGTTCGAGCCACTGGAGAAGGACATGGCTGGAGTCACCTCCTCGTTCCTTGGACTGACCCTTCTTGCTGGCTATCTGGTAGCTCTTCAGCCCGCCCTTTGCAGCAATCTCCTCGTCCAGCTGCCGGACCAACACATCGTCGCCTTCTGCCGCTGCCCGGGCTCGCGCCTTATGTAGCTGGTGGTGAGACCTGATCAGGTTCCTGGTCGCTCTGGCCGACAGAGAAGCCACCGGTTTCTTCACCGTCGGTGGTCGTCCTTGCGACAGCGACTTTCTCTTCCCTCTCTTCATCTCTCTCTCTCTCTCTTCCCTTCTTCTTCCCTTATTATCCAATACTACCGTATAATATCTAATATCTAATGTATTTATCTTCATCATCATGCCAAGCCTTATCTTACTAAGCATCACGTGGCCCACGAACTTCCCAACTAAGCGAGAAACTTCAAAGACCAAAAAAGAAAGAGAAATTTCGCGTTGAAAAAGCGACGAAGGCAAGAAACTTGAACAAGCGACAACGAACGCCGTGAAGTCGACCAGCCATGGCCCCAAAAGACAGCAAGCAAGGTAGGCGGTTCATGTTCTCCGTGTGGTGTGCGGCGTCGAGTTGGGCGCATCGATACATCAATGGATAGAGATGGATATTACAGAGATGAGATGCTAACGATGGATAATAGCCACAAAGGCCAGCTCTAAGGCTGGTGCTGCCTCCAAGGCCGTCCTCAAGGGGGTAAGAAGCGCGATCCCAGACGAGTAGAAGACGAAGAGACAGAAGAACGAGAGTTGACCAGAGGAACAGGCTCACTCTCACAAAGTCCGCAAGGTCAGGACATCGGCCACCTTCCACCGACCAAAGACTCTCCAGCTTTCTCGATCGCCCAAGTACCCCCGAAAGTCGATTCCTCATGTGCCCCGTCTGGACCACCACCAGGTCATCGTCCACCCGCTCAACACCGAGTCCGCCATGAAGAAGATCGAGGAGAACAACACCCTGGTATTCATCGCCGACGTCAAGGCCAACAAGCGACAGATCAAGCTCGCTCTCAAGAAGCTCTACGACATAGAAACCGTCAAGCTCAACACTCTCATCCGGTGGGTCCCCAGAACCTGTTTAAACAAGAAACCATCATACACGTTACAAAGCCAGATGCTAATACAAGACAGACCGGACGGATCCAAGAAGGTCTTTGCCAGACTAACGCCTGACATCGATGCGCTCGACATTGCTGCCACCAAGCTCGGGATTGTTTAATGGATGAAATGATGGTCTTTTTTTTTATGTTTATTCTATCTGTGATATCAGTCGGCTATTACAACAAAAAGAGAACAAAAATGCTACAGATATCATCGTGATGATCACCAAAAAGAAGAACAGGCTCCAGGTCGACATGTCCGTGACCAAAAAGAAAAATAACCACTAGCCTCCACTGACTCGATGTGGTCCCATCTTTTTCTGCTAGCTATCTTAATTAGCACATCCCCCAAAAAGCCACTGGGCCTCCAAATGTGAAGTTACCCCCTCGACGAAGCTCTCCTTTATCCCGACTTGATTTCTCTTGGTGCCTAACTGGATGCCCTGCCTGTCTCTGCCCGAACGGGCCCTCCTCTCAAAAGACAAACTCCCCGATCTCCTAGTGGCAGGGTTTGACTTGCTGGACCCGTAATCGTACAGTAGCCTGCGGTAGATCTACTAATCTGTAGCCAGTGCGAGTTGCGGTGAAACTACGCACTTTTAAAACATAAGACTTGCAGAGAAGAAGAAGAAAATAAGAAGACGACCCTGACCCTGTTAACTGTAGAGAAGAGAAGAGGAGAAGAAGCGCTGGTGGCCAACCAACCGTCCAAGAGAGAGAGAAAGGCTTCGCTTGGTGTTTCAGCTTTTTTTTTTCCTTCCTTCTTCCCGGAAAACCAAAAAAAAAAAACATCCTCTTTATTTTCTCCCCTCAATCGCCAACATCATCGCCAAACTTCACCACAACCAACAGCCATCGCCATCGCCACTGAACATCGCTATAACTAGATATACTATCGATACGCTGTCGACATTTGCTTGCTATAACTCGATACTCGCGAGATAGACTAGCTGTAACTGCGCAATCAGCTGCATCACCGCTTCGCTGCTACACCGTCGCATGCCGGCGCATCGCCAGACCATCAGCACATCGCGTGAACTAGACGTTCTCGACGCGTCAAGAGACTGAATATCCTCATACTCAGCATTATCTTCACTGTCGCTGCCGTTTTCACGATGGCTTCGACGCGCCATCCGCCTCCGCTACGTATATACCAGGACCCTCCAGGCGCTTCACCACCAAAACCAACACAGCAACCATCTCAGCCAGCCCAGAGCCACGGCGCATCAAGACACAAGTCACAGCGTAAACAGCTGCAGCCGTCGCCTATGCCCCTTCAGCCACTTGGGAACTCGGCCAGGAACAACCGCGATCTCGTCTTGAACCCTCCCTCCTTGGACCCCTTCAGCAGTCAGTCTCCTATCAAGCACCAGCGTCGCACGAGCGCCCACATCGCGCACAACAATAAGCTTGAATACATGCCCATCTCCGCTCCGAAACCTGCCAGGTTTCCCACGGACTCGCCTGCTAAGAAGCTGCTGGACCATGAACAGCACCCTCGGCACTCCTTGCCGCCTCCACCGTCACGCCTGCCACTGTTTACGACATTCCCCAGTGCTCCTACCAAGCTGCCTGGGCCCACAGCCAGGCAGCACCAGCACCAGGAAAACTTCACCTCTCTACCCCCTCCACGTTTCTCTTCTTCTTCCTCTTCCTCTTCTGCCACTACTTCTTCTGCCTCGGGGATGCGTGCTCCAGCCAAACGTCGACTCACCGTCGGCAGTGATTCCCAGCGGGAGATGCCTTCATCAAAGAAAATCAGGCGCGAGGAGCGCGAGAAATCGGCACCCGTACCCACACGGCTGCCTGAACCGCATGAGATGCCTCCCGTGGAAGACGACGGTTCCAAGCCTCCGTACAGCTATGCGATTCTTATAGGAATGGCCATTCTTCGAGCTACCAACCGCCGTCTTACCCTGGCTCAGATCTACAAGTGGATATCAGACAATTTCGCCTTCTATCGTGCCGGAGACTTTGGATGGCAGAACAGCATCCGCCATAACCTCAGTCTTCACAAGGCTTTTATCAAGCAAGAACGTCCAAAGGATGATCCCGGCAAGGGCCACTACTGGATCATCGAACCCGGTATGGAAGGCCAATTCCTCAAAGATAAGCCGTTTCGTAAAGGCCCTATCATGTCAACCATTCCAGTCACTCAACATCAACCCGCTCCGCTAAGCACGCCAAAGCAAGAGTTACCCCAATCGAGCAATCCAGGTCTTTCTACCATCAATTATATACCATCCGCAGCCGAGCAGGAGGCCCCTGCCCTTCCATCAAATGCCCAGGACCTCTCTTCTGATGCCACTCTACCTGCCTCTGACCCTGCTCTTCAAGAAGACGACGTGAGTGACGAGCAGCCGGCACAGTCACTAGCTCAGACAGAGCAACATTTCTCCTCACCGCTCCAGGCAATGCGCTCATCCCCACCAGTAGCTCCACGCATCTTCCGCCGTCAGGCCACCCCTCCAACACCCTCCCGGCCCACTTCGGCCTCAGCCGGTGTTCCGCGTTTAAAGAGGCGCAAGCCTTCAAACATGAATGACAGCGGTTATTATTCCTCCCTCGAGTCGTCAGCTATGCGACCTCGCGTTGCTGCTGGGCATACTTTGACTTCGGATCTAGATATTGAACCCCCACGCATCAAACGAGGCCGTGCTGAAGAGGAGATTGCTCGCATCCGAAGCTCCTCACACGACATCAGTCCCATGCGCCTAGGGTCTCTTCGAGATTCAGCACAAGCAGCCATTGGCTCGTCGCCACTCAGAAATGAATATATTTCCATCCATGCTGCCCCTTTGACTCCGGCTGTCAAATTCAAAAAGCCAGCCAAACCACCACCCTTTCTCTCACCCAACACCAATCTCCAGAATCACCGCCGCAAGATCCAGCAGATGGTCAACTCTCCAATCAAGCGCCTTGGCTTGGGAGAGGACCTGCAGCAGCCATGGAGCCCAGCATTCAATATCCATGATGAAGTGTATACCCCTAATGACCACCTTCGCCTACCCTTTGATCCATTCTCAGACAACTACTTGGCCAACACGGGCACACCCACTTTTGGTTCGCCAGCAAAACGTTCCGTCAAGGGCGATAGTCTTGGAACCGGCGTCCTTAACGATATCACCGCCCTCAGCGCCAACACACGCCTAAAAACACCAATCGACAAGGCCAAGGCGTACAGGTTCCAAGAGTCTCCTTGCAAGCGCCTTGACTCGGGTCGCTACAATGACGCGTCCAACGATGAGTTATTCTCCTTCAATCTCTTCAGCGAGGATTGTGCTGGCGAGGTTGATGGTGTGGACCTTTTGCAGGGTTTTGAGAAAATTGGACAGCAACCTTCAAAAGAAGAACGTTCTCCCAAGCAGTTTGTTGGGAAAGGCCCACGCTCTAGTCATGGATCCAAGGGTGGTATTCGGTTTTAATCACCATTATCTTCCCATTACCTCCAAAATACTTGGTTTTTACATCTTGATATCTCGAACTCTGCCTCTACCATTCCCCTGTTCTCTGGTTAATATCTGCGTCATATTAGACCGGGAATTCTTCTTATCCCATGGGCCTTCATTTAGGTCATTGCCCTTGGGTTCCCCCTGTTGGTGTCTTCCTCACAGTCATCTATGGACACACTTATCCCTCTCACATCCTCTAACCTCCGCTGCCCCTTATCAGATTCCTCTCCCCAATATCTGGCTCTAGTGTTCTCATTCTTGAGTTACATCTTTTTACACCAGTCGTGCTACCCGCCTCGACTGGCAGGATATGTGATTAAATTGTTGGTACATGCTTTTCTTTTCCCTTGTCTCTTTACTTGGTCATGTTTTTGGTATTTTTTCGGACAGTCAGGAACAACTGGAGCTCGGGGGGTTGTCTTGTTTTTCTTGCTCTTTGCATTGCTTTTGGGTCTTTTTTACTCCATCTCCATCTTCTCCCGCCTACCTCATATCACCTACCTTCACCTTTACTCCGGCCCTCTTCATTTATTTCTTAGCATTGGTTCGTACGTTTTATTTTGCAAGGTGCTTCAACGGACAGGGATGGGACAAGGAACGGGTGGAATTTTGCAATGACCCTAATGAATGTGTTGATGTTTACGGATCATGGCTAATGAGGTTTTAATTCCTGTTTCTCTTGTCTATGTTTTTACCGGTATTTTGATGGGCCTTCAGCTATCGATGTACCTTCTGAACAAAATGTTATTCTTACCATATCAATATATTAAGCTTCTCCATGCCTGGAACTAAGTAAGATCAATCCTTGGTAATTAAAGGAATGGTAGTTGTATAGCAAGTTTTTAGGTGGGTATCTATATATTAATCTCTCGAAGCAACCCCAGAAACAATCCGCAAATCCGATAGATAAGGCAACTAAAGCCGTACAAAGAAAGTCCGGGCTGAAACAGATATAGTAACACCAATTCCTTCAATGCAGCTTGTTCTTAAACCAGAATCAAAAACGCCGCTTCCAGACCGCCCGAAATAAATGCTGTCACACACGCGACTCCCTGCATCTGCAAAGCAAAGAGACCCCTCCACACGTCCGTCTGTCGTGTAGCGCGATCAATCCAAGTCTCAATCATAAGCCTTTCGCCACGACATCAGAAAACACCACGCTTCCCTTCCGTCTCTCATCAGCCTTAATCGCTACTACTGCACCCGCGACACCCACAGCTCACGCACTGTATGCCTTGATCCTCTTTCAGCTGCGCTTTAGGCACACGACATATACAGGTAGCGTTGAAGTTCGTCTCCTTGGTCTGAATGCATCGTAAACAACATAGCTACGGATAAAGAAGGCAGTTAGTCTCCAACGCGTAGCAAAGTATCTACTCTGAAAAATTAGACATGGGCGTGGGCGCGCGTCCTCTCACCTTTTCATACCCTTGTTTCTTCCATTTAGCTATCAGGTTTGCATCCGCGTATCCGTTTTTTAAAAGCCAGTCATAAAGCTTTTTCGATATAGCTTCTTTCTCGTAGTATAAGTCATATATGTATCTTGACCCTATTCGAGAGATATGTATTTTCATGTCAGTGTGTGTTCTACTTCGAGCAGAACAAGGAGAAAACTTACGTTGGTGACTGATTTGGAAAATAGGCCATAATACTTCGTGTCTCTTCTTGCCTTCATGAGAGGCGTTCTCTGCATCTTTCATCTTATTGCTGAATTCAAGGAGGGTATCTTCGATATCGTCGAAGCCATCTGGAGGAGCCTTGCGTGTTCGCGCGCTGCGGATGGGAGGCATGCTGGATGAAGGCGGGATAAGTTCGTAGGAGTTAAGAGGTAGAACTGGCGAGCAATCGGCGGGTAGAAGAAGTATTTAAGTATTATGCGTAGACGTTTTAGAAACTGTCATGAGTATCTAATTCTTCTTCTTCTTCTCTTCTTCGTCTGCTTCCGCTTCTTATCGTTAGATGAAACTTTGATTTTTGTAGAAGCTATGTATATTACGTAATGGCATTTTTTGCCCGTTTCCACCGCCTTTAGAAACATCTTTGAAGTTTTTTGGTTATCAAATACAATTAAATCAACAGCTCAAGCAGTTATCTTATACCACCTATAATCACAACATTTATACTACCGGGATCGTCCATACGTCCTTGCGATTGACCCCTTTTCCGTCTCCGAGAACACATCCCTTACCCAGCAACCATGGAGCAACAAATCCAACTCGATCCTTCCAAGCTCTCTGCATCGGATAAAAAGGAATTGCAGCAGATACTGGCCAACGAGGCCCAGAAAACAAATATCCAACAAAGTAACAATTTCCCCTATCTTACCCGTTTTATTCCCCAGTGATATACCGCCGTCTTCCCTGCCTAATCAGAGCATAGCTAACGTATATGCTTTCTAGCTGTTCACCACCTTACCGACGTATGCTGGAAGAAATGTGTCCCCGGAAAAGTCAGCGGCGGTGCATTGGATAAAAATGAGCTCTCATGTGCCCAGAACTGCGTTAACCGATGGATGGATGCCAATCTCTCTGTGATGAAGCATTTGGAAACACTGAGAGGTAGCCAATAGACGAAACGGGTTTATGGTTGTTTTGATATTGGAAACTGAGATGCAAGATGATGAGAAACGGACGGCCTCTGTGAACGTACATGTGGCTTTGCGCATTTTGTGGGAACTATACAGCACTGTAAGGATACCGCTGGTCCTTGTTTGAAAGGGATGGCTTGCTTGCTTTTCTCCTTAATGTTGTAGGGGTTAAGTGGGTTACGCCCTTGTATTATAGATATATCACTAATTCAGAAGCAAATGGATATGTGCACGGAGTATTTACGCTGCCGTTTAGCCTGGCAAAGATACGGCTAGGCCTATACGGGCGAATATTTAGGTAAATATGTAAGCTATACATGGAAAGGGCTAATATTGACCAATGCTTAGAATTTTACACGCCTCAGTGTTGTGTAACTATTGTCTTATTTTCTCTATGTAAATGACTCCATCCTGGAGGAATTTTGTATATCAGTCGTAATGCAGTGCGCATGCAGAATCGAAAGCAGCTCGAGTCTATTGCTTTCCAAAGGCCAAAGACCCAAATGACAACGCTGAAAATAGGAAAGAAAAAAAAGAAACAGTGTTTAACCCTTGTTAGTTCGCAGCTAGCGCCTTGACAGGTTATGCAGATGTAGAATTTGCAAGTCTAGCTCCATTGTTGGAATGGAGCATAGCCACTTCTCATATCCTTAATATCTTCGGGAGAAACAACAGAAGAGTCAAAGAAGAAATTGTAGATAATGGAAGGGGTATCAAAAAAGAATATGAAGAGTAAATAGAAAGGAAACTGGTCGATATAGACGTAAATGACGTATCGCTCAAGGTAATGCAAGTAGCCAATTTGGCAGAGGCTAGATTATTCGAGGAAGGTGAAAAGATTAGTGTGAAGTATGTTGATGGCTCTGTCAGCGTCTCTCTCTTCGATCACACAGGATATATTGATTTCGCTGGCGCCTGGTAAAAAGGAAGTTAGCTTTCAATATGTTGGCGTTAGTAGAGATGAGAAATTCCCTTACCTTGTGAAATCATTTCAATATTCACGTTATGTTCCCCTAGAACGGAGAACATGCGACCAGCAACCCCAACCATATTTTTCATCTGCTGACCGACAAGACTTAAGATGGCCATTTCTGGTATAATGTCGACTGTACCGTATCTTCTTAGATCTTGGATTGCCCCGCGAAGATCCTCGTCGATGATTTGGTATTCATCCCGACCCACGCCATTGAGAAGAGGGAGCTCAGAATGCAGGGCCAGCGAGACATGCACCTCACTAGTCGAGATGAGATCTATCGATAGCCTCCATTTGTCGAGGACTGAGAATATCCCAGCAAAGAACCCGTGGGAGAGAGACCGTTTATTAGAGTGTATATTAATGACCAAAATTTTATGCTTTGCCGTCACGGCAGTTGGTCGTTTGGGGCCTTCACTGTGGGCCCAGAAGTGAGGGCCTCGTGTGCGGAAATATTTGGGGTCATGTCCTGGAGTTGTTCGCTCTAACTCTGAGCGCGAATCCGGGAATATTATGGTACCATTGCCCTTGGGCTTCATGACGTTTTTGATCCGGATAGGGATTTTGGCACGGATGACCTGCTCCATGGTGAAGGGGTGGATGACCTCGGAGCCATAGAATGTCAGCTCGGCAGCCTCTGCCGGAGTGATGGCAGATAGCAACCGGGCAGTAGGAACTTTCCTGGGATCGGCAGTAAAGATTCCGTCTACTTCCTTCCAGACCTGTAGCTCCTGTGCAGATAGTCCAACAGCTACCAGTGCAGCACATAGATCTGTATAGCCACGGCCAATCTTGTCCAGGAGGCCTCCTGGAACGAGTCCAAAGTAGCCAGTTAGCACAGGTACCCTACCAGGACAGGCAAGCACTTTTTCAGCAAAGAGTTTGGCTAGGCGGTCATAGAACTCTTGATCCAGTGCTTGGACACCAGGTGCAAAATCTATAGCATCAGAAAGGTCGATATATGCAGCATCAACTCCGCGATCGTTCAACAAAGCAGCCATCAGACGACAACTGAGTTTTTCACCAGCGCTTATGACCATGTCGACACATCTGCTGCTAATCTCTCCAAGCGTCTGAGCAGCTTCTAGTATTTTCAGCACTCGCTGGCATTCGGTATCAAACTCGGAGACCAATCGTGATCTCAACTCCACCGAATGGATAAGTTCATTGGCCACGCTGATATGTTCGGATAGGACTGTGTCGACTAGGGTCTTGTACTGTGACGATTTGGGATTCTCTGCCTCGCGTGCAGCTCGTAGGAGCCTATACCGTATGATTAGGTCGTTAATAACCCGTTGATGCAGTCGCACCACCCATCCGGGCAGGTTGACTCACCGATTAGTGGTCCCATCCGCCTTGGAGGAGCTACTCCGGGCAGAGCATACAACAGCAACACGGTTCGTGAGGGTGCTCGGTCTAGAAAGAGAGAGAAATCAGCATCAATCCTGCATACCAGACGGAAAGCGGGAACAATTCAGGGGTATGGCATACTGGATGACCTGCTCAACTATCTGATGCGCGAACTTGCCGACACTTGTGCCTCCAAATTTCTGGACTACCCAGTCCGACGGAGGAGTTCGAGGTATTCCATTTGGTAGGACAGCTGTGTGGCCGTTTACTATATGTCCATTGCCATTCATGATGGATATAAGACGGGCACGCAGCACAGATCAAAAAACGGTGGGGGATAACGGGGCTCCCCGCTGTACACTGGTTCTCCCTAAGGCTGCTCAGATCTCAGTATCAGCACACAATGGCAGAGGGAAATGAACGACGGTAATGAATGAAGCAGAAGAAGCGATATCTAATCCAGGTGTATCATCTTTCTTCTCAAACGGAAAAAAAAAGGACTGGCGGTGTTTTCGTCGACTTTCTTTTCATCCGCCTTTATCTTTTTTTTTCACGCTGACTTAAGCATTTTGACTTTGGGGGAATTTTTCAAACCTTATCTGGTATAAAAACAGCTTTTTAAATTGCAAAAAAAGCGTTTCCACGGCGGAACTAACTTCTTTGGGTTTTTCCGAGATCCGACAACGGAATGTTTCGCCGGTTTAGGATCACGCAATATTTTCCGCAGCAGGCCAAGTTGGGACTAGTTCCGATAAGCAACCGATAGGCGACTTGGGGATGTTTGTCTTGTTTGGCTGGTTTGTTTGTTTGTTTCTCTGTCCTTCCTCTTTGGGCGCAAGTTTGACGACGAAGAAGAAAAAAACATGCAACGCGACAAGGCAGAGACGAAGATACATATATATCATTTGCCGGGGCAGTGTATAGATGGTTGACTGCGGCCCTGGTCTACCTACCCTGTTCAGTTGCATGCAACGAGTTACATATACAGCAGTCTGTTGGCTAGACATTTTAGTCTGGTGATTGATCCCTGGAAGGGTGGGCTGTTCAACCCGTGGTTTCGATGGCAATATAGACTGGAAACCACGCGAGAAGCCGCGGCAGACGTCAAAGGATATTGTCAGTTCTATTTCAAACTCCCTGGGCCTTACCGATATGTTCTTGTTCATGACAGTATTTCAACATCCCGGAGGTTGCAACGCTGCCTTGGGGGGGGGCACCGGTACCCGGGACGGACCGTGGAAAGCCGTGGGCTGAGCGAAATGCCTCTTTGGTGACTTGCTCTTCCACCCAGCCGATACAACATTCATTTCATAGGCCGCTGCGTCGAGCCATGTCAATCATCAAGGGGTGCATGGGTGTGGGCCATGCTAGGGGAATTCGGAGTCAGAGGATCAGAGAAAATTATTATTTGTTCTTATCCTGGTGTTCTCTCGAATGGCAACCACTTGGGAGCCATATTGCAAGGATAGAAACCCCGCAGGACGACGCATAATCATGTTTACCCTGGCGCAGGCCATGCTAATCTAAGTATATATACCTACTTATATATGCTGCGGGTAGAAAATGACCGAAAGTCTGTCGAACATAAAAGGCTATCGGGAATGAACCTCTACCATCTCTTAACCCGGAACACACCCGGAAAGGCTATTGAAAAAATAGGGAATATATCTTCCTCCGCACATATATTTTGCTGGATAATCCATCGTGGTCGACCGGTCAGAAGGTTCTGGTTGCGAGAACTAAGTTGTCTCGCTGGATTCTTCATTGGATTATACCATCCATGTGAAAAGGATGACATTAAATACGTAACTAAACTTTTCTTTTTCATCCTCTCTTTTTTAAGCTCCCTTTCCTCCTTGTTAACACCTTTCTTCAATCTAGGGTGGTAAAGCTTGTTGCATGTAGGAACAAACCTCATAGTACGTACTAACACGGAGCGGCCGTATGCTGACTGAAATTGGTCATGATGAGACTGTATAAGCCTCGTATGGTTCCATTTTTGCGGTAAAAATGAATCTCATTATGATTGTGGCGGCCATGTGGCAGAGTGCCCTTAAATAGAAGAACTATTACATATTGAATCAGTAATAATTACTACATACTCCAGGCAACCAACGGCAACATGAGAAGATGTGTAAAAAAATCGACTCGCTTAACTATCATTTATACATCCCGTCAATTGTTTGCCAGTGAATGAATGACACAACTTTGTATTTCACAAACTCAGTCGGCAACCATTCAAAATCATTCAAACGAGCAACCAAATTTTCAGCTTAAAATTTGATTCGATTTAGGGCTCTGTTACTCCTTATCAACTTCGCTGTTCTACCCTTGTATCCCTTTGCAGCAACATGGACGCCACAGAATCATTATCATGCCCGTTCTGTCATTTCACTGACACTGATGCGTACTTTTTGACACAACACGTAGAATTATGTCACCCCGAAAACGGCACATCTCCATTTCTGGAGACAGAAGAAGAATCAGATATTGAAAATGCCAGAAAGCCCGGTTGGTGGCATGGTGATACGCGACTTTACACAGATGAAGATGCAGAGACAGACATCATCAAATATATTGATTGTCCCACTGGATGCGGGGAGGCTGTGACTGAGGCTCAACTAACGAGTCATTTGGATTTACATCTTGCGGAGGGACTGGCGCTAGAAGAGCTCAAGGGAATCGATGCGAAGGAATCAGACATGGAAGTACCTGGAAATATCGATCCTGAGGATTTTGAAGATGAGGAGCTGTCGCCCAAACTGAGCAAGGCACTGGGGAAATATGATGGGAAACGGCACCGCGATGCGCCAGTCTACTCAAAAACCCCAAAGCAGAAAAAGAGAACGAAAAATCCGGGCCAGCTCGGGGTATGGCATTAATATTACTGTTTCTCTTTACGCGCGTTGTGCTAATCAGGCGTACGTTCCCTGCTAACATGGAATGTGACAGACTACCGAGCTAGGGCCATACGCTCGAGAGGCCAAGATGCCTTCATGGTTGCGCAAAATGCTTGAAGAAGGCCCAGCTATTACCCGTGAGAATAGGATCCTGCCGGATGGTTCATTACGCAAGGTTGAGATCGTCTCAAATGAAACATGCGGCCTTATCCAGGTTATTGCTCGGCTTTGTCAACAAGATTATTCGGTAGAGCAAGCATACCTCTGCAGCCCTAATGTTAGGCATATATTTAAAATGCGCAAGGAGGGCGGATTTTGTGGATATCGTAACATCCAAATGCTTATCTCCTATATCCAGGACAGCCGTGCCGTGGGCTATAAACATTTCCCTAGCCGAACCCCATCGATATTAAAGTTACAGGGCATGATTGAGCAGGCCTGGGATAATGGGTTCAACAGCCATGCTAGGGTAGAGACTGGAGGAATAAAGGGGACACGCAAGTATATAGGGACCCCTGAGGTAGGTCTTTTACATATGCTACTTGTATCCACAGCTGTATATGGAAGTGCTAATCTATATTTATGAAATAGGCTGCAGCATTGTTCCAAAATTTGGAGATACCGTAAGCTGATACCCCTTTACCAAACTTGTAGTCTGATTAGTGGGCGGCTTACATTCGTACAGGTGTCGCCCTAAAGTCTGCACCGAGACTACGGAAGATAAAGCTTTTGAATCGCTTTACTTAACAGTGGCAGAGTATTTCCTCAACCATAAAGCTCCAGTTACTGAGAAGAAGGTCGTTCAAACGGACCTCCCTCCGATATATCTACAGCATGCCGGTATGGCGACTCTATACTGCTCCCCAGTGAAAAGCTTGGCTATACCGGCCGTTCATTGTAGCTGATATGTTAGACGAATAGGGCACTCGATGACTATTGTCGGATTCGAAATTCGAGATAATGGCAGCGTTAATCTCCTCGTTTTCGACCCAATGTTCAAGACATCAGCTGCAATTTCGCGGCTCATAGGGACACAGTGTACTACTGCGAAGCCTGAGACGTACCTAAAGGCGTTCCGAAGATGTAATAGATATCTACGGCAGTTTGACACATTCGAGCTGCTGATGTATGTTTTATGAACTTTCCTGAAGCGGGTATCATCTTGCTATAATATACCCTAGCTGATCACGGTACAAAATGAGTCGCGAGGTAAAAGAATGAGGAGCTTGCCATTTAGAAATGGATGATAAAGTATTGAAATCTGGATATAGAGAGGCTTCGTAGTAAATATATAACGGAGTACGCAGGGGGACTTTTGATGTTAAAATGATTGGGTCAATTGGCTGCAAGGTGGGAAATTTATCAACGCAATGTATAGCTGGAGCAGGTTTATCAAGTATGAGTATACGCAGCAGGAAATAGTTGAATACATTGATCTCACAAAGGTAGCTTGTTGAGCATCTTGTCGAAGGGTAAAAATCTCTGCTGTCAAGGGATCTGACTAAGCACAAATATTTTAAAGGGAAATTTTATATAAATTCACAAAACGTTTGCATTTAACCAAACCATAGATTTCTATATGATTGCTAGGCTCTTTTCGATTTAGAGAAATATACCATCCATCTATCATCTGGAATTCACACTTTACTTAACTTATAGCAGCTATGAGAACCTCACCGAATATTATCATCACTGGAACTCCGGGGGTGGGGAAGACGGTTCACTGCGAACAACTAGCGCAAGAGACAGAGTTGAAGCATCTACCCATCAATCAAGTTGCAAAGGAAAGAGGATGCTACGATGGCTTTGATGAGAAGCTTAAAAGTCATATCGTTGACGAGGATAAGGTAATTAATATCTGCTTCAGCTTGCGTTGCATTCGCATACTAAATCTTTAAACCAATTCTAGCTACTTGATGAAATCGAAGCAGACGTATTAAAAGGCGGATACCTAATTGACTGGCATGCGTGCGATTTATTTCCGAAATCTTGGATTGATCTTGTAGTGGTGTTACGGTGTCCGTCTACGTCTATTCTCTATGATAGATTGGCAGCAAGGTGAGCTATTCCCCTCATACCATCTGCTAGGGCAATTTTCAATAACGCATCTATTCTCTTTCTATAGATCATATTCGGAAGAAAAGCTCCAAGAGAATCTTGATGCCGAAATATTTGGGGTGCTATTTGAGGAAGCTAGAGAAGCCTATGATGAGGAGATTGTGGTTGAACTCCAGAGCGAGACGGACGATGACATCGAGAGCAATTGTCAGAGGATAAAATCTTGGATAGATTCCTGGAAGCAATCGCATGCCTCCGGCTCTAATTGATTTGTTCTAACGATCGGATCTATCATACTCCACGGTCTTCGGGCAGCCACACCAGCTTCTGAAAAAGTTGAAAGGTGCCTGGAGAATCACTGCTGCTGCTTTTGCTTCTGCTCTTCTATCCACGCCTTCAACTTCATCAACGCCTTATATCGGTGGGATATCGTGTTCTGAAGGGTATAAAGTCAGTATAGAGGGCACAGGGGAGGTAGAAAAGCAAAGTGCATTTACCTTGTACTTTGGATCCATCTCAGCATACGTCTGGCCTTCATACTCAAAGATCGGGTCCCAACCTAGTGTCCGTGGTGTCAGCCTACTATTCTTGCATATGTTTATGTGAATGTTAGGGGTCGTTAACTGACCGAAATTGGTTGATCCACGAGCGGGCACTACTTTGCCCTGATGGTTTTTTTCTCGTTGTCAGCGTTGCAAACATAGCATAAGCCAGCAGGAGGCGTCGTGAGAGGGCTACCACCCTACGCTTTACCAAAGGGGCAAGATAAATATGGCCTTGTCCACCCAATAGATATCTACTACCCCTTATTTTGTCTGACACTTAAAATAAGGCTTGCTTGGCCTCGATATATGCCTTTAAAGGGTAACCTTATAAAGCGGACAGTCTCTTGATCTCCCCCGTTGATAAACGTAGGCCCCTTAAAGGGGTTATGGTAGCCACATCCGTATATGCCACTCACCTCAGTCCTTCCCTGGAAAAGGATTGGCTCTTCTCCTGGGCCTGCACAGAATGCAAAAGTAGCAACTGTAACAGCAGATTTATCCTCGTATGGTTCCACCAATTTATTAAGCCCGACATGGCCCAACTTTTCAAGGAACCATTTACTACATGTATGATGTTAATAACGAAAACAAAAAATAACGAGAACAAAACATGGCCTGCATGGCCATGATGTATACACATTGAAAGGATATCTCACATATAAGGACCTGGCAGGCCATTCAACGCATTAAACTCCAGCGCAGTATCATCTGTCAATGCTGGCCCGTTGACCTGTATCAATCTTGAATTAGTGACCATGGCGGGAAAATAACTGTTCCCACAAGGAATTGATAACTACTCACGGCTTCAGCTGCCTTTCGGCATTTTTCCCTTGCAATGTCTTCTATTGTTCCCTGGAGCTCTGGTACATCAACCGATACGCTCTTTACCTCAATAGTGTCTTGAAGAATCGCCTGGACTTCAGCGAGTTTGTTTTTATTTCCGGTGACAAAATTAATGGATTTCATATTTATTCACTTGCCCCCAGCTGTGGTACCTGGTTGTCTGATATTGATATAACCGTGATCGTGTGTTAAGGGAAATTGATGCTCGAGTTATGAGTAACAGACCAGGTTGGCCCCCACTAGAAGTTAACTAGTTACAAATTAACCCGATCCGAACTCGAAGGGCGTTGATATCATAAGGTAACGGAGAAAGCTGCGAGCGTTCTTGAAGCTGACCAGGAAAATGTCCGATATTGTCATTAGTTTAGAGGCGAGCTTGAATAAAACGCCTCTTCTAAGCCATAACTCTCTTCTCTCTTCTCTCTACAGGTTCCCTCCTACGGGAACATCGAAGCAGTGTCTATTTTACACTTAAAAGCAAGTGACGTGCAAGAAATATAATACAAGAATATAACAACGGGCTCCTGCGAAGGATAAACAGCAGAAGAATCCCAAACAACTTTAAGGCGCATATAAATAAGAGGACCAGGATACGTGAAAAGTAGAGACGAGCATAAAACCGTTAGAAATGAGACCAAAGAACAAAGTAAAACCCCCTGGAACCAAAAGATCTCGGAAAACGGAATAGATGGTTAAACATAATATGGTCTTAACAGGAATCACACAGTCACGACAGTTAGACATTACCATGGCTCAAGCATATGAAAAAACAAAAGAAAAATCAACAAAATAATTAATGCCCTTAACGGGGGTAACAATGCATATCCATTGGACACCTTTTCAAATGGTCTTTTTCTTTGAAAACGAGGAATTGGAAACCAATGGTTTATAGAGTCAAGGGTAGTAGGGTGGATATGGGAAAGGCCAAAGGAGGATTGTTGCTCATTACGATGGGAAATGAAAAAAGGCAGAGGGAATTCAATCCTCTGGTGGTTCTCCCATTTCTAGGCTGTCAAGGCGGTCCTGCTGGGCCATTGCCTGAAGAGAAACAATTTCTGCGAGGCGCTTGAGTCGGGGAGTTTGTAGCCCTAATATTATGTCAGTATGCTAAATTGGGAATGGTTGAACATGTGTATAGAACTTACATGATGGTGTGTATGTCTCAAGTGCAGTAATGGCTCTGGGTTCAGCGATCTCGTAAGGACCACTGTCCTCCATGTCCACCGCAGTTAGAAGCAAGACATCACTCTTCTCGGTGACTCGCGATGCAACGGCTTTCATGATTTCACCGTTGATCGGCTGCTCGTAATCAGCAACAAGGTATTGGTTGAGTAGTTTCTGGATTTGGTTCGGGGAAAGCCTGTTCACATTGCGTAAGTAACCGAGTTCAACATAGGAAATGCTAATCATTGCAATACTTACATCCAGCAGATATCCTGGATTATCTCTATGTCGTTCAGAGTGGCCTTCTTCAGCTGAAGTAGCTTGGTTGCTTGCTGTAATGGCATATATAGTTAGAAGTGAAACTAAGAGAGATTGGGGTGACGGAGACATACCATCAAGTGCTCCAACTGCAGTGTACCCTCTGGCATATCGTGACTCTTGCACCATTCCTCGATACGGGTAATGTTGTAATTAATTTGTAATCCTCGCTTCCATGAGAGGAAATTGCGTCGCATAAGCAAGTCGTTAAAGGCAGTGACACCAACTAGTCGGAGAAGCTCTGTGACAGCCTGAGTCACAATAGAATCTTCAAGGTAGTATGCTTTCATAGCCTTGAATACGTTGTTCAACAAACTGAGAAGGTTGTCCATGCTGTATGCAGGGTTGTTGTTTGAAGGGAGGAGTTTTCCAAGGAATCTGTTCGTCTCGCTCGTGACAAATCCAGGAAGGGACTGAGACTCGATGATAGCAGGGACAATCATCTTGAAGAGCTTCTTCTTTAATCCCTTCATCCAGGTGTGATAGATGTTAAACTCTAAGGATTCTAAATCGTGCTTGACGATCTCCAAGAGGCGGTCATATTCGTAATTGTCCGTCTTTTGGGCTTCGTACCAGTCTTCCGCAAGGAAGACGAAGGACAGCATTTCGTGGACGTTCGAAAGCCAGAATGCGCCAGCGCTGATTGTATCTTCGCTATCGTGCTGCATAACCTCCTGCTGAATGGCCTGCATGACATTGGCAAGGAAGCGTTCAGACTCCTTCACGAAACCATTATTCCACATCTCAGATGTGACCAGGTTGATGAGATAGGAGGGGAACAAGACCTCTTTCTCAGTTGGTGGTGGATCAGAGCTAGGAAGAGGGATCTTAAGATTCTTGATGAGCCCCATAGTGACTTCGTCGTTAAGCTCATCTTCCTCGGAAAGAAGATTCTCAAGCTCGATCTCAACAGAGTCAATTCCAGGGGCGAATGCTGAAGTTCGAAAATCATTACGACCGACTCCGCCGGTGGGTATGGCCATAGAGACAGGTCTTGGGTTATAAGCCCCGCTGAAACGATCGATTTCAACCTTTTCGAGCCCTGCACTGCGTCTCTTTGGTTTAGGTTTCTTCGAGGCAACCAAGTTGATCAAGCCTGACAGACTAGGCTGAGTAGGGCCTCCATTCAAGTCTCCATTAAGGCCGTTGAGAGGAGCCGACCTCTTGGCAAATTCAAGCTCATCTTGTAGTTCAACAACCTGCTGGCGGAGATAGGTCTTCTCCTGTTCGTGCACAGCAATGGCATTTTTGGCATTATCAAGCTCCAGGCTGGTAAGACGAAGGGTTTCTCGGGTCGACCTCTCTTCCTCTTGTAGCTTCTTGACTGTTGCGAGCGACTCATTATGATTGAGCTGAAGTTTCGACATTTCTTCTTCCATAGCTGTCAGACGGGCAGCAGTGATACCAGCCTGGTTAGCCTCGGCTTGCAGCTCACGGGATCGAGCTTCAAGAGCGTTATGCCGACTTCTCCAGGATTTAATTTGTCCATCGTAGTTCTCAAGCTGGGAGGTCAATGACTTGTTCTGCTGTTTAAGGGAGCCGAGAGACTGAGTCAACTCCACGACCTTATTTTCCAATTTGTATGATATCTGCTTGAGATCACGAGCTTCTTCGCGGAGAGTCTTATACTGCCGACGAGCTTTCTTACCACGCCACAAGTTCTGTACAATGACAACCTTGCGGCGATAATCTCTCCACTTGCGAAGCTGTCGCCATGTTCTGAACGACCGTTGAATAACCTTTGCAGCGTTTCCAAGGATACTGTCCATGATGTTTCTGCGGCAGAGGTAACCCCTGGCCAACGACTCGACAAGTATGACATTGTTTCTGATCCTGTGGTAGTATTTCCGGTCCTTCTGGCCTCTCCAAACTCGCTGGATAGTGGTTGCGGCTTTGACCTGGCGAGCGCCTTCAGCGTGCTGTCTCGCCAAGAACCCTCGGATAAGGCCTTGGAAGGCAAGGATAGAGTCACGCATAGCAAGGTACTTTCGTCGGTAGTATTTGCATTTGAGATTTTTCTGGATCATGATTGCGCATTCGTTCAATCGTGAGGTACGAAGGTTCTCCAGGAACGCAAGCATACCAGCTCGGAAGAAGATCTTAGTCAAACCAAGCTGGTACTTGTCCTGCTGTTGCTGCGTAATGTCGCCCAAGGCCTTTGAAAGAATAGCATGGCACATGGCTCGGATTTCGGACGTCCATTGCGAGGAATGGCAGAGCATGTAGTATCTGAGCGCAAACTCTTCATAAGTCCATCTGGTTGGATAACCAGCACAACTTATTCGCACGGTCTCGAGAACACCGCAAGCTCGCAGTTGGCTGAGAACCATAGGGCCTTCAAACTTCCAGGCTTCCTTTGCTTCGTTTGGTTTGATACATCGGATGTAATGGACATCAGTGGAGTTTATCGTGTTCATAAGCTCGATGAGGGAAGATTTGAAGATACCTCCGAGTGTAGGCTTGCGGTTGACAGCAACACCAATTTTCCTTCCAGGAGCCGCAACTGGCCTCGAGGACATTGAGGCAGAATCCTTCTCTCGTATGGCTGATGCGGCTTGGAGGACATCCCTGATAAAGGTGTTGGAAGAGTTACGAAGAACTTCCATGTGTTCATCGGGGACAGTGTCTCTGTTCTTCTCAATGAAGCCGTCCGACTCATAGGTAACATCAATAGCATAATGGCAGACGGTGAAGGAGGACTTGCCAAACCGGGGTTTTTTGTAGAACTTTTGCTTATCAGCTGCAAAGTTGTGGTGTAGCTTGTTGACAAACTGCTCATCGGCACCCATTGGCAGTCTGGACTCCTCATCAAGCAAAGCTAGAATACCAAGTTTGCCTTCGATAAGGTCGATACATGGCTGATTGTCAGAGAAATTGATAAAGGTCCAGTCGATCTGTTCCCGAACGTATTCTTCCTGCTCGAGCTTGAAAACATGTTGGTTGAATTCCTGCTGCAACTTCTCGTTTGCGTAATTGATACAGAACTGTTCAAAGGAATTCTTTGCGAAATGCTCGAATCCATAGATATCAAGGACACCAATGAACGAAGTAGCTCGGCTGAGAACTTCTTCGGTTGCCAAACTGCGGTTGATGGTCTCAACCAACCAGTCAAAGAGACTGGAGTAGATGAATTTGGCGACTGAATCCCTGACAACAAGAGCCTGCGCCTGATTGAGGTTAGAGATAATTTTCTCTCCTCGGGTAACCAGCTGTTTCTTGACGGTCCATTTAGCAAACTCAGTTGCATCAATACCCAGCATTTCACAAGTTCGGACAAGAGATGGCTCAGTTGGCTCGAGGGAAGAGTCATTCCTGGTAGCGACGATCTTGACGTTACCGAGGTGAAGTAAGGCAGCCAGGATCTTAAAAATAGAAGCCTGTATTTCATCATCCAAACCGATTGTGGTGAGAGATTTCCTCGTAGCCTCCAATTCGGCCTTATCGTCCACACCGTCGATTACGGGTGTCCCTCCCTGGTTCAGATAGTCAAACTCTTCGACGGCTAAAAGGCCCAGCTCCTGCCTCTCAGCGTCGGTAGCACCGGCGATAAGTTGATAGAAGATATGATAATTTCGTTCTTTCAAGGGTTGGAAGACCAGCCTCGACCGTTCTAAAAGGTATGTTCTGATTTTTGCACCTATAATATTCGTCCTATTATCGAAAAGGATTTCAATATATTTACCAAATCGTGATGAGTTATCGTTTCGCGTTGTCTTTGCGTTACCAAAGGCTTCCATAACGGGGTTTGTGGCTAGAATTTGCTCTTCGGTTTCACTGATCGAGTCAGCCCGTCCGGTAGAGTATGAGCCGGGGTTATCTGAAGTTTCTCGCGTGGCAAAGTATCTCATTATATACTTTGCGCTGACGGTCTTTCCGGCACCGGATTCTCCAGATACCACGATAGTTTGGTTTTGCGTATCCCTCAACATGTCTCTGGCCGTGGAAAATTAGATATGTCAAACAGTAGATATGGATCGGGGGGTGTATCTCACGCAAAAGCTTCTTCCGCAATAGCAAAAAGATGGGGAGCTTGCGAGGCTCGCTGCTTTCCAGCATAAACTTGAACCATCTGCGGGACATAGAGAGAATCAACGCGTGCGAACGGGTTGGTCGCTATAAGCACGATACCGGAATATGTATAAATTTCTTTCTGGTAGTACCGTAGCTTAATAGCCTGGAGGACTATAGGAGAGTAACTGTAAGCGTAAATCCCGGTATAGCTATGTTATCTATAGGTTTGAGCATACCAGCTGGCTCGTTCAAATGAGACAAATTCGTCAAATCCTCACTCGCTTCTAGCATCGTCGGATTCATCAACGGTGGCAGTTTTTCACCCGTATCCGAGGCCAGCTCCGCCAGCGTTGTCTCGGTGGTTTTCGTCTACCAAAAAAAGATAGTGTTAGTCCAAGCTACACCCAGTAGAAGAAAGCTCGAACAGGGCTCACCTCGCCATTCTCCAAGGTAAACACCAGCTTCACTTTCTCCCCATCCACCACTTTTTCGGTCACCTCGGACGCAATCCATCCCTCAGTAGGGTCTGGTTGCCACGCCCGCGTGCCGACCTCATATGTATGCACCATTGCGCGTATTCTGGTACCGGCAGGATTAGAAAATAGTAAATAACACGAAAAAGACCACGATCACGGTCAACGTCACGGCTATGGTCAACGATATCGATATCAAGAAATCAGGTAAAAACGTTTCACGTAGCCCGCGTGTGGGTCTAGAGCATGGTGTTCAAAGGCGGAAAAAAAAACGTGTGACGAAGGCTCTTTCGAAGGCGCTCTTATGGCTTTCTTTGCTAGTCTTTTGGTTCCAGAATTAGAATAACAATGGGTGTTATAAAAAAAAAGGAGGTATAAAGGAGATCGCTGGCCGCCGGAGTAGAAAAAAAAAGTAGTAGAATGACAAGCGATGACGACAGCTCCGACGGAGGGCCAAACGTCTCTCTCGCACAAGGCCGTTAAGAATAAAGGGACGGAAACGGGACGAAGGAGGCCAGGTTAGCAGGTTCTCAAGTCTGCTTTTGGAGCGTAGAAATAGCGTCTGGTTAGGATGTTCGACTTTCTTCAAGCCCCTTAAAATAAGGAATTATTAGCGCAATCGCGAGGAGGTCGTTGAGTCTGTGTAGAGTCACGTGGAGTGCTTTTATCAAAATGTTTCATCGACCAATCTCGGAGTATTTATTAGGGGTTTTTGTTTCTACAAGAGTCGACGGGTGTACGGAGTTGAATAATATACCTGCTCGCCTCTATTAGTTATGATAAACTATACGTGCTGGGCTCGAGTGGTGCCAAGGGGGCGTTTCACATCGTCATCTGCTGTGCTGTCAAATACGAAGAGCGGTGGAAGAGGAAGTGGACATGAAGGTGGGAAAACTTTTATTGTGCATGGCCAATAGTACAGACCATAAGGCAGGAGATAATAATAAGAAACATAAGCCAAGTTCGTGCAGCCGGCCCTCGTCGAGTTCTCTAGATAAGTTGAGGAAAAGAAAAAAAAGAGGCCTTGAGAAAAGATGAAGAAGATGCACTTTGGTTAGGGGAGTAAAATCTGTTGTTGGGAGAAAATAGATCTTATAGAAGAAGCCCCGACGCCTATTCACTTATCACCGTCATCTAATCCCTACTCAGGCTCGGCTCTTCTATGCCAAAGAGGGAGGTAGGAATCATGTATCATGCAAAGGAAAGAGGAAACATGAGATGAAAGTAAAGCAGGTCAGAGCTAAGAAATAGAAAGGGAGGGGGAAGAAAAGAGAATAAAAAGTCCTGATATTTTGATATTAAAGTTACTATGATTTGGGGAAAAAGGAGTCGTTATTGCACGGAAAAGAAAAAGGAGGTGGAAAAAAATGCACATAGAAACAAGAGGGAGGTCAAATTATGGAAACGGAGAGAAAGGTGTTGGATTAGCGAGGAAGTAAGGTAGACATGCAAAGGTAACAGATGCAACATTTCATCGGATGGGGAAAAGGGAGATGGAGAGGACAGAGAAGGGAAGAAGAGACGTCGGATAGGTAGGATGGGGGAGGGTAATGGAGTATTGTTTGGAGGTAGAGTGATAAGACAGCTTTTTTTTTTGGTTCTTTTTGTTCAGTTCAGATGATATCTTTTTAATCAACATGTTTCTTTCTTTTGGTCACTCTGTTTTCGTCGTCATGTTTATTTTTTTTTTCTTTTTAAATTATTTAGCTTTGTTTGCACTCGGTGGCCTCCTTCTTGGGCTTCGAACCGTCATCCTATCATAGTTGTTAGTAAAGCCTTCGAGGCCTAACTTGGAGAAGGCCACACGTACCTCTTCATCAGAGTCCTCCTCATCGTCACCTCTTTTGTCGTCTTCATCGTCGTCATCGTCATCGTCGTCATCATCTTCATCATCATCCTCATACTCGCCTTCAAAGGTGTCCTCGAGTTCTTCATACTGTAGAGCCTCGCCGGTGAACCAGTCGATGGCTCGGGGGATGAGTTTCTCCTTGATATCTTCACCGAGCTGGTAGTCGAGTTCGAGACGCTCTTCGATATCGGAAGCAACGTCATCGTCGTCTTCTTGTGGGGGTTTTGGTGGAGAGAAGAAGTTGAAGAAGGATTCGGTGGGGACGGTGACCTTGACGACGCGGGTCTGCTTGGTGTCTGCAGGGTGTATGGTCAGCATGGGGAGCTTTGAATGGCTATGGTTTCGAACCGGACTTACTCTTGTTACGTTGTTTCTTGCTCTCTATCCGGACAGTGAGATCTTTGCCCTCCTTCCAGTCGATCTTCTCACCCTCGGCGTGGTCGTAGATAAAGTCTCCGCCATATCCGTTCTCTTCTTGGTAGTAATAGCTCTTGGCAATGGTCTTGTTGGTGAAGAACTCATTCTCGCCGAACTCGAAGATGAGTCTGAAGCCAGGGCGGTCCAGGTACTCCATGCGAATGTCTGTTAGCTCCTTGAGGGCGCCCTCGTCTCTGTCGGTAATCAGCTCAGCAAGAGAGATCTGGTTCTTCATGGCAGACAGCCAGAACTCTGGAATACCGGTGGCAGGCGTCTCCTCGGATTCGACGGGGAGCTGCTTTGCCTCATTCTGCTTCTTCTCGTCCTCCTCCTCGTCCTCATCACGCTTGCCGGCCTCGACTTCTGCATCTGTGGGTTCGGCGCCACCGTTGACGATGGCAGAACGACGCTGGTAGAGAGGAGTGTACTTGGCAAAGTACTTCTTCTCAAGCTGCAGGACTTCTTCCTGGAAAGCGGCTTCGAGCTTGGCGTGCTCAGTCTGGATGCCCTTGAGGCCTGCGACGCGGCGGCGGACGGAAGCTGGAAGGGATTCGATGTAGCCGGATGAGCGGCCGATGATAGATCCTAGTTTTCCCTGGATCATGGAAATGAGCTTAGGGTTCTGCGAGAAGAGGGTGGCAGCGGCCGCTCGGTCGAGATCCTCTACACTGACTGTCAGCGGCTACAAATATATATTGCACAAGAAAAAAGCATAAAACGACATAATTTCCTTTTTTAAAAAACCAGGACAGGGAAAAAAAGAAACTAGAATTGCACAGCGGCACACACCTTCTTTAATGCTGGCGATGCCAGGTTGCTGGGCGTGGGAAGAAATAGGGGCGTTGTTCGCGGGCGTGTTCTGAGGGGTTCTTCAAAGTACGGTCAGCCAGGCCGTTGACGATACAACAACTTTCGGATAACACTTACGGTGCGGTCACCTCAGCCTTCTTGCTTCTGATGGGCTCAGACATCGTGATAAACAGACAGTAGAGAGTGTGTATGAAGTAGACTGGACGAGGTTCGTGGTGGTTGCGGGTGGTGAAAGGGAAGAAGACGAAGGCGGTGGTTTATTTTTTTTTTTTTTCTCAAGCGGTTTTTCAAAGACTTAATCAAGAGCAAACTTTGGTGGGCTACTTTTTTTTGGCGTGGATGCGACTATCACGGATCGGGCAATAAGGCTTGGCGTTTGATACAGAGAGAAAAGGGAGCAGATGCAAGACGATGATGTTGATATAACATATAACGGTAGAAGATGAGTCGAACGGAGAGAGGAGACGGTTGGTTGCTATGGTTGGGCTGTGCTAGGCTATCCGTTAGACGCCCTGGGCCCGGTCGACAGGCATATAGTTATGTACAGGCTCTTGTTATAGCGTGGCTCTACAGGGCAAGCTTGCTTCCGTCTTCCGTCTGTCATCTGTATTCGAGACATGGATGGGCTGGGAGAGGCAAGCCCTGGTTATATGACAGTTAACTACTGATAGGTTACCATCCTACTGCAGACGGCCTCTCATATCTACCCCATAGTAGGGTTTGGCACGGCTTGGTCGGTTCTCTGTATATATATACTATACTCTCTAGCCATCCCACTCTTCTCCTCATCCTATTCTCTCTCCTCCTGCGTTCCTCTTCATCGTCCTCATCTTATCCTCCTTGTCTTCTCCATGTTTTTTTGTCCCGCAAGCTCCAAAGGCTTATCGCATCACGTGGAGATAAGATCCTTGACCCCGTGACTTGGTCGTTCTCCAGTCATTTTCGATGGTTTATCAAAAGCTGAAGCTTCGAGAGCTTGAAGAGAAGTTGTTTACTACCTCTCGAGCTCGGCCTATAGCAGCTGGAGACGTCTTATTTGGGGCCAGCTAGGATGCATTGTAACCCCCTGATCCGCCCCAGATGGATGACGAACACATCAGCCGCGAGGACCGTCACGATGGACCTCGATCGCAGAGCATCTACCGCGGCAGCTTCATGCGGAGCAGGTACCCATCATCACTATTCCTCCAGCTGGAGACGGTAGTATAGGCTAATTATTTATAGAACCAGTCTCTTGTCCGATGTAGAGATGGCACAGGATGAAGTGAGCGTTACTATTTCACATGGTAGAAGAAAGAGGATAGCTAATTAACCCCGGCGCGAAGGTCTATGCCGGCCCGATATCAGAAAGCATTCCCTCGAGCGTTGCTTCGTTCGTCCGCCGTCGTTCTCGTCGTGAGTCGAATGTCAGCTTCACGTACTTCCAGGAGAATAATGGCTCGTTTGTCTGGCCGGATGACCGTGACGAAGAGGTGGTCGTCGAACCGGAGCTTGAAAACGGCGACTTGCACGTACACCGCATCCCGTCAGACGAGCACGAAGACCACGACCATGAACGAGACGATGATGGTGTTCAGGAATCCGATGTAGAAACTCCCTTTCGCCCGTCTAGCTACTTCGGCCCCACTCCCTCGCATGACTCGGCGGAAGACCCTCTGCTCTGGCGTCGTGCGTCATCCACGGACCATCCCGGCGGAAAGGCAGCAGATGGCATAGTTAGCCAGAAGATATACATTGCCTCCGAGGACCTGACGGCTGCCATCGCCGGGTTCTCAACCAGCATGGCTGGCTTGGCCACCTACCTTGCCATCTGTATCTTCTCCTGTGGCCTGGGCTACCTTGTCTTTCGATGGGTGCCGAGATGGCGAGTATCGCTGGTAGGTACGCCCACGCCACTGTATAAGTGTCAGTGGGTAGCTATAGAAAACCAATGGGGTCAATTCACCATACAGGATGTTCAGAACCAGCCCTATGGGCGCCAGCTCTCTACCGTCTTCGGGCGAGTAAGCAAAGAAGGTACGGCTGCTAACTACGAGTATGATGACGATCCTATGATGCCAAACTTGCGCTACCTGGATTACCATTATGTCCGGTTTTTCTATCAGCCCGTACAAGACAGGTTCAGTATCAGCGGAACCTGGGCGGACCCTGCGTGGGCGGATGTGAAGCTGTTACGGCGTGGGTTGGATGCAGATGAAAGAGAGAGCCGTGAGCAAGTCTTTGGCGCAAATATTATTGATATCCAGGCCAAGACGATTCCGCAGATATTGGTTGATGAAGTGAGCTTCTTCTCTTTTGACTTTGATCATATGCAAGTTCCCAAGTACTGACTGCTCTGTAGGCGTTTCATCCATTCTACATCTTCCAAATTGCTAGCTTGACCCTTTGGTCAATGGATGAGTACTATTACTACGCTACCTGTATCTTCTTTATTTCTGTTTTCAGCATCACGGCAACCGCTATTGAAACCAGATCGGTAGGTGGCCTCACCTTTATCCACTGATATCCACTTTGCTGACTGTTTAGACTATGCGGCGTTTACGTGAGATTGCACATTTTGAGTGCGAGATAAGAGTTCTAAGGAGTGGATTCTGTAGGTTTGCTCTTTGGAACATCCTATATCTAGTTCTAATATTTATGGCTGTATTCAGGGACCACCGTACCCTCAACTGAGCTCATACCGGGCGACGTTTTCGAGATTTCCGACCCCTCGCTATCTCAGATCCCGTGTGACTGTCTTCTTCTCTCCGGAGATTGTATTGTTAACGAGAGCATGCTCACAGGTTGGCAAATATCGCCTCTCCTTTCCCCTATAATAAGTCTCTCTAATGCTCTAATAGGTGAATCCGTTCCAGTCTCGAAATTCCCCGTAACTGATCACTCTCTGGCCCAGCTTAACCTAGCTGCAACATCTGTCGATCCAGGGGTCGCCAGGCATTTTCTGTTCTGCGGCACAAAACTCATTCGTGCTCGCCGACCGCAGGATCCCGCAGACGATGAAGCCGCTGCTCTCGCCATGGTTGTGCGGACAGGCTTCAACACTACTAAAGGTGCACTTGTTCGGTCAATGCTGTTCCCTAAACCATCAGGGTTTAAATTCTACCAAGACTCTTTCCGCTATATTTCCGTGATGGCTGCTATTGCGGCTATCGGATTTATCGTCTCTTTTGTGAATTTCATTCGTCTAGAGGTAAGATTTCCATCATCACTATTTATAATAGTATTTAATGTATTCTCCAGATTGTCTGGCACACCATCATTGTCCGGGCACTTGATCTTATTACCATTGTCGTGCCACCCGCTTTACCTGCGACACTTACTATTGGCATCAACTTTGCAATATCCAGGCTCAAGGCACAGCAGATATTCTGTATAAGTCCGCAAAGGTATTATTAAACTACAATTAGACTAAAACGGTCTTACATGTCAAAGGCTAAACTTTATAGGGTCAATGTTGCTGGAAAGCTTGACGTTGTCTGCTTTGACAAGACTGGAACCTTAACCGAAGATGGCCTCGATGTGCTTGGAGTTAGACTCAGCCATCAACGAGAACAAAGGCAAGAAGCCTGTTCATACTATACACCCTTGGCAGATAATTAACTTCCCCTTTGGATATAGGTTCAGCGAGCTTCTAACGGAAGCGCCTCTCATTCTCCCCCAGTTACGATCTGATCGTGATCCTACTCAGGACTATGGCCCTAATACAGCAATTCTTTACACCATGGCGACCTGCCATTCACTGAGGATGATAGATGGAGAACTAATAGGCGACCCCCTCGACGTTAAAATGTTTGAATTCACAAACTGGTCATACGAAGAAGGTAGTCACAATACTGCTGAAGTCTACGAGGATTACGAAAATATATCTCCGTCTGTTGCGAGATCTCCACTAAATTTTGTCCCCTGGGGTGACGCTGGGGCGGCGAATGTGAGCTTGATATACTTTAAAACCGTTTATCTCCCGTTCTAACTCCATGATATCTAGCAGTCGAACGACACAACTGAGCTGTCAATCCTTCGTATCTTTGAATTCGTTTCTCAACTCCGCCGATCCAGTGTTGTAGTCCGACAGCCGGGCAGTGACGGTGTCGACATCTTTGTCAAGGGCGCCCCAGAGTGCATGAAAGACATCTGTAATTCTAAAAGCTGTCAGTATCCAAACGCTCAATATCTAGTTCCTCAGTGTACTAACCTCTGTTAAAGTACCGCCCGACTTCTCGGAGTTACTCAACTACTATACCCACCGTGGATTCCGAGTCATCGCCTGTGCAACAAAACACATTCCACAATTTTCCCTCAGGGATATCTTTTCCATGAGCAGAGCAGATGCCGAAACAGGCCTGGAGTTCATTGGATTCATTATTTTCGAGAACAAGCTTAAACCCACTTCAAAAGGGGTCATTACCGAGCTACATGACGCCGGTATTCGTAGTGTGATGTGTACAGGCGATAATATTTTGACCGCAGTCAGTGTTGCCAGGGAATGCGGCTTTGTTGAAGGGTCAGCTCCATGTTTTATTCCATACTTTGTTGAAGGTAAGTGTCAACTATGGATAGCTTGAGAAGATTCATTCCATATTCTAACATGTAGCTAGGATGTTCTTCGGATCCAAACTCTCGCCTCTGCTGGCAGAGCATTGATAATCCGGACCATCAACTTGACGAAAACACATTAACGGTAATTATGTCAGATGAATTTTTTTTGGATTCGAGCGCTAATTTTCATAGCCTCTTCCCCATAGTACTGGAGCAGATGTTTCTGTCCCATACCATCATTTCAATAAACCCAATTACGCCATCGCAGTATCTGGGGATGTGTTCCGTTGGGTAGTCGACTATGGTTCCGAAGAGGTGCTGAATAAGGTATGAACCGCATCACTAAACGCCTTTGATAGCAATGTCTAATCTAAAAACAGATGCTCGTCCGAGGCCAGGTTTTTGCTCGAATGTCTCCCGATGAGAAACACGAGCTCGTCGAGAAGCTTCAATCACTCGACTACGACTGTGGATTCTGCGGTGATGGTGCAAATGATTGTGGTGCCCTAAAAGCTGCAGACGTAGGCATCTCTCTTTCTGAGGCAGAAGCTTCAGTAGCCGCACCATTTACTAGCAGAGTATTTGACATCTCCTGTGTACCAAAACTCATCAGGTATGTGATTGCACTTGTATTGAAACCAATCTGCTCTTCTTCTCTAATAGGAATATAGGGAAGGAAGAGCGGCACTAGTTACGAGCTTTTGCTGCTTCAAGTATATGAGTCTTTACTCTGCGATCCAGTTTACTTCCGTCAGCTTCCTTTACGCAACTGCCTCGAATCTAGGTGATTTCCAGGTAAGCTTTCCAAATCACTTTTGCTGAGGCCAGCCTATTCTAACTATACGGTATAGTTCCTATACATTGATCTTGTGATTATATTGCCCGTTGCTATCTTCAGTAAGTACCTATTCACCCACACGCAGATGGGCTGTAGTTAACCCTTATTAGTGGGATGGATTGGTCCGAGTCCGGTGCTCTGTCGCAAGAGACCAACTGCAAATCTTGTATCGCGGAAGGTCTTGACTCCTCTATTAGGGCAAATCCTTATATGCATACTTATTCAAGCCACTGCATACGAGACTGTTAAAATCCCCAAATGGTAAGATCGTACTCTTCCCACACTATTGTCCGTTTTCCTGTTTCGAGTATTAATCGTTTCTAGGTACATTCCACCAAAAATAAGCCACGAGGAGACCAACATAAAAAACTCTCAAAACACTGCACTCTTCCTTGTCTCTTGCTATCAGTACGTGTTGTCTGGTGTAGTGCTGAGTGCCGGTAAACCATTCCGGAAACCAGCAACTTCGAATGGTACGTTTTTTCTTCATTTATGCCGAGTCCCAACATCAAGCTGTAACTAATGGGATTATTTTAGTTCCGTTCGTTACCACAATTATTACCATTCTTCTTTTCTCCTCGTATATGCTCTTTCAGCCCGCAGATTGGCTGTATAAGCTGATGGAGTTGACATACATGTCTCCTGAGTTCAAGATCTGGATTCTAGTTCTTGCATTGGGTGGTTTCACGGCTGCCTGGGTTTGTGAGAATCACGTATTCCCTAAACTCGCTCGCGGCATCGGCCGCTTAAGTCGTTGGTTACGCCCGCATACCAAAAAGCAACGCCGCCGATATAAGGTGCTGCTTGAAGGCGGGCCGTAATAAGTTTCTGGAGCTTTTATATATAGATGTTTTGGCCTTTTTTTTTTGCACATATATGGAAGTACCAGTTGGCCAAGCTTGTTGTATTGGGAGTTAGGCATTTTTCGATACCTTTATGTTTTAATAGAGATCAAGACATTGCGAGTATGTATAATTATATTTACCTAGCAGAGAAGGGGTGCTTACTTCTACGAGTTTTATTCAGCAGACGCGTGGTAAAAAAAGATTGTTGAACAATGCTTTCTATGAAATATATACATCATGCGGGGGCGCAGAAAGTGTGGTTCCTGGTGATACAAGGAATTTATCGCAGATAATTGCAGAAATTTTTCTGAGCATACGAGGCATCATTATGGAGAGAAGCCTCATCCTTGCTTCATGCTGCCGTTTTGGGATTCGATATTATGCCCGCGTGATAGCCGGAGTGATACTACCCTGTATTCCTTGCGATAAACGAATAACCGGCGAAAAACGAAGAAACGCAAGCGAGTTGTTTAATGATCCCATGGGTGTTTCCAGCCGAGGAGCACAGGGCCGTCTTTCTTTGCGCGGTACATCAACTACATTGAATATGTCTGATTAGTTGACCGAAGTGAACCATTGACAGGCTTGTCGTAACATATTCAGAAGCGTATCATTCAAAAACATACCCAGAACCACATACTGGCACCGAGAGCAGTTGCAGCGAATCTGTATAGCGGTGGGCCTGGAGGCACCTTGATAGGGTGATTGTTGGTAGAAGGCATGGTCGAGGGACTGCGGTCGATCGTCTGCAGCGGAAGAATAGGTTAGAAATGGTCCAGATAGCACAATTAACCGAATTCAACTTACCTGAATAATCCTACCAGGTTTCCAAGCTATGATTATACAACGAGACTCTGGTTGTCGGTGATTGTGCCGGTTGTTTGAGCATCTCCAGGCGCTGACCTCACGCTCGACATTTTCGGTAACTGGAAAAACAGAAAGGCCGGCCTGATGCTTATATAATCACACCGATCACATGATCGAGGTACCCGCACTGATGACGTCATGCGCCAACCAATAAAACCGACAACTTCTTTTTTCATCCTCAACTCTCTGTATGCTATCTCTATCCTACCCCTGAATATGACCAAAAGATCACCATAATAGCAGAAAATCGGCCCTTCCAGATCATGACTGAATACCCCACAAGGGCCTGTAATCTACAAACTGATACCCAACTTTTAGCCGTGCAATAACAATCATGGACTCTCTCAAGAAGATCGCTAGCACAAGGCATCTACTTCTCCTGAACATTCCCCCAGCTCATCCAGCTCTTATACCCCAAGTATCCACGCTGATAGTCAGCCGTTGTCACCTTCTTCCTCTAGTCCAATTTCATTGTTGAACGAACCGCGACGTTATACTATGCATACCCCAGGCGCATCTGACATCAACCGTCAGTTAACATCCACAGCTAACTATCGTGGAAGGTCTAATTTCACCAACATATAGGCTAGTTTGATGCCTAATCAACCTTTCCAATTCCGCCGCGGTCCAGGCCTTACCTATGACATCGATACCTTGCTGTGGGTAAGATTCATTATCTAGTTTCATCAGCGGTTTTAGAAAGACGGGCACTCATCGGGCGCTCTCGCAATACCGCTGAGATGTGATTGGGATACATAATTTACTACCCACCCATCCTGTCCCCAACAGCCGACCTGGCCGATCCGATTTCGCTGGCAATACAGATATGTTGGAGTTAAATAGGCTCGGGCAATTAACCGCGATGCAAGCTAGGAATCTTCCGGCAAAAGACGAAGAGGGGTGAAGAAAAGCAACACCAGGAAGAAGTGAGCCTAACTCTAATGGCTTCACTCTTATTGCAGCTATAGCTCTACTAATTACCCATGTTGACTGACCAGCATAACCACGGACAAGGCGGCCGAGGCACTAGCTTACTTACACGCCAGCGAAATAGCGACAGTGCCATGGTTGGGTAGGGCATTCAAAGCTTAACACCGTTGCCCTTAGCAAATGTGCCTCAAATGTGCCTAAGAGGCTTCTGATATATAAAACTAACTGGCACTGGCTGGAGTACCTAATATAGGGCCATACGTATCGCAATTACTGACTACTATCGATGACGCAGTGCAACATCAGTACTTATGTCCCGGATTAACAGCAGCAGTGTAAGACTGACTATTTCAAGCCGTAAGTATGACCTTTTGGATGCCTAATTAGGTATGAATACCTGTACCCACGCTAATAGGCTACCACTTCTCATCGACAAGAGTCCTGCTTGTGTGATCGGTAAGAGTCAAGCTTGCTCATCCCTCTTCCCCTCAATAATATTAGCCCACAACAGTGGCTGAACACCCCGGGGGTACATTGAACGTCTTTACACCATCCCTATGCAGAACATGCGCCGATTCGGCCATCAGCGAATTTAATCCCATTTCACTAACCCGATAGGCGAACCAGCTAGTGATCAGCTTAGATCATCTAGCGGGTGTAGATGTAGAGCGCCAACTATTACCATCACTCCGCTCGGCGAGCAAGAACAGCCCTCTAGTGACGAAAAATGCCACCTACCAATCCGCGAGGCTAGCAAGAGTATACCCATATAGCCAAACTTGCCGTGGCCGGCTTTAATGCTACAGCTATGGACTTGCCTGATGCTATATCTATGGAGAGTGGCTCTGTTGTAGATGTGCCGTTTGGTGAAACATTTGACAACGTTGCATATAGCCTCAATGCTACATAAAATGCCGCTAGCGCACTCAGTGAGGATGTGATAAGACGGACGCCTTTGCGATCTCCAACCTTGAAGCAAACAAAACTAGATTATTCTGAAACTATCCCTAGGGTTTAATATCCGAAAACTCACCTCAACCTGTGTTGGCACATGTTATAAGGATGAGAGCCCTCCCAAGGTCATTTTAAGCGGATTTATTCTGGTTTCTATGAATTAATGGGTCTAGAAATAGAGTAGGTATACGTAGAAAGGATCGCGTATGGGCAGCTAGCTGGAAACCTAAGCAAGACATAAGTGGACAAGGGTTCATATGGTGGAATTGGCCAGCTATGCATGGGCAGTCCCTAAATTAGAGGTTGATGGCCACATATTGAGGAACACTTCCAGGAATATCTAATATCGTACGGAGAAGTTGAATGTTTACTTCGAATGTGAGTTAACTGTGGCATCCAACCAAACCTTAGCCTGTTTTCAACTAACCAGTTGATACTTAAACGGCGACTCAATTACCAGAGCTGACTGGCCGTTTGGTATATTTTATTGGTGCAGATTTTTCAGGCTGTTCTGAGCTTTTTTAACAACTACGCCTTGAACACCCTTTGCCAGGCTCTGTCAGTCGGCGATCTGTTGATCTTGATAAGTGCAAACTACTCACGCCTGGGCTGGCTGAATTCTCTAGCATCATGCAGATTCTGGGCCTGAAGAAACCCGGCATCAGCATGCCGCAGAGCGCCATCTTCCCGCTCTGTACACTCTGTACGCCCTCAAGCAGCTGGTCAGGATCAAGACCCCTCTTCGATCTGCGACTCGGAATGCACCCAAAAGAGATAACAGAGAGACAATCGTGGGCCGACACATGAGCTATAATTTGCATCTTTACACAGTGAGGCTTCTGTCTGCTGGGTATGACAGCAGATTTTCATTACAGCTACCTACGGTCACACAAGGGAGGTGACAGCCCAGAGAGAATGGAAATACCAATATTGGGCCATCTCAAGAACCATGGAATAGTTATTATTATATATATACTATATGTATATATATTTACGATTCTACCCCGACGGAGGTAGTCTCAGCTTCTTTCACACCCCAGCATTGCAGCGCTATTGTAAAGAATGCTTTTTCCAACTATTTTCTCAGCGCTTCTCCAGTCAACCGTGCTGGTTGCTGCATCGGCAATACCCCCTGTACCTAATGCAGGGGGCAATGGCGGTGATACTACCAGTCAACAGACCCGTGGGATTACGATTGCTAGTGAAAGCCAGTATTGCAATGACAAGGCAACTGAGCTATTCAGGGAGAATCCAGAAGCTACCGCAGCTGATGCGGTAAGTTAAGCCCACAACAAAACGATATATCCAGATTGATACCCATTCCTGTGATGTCCGGTCGTGGGGCTAACTGATGATGTTCCTATGATATAGCTCATAAATACGGTTCTTTGCATTGGACCGTCGGTATGTACCAGATCCCGGAAATTTTCATAAATCCCACGAACTAAAACATTTATAGCGATGTACCACAGTGGAATTGGAGGAGGAGGCTTCGCGCTTGTGAAAAGCGGAGATAAATTCGAAGCTATTGATTTCCGCCCAACTGCTCCAAGCAGCGCGACTGATGAGTACTACGATACCCATGGTGTTCACACTGGAGGTGCATCAAGGTAAAAATCCTTGTGATACAAATATGTTGTATCAGCCGGAGCTAACTGAAATGACCCAGTGGAGTGCCTGCTGAGCTCAAAGGGCTTCGGGAAATCTACAAATACGGAAAACTTCCCTGGAAGTCTCTTTTCCAGCCTGCGATCAAAGCAGCCAAAGGCGATTTCAAAGCGAACGACGATATGATCTACTTTATTCAACACGTCCTGGATGACTCGCCACTTGACTTCACGGCGCTTGCAAATCCTCACTGTGGCTGGCTAGGGCAATACCCTTGGAATGAAACCTTTTGCCCTCATGGTGAACTTATGCGGAAAGGCACCCCATTAAATCGAGCCAAGTATGCTACAACGCTAGATGCCATTGCAAACAGTGGAAGCGAGGATATCTTTTACAATGGTTATATTGCGGATCATACCTATAATACTCTACACGGTGAGTCAAGCTTAATATCGAAGGATGACCTGAAGAACTACAAGGCCATAATCCGGAATCCGATTAGCATTCAATACCGTGATTATACAGTCACGACGACTCCGGTACCTACGAGTGGGACAGTTGTTCTTAGCATACTGAAAGTTTTGGAAAAGTTTATGGGCATGTTCAACCCCGGGGCCGATAAGCTAAGTACCCATTGGCTTATTGAAGCATTGCGATTTGGATACGCACAGGTATGCTTTCTTTGTTGCCTACCTTATCACTGAGATGTTTCCTCTAATTTTTATTGTTACAGAGGTCTAGATTGGGCGACCCTGACCCTAAGTTTGACCCAAATATCAATATAGATGCATACCAAAAGTGGTTGATAGATGAGAAAAATGGGTTCCCGCACAATGTCAAAATCCAGGATAAAGCTCAATCAAATCCTCAAAGCTATATTCTACCATACCCTGGAAGTTCTCAAGAGCCTTCATCCAGCCCGTCAGATGATGCTGTCAAATATACTGGAGGAACTTCACATGTCGTGGCTTTGGATAACAATGGATTAGCTATAGCCCTTACCACCAGTGTTGGCGAATTTTTCGGCAGCAGAATCATGGATCCCACCACCGGAGTCATCTTTGATGATGTAATGGCTGATTTTCAGCGTATAAACCACACTGACCCCCTGGAGTTTGCTAATAACCACATCGCAAAAGGGGGTAAAAGGCCCCTTTCCGGAATGTCACCTACCATCATTACAGACAAGGCAGGGCATGTGTATTTCATCACAGGATCAGCTGGTGGGATGCGAATCCCTTCCGCCACCCTCCAAACCATTGTCAATGCGCTCGATAGAGGCATGTCTGTGGGGGATGCTCTTAGCGCACCGCGTTTGCACGATCAGCTTTCCCCTAATATCACGGAGTTTGACCTATCGCTGACAAGTGACACGAGAATGTACAACAAACATATTGTAAAAGATATGCGGGACAGGAACCATCGTTTTACGTGGGTTGAACCCGGCTTCTCTTCGGCACAGGCAATCAAGTGGGTACCAGGTCATGCGCCAGAGGCCTCCGGAGAAGAATGGCAGAGTGACTCGGGAGGATGTGTATGGTGGGATGGAATAAAGAACTGCCCCTTCAAACGGAACACTGATTAGTATTGGGGTTGTACATTTGGCTTGTTTTGCAAGGCTAATAACTATCTTCATTCCGATTGTCAAAGACCTACTTATAAACGTCGTATAGAAACTACAGATACTCCGAATAGGCGGACTTTTGCCACCCATTCACCGTCGCCGTAAATTTGAGCTTTATTCACCTTCATGTCTAATTAATATACATCCCAACCGGATTAGTTATCCAGGGGATCTATCTTGAACCGTGTTTCGCTACAGGGCACAGGCATATAAATAACTTAATTTCTTAAAGACGAGGTATACCGTACTACGCTGCTGAAAATTAAGAACTAACTAGGATAGAAGGAAGGGCTTTTAATGAGGCAGGATATGAGGTAGAATCATAAGGCTTTAGCCAAATCATTGCAAAGCCACTACTAGCTAATACAGGGCTGCCAAAGCATCATTCACTATCAAAACGAGGCTTCTTAAGCCTGGGGACGCGCCAATACCCTAGGATATATGTCTTATACTTATCTATTCAATCTTCTCTAAAAAAACCACCAGGCCATTGCCTGTTGTTCGAGCATCTCCTCCTCACTCGGAGCATTATACTCTGCCCCCGTCTTTACCTTGATGTAATGATAGGCATCAACAGTTAAAAACAACCCCAACTCCTGGGGGATTGGGACCCTCGCCTCAAGTGATAACAATAGAAAGATGAGTATATATCTGCTGTATCTATAATATGCAGTAGCCTAGGGGGAAAGGGAGGAAGTAGACGCTCAGCAGCTTTTATACCAACTGACGAGATAAGTCATGTCAGGTAGCAGCGGATGGTAAGCGCGCATTCAACGGAGATGCAACAACGATGGAAAAAGAGGTGCATAAACCAACACCATCTCCCAAATCTGTGGCAATTTCTAGATAGCTTTGTCGATAAACCTTGCTCCCGTAATAAACTTGTCTAAGGAGATTTTGAGCTTGTTCAGGATAAATTCCAACATTAGAAAGGAAGTATAACATGACTTTTCCCATTGGTATATGCGACGCACCAACACACTGGAAGCAAGTGACGCACTCAATGATGAAGTTATCGCCTTCGAGTATGTTCCAACCGTAACTACGACCGCTCAGATATTGTTGCAGTCATTAATTCTCCACCAGATGCTTCCCCGGCGATGCTCAGGGATAATTGGTTTAATATACGACTCAAAATAGAGAATCGAGCAAAAGTTACGCTTAAGATCTTGCAAGTTCCATAAGGCGCCCTGCCGGCTGATATTGGCATGGAAACCCCATACATGTTTAACTGGAGGGTATATAATCCAAATTAACTCGACGAAGGTTCTCCATGTGATTGGTACATAACATGTGTAATCTCTTGTGACTACTTCGTTGTTAGAAGATAGAAAATCCACTATCATAAGATATATTAGAGACATACACTGCTGTGAGTAGTCGTACCAAGGAAACAACCTTCAAGTATCGTCCATTCTAGAAGTCTATTGGCTTCAGATACGGATGTCCGCCAACACAGCAGTAGATGGAATGAATTCATCCGGAAAGGCATGGTAGCTGAAACAAGCGTCTTAACAAAATCTACTATCGAAGATGGTACAAGTATTTCGATTTCGATGCCGATTTTATAATCGACATCCATCCTATCGAGGAATAGAAACGGGAAAGAAGAATTTCAAGTAGATGGAGAAAGTTAAAAAGAATAACCAGCCAAGCGAATCTAAAATGCTCGAGAAGTAGAGAAGTAGAAGGTCAATAGCAAGACCCAAAAACACCAAAGAATATACATATATATAAGTTGGTGTCGGTATCCCATTGCTAGAGAGAAAAAGACATGGAGAGAAGAAGAGAAAAAGGAGAACGACGGATGGGTACGGGCTTAGATATGACCTCTTGTAAAACAATTCACTTGATTTTATCAACATAACTCTCCCCTTCACTATTCTACGGTGAGAATAGATCCTCACTTCTCTTATGTTACCTCTTCGGAGTCTTTATTCCATAAGAAACTTCCACCAATCACTTTCTGTTTCTCTCCGCCCCCGACATCAAGAAACTTGATTATACAATCTGTTGCATATTAGAATGACCGACAAAAGATAGGAAATTGCTGCAGCTTATATATGGATGTCGTTGTATTAAGAACTAACTACACCAAGAATAGTCTAGTGAGGCTCTTTGATTAGTAATAAAGTAGTAACTACTTTGCTTATGTAATACCGTCTTCGGAGCGGAATATCAAAGGTTCCGAAAACACTTCCACTGCCCAAACTTTATCAAAAAGTCGCAACTCCTTAGCATTTACCGTCCTGACAAGTCTAAGCTGTCCCGACGAGTCTAAGGGCTGAAAATAATATCACTATTCTGGAGTCCACGGGTTCTTTCACATGTCCAAGTTGCGCGCGTTCGCCTAGCTGCTAATCGTGGAATCACAGCTCCCAGGCTCTTTTCATAGCCCAAGCAAGTCTCGGAGACTGAGCCTAGAATCAGCCTTTAGGAGAGCCTCCGCGATGCTTGCCTCGAGTTCATCACCTAGACCTAAACGTTCCCTGGAGCGCGACGAGGATGGCCGTTTGCGCTTCCAGGGCTGCTCCTCTATTCGTGAATTTGAATTCTTAGGGAAGCTTGGTGAAGGAACATTTGGGTATTGCCCACGGTGCCGTCGGCCCTACTGTTTTACACCGTTGCTAATCGACCTTCTTCCCCTCAAAGCGAGGTTTATAAAGCTAGGTCAAAACGAGCGGGCTCGTTAGTCGCCTTGAAAAAGATATTAATGCACAATGAGAAAGACGGGGTGCGTTTTCAAATGGTGTCACAAATAAACACATGCACGCTGACTTATTTTCCATCCCAGTTTCCAATTACGGCCCTACGAGAGATCAAACTTCTTAAAATCCTATCACATCCAAATATTCTACAACTGCAGGAGATGGCAGTGGAACGAAGCAGAGGTTTGTACCTCGCAAGCTATAGCTTGGTCTCTAAACACGGGTCTGACCGTCATAATAGGTGAAGGACGAAAGAAACCATCTATGTACATGGTGACACCTTATATGGAACATGACTTGTCTGGATTACTGGAGAATCCGGATGTCCGCTTTTCCGAACCTCAGATAAAATGCTACATGATACAGCTTCTAAAAGGCCTTCAGTATCTGCATGAGGTATGCCTCCATTATCCTAGTCGCCTATTCACAATATACTAATATGATATTTGAAGAATCGAATACTACACAGGGATATGAAAGCAGCGAATTTATTAATTAATAACGCGGGTGTGCTTCAGATAGCAGATTTTGGGCTCGCGCGACCCTACGACGAAGCGCCGCCAGTTGCCGGTAAAGGAGGTGGAGAGGCGAAGAGGGAATACACGACACTGGTTGTCACTCGGTGGTATCGCCCCCCTGAACTTCTTCTCCAGCTACGTCGCTACACTACCGCAATTGATTTGTGGGGTGCTGGGTAAGTTGGACCTCCTATGATAAACAAAAGTACATATGAGATATTAATGAAGACTATAGATGTGTTTTTGGTGAAATGTTCAAAGGGAAGCCTATTCTTGCTGGAAGCAGTGATCTTAATCAAGCACAGCTTATCTTTAATCTTGTGGGCTCTCCCACTGAAGAAAACATGCCAGGATGGAGCTCGCTGCCGGGAGCCGAACCAATTCGGTCTTTTGGTTTCAAGCGTCCAACCCTTGCTACTGTTTTTCAAGAGTAGGTCACCCTCAAAAAGGAATAAACTCCCATTCTCTCAACTACCAGAAGCTAAGGTGTATATCACAGACAAGGGCCTGTTGCAATATCTCTTTTAGCGGAACTCCTGAGACTCGACTGGCGCAAGAGAATAAATGCCATTGACGCTCTCAAACATCCATATTTCACTACTCCTCCTCTACCTGCTCGACCTGGTGACCTTCCATCCTTTGAGGATTCCCATGAGCTTGACAGAAGGAAGTTCCGCGGCCAGAAGGCTGCATTACCCCCAGCTCCCGCAGGCGGATCAGTTGGAATGGGAGCCCATGGCGAATGGACTTCAGGCTCTGCTCAAGCACCAACCACCGACCCAAAGAAAAGCCGAGTTCCACACGCAGCACGCTCTGGTTATGGAAATAACATGCATCCATCTTCTAGACCTCCATACGATAGTCGTGCTCCTGATCCAATTCATGGCCATAAACGAAAAGCATCGGGCGAACCCAATAGTCACCTCCCGGCATGGCAGCGTGATGCGAACTTACCGCCTAAACCACCCGCCCCAGCCAATCCGCAATGGCAAGCTGGTTCTCGTCGTGGTGGAGGGCCTGGCCAGGATCAAAGGCGCGATAGACCACCGATACCTCGAGGAGGCGGAGGTATAAACGATGGAGGCCGAGACTCGTATGTACCTAATTACGTCGGGGGCGGTAATGACCGATACCGATCAGGAGGTGACGGACCCATGCCTATGCGCCGGGATAATATTGACCCGGTGTCTAGAGATCGATACTGGCGACCAAGCCGAAGTCGAAGCCCAGAGATGAGAGACCGTAGCCGAACAGGCGATCCTGGTGCACTCCCCCATCATCTATACAGACGCTAACTTGTTCGTCTTTGATGGGCTACCCTTTCATTTTTCAATTTTTTTTTCTTTTCAGCTTCATGGCCCTGAGCCTTTTCTTATTAAAACAACCTTTTTCCCTCTTTATTTCATCCTCGAAGAGCGCAGGGCATTGGATAAACGAAACCGGAGTTCTGCGAGCATACAACGGATGAATCAAGGCACATTTCACTACTGCTACTTGCCACATTAACAATACTGGAACAGGGGAAGGGGATGGGCATTCCAGACCCCTAAATAGTATCTCGAGAGGATATCTTATTGTCTCAACGTCAAGATTTCTCCCCCACTAGGCTTACTATTGATATTTTCTTTGGCTGAGAGTACGAGCCTTGTTGACGCGATAACCATTCTCAGCAGCAGGTTGACTACAGCAGCTTTATAATCAGCTAGAATGGGCGGAAGAAGAACTCGATGCATCTCCGATATCCATACGGAGTATCCCTTTTCACCGGAAGACAGATGCAGCGACAACCTTCCGAGGTTGGGATATTGAAGTTGAGCATTTATGGTATTTTTCAACCCTACATCCCCATTTTGCGAACGCACCATTAGTTTATTCTCGGTAGAACGTTATACGGAGATGGATGTTAGCTCGAGATGTCTACATTCTGTATCCCGTTGGAATAATATCGATATCTAATAATTACCATTGGTCAGCATCTACAAAATATTGGCCAATGGGTCAAATGGATAAAAAGGCCAAGTGACCAATGAAAGCCTTTTATAATTTCACCAAACTCAGCTTACTCAGCGTATGCATCACGTGATTGCAATTTAGCGCGAAGTTGAGTTTTAGACAGAAAGCTTACTTGAAACTATGTTCGCAATATGAAAGGGTCGGCAAAGATAGACGATGGCCTCGTCATACTTGATGGTATTAACCCTTGTCTATGGACCAGTCGTTGAATCTGTCCATAGAAATGTTGAATGAAGAATAAATATAAACAGAAAGAAAATGACCTTGCATGACACCGTGAGAATCGTCATCGTTCGTTATCCCAAATAAGAGCAATTTACCAGTCGTTCTCCCCGCCCGAAAATCCCACGTGTGCAGGTTGTGAAAGTATTGACAAAGACGTTCATGAACGTCTGGATATCCCCTTTTTGTGTATGGCTTTACGTATTAGACCAGCTATGCTTCATTCAGAAGAGGATACGGGTCATGATTCGCGCTAGAGGTACCATGAGTTAGCTTCTGGTCTTGGGGTGCGAATGTTTGAGTGGGACATACATGAGAGACCCTCGAGTTGATCATATAGATCCTTGATGTTATCAGAATCAACGCTGCTAACATCAGCCATCAGGTAGGCGACCTAGAATCAACACGGGGTTAGCAATTGATCGGCATTGTTGCGGATGGATAGGTGAATAGCATACGTCTCCTCTGCTGTCAGTCATCTGTTTATCAACGTTGTGGTCACCGAGAATTTCGTTAACTAGAGAAGTGTTAGCGTTGATATAACATGGTGTTAAGTATGAAACAGGGCGAAACAAACCTTTCCGAAGCACACCAGGCACGTTGTTGTGGATAAAGATAATTCTGGCATGGTTTGGCTCATCGATGGTCAAAGATCTAAGAGTGACCTCTGGCATGTTGACGGCGCCAAGGGTCGATCCCTCGTTGACATATCTTATCAAGGCCTGTCCGACTTCGATACCGATGGCACTCTGCGCCTCTTCTGTGCTACCTCCAATATGTGGGGTGAGGATGATATTCTTCAACCCCCGCAGGTCAGCGGCCCAAGGCGCCAGATCCTTGTTGAAATAGTCGCCGTTCCCTGCAGGTTCGTGGGGGTAGACGTCCAAGGCTGCACCGGCGATCTTCCCGGTGCGCATGGCCTGGACCAAGGCAGGGATGTCGACAACGCTTCCACGACTGGCGTTGAGAAGGTAGCTGCCGTCTTTCATCTGCTCGAACTGTTCGGTGGAGAACATGTTCTTGGTCTCTGGTAGCTCGGGGACATGGAGCGTGACGAAGTCGGCTGTGTTGAGCAGTTCCTGCATCGTGGGGACCTGGCGGGCAGTCCCCATAGCCATCAGGTTGACTACATCGTAGTAGATGACTGTCATGCCCATGGCTTCTGCCAGGACAGAGAGCTGGGACCCGATGTGTCCGTAGCCAATTATACCTGGAGAACACTATTTAGCAAAAGGCAACGAACCATAACCGTAAGCACACGGAAAGAACCATACCGAGAACCTTGCCACGAACCTCCCAGCATTTATTGCTGAGCTTGTTCCAGGTCCCATTATGCATCTCAAGCGAACGATCACCCAATTGACGAGCGAGGGTGATGATCTCAGCAATCATCAGCTCAGCAACACTGCGAGAATTGCTGAACGGAGAGTTGAACACGGCAATACCGTTGTTGGCAGCATACTGGAGGTCGACCTGGTTCGTTCCGATACAGAAACAACCGATGACCAGCAGGTTGTGAGCCTCCCGAAGCACTCTCTCCGTCAGTTTTGTCTTGGATCGGACACCGATCACATGCACATCCCTGTAAATAGCCCGTTAGTTTGTAATTCTCCGAAAATTGCTGCATGGGATTAAACCGCAGTGGGCGAGTAGAAAGAGAAGAGAGAGAAAAAGAAAAAAAGGATGAGCAGCATCGGAGGCAAACCAACCTGATCTTCTCGATCAATTGGTCTTCTGGCAGCGAAGACTTGAGGAATTCGACCTGGTAACCTTGCTCCGAGAGCATGCTGCGTCCGGTGATGTTGACATTCTCCAGCAGCAGCACCTTGATATCCTGTGTAGCGAAGGGCTTGAGGAGCTTTGGCGGGAGGCGGGAGGCGGCAGTCTGCCTTGCTGCTCGAGCATCGAAGCTGGAGAGAGGAGACAGATGGGCTGCTGATGGCGAGACGGAGAGATTCAAGCTGGTTGAGACCTGGTCTGTCAGGTTGCGGGCAGCACCGCTGATGTCTGTTGGAGGGGACATTGCAAGGAGTCTCTATGGAGGTCGACGATGCAGATGGAGAGAAGAAGAGAAGAAGAGACCAGGACGAGGGAAACTAATATTTATATATCTTTTGTCTACAGGATAATCGCCGTGAGTTGTTCGCCTTCTTGCATGACTCTTATCTCTGCCTTTTTTTCCTCCTAATTGCACCGTCTAAAAAAAGAGCCCCGCTGACTAAAAAAAAAAAAAAACCCGCCTTATCCTACTTTCGCTTGTTCTTCTTGTACCTATAAGGGTGTAGATATAGAGGCAGAGATATAATGGTAGATGGAGAGAGATGCTGGTCTGTACGGCTGACAGCCGGTCGTTTTCTACCTGTGTTATCGTATCTACTTCCCTCCGTCCGGCATCGGGACGCCCCTTGTGCTGCAGTGGACTAGTTTCATGCAAAGGTGCGACTAACAATACTTTACTACGTAGTCTGTTTTTATTCGAGATGCCAGGGCTATATACAACATCTAGACCTTCATGTTTTCGACGCCCTTGGCCAGGTCTGCCTTTGCTGCGTCGCCTTTGCCTCCCTTGGCCTTGACCTTCTGCGAGGTGGTGTCCTTGGGCAGCTCCCTGACGTACGGTAGGAACTCTGGGTTGCCGGGGATGTACTTGCGCAGGGCCTCCGGGACAACGATACCCTGACGACATGTTAGAGCAGACAAGAGAAGGGGAAAAAAATAACAAGAGGAGATGACTTACGTCTTCCTGCTGGTAGTTCTCTAGGATACAGCACAGGGCTCGCTCGGTGGCACAGAGCGTGGCGTTCAGGGCGTGGCAGTAGTTCTTCTTGACGTCGGTCAGCTTCTTCGATCCGAATCGGATGTCCAGCTCGCGGGTCTGGTAGTCGGTGCAGTTCGAGCAGGAGACGAGCTCCTTGTACTCGCCCTGGAACGGGAACCAGGCTTCCAGATCCAGCTTCTTGGATGCCGCGTTGTTCAGCGCTCCCGAGACAATGGCGATGACCTGGTACGGGATCTTGAGGGATTTATAGAACTCCTCGGAAGTATCGATCATCTCGTCAAAGGCTTTCCACGACTCCTCCGGTTTCGTTATCAAGAATTGCTCGATCTGCGGGGGGTGTGCTGTTAGCATGACCAAGCAGATGTCATATGGTTGTAGTTGACCTACCTTCTCGAACTGATGGACACGGAAGATTCCCCATGCGTCTTTACCGTGGGCACCGGCCTCCTTTCGGTAGCAGGTGCTGTATCCCGCATATCTATACCACGGTTTAGCTTCCGTTGTCTCTGTCGGTGAGGATGCAAGAACCTACTTTATGGGAAGCTCCTTTTCCAAGATCCACTCGCCATCATGCAGGGCCGACAACGGCTGTTCAGAGGTAGCGATCAAATACTTGTCCGTGCTCGGATCCTCGCTCTCAGTCACCTTGTACAGCTCCTCGTCGAACTGCTCCAGCTGCGCCGTCTTGGCCATATAGTTCCTCAACATGAAGTGCGGTGGCTGGTTAGGTTTGTATCCCTTATTGAACAGGAACTCAAGCCCATAGTTGACCAGCGCAAGGTTAAGGAACAGTCCGTACCCGGTGAGGCAGTACCCTCTGTGTCCCACGATCTTCACGCCTCGCTCCGGATCGTATCCGTCCAGACGGTACAGCACTTCATGGTGGGAGAGACAGTCTCTCTTCTCGACCTTGGTGTCTGGCGGTGCCCAGGTGCGGACAACGACGTTGTTGTCTTCGTTGTTGTCTATCGGGACAGAGTCATCGACGTAGTTTCCGATCGTCTTGAGGCGGCGATCACGAAGCTGTTCGCACTGCACCGCCCGATCTTCAATCGCTTTCTTCTCTTCCTCTAGCGTCGCCTTCTGCTGAAGGAGGTCAGACGCGTCTTCTTTATTCTGGTTTTTGGCCAACCCGTTAGTCGCGTGTGTGTCTTTTTGATGTATTGTGCACCTGAGTCACAAACCCGCTTCTTCATGCCAATCTCCTTCTGTACGGCATTGATCTTCGACCCGACCTGGGTAGCCTCATATCGTGCTGGGAGAAGACATGTCAGCCCTTCCTCGTTACTGGTAGCTTATGTGTGGGAAGAAAAAAGGACAAGACTCACTCCGGCGAGCATCCTCATACAAGGCCACGACTTCGTCGACGAGTTCTTCAGAGGCGAACCGCCTCCTCTGGCTCTCCTTGACCTTCTTCGGGTCACCTCCTCGCTCCGGTATGAGGTCTGCGATGTCAATCATCCTCGTCGTCTCTTCTATACAGCTTTTATTCTTTTTCTATCTTCTCTTTTGGCGATGCGGGGTGATCCTGTGGTTATAGATGACGGCGCAGAGTGAGCGTAACCCCGTAGAAACACAGAGAGTAAGGACGAGAGAACGAGAGCCGAACTGCTGAAGCGACCTCGAGACTGTCGCCTGTCTTTTTTCTTCTGCTGCCGTTGATGGTCTTGAATATAAAAAAGTCCACACGGAAAAACTGGAGGGGTAAAAGTTGTCTGGCGTGGCGTTTTGGTCGTGTGGATAAGAGCTTTCTAACACAGCAAAGATGGAGAAGACGACAGGATGATAACTTGGATGATTAGATATTATTATTGTTAATTACCATAAGAGAAGAAAAAGAGCATGATAAGAAAAGGCATAACATAAAAAATAACATACACGCAGTGCTTGACCCCAATCCGTTCTAACGCTGGTCTATCAACCCATACTCCCATGAAACGAAGAAGATACAAGGAAAAGAAGAGAAGAAGAGAAGAAGAGAAGAAGAGAACGGGGGTATGCTCATCATCATCAGCGTCAGCCACCATCCCTGGCAGGAAGAGAGAGAAAAGGAAGAAATATTAAACCCGGCCGGGGAGAGATAGAAAAGACGAAGAAGCCGAACCGGCCAACCCGAGTGATACAGGAGATGGAAGAAGACAAGAGGGCAAACGTCACCAGGAAAGATGAAACATAAAAGGTGAAGCAAAGGGGGTATAACCGTATTTCAGCCAAGGCCTTTGTCGAGGCAGGTCGTTTCGTTTCGAGGATGCAAGGGTCGGTCGAGAGAAAGGAAAAGAAAAATGCCGTAATCGTTACTGATTTTGTTTGTTTGTTATTCAGTCGTAAGGGCCCGTAAAGCTGTTGGTGACACGCCGAGTCGCACCGTAGACCGTCCATTCCACCCGCCTCACGCACCGGATCTGTGTATGACCATCCCCAGACGGCAAGGCGAACGAGTCCTGTGGCCCCGTCTACATGACGAGGCACTTGCCGTTATTCGCTGGTTCGCTGGGCGTCTGCGACTTTTCGATCTCGGCCACCATGAGCTCGAACGTGGAGGAGACGTTGGTGTCGTTGCGGGCACTGGCTTCGGCCCAGGCGCAGTTGAAGCTCTCTGCCAGCTTCTTGCCTTCTTCCGCAGAGACTGTTCGCACGTCGGCGGGGAGATCGCTTTTGTTACCGACGAGGACGAGAGGGACCCAATCCTGGCCCTGTACAATGTTTATTTTCCGTGTTAGCATTCCATTACTGAGCAGTCAGCGTAGACGGGACAGACGCACCAGGTGGTTGAGGATCTTGTCGCGGATGACGGTGACCATCTCAAAGGACTGTCTGGAGGCCACCGAGTAGACGATCATGTAGCCATGGATGCCGATGAAGTGCTTCGAGTTGAGGATGCTGTACTCGTCCTGGCCAGCCGTGTCGACGATCTCGGTCATGTAGTCCTGTCCTTTGTGCTTGATGGTGCGATTGAAGGTGTTTTCGATGGTGGGATAGTAGTTGTCGACAAAGGTGCCTTCGACAAAGCGGACAGTGAGCGAGGATTTGCCTACAACCAGTCAGTCTGTTGTTCTTCTTCTTTGCTTTTTTTTTTCTTTGCTCTTCTGATGCTGCTGCTGTGAACTCACCGACGGCTCGACTGCCCACTATGGCGACCTTTCGTTGTTTGGGTGCAGGCATGATGATGATGGCAGCAACGAAGACTTGACAGCCGGAGCGACGATGACAGGAAGAAGAAGAAGAACGAGAGAAGCTGGACGAGATATTTGATAGAGTTTTTCTGTGTCTTCCAGCTTCGAGTTTCTTCTCGTATTTTTTTATGAAGAAAGACGGCCAGGTGTATTATATTTATATAGTAGTAAAAAAGTAAGTAGATATATTGTGATAAGGATTTAACTGTATATGTAGGCAAGCTTGCTCTGGCCTTTTATGCTTGCTTTTGCTTTTGCTTCCCATCGATCTAGCCAGGGATGCTGGGAAAGCTTGCATCAGAAGGATGACGTTGAGCTTCGTCCTCCGGCTTGCTCCTGTTCTGCTCTATATATCATCATCGTCATCGTCTGTATATCTGTAATCATCAACCTGCTACAGAGGAGTACATCCTGGCATCTGCTGTAAGTCCTGCTCTGCCACCAAGAGGCAACATCCGGACGGAGCGTGGAGTTCGACCAGCCCTTCCCCCTGTGTACCGGATGGCGTTCATCTAGTAACAACCTAACAGCGAAATACCATCTCAACCCCGTAATATTCCACGTGAAAGACCTGGTGTCTGGGCCCTCTCAGAGGAGAAGTCCCATAATATAAGAGCAAGGGAAAGGGAAACCCCCAGCAACTGTTGAAGAAATCAAAAAGGTTAACCGTGTAGCCTCTCTGCGACGAGACCGCCGAGGCCCATGGATCCGGGTGATGCGTCTTGTCTCCCCTTCTTCTGCTCGCTGCCTCTCGCTTTTCCCTGGCTTTTCTTCATTTTGAAGCGCTGCTATCCTTTTCCTGTGATCTATCTACCAGTCAGCCCGGTTTGAAATAACCCGCACAGGGATGCAGGGAGCTCTTGAAACGCCCGTCATGTTGGCTTTCTCTCGTTTCTCTCTCTTGTCTCTTTCTCTCTTGCTTTCGTCCTTCGATTGGCGCAGGACCCCTGTCCCTCTCCTTCTTTTTTGTTCAACATACATAGTAAGAAAGAAAAAAAAACCTGCTTTGACCGGTTCCCAGGTGCTCGGATCAGATGAGATCTAAATAAACCGACAGATCGAAAGCCCTCTTTTTCGATCTTGTGGTGGAATTCTAAAATCCTCTAGCAGTGCTCATCAGTAAAACTACCGTGATAAATGTCTTAGGGCTCTCTCTCTCTCTCCCCTACCTGCAACTTCTTGTACTCCGTTACTCCGTACCCCGTACGAGAGTTACATATTGACACCGTATACCACAGGTACTCCGTATACACACAAACAACCCCTGGCCGTGATTAATTACACAGCTATAAGCTCGCCTTCTAGAAGCCATCCCGAAGGATCGGCGTTGGTCAGCTGAACCGGCCCCAGAACCAGATCCACCGCTGTACATCCGCCTCGCCTTTGCGCATTCGTTGCTAGCAGTTTGGCCGTCGTCTGGGTGCCTTTCGTAGTGTATACTGTAAGATGAGGTGGCGCATTCTCTCAAGTTGATCTGTCGTATCCGCCGTGACAGCCATCCAGCGACCGGAGCCTCCGTTGCCCGCCCCTTATGGGCCTAGGTACGGAGTTGATAACCATGGATGGAACGAAGGCGAAAACCTGAGCTTTTTTCTTTCTTTCTTTTCTTTTCTTTCTATCGACCTGCCCGCTTTGGGAACATCAGCCGCCTCACGTGAGCACTTTCTAGATCTTCTTCTTCTTGACTTCTTCTTCTTCCAACTAATCACTTCTCTTTGTCTGCTTCTCTCTCTGCTTCTCCAGGTATGTGGAATCACAGGTCGTTTGCCACCGCCATCTCCATCACGCCGTTGGCGCTTACGGCTCGCAGCAACGGATACCCAGCACGGATACCCAGCTACGGAGTACGACGCTTCAACAAGTCTTCCTGCTCGATCAACCAAGCAGGCCGTGGCAGTGTTGCTATGCTCCGTCTTGACTTCACAGGCTATATGTTGGAAGTCGCAATTAGAAACAAGCTGTGGGTCTGGAGATGGCAGCGTCTTCACCCTGAACTATTAGCAACCTCCTATATATCCAACATGTTATATACCCTTCGGAGAAAAAAAGGCCACGCGACCGTTTCTCCTCTTAAGACGGAGCTCCCGTTAATTATATTTTAACCGTTGGGAATAATCTCCGCCATGCCTCCGAACGAGCTAAACATTTTAAACTACGACTTCCTCCCTTCCTCGGTGTGGGGCCAGAGAGACAGTTGCATCTCGAGAAGACCCATCCCAAATCCCTATAACTTTATAACACCTTTGCATATACTCACCCTCGGCCCTCCAGATGGTCTCAACTCCATGCGTACATTCGTAAGCATGGTGACCCCCTCCGCTGAACCAGAAACAACAGCAGTCGGATATGTACGTAATAGAGGTACTCCGGATTCCGTGGACCTCACCAAAATTCCCCGACCCGGCATTAGCGTTCCATATAGATGGCATCCTCCAGTCACCCGCATTTCGTCATGTTACATGCTAAGCCAGAGAAGACAGAATTCTCTGATGAAACCTCAGACAAGGCTTTACTTTCTTGTCAGTCCAGCATGATTTATTCATAACCAAGGAATATAAATATTCACTCTATAGGTCAAACTAAGGTCCTATATGGTTCGGAACACTTTATAGCATTATCCAGCCCAATCTGCGACCTATCTGCCAAGCAAAAATCTCAAGCCCGTCCACTTGGTTATAATTACAGGCTATTACAACCAACTATATATAGTCTTTCATGTAAAGAAATCTATATCTAAGGGAACTATATAGCTCACCTTAAGATTATTCTCTCTTGTTGGCCCTATATAGACATTTCAATAAAAGATATAGCAGAGCAGCCGAGGTGAGGATAAGAATCAAAGAATAGCTTGCAGAATTCTCCAATTTCCTAGGCAATTATACGTAGCGATTTTTCCAGCGCCCTTGGAGAACTATGACCTGATATCCCTGTCTTACCAGGAAAAGGTTTCAAGGGTTTTTCGTCCGTCTCGTCCCTATACCACAAAGGAACGTTGGGTTCCAGGTGCTGGTAGTGTGAGATGAGGATCTCATCTAATAATTCAGGCTTGGGCCTTGGGACGAAATTGTTTCGCGCCTTCTCGATATCACTAGCAACCAAATCACGTAGCCCATTATCTCCCGGGTATTTCGGCTCTGAGCAAATATATCCAGCAAAGTGCTTCCGGATAACATCAGCAAAATCCAAGCCGTTATATCCTCTTTGTTGCAAGGCCATCCTTTGGATATCGTCTCCGCACATTAAGCCCGAGCTAAAATCAGGTAGTATTTGTTCCGCCTTGGACCGCCACCACCTTCGATGATCCGGCACATCACATTCCTTACCCAATCCTCCTATAGGCTTTCCAGACAAGGCGGAGCCGGTTGGAGGTAGTGACTTTGATTCCCTGGCGCCTCTATACGAGGCCATCAGCAAATCAAGCTGCACCGCCATCTCTGAGTATTCGCCTTGAATCTCTCTTATTTCCGCATCACTCAGCGGTCCATCTCCTTGCACCCAATATCTAGAATGACAACAAGTGTGAACCATGCCTAGAGCATCGAAAAGTACTGCGCGAAGGGCCTCCTCAAAGTATAGCTCGTTTTCATCGCCTTCGAGGCCACATATCTTTATCCATTTCGTGGCTCCCATCGGTACATTCCACCTGCGAACAATAAAATGCACTGGTAAACACCCATTCGAGGAACAGAAGCAAACACACTGGTCTGACTCTAGTGGTGAAAATAGGCTGGCTGCATATTCAATCAACCTCGACAAATGATGTTCCATTTTCAATAGTTTCCAAGGAGCATCTTTTGCAATGCTGAACAATAAATTGCTAAGGCCAGCTGAGGTGTGGAATCTTGGTGAAGCACCCATTTTTAGAAATAAGCTGCTTATTCCTACACAGTTAAAGGAGGAGTATGGCTCTGGGCTATAACTGTAAATTTCTTTTAAGGGAGACTCATCATGCGTAGTTCCTCCGTCAATATCACGAAACCCTGCCAGAAACAGTTCATAGTAACCTTCAAATATTGTTACCAGAAGAAACTCGTCATAATCTATAGTGTAGATAGGGGCTGAAAGGGTATATATTGAGCCAGGTGGGCCGGGATATAAGCCTGGAGGTACCGGGACAGACCTGTCCATAAGGAGGTTGTATACCATATTAGCGTTGGCGTCTAGGGTTTTTTGTTCAAGGAGGCCGAAACGGGTCTGTTCCTCTACCGACAGGTATTCAATAGCTAGTTCGGTCAATTGCTTGCGTCGTCGGTTTAATGCTTGGATAAGGATTGCACGAGTGTCCGAGCTAATGACAGCACCTACGAATGCACGTACATCTCCGCGGTCTCTGAAGAGAGGGGCTGGGGAAGCGAGCAGTATTTCTAACGATTCTGGGTCCTCTTTCCAGGCTGCTAACCCAATAGTGGGAATAATGCTGCAAGTCCAAATAGTAGATAGAAATCGTAGGCCGTCAGGCCAGCCAAGCGCAAGGTCGAGGGCATTGACAGGCATGAAACCAAAGGCATCCTCTTCTATGTTGACTGTGTCGGCTATTTGCTTTAGACTGTCAATATTCCTAGCAAGTATGGCCTGTGATAATCTGCCTGCAAAAAAATCTAGCTAGACATTAGTTTCTGATAATGAAAATCATTGTTTGAGATATAGTGAGTTACATTTTGATATCCAAGGCTCGCGTCGCAACATGTCCAATGCTGAACACTTCGTATCAGCAAACTTGGGATGGAATATTGAGGAGACTGGGTATTTAATATTATTGCGTTCACGATCATTGGAACAAAATCGGAATAGACGCTCGAGGAACGAGAACTGTTTCAGTTCACCATGCTCTAGCCTGACAAATTCTCGAGCGGCATCTCCCACGGTGCGGTATTTACTGGTAGGAATCAGCATGCGTGCCATATAGTTGACCCTCACAGCTCCCCTGGCAGACCTACCCGTAATGGAAATAATTACGGCGGATTTGTGGAGGTAACGAGTCTAACAATACAAATGTTGTAGTCGCTTCTGGGTCCACGCCGCAGTCTTCGGCAAGTTGTAGCAGCAGGTCAATTTCATCAGCCACTTCATGGTATACTACCCTAAGGCATCTAGTTAAAGAAATGGCTGCCTATGTTCCATTAGCGATGATACTTCCATATTTAGACAAAATAGATTCGACAGCATACATGGAGGAAGGTTTGTCCATCTTCATCTCTGTCGGTGATACGGCCAAGGCCATTTTGTCCTGCTTCACAGACAGATCGACGAAGCCGCTGCAATTCCTTTCTTATGACTTCAGGATTGGGGATGTTATTGTTCGAATATGTCCACCGGCCTGGAAACTTATCAAAAAGCTGGAAGATATATGATTCGGATCTTTTGACCGTAGGTACCACTAATAATGGGCGTGTTAGCTGAAACCCGCCACCTTGAGCGGTTCCCCCGAGCACCACTTCCACCGTCTTCTTCACAAATGGAAGCAACCTGACAGACAACCTATATTTCCAGGTATATCTAGCGGATTTACTTAATGGGCATGTCCATTCATGACTCTGGATTGTTTCATAGCTTAGAGACAGCTGGTCATACCCGTTTACCGTTCTGTTCCTTTGCGTGCGACAACGGCATGGCAGTGGTAGTAGCGGTGGAGAATATGTAGCACATATGTTACCCCCAGGTATCAGAAAACTGGAGTGACCAGATGTGAGCTCTTGTTGTGTCTGCCCTGTTAGCTGTATTTTACTCGTACTTGACAAGCTCCCCGTAACCATATCCCCGGAGACGGATAACCCGGGTTGCGTTCCATTGATGGCAAGCATGACAGCTTTTTGCAACTCTCGAATATCTTCTCGTGTAGCGTCTGATTCGCGTTGTACCACGGCAGTGACCTCGGAAGATAGGTTGTTTTGTATCAATGCCACCTGGCTGCTCAGCATGTTCACTTGGGAATATGTATGTTGTATCGAACCGCCTAGTTTGTTCAACTTTGGATCCAGCTCTTTAACACGATAATCCAGTCGATTGATGCTCAGTTTAGTCTCGTCAGTTTGTTGACGGACACCCTCTGTGAGGCTTTTCAGCCCATCGAGTTGGCTCACTGTCTGTGTATGGCCTTGCTTAACTACAGCAAGGACTTGCTCTGACAATTCTCTAGAGATAAGCTGGTTAACTGGACTTTGGCCCACACTCCCTAGTAGCCCTGCAACTAAGGGGGAGCTTACATGTGTTGAGTATGCAGATTCAAACTAATAAGCTGAAGCTGATGTGTGACTGATCCATTCAGCCGTTTGATCCTTTCAAGCTTCCCTTTGATCTCCCTTTCCTTTTTGACCGATACAAGACTAGTCCATATCTTTCTAGCTATAGACTGAGTCTGTCCATTTTGAGACGGGAAGAGCCGGTCAAGCACAGCTTTGAGGTCGTCCATTGCATCAGCGGCATCTTTGGCAGCTTCACGAAGATCGAGCTCTTGTGTCTGGGTGAGTCGGTGCTTCAGACTTGCAGCAGGGCCTAGGATGGCCTCTTGCTGCTGGGTGATCCTATCTATCGATTTGGTGACATCGTCTAGTAGTTCCCTCAGTTGACCTGGAGTCTCTTTCAGTCGTCGTAGCAGTTGGATTCCAACCTGGAGACTCTTGCCGGCGGCCGCGGCGAACTGCACTGATGCAGCAGCAACACCTAGGGCGGTTACAGGGTCCATTTCGTAGGTCGCTAAATATGTAGTTATATCCCCCCTAACTATAAAAACAACTAAGAATATGAAGTAGGTTAAGGGGGCCTAACATGATAGTTATGGGTTTGAAGATAGACACGCTGGAGGCAGATAATCAGACGCCTTTAACCTTGCTTGCAGGTGTAAGAGGCGAAACATGCCTTTGACGAGGCTGAATGGCAGCTAAATAACGATGTGGCTATGCCTGCAGCTCTACGCCCGCCTCACTTTAACAGCTCATCGTCAACAAAACATTGCCTTTGATACGTAAGGAGACAAGGCAGCTTCATGGAATAGTTTATTTCTCTACACTTTTAACGTTCGAGGCTCAAACGGCGGGGCCAACCTTTTAAGCTTGCGGGGACTAGTAAGGGTAGTTAATAAGTGATATAGGCGCTGTATTATAAGCATCTTTGGTTCTATCTATATTATCCTCTCTCTTCCTATAACTCCCATGATGGAAGCATTATCCCCCGTACGTCTCGCTTTTAGGAACGTTCAGCGTTACGTATACGATCGACAATCCCTTGAAGACGTGAGGTAAATCCCGTCATTGCATCCTCCTCATCTCCGCTAGCATCATGTAGCTCATCTTCAACTTTTCGATGATAATGAAGGAACTCCTCTACTGTGCCAAGGAGGCGCTCGAAGATCCGAGCCTGAAGCGTCGAGCGAAGATAAGAGCGTGCACCATCGTCAAGACAAGCAGTGCAAAGTAGGACGGATAGGTATCCAAATGCAACGTTGGAGTGTGTTTGGACAACAGAATCAGCCTAGAGATTTTGTCAGCATGGAGGAGAACGAGGTAGAGGATAGATAGCAAAGCACATACCTCTGAAATGGCTTCAAGCCCATCAGTAAACAGTGGTACAAGCCTATCAATCAGTGTGGTATAGTCAACCCGCGATTCCAATAGAACTTGTCTAGAGGCGCTGCTCCATTCGGTAAGATTTATCAAGGCTCCAAGTGCTAAAATCACTGTATCCAATAGTGATTCCTTCTGCGCCCCAGCGAATTCGTCTCCAACAGATTGGAAATTGGACAGGACAACCTGCGCCAGGGCTTCGATAAACTCTGGCGTAGAAAATTCTTCACAAAGTACGGGGTTGTTGTTGGTAATGTTGAGAATTAAGCGGATTTCAAGAATCTGTATCTGTCTGCTTCGAGTATCTGACTGACGTCCTAGAATAGATAGTAAATGTCCCAATTTTGAAAGTGGCTTTAGCGCTTCCTGCTCCTCCTCTAAAGATAGTGTATGTATGGTATATGACTCTAAAATGGAGAGTGTAAGTTCAAGAATAAGAAGTTTATCCGATCCCGCTTTTTCGATATCTTCTACCAATGAATGCTGAAGCAGGATTTGAATAACTTGATGCAAAACAGGAACAGGCATGGTCTCCATGGAGTTGCCCATTTCTCGAAGTTTGCGGACTGTCAACTCGAGACAACGAAGAGTTAAGACCTGAGGTGTTATCGTAGCGGGAATCTGGCCGGTCCAGAATTTGCCATCTTTTATTTTTTCACAGATATCCTGAATATCTGCTTTACTGGCTTTGGTCATCTTCAACTCTTTTCGTTTGCTTATTTCTGGTATGCTCTTATCTTCCTTGAGCAAGAAAGGGGCCACCGATAAGATCTGATCCCAACAATAATGCAATGTCATTGGTGATGTCGAACCAGAGCCTAACAATAGTGTGTAGATGCAAGCAGTAAGATATCCGCAGATAAGGTCAGATTCCCCGTACTTTATCTTTGCGAATCGCTTTTCCAGCGCATTGCTCAAGAACCGCTGCGAGAATTGAGAATCGAAAAGTTTCGTGCACAACTGAACCATTCCACTACGTTTTGAGGATACGGGGGCTGTTCTATCTTCAATATCTTCAAAGATAGTCTCGATCATAGCATGGTATCTTGCATTATCTCCAGAGCGACGGAGTTCGTGAATGCTTCGAATAGTAGGAGGTCCGCCCATAGTTTCATCTTCTAAACAGGCAGAGAGCCCAGGTGTTTGGCTTGGCCGGCCCAACGGCGGGTGACTTGGAGCACCGCCCAGTTTTCTTGCCATGGGTGCAGGCGGAAGGGGAAATCCAGGGTCAGCCAAGTTACCACCTATCTCCTCAATCGTATCCATTTCATTCAGGAAAGATCGTTGTCGAGAATATGTTACCTTCAGCCCGTTTGGCGTCACTTGAGGGGTGTTGTTCAGCTTCTGAGGCTTTGGGTGCATGCATCCTACGCTTTCTAATTGCATGGTATCGGTGGTAGATCGGTGGCCGAGAGATGGTACAGGGCTGTGCGAGCTAGCCCGCGAAAATCTGCCTCTGCCAGAACCTTCATCACTCGATGAATCGCTAGAAGATTCTGCCGTCTGTCTACCACCCAATGCATCCACTAACCTCTTCCGTTCTGCAGTGGATGTGACACTCTTCATCGGCCCAACACCAAAACGGCCATCTACATGCTTCAATCGGTCTGTACCCGTGGAGAAGGATTTTGTTAAACGGGGTATTCTTTTCGGTGGCGTGCAAAGTCTTCCTTCCCGCACCGGGAGGTCTCGCGAGCTTGCAGCTGTAAGGCGGCCATCCGACGGGGTATTAATTCCGCCTTTTATTGATGATCTGGAGGGAGGCCTGTCCAATTTCTGTTTAGAGACCCGGGAGTTGGAATCCTGCTTAGGCTTGGTCGGGGAACGGATAACTACTTCCACTCGCGCAGGTTTCTTCCCATTTATAGCGGGGGGCACTACATCTTTGCTTTCACGGTGACCCGCAGAACCAAATGTAGCCTGATTCCGTCGCGGGGTGCTCTTCGGTGCAACCTGATCGACTCTCTCTGGCCTCCAGTCAACCTTGGGTGTGTTCAGTTTTCTCCGCTTGAGCCATGGCTGAAAACGACTTTGACGATCCTCATCAGACAGCTGGACGTCGTATATGTCAACTTCCTTTTTCTCCTTGGGTGTACGCGGTGTGATGGGCGATGTAGCCTTGCGTAAAGCTGTCAAAGATCCCGCGTCTCGAATGTCTTTATTCCCAGTCCGCAGAGACTCCTCCCTCTCCGCCAATGGGGAATCGTTCGTCTTTTCGTGAGGCCTACCCACGTCACTAGAACTGCGCCCTAGGAATCTGTTATCCACGCTGCGCGCCTGTTTGCCATATGTCCTTATTTTACGCGACGGCGTGAATTTATCAGTTGTAGACATGCTGGGGCTCTCTCTACCAACAGGTACTGAATTTCGGAGAGAAGATAAGGCCGAATCAAGGCTCTAAAAGAGCCAAACGATACGCTGGAAAGTGGCGCAAACCTACGCTCCGTAACGAACCAAAACGTCTATCATCGGAAGGTAACCAGTTTGCCTGCTTGTGAAGATGGATTGGCCTAATAAAGCAACGAGAATGTTCATTAGCTCCTCATATTCTAGCAACATATGCGACGGCAACCGTCCATCAAACGCGTATTGCGCATAGTGGTCAAACTAGAGGGATAACACCGACTGGACGGAGAAGTTGCAACTATGGGTATCTTCCATAGGAGAGTCAACAGTATAGCTCTACACAGCTTGCACAGCAGGTATCCATTGGCTTAGAACCAGCCCAGCCAGGCCATTGATGCCAGTAGTAGCCCTTTCGTGTTGGTGGCGGCGGTGGTGTTGGTTATGATGTAGTTAGTTTGGGTTCTTCGATTGAAAAGTCACTGGCCAGACCCCGTGATTTCTCGCGGCTGAACCCAGAACTTCCGGCCCAGCAATAATGTTTATATCGGACCAAAGAGCACAGTTAAACAATAAACAAAGACGGGATTTTATAGTGCAGAATAAGCTATTAACACGTCTAAAACGAGTAAATGCTCTTGTGCCATCCATCTCGGGTCAGGCAGAGCCAACCAACCGACCCTTAAACTACCTACGACGAAGCACATAGTAGAACTTCTACCTCTACGACTCTAAGCTGCTATATCTTTCTATTATATCGTACTTAGAGTGTTTCTGCTTCATCTTCCAAAGCCTCATCACATGTTCTTTAAAAAAACGCCTCCCCGCACATAACTAGTAAATAAAACGGTTATTATTCCCTTCCCCACATTGTATCAAGCACACCAACTCGAACGACTCTCACAGCCCGTGAAATAAGATACTAGCCTGGTAGTGCAGCTTGCTTTATAGTTCTATATACGGCTTCTTGTCTGCTTGCAAGGCTTGGGGGATATATTGTCATCTGCTGTTCTGGTGACAGCTAGAGGAGAGCTATCATGGCATTCAACGAACCCGGCCCGGTCAAGGGAGTTGGACCAGTGTCCATACCGGATGATAAGAAGCCAGCTGCGACTGTGTCAAAGGTCGTGAAGTACGAGAATGTCTGTGTGCTACCACAGACGCCCCAGCTGATTGCCCTGTTGACGTGAGTATTCCAGCAACCATGGATTTCAATACAAGCGAACGCTAAATGCCAATATCCCCCTCGTTTTAAACAGTATGATTCGAGACCAGCGGACCTGTCGAGCAGATTTCGTCTTCTACTCTAATCGAATAATCCGACTACTTGTCGAAGAAGGCCTGAACCATCTCCCCGTCGTGCAGAAGACGGTCACCACCCCAGTCGGCCATACGTACGGGGGCGTTGGATTCGAGGGCAAGATATGCGGTGTTTCCATCATGCGTGCCGGCGAGGCGATGGAACAGGGCCTTCGCGACTGCTGTAGATCAGTTCGCATCGGCAAAATCTTGATACAGAGAGACGAAGAGACTTGCAAGCCGGCATTGTTTTATGAGAAACTGCCCCAAGACATCTCAACGAGATGGGTACTGCTGCTCGACCCGATGTTTGCTACTGGTAAGGATGATAGGTGCTACAGACGGAAGTATGTAGGTCTCAGGAGCTATGCTGATCAAACCGGGGGTAGGCGGCTCTGCAACAATGGCGGTTGAAGTCCTAAAGTCGAAGGGCGTGCCGGAAGATCATATCCTATTTATAAACCTCATTGCCAGCCCATCCGGGGTCGCTGACTTTGCCGAGAGGTTCCCAAAGCTAAGGGTCGTTACCGCATTCATTGACCAGGGCTTGGATGAGAAAAAGTTCGTCTCTATCTTTATCCTTCTTCAAAGAATAACCTCCACTAATGCGTTGTTGTAGGTATATAATACCCGGTTTGGGGGACTTTGGAGACAGATATTATACTCTCTAGCGTATGGCAACCGCCTGTCTATTATCATTGGAGTAGTTGGTGTAGCTGGCCGGAAGGGGTGTTCTGTTGGTTGGCATACTTATTATATCATGCTCGTTGAAGAGCTTGGTCAAGTTTTGAATCACACAAGGCGTTTCTGGTGGTCCAGTGTTAACGCACGTCAACCTTATATTATTATTGAGGTATTCAAGAGCGAACATGGAGTAAGAACTCCACTCAAGTCTTTTCCTTGGTAATTCCGTAATTATATGCAGTGCCTAGATAAAATAAGCCTCTTCCCTCCAGAGAAGAAGTGCCCTCCCCCAAACGCCGATAAATAATAAAAACAATAGCCCACGTTATGTAGGGTTGAAAAACGATCTAGTAATCATCATCAAGTCCTTCATCTGCTACAGCTGGTGCAGCAGAGGCAGACGGGCCCTCGTCAGCCCTGGCGACGCTAGAACTCCCTCCTTCTCTGGGACCCTCTTTCGCAACGGCATCGCAGGCATCAACCCAATCGGAGTATACGTCCACGGCTGCAGAGAGATCTAAAGTGCCAAAGAAGCCAAATAAGTTAGCTTCTGTATATAAGATTGCGCAAAGAGCAGGACATACAGTTGATCCCCGTCTGGAAGCGCTGCCCACATATTTTGCATGATAAATTTCCAAAGCCCAGCTTCTTGTTAAGTTTCACGAGCACACAGTTTTCGTGGTTGCAAAATAGACAGTCAAAGGTCGTAGGGAGAGGTTCGCTCTATATAGTCAAAGCACCAATAGTTAGTCCACATCCATGAACTCTCAAATCTTCCATACCCGAATATCAGGTATTAAGATCGTATAGGGGAATGTACTTTTTTGGGACCTTTTATAGTGCTCCGCGACGACTTCTTACGTTTTCCCTAGGAAGAACAGTTGTGTTAGTGGGAGTTATCCGCCATCAGGGAAGTGAGCTCGAATTCACACCATATTGAGTAGAGCGGCTTGTCCGGTGTTTATAACGATCTCTCACAGGAGACTCAGACGACGGTTAGTCAAGCCTGTCTGTAGGTATATAAATGATGCCACGGGCCGGGAACCCTTCGAAAAAGTAGCTGTATTAACGATATCAGTCCTGCTGCTGTTTTTTGCCCTTTTGACGGATTAGAATCGCCAGTCTATTCTAGCTCTTTTTGCGACTTTGAACAAAACGTCAAGCTGACTAAGAAGCTTGCTTATATAAGCTTAACTCTAGTCCAGAAGGGGTCTAGCTTCCTGCTGAGCCCCACATCAAAGCTAGGGCCAATCAGCGTTGCCAGATAAGGAAGCTGATCATCCCCGCATCACGAGACCGTGAAAGGCAACTGTTTACATAATATCAGCTTCGGGGACTTCTACATAGCTTCCCAACTTCTTCTTCTTCCACTTCTTCTTCCTTTTAGACATCTTTGTTTTGTTGCATCCTTGGGATATATAACAGACCTCCTCTCCCTCTTCTTCCTAGACGTTGGACCATCTGCTGGATAATAGCTACTCAAATTCCTCAATCTTGCTTTCTTGACACCTTGCTCTCTACTAGCGGTGACCACCGATAACAGCTTGATCAAGACATACAAAACTGCACCTCTTTCCCAAGTTGACTGCTCAGCAGACTATCTGATTTATCTGAAACCAGTCATGTCTTCCAAAGGCGCGCAGACAGAATCGACAGGGCCGAAGGACCCCCCGGTTGAGCAGCAGAGCTCGGATGGGCCGAAGAACCCCCAGTATAAGGCCGCGGGCGAGAAGGAAGAAAACCCCATACTAGCTCAAGTGTTGGCGGCTGTCAAGCGGCTTGAGCTTGACCAGGGAAGACTAAGCCTCCTGCTTGACGCAATGAACGGACGTATCGAGAATATATCCTTCAACAAAGACATTGTGAAGATGATGACAGAGGACCAAGCCCTGGACAGAGAATTCCCACCAGAGTCGATGCCTGCTCCTTCCGCTGAGGTGGATGAACGGCTGAGGTCTTCTAGGGAAGAAGCCACAATTGCACCTATATCGCCGTCTACACTTAAAACTCCAAAGCGCGGTGGTACATCTCGCATTATTCTCACCACCTACCCGGGTCAATCGGGTATTGATCCTATCAAGATGGACTGGGGCAACATGGATGCAAAGGCCAGAGGGCCAGTTGTTGTGAGCAGGCAGTATGACACCGTCCGGAGACGAAATGGTAGGTGACACGTCACTCATCAAGCATAGAAGGTTCACCGCTAATAAGCCTCTTTTTGTCTGCAGCGATTGGGGCGCACGGAGGGTCATACTCCATTTACCACGCTCTCGCCGTTGCCAGCAACAATCTAGACACTGAACATAGGCCCGACTTTACTGACACCGAGCCCGCAGCGAAGATTGGGCCCTTCCCGCAATGGGGTGATAAGAAAAAGATCGTCGCCATGGATCCGTGGGGCCATCTCGCGCCCTGGCTCTTTGAAGAGCTGAGGACCGATCACCAACTAGATATACGCCCAACCATCGCCATCACTCGCGCGCACATGAAGTTGCCGGAGCTTGCTGAAAGCGTAAAGGCAGGCCGATTAGTACCTGATGGGAAAATTTGTCTCAACGAGACGGGAGAGCTAGCGGTTACCAAGGTCGCTGTAGAGCCTGTCTGGTATCTTCCCGGGGTAGCTGAGCGGTTCGGCATAGGTTAGTCCTGCAGTCTTCATTTTCTCACTGGCTAATTCTAACAATGTTCCGCTATAGATGAGGGTTCTTTGCGTCGTGCGCTTTTCGAAGTCACTGGCGGATCATACCCGGAGCTCATTACTCGAGGAGACATCAAGGTATTCCTACCGCCAATTGGAGGGCTGACGGTATATATCTTCGGTGATCCCGCTAAAATGGCCGACCCTAACGCCAAACTCGCGTTGCGCATCCATGACGAGTGTAACGGTAGTGATGTATTTGGTTCCGATATCTGTACCTGCCGTCCATACCTGATCTTTGGAGTTGAAGAGGCTGTTAAGGAGGCGCAAAAGGGCGGCAGTGGTGTGGTCATATACTTCCGGAAGGAAGGGCGAGCGCTCGGTGAAGTCACGAAATATCTGGTTTATAACGCCCGTAAGTTCTCCCATATCTCCCACCCGCTGCATCGCATGCTAACAAAAGTTCTCGATAAGGTAAACGAGGTTCTGACCGTATGTTTTTAACCCTTTCCCGTTCTTTGATTATTACTTATCCCAGGTAAAGGTGCAAGCGAGTACTTTAAGAGGACCGAGAATATCGCCGGCGTCAAGGTATGTTTCTGATTGCTTCTAGCTCAAATCCCGAATGCTAACCAGTAAAAGGATATGCGCTTCCAAGCCCTTATGCCAGACGTAAGTATCGAAACCTACTGTTCATAGAAGCTGTTATTCTCTAACCAACGGCTGCATTAGATTCTGCATTGGCTGGGTATCACTAAGATCGATCGAATGCTCAGCATGTCCAAGTATGTGTTCCCCCATCAAGATTCGAATGTTAGATAGAGTTAACCCGTGCTGCAGCATGAAACACGACGCAATCGTCGAGCAAGGCATACCCATACTGGAACGGGTACCCATCCCAGACGAGTTGATACCCGAGGACAGCAGGGTCGAGATCGATGCCAAGATCCATGCTGGTTATTGTATGTTCCCCCTCCTCAGATCTAGCTGTATCTAAGCTAACTGCGTCCCTCCTAGTCACAAGCGGCAAGGTCATGAATATGGAGGAACTCGCGAACGTTCGAGGACGCCAATGGGATGATGTCGATGTAAGCTATCACCTCCGTACTTATCGTAAGACGTAGCGCACAGTACTAACGGCTAGAAAGCACTGAAAAAGCGAATGGGCATGTTCCTGCCAGATGACTTACGCCATCTTCCGATAAATCTTGAAGTCTTCCCATCTATGGTATTTTTTTTATTAGAAGGGCTGGCTTGTTGCATCTTTGAACGTTTTTGATATACGAAATGCACATTTACATAGCGGGTTTGGTAGAGATGAATTACATAATCAAAACATATCATGCACCTTACCCCAATCAGGCTTAGCGCGTAACTGTAGCTTTTTGTATATTACATAAGCACACAATCAGAAATTGGTTAGCGCGCACAACTCGCTTAGTGGGAAGTTTGTGGGATTTTTGATTTCAATATCACAACGCCGACAACGTCCTCCACGATTGAACCCATCGACGCCCAACGGATTGTCTGTCTTTCGGAACCGCAAAAGATAGACCCGAATCGCAAACATGGCTGTTGGAAAGTGAGCATTCCCTTCTCTGTTGCAGTACGTTTCCTGCCGATAGAGAACTTCGCTAACCACCGCGAAATCAGGAACAAGCGTCTATCAAAGGGCAAGAAGGGCCTCAAGAAGAGAACCGTTGATCCTTTCACGCGAAAGGACGAGTACCTCGTCAAGGTATGTGCTGGCATCTGCCATTAGAAGCCATCACATGGGAGTATGGAGAATTAACAAATCGAAATAATATAGGCCCCTACCACCTTCCAAGTCCGAGAGTATGGCCCTCCATCAATATCTCTGAATTTTCCCCCATCTATAATAAAAAACAATGAGCAAACGAACTGATTTGATATCGTGTGAAGTGTTGGTAAAACCCTCGTCAACCGAACCACCGGTCTCAAGAACGCAAACGACTACTTGAAGGGCCGTGTCTTCGAAGTCTCTCTCGCCGACCTCCAGAAGGATGAAGCCCACTCTTTCCGCAAGGTCAAGCTACGTGTCGATGAAGTACAGGGAAAGAACTGCTTGACCAACTTCCACGGATTGGACTTCACATCTGACAAGCTCCGATCTCTTGTTCGCAAATGGCAAACCCTCATCGAAGCCAATGTCACCGTCAAGACCACCGATGACTACCTCGTCCGTCTTTTCGCCATTGCCTTCACCAAGCGACGACCAAACCAGATCAAGAAGACCACCTACGCCCAGAGCTCCCAGATTCGTGCTATCCGCAAGAAGATGACTGAGATCATCCAGCGCCAGGCTTCTAGCTGCACTCTCACCCAGCTTACCAAGCTCGTCCCAGAGGTTATTGGCCGTGAGATCGAGAAGTCCACCCAGGGCATCTACCCACTTCAAAACGTGCGTTTCTTGCATCGCCTCCTTTTTTGCAAGTTAATAAAATGCGAATTATGTACTGATGGGTAATATAGGTTCACATCCGCAAGGTTAAGCTTCTCAAGTCACCAAAGTTCGATTTGGGTGCTCTCTTGGCTCTCCACGGTGAGGCCAGTACTGATGATAAGGGACAGAAGGTCAGTGAAGCCAACACATATGTTTTAACTTTGGCCTCGATATTAACGCTATACTACAGGTTGAGCGGGAATTCAAGGAGAAGGTTTTGGAAAGCGTCTAAGCATCTAAAATAATGTCTCTTTTTACCACCACGGAAATATCAGCGGGAGGAGTCGTGGTCAGTTTAGGTCATACTTGAGAGTTAGGAGGGAATTAAAAAAATTAATGAAATTTAACGCCCTTCCCCTTGTGTATGGTCCTTGATATAAATGGCAGAGCTTACTTCTTTTCTTCAGAGGGGAAAAAAATAAATAAAAGAGCACTGCTGTTTAATTGTTTCTGTACCCTCTCCTAGGTGTTTTGACTATATTACCTGACCTCCATTATGCCACCTTATTCAAACAGTTCATGATTAAAATCAAGTTCGACTTGTATTTCTCTATCCTTAACGTATGCATCCCTGAATTTCAAAACAATATCTCTGTGCCAATATGCATAGCGATTCAACAGTAAAGCATAATAAATTGCAATGTGTCTACCGAACATTCTATCTATCGCCAACACCTTCTATATTGAAGACTATGCGCATTTCTCCCCGCTATACAAATACACCGACTGATACCCCGATGGACTTAATCAAGGCAACCCTTTCATAAAATCCACAACAGCTGCACGGGTAGTTAGCAACAATCAGCAACAATATCAACTACCAGCTAGGCACTCAAACAGGATATTAACTCTAATAGAAATGCTAGACATACCTGTCGCGAAAGCTTCAGGGTTCTCCGATATAAGCCAATGGCCAGCGTCAATGTCCATCACCTTATAATTCGGGAAAAAATGCTGAATTATAGGAAACGACGTGTCCTTGATATAGCGACTTCGAGTTCCACGAAGGAAAAGAGCTGGACCGTTAAATTGAACGTCATCAGATTCAGTCAGCGGGAAACTGCCCAACGATGGCAGAGACTTTCCAAGGATATCCAAGGGGATTCGGAACCGTAATGTACGATCACCCTGCTGCCGGACAAGATTTGTCAGGAGGAACTGTCGAATAGGCAGGGACTGCAGAAGGTATTGTCAGTCTGTCTACATTTGCTTCTCACTTAATGGATGAAGTTGATGAAGCAAAACAAACCGGCTCAACACGTTGCATGATTTCATCTGCTTCGCTATGTTTGGTTACACTGGCCATCTCAATTTCTTGCATAGCTTTAATGTATGATGGAAAGCTTTCACTCAGTCGAGTGCTAGTCGGAGAGTTGTCGACTGAGATGACTGCAGACACCAGATCTGGAGAACGAAGAGCAAGGAGCATTGCTGCTTTTGCCCCCCTGAAGCAGCTGTCAGCAATTCTATGGCCTTTAAGACGAGAAGGTATCGATTTCACGCCTACATCGAATGCCCCAGAAGGACCGGTTTTTCCAATTTGTGGTTGTCTATGAATTTTTCAACATCTTCTGCCATGTCCCGATACGTGTGATTCGGCACATGGGGTGAGTCGCCATGATTTCGAAGGTCCTAAATTTGGTAGATAAACATGTCAATAGGCAGTTACTCGTCCAAGTAGCCTGGTTATTTAATTATTTTGGCGGTTCAACTCACAATGGCATAAACCGCAGAGTTGAGCTGGCTCGAGAGAACTCTGCATCAGAAACACGAACGCATCAGTAAATAAGTGTAGCATGTCTAAGGACGTGATGAGAAGGCCTTTGCTTACTTACTCATACCCCTATTATTCTGCTTGGATCCAAAAAGGCCATGTATGAATATAATCGGCCGTCCATCGGGTCGAGCAGCTCCAGATGTCTGGGGGTTATGGTATACTTGGTGTGCTAAATCCAGAGACAATCTGGCGGAAGAAGAGAACTGTCGGAACGTCCCCAGGGATGATAGTAGGCGTCTTTGGGCGAGCATGGCTATAAACCGTAAACAACGGTAGAGTTGCTGTTGAAGCCGTTTGCCGGGTGGTTTTGGCCTACTTACGAAATATCCCAAGGTCCACTTTTTTTTTCAGCAACTAAACATTTATCTACCCCAAAGTTGCCCAAGTCAATAGCTCGAGGATGGCAGACTCGTCTCTTCACTAGACTCCTCATATGCTGATAGTCCTGGTAGCATAGAAGATGCCTCCTGAGATTACATCCGCCATGCCGCGTAGCGTGGCAGGCCTAAATATACGATAACAAAAGGAATACCAACTACAATAGCGTAGGGTAATCTCTCTCCCAGACATAAACAGCTATATAGATGCTAACTACGTATTAGTTGATCTTATAAATGATACGTAGATGTTAACGCTGGAGACTTCATCCATTCGGACTTGTATATAACATGTTTTGACACGGAGACAAAACGCAAGACAAACCATTGGATCAGCCCCGGTAAGCCGGCAGGTTGCAAAGTTGGCTGCATCAGCCTCCATCCAAGTACAGAGGACATGCATATATACACAACGCGGGTCCAGGAGCCATGCCGGTACATATCATGTATGTAACAACACCAGATTCAACCATGGCAGTGACTGCTCTTATAACTGTTCGATATTAACCATTCATATTCTTATTCAGCTGGCACGATTATTGGTGGATATTAATAGTTCACTAGCTAGCTAACTTACGGGCTCCCAGGGCGAGAGACAAGCATCTACAGCTTGAATGTTTCGTTTCTCTCTGGCTCGAACACCTCAGTGCTTTATCATCTACGTTCTCTGGGGACTCTGCCTCATAAAGCATCAATATTCAGTGCATCTGGTTCATTGGGGGTGCCGCGAGCCCCAGTATTACATCTCTACAGGTTCTAGGCAGCAGAGCAGATATTGACTACGTAAACTGCATTCGTCACCTTTCAGCTAGAATATTGTCTGGTTAGGTACATATCCTGGGGTTCCCAGAGGTATATACAGCTTGTGGACCTCGAAAGGGCCGATATAAAGCATCCACACAACACTGGGAGAGTACATGTGGGCGCTTACAGCTTCAGCTTCAACGCCTCTCCATCAAACCGTTTCCGGGTGTATAACATGCTTATTTCGAAGAGACATGGCAGAGCGGCCACCAAGCGGCCACACACGAAATCGCGATTCGGATGCTATAACTGCAAGACACGCAAAATTAAGGTCAGCAAAAACCATCATGAACTTCAATATTTATTCTCAGCTGATCACAAAAACAAAAGTGTTCAGAAACGAAGCCCGAGTGCGAGAACTGCATATCCAAACAGCTGAAATGCGAGTATCCCACGCGTGGCGTGCGGAGTGACGATGATAATAACGGGGTCATCGAAGTCATTCGTGTTCAACCGAATCCAACACCCTTCTCGGTTCAGGACATGGGTTTCTTCCACCATTATATGATGGTTGCTCATCCATACCTCCCATTCGGTAGTGATAACGCTTGGGTAGCGTCCATCCCACTACTTGCCCACCAGGTAACTATATTATCTCCATAACCCCAGTTTTTTTAATAGCAAGTCCCTCCCACCCACTAAAATGCATTAAAATACAAGCATGAGTTCGTTATGCATGCCATCCTAGGCCTTGGTGCGTCGCATCTTTCCGTTATTCGCCCGAGTAGAGATCCCATCACTGCAGCGAACGCAATTGAACACCGGGGGTTGGCTATAAAGGGCTTAAACCAGCTTATGGCAAAACAGGATCTAGACAGCAAAGAGCTGGATGCTATGCTTGCAGCCTGCTATGCCCTCACCATGCAGTCAGGCTACATGTTCGATGCTCTCATTGACTTCGTGGTATTCATCCGTGGATGTTCTTTGGTTACGACTAAGATAAGACAGAAGAATACTGGCAAAAGCTTGTTCCCAGTTGAAGAGACTGTCGATCTTGCGAAATTTCTTCCAAAGGTCATAGATCCTGTAAATGTCGACCCGGCACTGTTGCAGAGTGGGATTGAATCAGTACAATCACTGACGCCTCTCTTGGAGGATGAAGTCCACCACTACTTCTGGAAATGTCTACTCAATACCCTTTTTGCTGCCCAGGAATCTTCCGAGGACACTTTTCGAATCTATGAGAAAAACTATTCTGCATGGTACAACCTCAGTGAAGCCCAGTTTTCAAAATTCATCTCGGCGGGGAATACCACGACGCTCATCCTATTTGCCCATCACATAGCCATTGAGACCATGATGATTCCAATGCTTCTATCCGTTATCCCTGAACGCGCAAGGGTGCCCGAGGTGACATTATACCAGATTCAATGGGTAGATGTCATCTACAGACAATTACCTCCTCGTCTTAAGAAATATATCAGGTGGCCAATTGAGGCTATCTATTACTGGGGTACTGAGTATAAAATATTTTCTTTTGAAGTGGGAAGCAGGCTGCAGAAAAATTTCCTAAATTATGCTGAAAAATATGATAACAGAGGGATAACGCTACCTATACATGCGAAAATACTAAACACACCCGAATGATCCATTTCTGAATCTACATTAGAATCAAATCAAAACACGCCACATCCGTTTATTTTGATAACTTGAGGGCAGGTTGAGTTAAGGGGATTGTTTCGAGAAGAGGCCAAGGCGGCTGTGACAGACACGATAATGACATCGGTACAACCAAAAACCGGTTATCAGCCGAGAAAAAGCCCTTCGTGGGAATAAAAGATAATTTTGGGCTCGTTAATATCTATCCCTGCCGTGCATTTCCTCGGCATCTGGTTGCGAGTTCAACGGTTCGCTAGGTAGCCACTTTCCTGGGTGGAAGTATGCTAGTGCGAACATCGCAAATAGCATAGGCAGCCCTTCAAGGACATACAAGGGCCATTCGTGGCGGAATGGATATCCATCAATACCCAGAATGAACTCGATAAGACGATAAACACAACGAACCTGTTTGTCGTCCGTTAGAAGGCGGTTGAACAAACAAAATGCAAAAATTAGAATGGACCGATGTATGCAGCTTACCTCGATGAAAAACCCTGAGATGTATATTCCCAGCAACACTTTGAACACGCCACTATCGATCCCGCTCTTAGACACGGCATTTGCACGGCTATGGAATCGGGCGACTAGAGCTAGGAATAGTGTGAAAGTGATCAACTGCAAGGCTAATCCACCCTTTAAAACACCTTCGCCAGTTGTTTTGGTGCTCCCTTCCCAATTTCCAGATGCTGCAATTCCACTGCCCGAGGCCTGAGTCAGGAAACTCAGAATATCCGAAGTGACGAATATACGCGGCAGCCACCATGGATTGATTCCTAGAATGCGCTGCTGCTTTCCAGATGAAGGAAGGCCTGCCCTGATAAGCCTGCCGACAAGGAGGTACAGGCTAGCGCAGACAAGGACGGGCGCAACAACAATCAGGGAGCTTGATATGGCGTACAATGGGATGACTCTGTCCATCTTAATGCTCACGCAGCGCATGATGTACGCCAACACTTCCATGAAACCGCCGATACATAGGGGGATGAAGAACGAGGAGTTGCGGTATTTGCCGGTTTTAGGGCCGATGATTGTAGTGTAGAAGAGGAATGCGGCCGGGATGGCATTGAGGACGGCGAAGACGGCTGCTGCCGGCAATGAAGCGTTGTAGAAGTAGAGACTGCGGTCAGACATTGCTGACGGGCTGCGGTTCACTAGATGTGGGAGGCTTGATTGAATTGCTGGTGGTGTACGATAGGAGCAAAGGATTGTAAATCAATGGTATACTCCAAAATAGAGATGAGAACAAGCTTGTATTATAAAGATATGTGATGCTCAAAGTAATTGTTACTTTCATAATAACACAAGGAAGCATACGAGAAAGGGAGATATGTTTTATATCTCCTTTCTATTGTCCTTCAAACACTCCCAATTGCTGTATATGGTATCATGTTTACGATATATTTCTCCTCTTAGAGAGGCTATGCAGGTCCCTTTGCATGTATCATCTCGCATTGCTCGCATTCAAGCTTAAAAATATATCTGGCTGGCCCCACACAATGGCCATGCCTGAACTATTCGTATTCTGAGATCAGACGTGTTAAGGAGCATTTTGCGTAGACGCCCGCACATACGAGATATTACTGGATCTAAAACGAGACTGACAGGGGGCCGTCGAGTCGATCATCATATACGATTAGTGAGCCTCTTATCAGGGGAGATGTTTAGTCTAGCTTGCTTATAACATTGACGCAACTTACTACTGTGTATGTAACTCGGCAAGTCTAGATCGTACTTGTCAGGAATATTTATGAATATATCGGTTGGCGTTTGTCAAGTTAATGAATAAATTAGATCGTTGCCCAGCATCCAACATCCAGCAGTCTCTTCCATGTATACTGCACGGGCAAGGCTATCTTCTCCTTGTCTACCTTGCAGCCCCATCGACTTAGGCTAGCCCAGGGGTCCAATATGTTGGCGGAGCCCGATAAATGCGAAGGTGACGACGCTGAACTTCGCCGCAAGACACAGAAACGACAATTTTCCTCTTTGGTCGTCCATCGCATACAAATGCGATTGGTCAAAATGATGACTAAGCGCATCAGCTTTGGATCTATTTTTGTATTCTATATTTTAGACGCCTTGCTCTGATTCTCTGATATGGCGAATTCTCGCGCTGGTGTGTTGTTCGGGTAAAGCTACCGGCTGTCGAAAATGCCATGCCATTAATACAGGTAGCTGTATATGGCGATCTACGACGTGTCTGTTTCGCATATTAGCTATATAAAACTGTGCCTACGATGCTTTGCGCCTTTGGTATGGTATACTTACATAGACAAAAGGAGGATCCCAAATACTAAAAGTGGTATATCTCATTATTTATGGTGAATCAGCTCCAGGCCAGAAATGCGAAAAAAAAATTCTTTTTAGCTTGTCTCTGTTGTCTTGGATGCTGCTGCTGCGGCCCTCTGAGCGGCCGTCTTCTCGTCAAATTCCCGCTTCTTTGCATTGATCTGGTCGATCAGAGGCCGATTGTTCAAAGCTCGGAGAGCAGCTTCATTACCAGCTTCCGTCTTGCTCAATCCGCTTCCGGAGCCTAGATGTTTCCTCTCGTAGCCCCATCCAGTAAGGTAAACACCAATGAATGAAGTAACCAGTCCTCCCTCGCGCTGAGGAGGTTTCTCATCAATGTACTGCAGCCGAATCCCCTTGCTCATAACGGTGGCTGCAAGTTTGTCTTTAAAGGAGATCTTGTTGCCATGTTCTGGTCCTGCTGGTGGTAAAGGAAGCTTCACATCCGCAAGCTTCGGTAGCCATAATTGCGTTAGCCAGCTTTCTACTGCCCGAAGGCCATCCTTGGGATCGGATATAATCGCTGCAGCAACGTAGGCCTCAAAAACATCACCCCTTATTTTTGTCCAACGTTTCGGGACACTCCGATAATCCGATGTGGTCTTCAGCAGCTCATCAAAGCCATAGGCCGTTGCATACTGAGCCAATGTTTCATTTTTCACCATGGTTTCCCGAGCTTGTGCCATTTTGCCGGCGGGTAAAGTAGGAAAATTCTCCCATATTAACCGGGTCGAGATGAGTTCGATATATGCATCTCCTAGGACCTCTAGCCTATCGTATGATTTCTCTGAGCATAGTGAAGATCCTGGGCCCCGTTCCACGATACCAGTGTGTGTAAATACAGCGGACTTTAGGCCCTCGTCCTTGATGGGAGGTAGGAGTGGTAGGTTCACATCCTGTCGTGCGGACGCTGGTGCAGGTAAATTGCTAGGTATGGACGGAAGCTGCAACTGTTTGGTAGGATTTAATGGTATATTTTCTGAATTTCCGAATGCCTTATTTATGCGTTTCAATCCCTTTATGATATCCTTGCTATTATCCTTTTCGACGCTTTCAATAAGATCGGATTGAGCGAGTAGATCTTGAGTAAGTCTTTGGAGCTGGATAAGCTGAAATTGAATAGACAGGCCACCCTCTGCATCTCGCTTCGCATCCGCCTTGTCGGGCTTCTTATCGTGTGTTTCTTTCTGAACAGGATAGAATAGAATGTTATAATCTATCGGCCTGGACTGGTTCTTGGAGAGAGCAGACGAACAGTTCCACAAGTTGGAGGGCTACATACCTGGTTCTTTTTAACTCGTTTTGCATTCTGGGAGCCCCCTACTTCCGACACTCTTTTAGTCCCCATCTTCAGAGAATAAGAATAAAATATCCTACTTGATAGAGTGGTAAAAGTTGAACATTTCATGAATTTCGTGCTTTTGAACGGCAAGATATTTGTGGTAGTTGAAACTGCTTGGCAAGTCTAGCCGGGTGGAAGCCAAGAAGGGAAATTTTAAACGTCATCTTCAAGATTGCTCAAGAAGCGTCGACAAGAAAAGACTTTGATCATTTCACTGCAAACAGTTTCACACCAGCTCTCAAACCACGCAATTCACAAGATGGCGGCTCCCAGATCGCGGATACTGGATTTGCTAAAGGTGTGTGATCCTTTTTTTGCCAGTCCATGCTGTGAAACTGTCATCTACTCAAGACATTTTCCTGGACGAAGACATCTCATTAACATATCGTATTTAGGTCCAATGTCGCATCTTCTCTCACACATTCAACCCTGAGGGTCTCCGACTAGGGAATAAGATCCTACGCCAACGACTACGCGGAGCTGCCCTTGCCTCATATTACCCCAGAAAGACCGTATCATTCCGGGATCTGCAAGACGCCTATCGGCCCATGGGCCTGGAGACTTATGATCCAGAGAGATTATACCATGAAGAAATGAATCAGATGTATGGCCTCCTTTACCCTTTTTTTGTCCCATACCATCTGGCCGCGGAACAGGAACTTAAATAATGACACATTTTGATAATAGACGGAAATTGCGTGGAAAGGGAGCACCAAAGAAGAAACGCACAGCCGCAGGTACGAATTACCCATATATTTCCCTTGCGAACACGTTGCTCAGCTGCCTTCCTGTACACAAAGCGCACAGCCAGGAGCTATGGCGTTCCAAGCCCTACAATTCCGTTTTTCACAACCCACTAACTATATTATTTTCTAGAGTCCAAATCCGCAAAGAAGAAGAGATAATGATGCCTTCCGCAATCAATGTTTCAGGTGTATATTGTACAATAAATGGGTTTGTTTTAACGGGGAATATCTTCGCATTTGGCATCGGATAGAGGTGTCTTTGTTTGTCCTATGCAAGCCCAAGGATCTACGTGTTTTATTATTTTACTTCTACACTATCTCTCTTCCATAATGACCTCCAAGCTATGCTGGATTTTCAACTAACATGATACTTGATACTTGGTGATTCAGGGGTCAATTTCATTTGGCCGTAACCTAAAGTTGTTCAGTCAAGTGGTACAAGAAGCTATATTAGAAGAAGAGAGGTGTCTCTCTATATTTATACTACTGAATTTTTCATTATCTACCCTCCTGTTCCCAATAGTAAATTAACCAAATAATGCTGCTAGAGTTGGTCCTTCAACTGGCTTGAGCAATGATCATCACGTGACTATATTGAACCCATCGCGCCACAGCTATTTATCAATCTTCATTTGCTACTCTTACTGTAGCCAGACTTCTACAAACAGCAAAACCTTCATGCTAACAGTACCGTTGCTTATTGTATAGCCTTAATAACCTCGCATATATTGCGATCCAACTTACTGACCTAGCCGACCTGCTGTAACAACGCATTCGATTCCGTGACTACGGCAACTTTTCACCATGCCTGCCGCCGTCGCAAAACTGTCAAAGAACCAACAAAGAAGGGCGAAGAAGAAAGCGAAAAAAGCTGAGGTTCGTAGCTTGAGAAACAATCATTATAATGAACATGATCTAACGCGTTTAAACCGGGAGCAGTCCAAAGGAAGCCGAGAAACCTCAACTACACCTGCTGCAGAGCCTGTAGCTGCCACACCCACAACCAAAACCGAGAGCAAGCCAGACGATTCAAAACCAAATGAGGAACTTGACTATGCGTCAACCATGTTTGCGCCCGCCGAAGCGGATAATGAGCTATTTCAGCTATATCAGGATGTCATGGGGAAATTCGACCAGACCGAGGATGAAGACTCTACCGTTAAAAAATCAGATAAACCGGAGATATACTTTGATGAAGATGACATTCCAGACGAGGAAGAGGAAGACAGCGCAGAAACCAAGATATCCAAGAAGAAGCGCAAGCAGATGAATAAACTTTCCGTTGCTGAGTTGAAGGCTATGGTTCGAAAACCCGAGGCGGTGGAGTGGACAGATGCAGATGCTTCAGATCCAAAACTTTTGGTTCATATTAAAACTTACCGTAATGTGGTTCCTGTGCCGGGTCATTGGTCCTTGAAACGTGAATACCTATCTTCCAAACGAGGAATTGAGAAGGCTGCATTTCAACTACCCAAGTTCATCCAGGAGACAGGCATTGCTGAGATGAGAGATGCGGTTTTGGAAAAGCAGGATCAGCAAACTCTTAAACAGAAACAACGTGAAAGAGTACAGCCCAAGATGGGAAAACTTGATATCGACTACCAAAAGCTCTACGAGGCATTTTTCCGGTTCCAGACAAAGCCTGAGCTGACAAGATATGGCGAGGTTTACTATGAAGGAAAAGAATTTGAGACCAATTTAAAACATCTCCGGCCCGGGGAACTCAGTGATGAGTTAAAGGAAGCATTAAATATTCCCCCAGGTGCTCCACCACCTTGGCTGATCAACCAACAGCGGTTCGGCCCTCCACCATCATATCCTGCCATTAAAATACCCGGTCTCAACGCTCCGCCACCACCCGGTGCCATGTGGGGTTACCATCCTGGAGGGTATGGAAAACCCCCAGTTGACGAACACAACCGGCCTTTATACGGTGGTGACATCTTTGGCGTACTACAGACTCAGCAAAATGTACAGCAAGGTGAGCCTGTCGAAAAGGATTTATGGGGAGAGCTCCAGCCACCAGAAGAGGAAGAGGAAGAGGAAGAAAGTGAAGAGGAAGAAGACGAGGACGAGGAGGATGAAGAAGACGTTGGCGCAGGGCTACAAACCCCAAGTGGTTTGGAGACTCCAAGTGGTATGATTTCATCCATCCCCTCTGAATACGGTGGTACCCAGAGCATTACTGGTGAATTTGATGTTCGGAAGCACCACAGAGGCACAGAAACCGAAGAAACAACACATCCAAGATCAGCCTATCAAGTTATCCCCGAACGCGAGACCCAAGTCAAGGGATTCTTTGGTGGTGACAGGGTTTACGATATCAAGGGGACAACCGCCAATCTCCCAGTGCTTGGAGCTGAGGATGAAAATCGAAAAAGAAAGCGACCAGGTGATGTTGATGTGGCTGTGGACCCGGAAACTCTGGAAGGCCATGGTCTTGACAAGGAGAGCCTAAAGAATCTTTACGACTCACAGAAAAAGCAGGAAGAGAACCCGAACTGGTTCCAAGAAGATCTCAGTGACATGATTGCCAGTGAAAGCCGGAAACGATTAAAGAAGGACGAAGAAAGGCGAGCCAAGCGTTAAAACCTGGAGTAGAATTCGACATGTACAATACAGGGACTGGAGTTGCGTTAATGGCTTTATAATACTGTTTAGAGAACTTGAGCACGAAATGAGAAACAGTTTCGCAGCATCAAAACGCATCGTAATAGAGCTATACAAACTGCCATCGATCTCATCTTCCACATCCTCAAAGACTTTCTATTGATCTCCTTTTTTTCCTCCATAAAAGAGGATAGTACACGTGACCCATATTAAGCGCGGCTAATATATCCCAATATGGTTTAGCGTCTTAGTAGCAAAGATCGCGATTTTCGATATCAAACATTAAAATCATAAAGAACAAGCAACGAGATTCAACAGAGCGGGATATGGCCTCCTCGACGATGATTTCAACATTATTTTAAACAGAATCTATTGCATCTACTCCCGAGACGCCCTCTAACCAGCCACTGTTGCAACTTATTCTGCGCACCCACATTCAAGCAGCACTAGCTAGTTGCGAGGAATCATGGATCGTGAAAGAAGGTAAGCGGGTCGAATCTGCCAGCTTGCCATAGCAGCCCAGCCCCCATTGCATGCGGCTACCTAACCTCTTCACAAAGCTGACAGTCCTTAGGTTTGACGATGGCCGCCGCGGAGGAGAGAGCTATCGCCCACTTGAGCGCAACTTCCGCCGCTCCCCTCGGCCCGATAACCGGTCGTTTCCACCACGTAACCGTTCACCTATGAGGCCATCTGCAGATACATGGGCACCACCAAGCAGGCCACGACCGCGGAGCCGCTCCCCTGACAACTTTAGGCCACGATCGAGAAGCCCCCCATTTAGAGGCCGTGAGAGAGGCCCAAATTTTGGCAACAGGCCCCGTTCTCCCCCCAGACGACCATCTCCCGGGCGCGATAGGCCTCCAAGGTTCAATCGGAGGTCACGATCCCCGCCTCCGTTCGATAGGAACAGGAGTCCAGGATTAAAGCGTGGCCGTGATCCATCCCCTTCGACCCTCAATGCACCTCGTGCACCAAAAAGAGAGCGAAACAATTCCCCTCCGAGAAATAGATTTGACCGTCCACGGTCTCCTACCTTTAACGAGTCTATGCAGCAGCGAGATGCAAGGTTTGGTGCCCGTAGGCGGTCTAGGAGTGCTGATAGACGAAGCTTGCGAGGGGATCCAAATGGCGGGAGGGGACCACCACCGCCCCCTCGGTCGCCATCTATAACAGAGCGCTCCGGTCCAAATTCAGCTCACGGCTCGGCCGCTACTTCTCGGCGATCTTCTCCCCCCGCCCCGGAAAGAATGAATCGCAACTACTCGACCCCTTCGGGACATGGCCCACCTCCTGCAACGTCACGGTCCCAGTATGATAGCCCCCATTCTCACGGAAACGCGCCTCGTTTTCCTGAAGGAAACAGGAGGCCCTCCAGTCGACCTCCTTCACCATCGAGAAGGCCTTCAGCCAATCTACAATTGCAATCACCACGCGCGCATGAGCCATCGAGACCATCTGTTGAAAACGAACTTGACCGTAGTCAGAGCACTCCAATCAGGCCTCCAACTGGCCCTCGCACTGAAAGCAGCCCTTTAATCCAGACTCAAAGCACCAACGTTCCAGAAGGAATATCCCCTCCTCTCGGCCCCTCTGCGGCTTCGAGGTCAATGAGACAGTCCACACGCGGAGGCCATATGGCTCTATTGTCCGCCCCAACCCGTCCCAAAGGCGCATCTGGACAAAATTTTAACAGGGATGGGCCCCCTACTGGCCCCCGGGAAAATGCGAGACCCGGCCCTGGTCCTGGCGCTAGCTCTATACGGCGTGGCGGCTCCCACGCCTCAACACCACATCACGGACACCCTCCATCTGGCCCTCGAGGTGCAGGAGGGAGCCCTGCGCCTGGTCCCGCACATGAAGCAAGGCCTCGACCACCGTTTAGACATGGAAGTGGGCCATCCGCAAACTACCCGCGTGCACAAAGAACTACCAACCATCTAGCCGGACTACCTACCATTGTCCCTGGGGGTAAAGTATTGCCTTCTGGCCTAGATCCCATCACGGAGAAGCGATTAGCCCAGCTAGAAACCGACAAGGAGAAACTTTTGGAGCAAATTTCTGAAAAACAAAGAGCAAAGCGAGCCTCTCTCAGAGAATGGGAGAAACTCTGCAGAGAGAGTGAAAATGCCGCGTTGAGAACCGATCTTGCAGACGGCCACCTCCAGAGAATGTCTGAAACCGAAGGCATCGGAGGCGGCGTTGCCTTTTAACACTTTTTTTTCCCCTTTCTTTAGGGCATCGCATAGTTTACCATTTGGCGCTTTTGTTCTGCTGTAAGATTATATCTTCCATTCTATTAGTGTATGATTTAATATACCTTCAGCTTGACACACCAATTATGAAGTCCTACGCTAGTCAAACCTCTTGTTTATCCTGTCGTCGAGCACTTTTAGGCAGAAACGAAGCTTTCATCATACAAAGTCTTCCTCGACGTCGCTGGACTTATAAAAAGGGGTAAGTCACATGACTATATACTATTTTATATTATATAATATATTCCAGCCAATGAGATTCAAGTTTCTACTCAAACTCCAGATTTATGGACTTTGTATGAAATATAAAAGAGACGAGATGAAGTTGATCAAGTAGTAGATCCCGTCTCGGGTCGGGCATCAGAAGAGAGAGCGATATGGAAAGATGATATGGCCGATTGCTTTGCCTTAGTTGTAGATGTTGGGTGCTGCATCTCCGCCCTGTCTTCCTGTGGAATCACCGTAAACGACTCCCTGCCAGTGTAATCTTTGCTCTAGTCCAAATTCACGTCTAAAGCATTATTTTATCCCAAACAAGCTACGCTGACGCTGGCGATTTATATACATACAAAAATCGAAAGATCACATGACCTGCTTCATGTGCTCTCAGAATCAACTTTAAACTGATTACGCAGTAAAAAAAGCATCTTGTGGACTTCGTGTCAACATCGGATTTCTTAATCACTTTCAAATTTCAACATCCACACACAGCTGCTACACCTCGAACGAACTGGGCATTGCGTTTCCTTGCCAGATGCAACATCGCAGGTTGCATGAAGAAGAGTCTGTCGTTCCGGATCAAGCTACAATTCCACACCTCATTGGCTGAAGCCGCCTACCATTAAACCCTTCCCCCTGATCGCGGTATCGCATACTATTTTACACCCCTGGAAGACGAGGCCAGTCAGGCATAGGCATCAAGATGAATATTTTCCGGCTTCTCGGTAAGCTCTTAAAGGCGGTTTTGATCCTGTTGGCCTTGGTTTGCTTGGATGGGGAATCAATACACTAATCAATCGGCTCTACTTCTAGCGGACATTTCCCACCTCCTTTCCATTTTCATTCTACTGCAAAAAATGAAGTCATCGAGTGTACGCGCAGGATCCTGATTCCAGTCTTCCCTCCAATTCCAATTGCAAACTAACGCCATTGCAGAGTTGTTCGGGCATATCGTTCAAATCACAGTCGTTATATTTGATAGTCTACGTCACTCGATACCTCGGTATTTTACCCTTCTCTATAGATCCTGCCCTTCTGTGTGGACAACGCATCCCATAAACATTATATTGACCAAATTTGTTCTCGACTCACTAGACCTGTTCTGGAACTTTACCGGCTCCCTATACAACACCATTTTTAAGATTCTGTTCATCTCTTCTTCTGCGTACACGATTTATTTGATGCTCAACGATTATAAGCCAACCAACGACCCCAACATTGATACCTTCAAAGTTGTATACCTTCTCGGCGCCAGTGCTGTCCTAGGAATATTATTACCCTATAAGTACACAGCCTCCGAGGTAAGTGAGCTACTGGGAATCCCCCAACATACATTCATCTGGAAAATATCTAACAAGGGTCAATTCTGCTACTTTAGATTCTCTGGGCCTTCTCAATCTGGTTGGAATCGGTCGCAATCTTACCACAGTTGTTCATGCTTCAGCGAACAGGCGAAGCTGAAACAATAACGACCCATTATCTCTTCGCGCTAGGCATATACCGTGCTCTGTATATTCCCAACTGGATCTACCGATACTTCTCCGACGGATATTTTGATCCTATCGCAGTGGTTGCCGGTATCATCCAGACCGTTCTTTACGCAGATTTCTTCTGGATTTACTTCCACAAGTCAGTATTCAAGGGCGGTTATCATGCCCCGGTCACTTCCTAATTCATAATCGGCATATCTAACAATAGTTTCTTTCCATAGGGTCCTCAAGGGTCAGAAATTTTCGCTACCTGTATAAATCATAAGGCCATGTTTCAGGAGGAGGTGGGCTTCAAGATTTCTACAATGTGCCTTGATACCTACTACCAAGGAGGATGACCTGATCAATTTAGCTTTTTAACTTTTCATTCAAGCCTTACATCAAACGGGGGCAACACAGGCGGTATGGACCATTTTTATCCTTTAACCAACAAGAACATTTGTAATAAATGCGTTACCCGGAGTTCCTTTATCCTAGGTATCTCCCAAGAAAATTTTTTTTTTTTGATTCCTCCGTGTTTATTCATGAGGCTGGACTAATGGCGAGACATGGTCTCTGTTATAGAAGGAATGCGACCATTGTCTTTTCTTTTTCTTTTTATTCGGTATCATCTCATTTTCCCACCTTTTCTTTTCTTTTCTCTTTCTGTTCCTTGGTTGCCTTGTCTTAGGGTTAACCTCTAAACTGTCTTTAATAACTAAGCTGAGACGAAAACTTATGTATTACTATTTATTGCTTTACTCATTCTAGAGGCTTAAATGATCCATAGTCATGTCGTGCAAGTGTAATAATATATCTCAAAGTAAGCAGAGTAAAGATATCAAGGCACATGTAAATAGTCTGCATGGTTAAATTTTGAGTGAGCCCGCAATTCTCTGCAGTATAACATATAAAACGGGAAGTTATTGAGAACGAATAAAAGGGACTTGATAGACAATACAGTAGTAGTGTATTCTTCAACGCCCCTTTTATTGACGTGAAGGTCAGTCTGATATTACAAAGCTGTAACCCCTTCCTTCATATGGATTTCCTGTGCATCGAGGACGGAAAAAGTAAACCTAAAAGTGAGAGAAAAATAAATAAAACCAAGAAAAAGGCAACCAACGAGAAAAGCTCAAAAAATAATCATAGTAAAAGATGTTCCCAAATACCCCGTGCGTCCCTGAGTTTCCATGCGATAACGTTGAAAATAGCTTCCATATTCCATTGTAACCCCTTGCATTTCCCATAATCAAATGTTTGAAAGTGTTATATAATATGTTGCGGGTAACTTTTTTGCGTTATTGGGTTTCCGTGGGTTTCCGTCATTAGTATTGATATATTAGTGAAAGGGCTTCCTTCTGTGTGGCTTCCTCGGTGGATTTTTAATTAACAAAAGTCCAGATTGGAACGAGTAAGTAATTTTAGCCTGAGTTGTTATGAAGGATGTTAAGAAAAGTGAGAGAAAAATAAAGATGTTGAAAGGTGAAATAAAGCCAGAAATATAGCGAGATTGAAAATATTTAGCACGATATGTCCTGTATGATGCTGAAATTTCCGTAGAATAGCTATCAGGGCACGATGGCATCATATCATGGATGCCTATTGTAGCCATCTCCGTATCGAAAGGCATAGAACATTGGAACAGCTTGGTATTCAAGAAGATTCACAAAATGCCTTGGTCTCTTAATAATGATGAGATTCCGGAAGATGCTGGGCTTCGTCATAGGTAGAGTGGTAGTCTAGGTGGTTTGATGGCATGGACAATGTTGTTGATAATCCATGGTTACCCGCAGCACTATTCGTTTCACTGCCTGACGTCAACGTCCTTGGGAGCGAGGCCCAACTACTCGCTGTCGAGGGAACGGGATGCATATGTGAGTTATGATATTGGTTCGACAAGCTTGTGTGATGTGGGGTTGGCGGCCAGGTTAGTGCGGATGGAATATTGGACTGATTATGATTAGCGTGTGGAGCCTCCGCTCGTGCAGGATATGGAACCCCTGGCCGGCTTATAATGGATTCTCGGCGAGAATCTGGCGGTGAGAGAAGATATGGTGAAGGGCCTAATATGTGATCAGGCTTAGGAGAACTTCTGCATGAGGTTGGGGGTGTCAACCGAGATCCCCCTCTTCGAACTTGACATGTTGGGCATATTTTAACGAAGCGTGATATTAGCTCTTTTGGTACCCTGGGTAAATGTGGCGTGTCAATAAGTTTCAGAGGAAAAAAAAATGTTGTACTCCCACTGGTTCCTGGTTCACGAACGGTGTGGCTTACCATGAGTATATCCTCCGAACCTGGGCTGAAGTCTTATCACGACCTCCATGTTGGCATTGTTGGTGTGCCCGAGTCAAGATTTTGAAAAGCTTTTCACGTATTGCTACTGGCTTCCCTTCATGACATATCATTTTTCGAGACTGTGATCAGAAAAATCTATATTAGCAAGAAGTTCCATCATTTATGTATATCTGTTAGAGGCGCAAATCAAAAAGATGAGACAAACCACAGGCGTTCTGCTGTCATTAGGCTCCAGTCTGAACATTTTCTTCACCCAAAACCTAGAGCAACATTAGACACTAGGCTAAAGTACTTAAATCACAAATTTTGGGTTCCATGATATATGTTCATTGAAGGGTGTTTCTTCATGCACTTTTCATTTTGAAGAACGTACCTGAACTGGGCAGATTCAATCGCGGTATCCTTGGGATCAGTGAGCACGATTTTAATGTTTCGAGCTCTCCTTGAATGGATCAAGGCTTTGTCTTGCTTCTTGACGGAAAGGTCCTCAACGTAGCTGTGCAAATTCATTAGTTTCCACGGAGTTGAACTGGCTCGGCTTTTGCAGCCTAAGTGAGGAGGCAGTTACCTCTTCATGAGCTGATCAAACTCTCGAACATCTGGGAACCCGTCCAGGGCAGGAATAACGGGCTCTGACAAGACCGTTTGTTCATTGCAAGATTCCTGGGCTTCGATTTCTACCTCCCACAACGGCTCATGCATAGGGAAGAGTCGATGCGGTGCTGGAAACCTGGGCTGTGACAGATACTGAGGGTGGCATTGATATCCGGCAGAGGATGAATGGGTGGGAAGTGAAGAATGTTGCGGAGCCTGCGTATACATTGCTTGTTGTGAAGGGTATGAGGGAGGAATGGAGGTAGCCTCAGCAGAGTGGTGATTATATGGTGCCAGAGCCTGGTGGCTCGAATATGATTGATTGAATGGCGGCTGCGAGAAGTTATACTGATTGTTCCTGCCATAGGTGTACTCCTGGTCCTCGTCATGATGCTGATAATGATGTGACATGATTGCCGGACCGCCTGATGGGCCAATTGATGGTCTTTGGTTATGGGTTTGGTGCTGATGCTTCCTGTGATCCTCCAAGAGAGTGCTGTCAGGAGCTAGTAACCTCAACGCAAGGGTAGAAGATGGGTCGGTAATATCATGAGCTCGTGAGATCGTGTTTGCATTGAAGGGGGCTGGGGAGAAATGAGAGTTGTGGGAAGCAGTATTGACACAGGAACGGGAGACTGTATCGCACGCCATTGAAGGAGGAAAGCAAATATCGCAGCTATTTTTTTCCTTGTGTTTTTGCTTTCCAATTTCTCCTTATATTCTTTAAGCTGGCGAAGAAATAGCAAAGTGTTCTTCTCAGACGGCACGAGGGGCCGAAAAATGGAGGGAGAAGAAGAAGACCACACTGACAGGCGAGATGTTTCCACAATATCCCTAACACCCAGCTGTTTGGCGTTCGAGTATGCGGATGCCGATTAAATAAAGAAGTGGAACTAGATCACAGATACCCGCGACTAAGAGAAGCGCCAGCACGGACGGAGATATTTTATAACAAGAGCTGATCTGAGAGTTAGCGTCATGTGAACCGGGGATAGCCTCGATTGACTGAAGATGATCAACGAGCGGGAACGCGGGTGCAGGGTTCAATTAATAGTAAATCAGACAGTAAAGGTTTTGTAGAGTCGATGTCCAAAAGAAAATAAAGAGTCCAGAGGTCCTGATAAGCAACCGGGTTGCAATGGCTTGAATTGAGTGACCAGAAGTCAGGAGATAAATACAACCCAGCAAGAGGCGGGCCGAGCTCTGGAATGCTCGGAAAGGGCTTTTCCTGGCACCTCAGCAGAAGCACGGAGAGGGCGGGCAACGATCAGGTCAGAGGAAAAAAAGTATTAATATGATTTGGAGAAACGTTGCAGCTCTGGATGTCTCTCTTGAACGGATTTTTTACCTTTCACTCGTCGACCAGGTACCTCTCTGGCACCTTGCAAGGTACGACCGATTTGCATTGTAGTCAGCATTCTTTTTAAGGGGATCCAAGAGTGAATGACTGGCTGATGCAGAGAGCTGCATGGGTTCTGGCCAGTAATACGGTTTGACGCCGTCCATATTGATTTTTTAGGCTGCAAAGGGAGGGATTGGAGATGTGGTGGTGGCTGAAGGGATGTTGGAAAAGAAAACATGCCAATTTTTTTCGTTCTTTTCCCTTCTCCCCACCTTTCGAGTAAGAGAAAAAAATATAAGTTTTTCAAAGGGGGGAGATAGGATTCGTCAGGGTTCGTTGATCGACCCAAGACCACATGGATCAAGGGCATACGAAGTGGCAGAAATAACCCTTTTTCAAGAAAAAAAAAAAGCTGATCCCGCTGTTCCAGTACTCCATAGTTACCAGCCCTCTCTGAGAAGTACATTGTACTCTGTACTGTGCATCGTTTGGAGATTAATAGGGCACCCCAAAAAGTAAGGCTGTTAGCCTGTCGGGAGGGTCTAGACATGCCAAAACTCGGGCATATACATAGTAGGAACCGGGGGCCGCACTAACTCGTCACTAATTAGGCCCGCTTTAGTTATCGACCTTTTCCTTTTTCCCCTGTACTTCTGGACAGGAATAATTGCTTTGTGATTTTTGCTTTTTCCTGCTTCTCGTTCCTCGCCCTCTATCTTCTGTTTGGAAGAAAATTTCAGCGTTATTTATTTCCCTTCAAAGTCATTCTCCTCGAGAGAAAGAGGGCGTAAGGGGATAGTTGGCCTATATGATAAGTTAGTAAGAAGTAGTTTTATCCTTGTTAGCTAAGGTCGATGCTCTTCAGGCAACATTCCGTATAATCAAAATACAATAACCGTTGTACGGAGTCAACAACGAATGGGGAACGACCTACGGAGTATTATAGTAGCGGACAGTCGGGACGAGAGGCGAGGCCAAAAAAAAAAAAAAAAAAAAAAAAAAAAAAAAAAAAAAGGAAGAAGAATGGGAGTAAGCGGGAGTAAAAAGAAGAAGATCTGGCTTCCGAGAAGCCGCTTTCAAGTCTCTCTTGGCTTCAGCCCCCTTTTTATTGCGAGAGATAATAATTTATATTACTCCGGAGATGTGCTTGATATATCGTTTAGGCCCGAATGCTTTTCAGTGATCCAATGGAGGCATTTTGATAGAGTTCCGTGGCGTCAAAAGATGAGAGTGACTGTCGGTCAAACCGATGTACAGTGTACATAATATGTAACTCTCTGGAGTTTAGCAGCCTGCTGGCTCCCGCTGCCGCTGCTGCTATGAAAAGCTAGATGGTCAATTTCCCCTTCTCTCTCTCTTTCTTTCCTTTTTTTTTTTTTTCCTTCTCTTCAGCGCTATCAAGTCAGTAAAGAACTATGTCGAAGTTGCAGAACACTGGTGATTAGCTAGTCCCCTCTCCGCCAAGTTGTTTCGCATGCTCCTGACGAAACCCAGGACTGGCCTAGGCGGGAAGACGCCATGAGATCGTGGCGCCCAGTGGTCGAATAGGACGACCTGTCTTAATTTTCAGTGATACTCGGGGTTGAGCAGGTCGAAGGGTGTTGTTGAAAAGGGGAGAAAAGAAGAAGAAGAGGTTGACGTTCGAAGTTTGACGTTGGAAAGAAGTTTCTAACTATAAACGGCACTCGGCAGCAACCTTCTCTTTCTCAATCTCCATCAAACCCTCCGATAGAAATAAAATATCATATATATAAGAAAAAACACGCATGGCTTCTTCACACGCTACGACAGTTACGATCTCAACTAATATTTATTACTAAGAATCAATTTTGGGAGGAAGAAGAAAAAGAAAGCAAGGAGGAAAAGGGAAAAGAAAAGGCGCCATTAAAAAGAAAAGTTGGTTCGGTACGGGAAGACGATCCACAGATGTGGGAATCCATCGAGCTGGCGAGCAAATACCAGAAGGCTTCTTTCTATATTTAATAGTTGATCTGGTCCATCGGGGTTATGCTCCATATTATGTGTTGCTATATCGAGTGCATGGTCTACCTCAGAACGTGTTAAGTTGCTTCCTGGCTGCTTGACAATCCCGGGCGCAATCTCGCTAACCAGCATATATACAGGAGTCGATATATATTTATGTATGTATATGTATAGATATATATGGGTATGGCGCCTTTTCCCCTGGATTTGTGCACAACGAATGAACCTGTCAGACCAGCCTCAAATACTCCATGTACGACGGCAAAGTACATAATCTGTATGGGCATACATACATATCCTCGCCATGCATCCAAACACAGGGCACTACGGGGCCTTTCGTTATGCACTCCATCTGTCCCGAATTTCATGCTTCCCTGCCTCATCCCTGTGTGTATATGACCCTCTCCCCTCCCCCATTTATATACGTCTTCGCCTCTAGATGCTTTCTTCTTGCATTGCATCTTAAATATGGTACTCTGTGCCTGTGCTCTTCTACTTCCAAGGACGGGTCAGACGGCGGGCGTACAGAGTACGTCACTTATATACTTACTACTTGAATCCGGGCAAGCAATTGTCGGATATATATTAATGACGGTCTTCGATCCCACCATTTCGCCGTCTTCCATAGTGCCTACCTGGTGTTTGACATGGGGGAGTCCACACTTGAGCGTCCATAGAGACTATGGCTTAGAGCGTGGAACCCAGCAAAAAGCTACAAACATGAAATTAAAGTTATATAATATACAACGGGTTGTATGGAACGTGTATGCATCAAGAATACTCGCAAAAGGAGACATGCACAACGCATTGTTGCATACGCATCATATTTCGCCCTCTCGCCCCGTTCCGGTCCGCCTCAATAAAGCAGCGAAGCTGTCTGAGGATAGTCTCAAGTTGGCGGCCTTTTTTTTTTTTTACTTTTATTGTGTCTTCCCTACCGCTTAGTGATTCGTAGGCGATGCATTGTATCACGGCCACTCCCTGTTCCCCCTCCCCCACAGGATCTTTTGTACACTTGTACACTTTTGTACTCCGCCCCAAAAGTGCTATGTCGAAGATTCTTCTCCTTTTCCCTTCATTTTCCACTTTTTCGCTCTAGTTGCTTATGCGGCTTTTTTTCTTTTTTCCTTAGAAGGTGGGCCAATCTCTCATTACGGACATGTTCACTTTTCCCGTAATGGCCTTCCAAGGTTGAGCAAACGAGAGTGTGGTGACGGAATAAAGGACAAATGTATGAGAGTGGATAGCGAAGGGAATTGTCGATCTATCAATAGTAAAGAGTACGGCCAGCAACCGGGAAGAGGCCAACCTGGGCTCTTTCGTGACTAGCAAGGGTCATACAGAATATACCATAAGCTGTACATATAGTAATCTGTAGCCAACGTCTAGAACGAAAGCTGACACCTGGCAGCATCCAGCATACCCCAAATTATCATGCTGCGAGGCGCGGGATAGGTACGGGGATTAGAGATGCCGCTGTAGTCATTAATCAGTGTTCCCAGATAGCAGAATCAATAGAGAAACGAATCCTGGGTTTGCATAAATCAAACGGGATAAATAAGTAGGCATCCACGTACTTATGGCGAGGCAGGGTATTCCGGAATTTAAATGCCCCCCGGCTCGACTTAGTAAACCCCCACTCAGTAAGTCTTCTCATCTAAAGAGTAATCTCTGCTTCGTGCTTGCATTTCCTTAGGATTCCTTTCCCGTATTTCCTTATCACCTAGGGTGCTATAGCCGATGGCTGCACTGACATGGCTGCCCTTGATTGCAGAGGTTTCGGGCGTCAAAGCTCACCTTTTAACCTTTCCCTAATCCTCGTTAGGCGGACGGGATTTTCGGGAAAGCTGGAACTGAAAGGGCCTTTTGCGTTGTGCATCGCTGTCAATCTCTTCTTCGCATCACCTTTTTCAATTCTTTTTTCCTCTCTCCCTCTCTTTTGATCTCGCGACTTTTGTCCTGCGGGTCACGGCCTTTGTCACAACATCAGGGAGATTGGCAATCGGAGAGCAAAAGACTACAGGTCGAGATACACAACATAGCTTACCAACATAATCGCCGCCGCTATCGTCACAGCCTCCGTTTGTATTCGCCGGGGAGAGCAACAGAGGCATCCGTGCGCCTAGTTCTGCATAATATGAACCTGATTAGGTAAATGGCACTGTCTATCTGCCGGGTTGTGTGTCGACAGATCAATTTTTTTGCGGGATTTCAAGAATGCATGTCATTGAGATAAACCTCGTGTACTGCTGCAGCCGCTCAGACAAGATAGAAATTAAGGGAATGGTTAAATTCCCACGAATAGGACCCGACAAAAAACAAACAAAGTTTCCCAGCTGATTTTACTGGCTGGGGAGCGATTATGGAACACTGGAGTGGAGGAGTTGCAAGGTGGGGAGGAGATGGATGGCCAGGCGCGAATTAACTGCCTCCTTTCACCCTGGCCTCGTTTTGCCCTACTTTCATTCAATAGTCAGTCAAAATGTACGAGCTATTTGTACCGGAACAGTGTTCCCCGAAGAACCAACGAGGATCAGTAGCGAGAGAGAAGCAAAGAAAGGCGGGTAGGAGTGTCGTAAATAAAAATATATCTCCGCCCATCGACGAACAGGTTGCTATCCCGCCAGCCCACCTTGACAAACGGATTGAGGGAAGATGGGGGCAAACAAGGGACGGGGACGACGGGAAATGCCCCTACTTGCAGTGCTAGCGCTTTCCCGCATGTGTGGTTCCTGCGCATGTAAGGTGCCTTCGTCAAATACGAGCTCAGGCTCAGGATTCACAATCAAATGTTAGGTTGCTGGTTGGTTGGAATAGCCAATTTCCCTGGGGAGAATTTTGAGCGTAAAAAAGGTATCAAGGCTCCCATTACTCCCATTACTCGAATCAGCCCAAAGGAGGCAAGCAAGGCGACCAGCCAAAGAGCGGAAAAGGCCATTAATGAGCTGGTAAGAAAAGAAGAAAAGCTAACCGCTTTCGCACAGTATGACTATGTGGACGATGCAAGACCATGGGTGCAGATCCTGTCGCTAGGGGTTGACCTATAACTTTCCCCCAAGCACAACCGAGCTTCTCCTTAAAGAGAAGGCATTCGTATTGTTGGCCAACTTGCCACGATCGCAATCGCATATGTACGTGAAATGGGTGTACATATATGCAAGTACATACAAGGCTGATGAGAGGCCCCTGGTTAGGGTGTATATATACTCCATACACCCTTTTCTAGAGTATTCTCCTATCTCTTATGTCCAAAACCAAGGATGAGCGAGAAGCGCTTCTAGGATTTAGACTCGAGATCACCGTCATTCTTAACCTTGCTACTTGCTGCAGCTGAAGCATAATTCAGCAACGCCTCTTGCGCCAGGCATTATCGTCATGGCCACGGCCATGGCCATGGGCCATACTCATCCAACCTGTAGACCTATGACATGACGTCAGTCGACTGATTAACCAGGAAGCCATGTCTGCCTACCTTTTACTAGGAATTGCATCTATACGAGATGTATACATATGTAGCTGTTGGTGAAGGGGTTGCAAGTTTGTGGTGAAATATTGACAAGGAGCACATAGAACGAGTCCCAGAGAGAAAGAATTTAAAAAAAAAGAAAAACCCCGAAAAACTCCTTAGTAAGTCGGCCAGGAAGCTTCAAATTGCACAAGCCAGGACTGCTATCATCCGTGTATATACCACTATACGCGCCTGTTCTTAATATCATTTCCCGGTTCTGGACTTCTTGAAGGATGAACTGGGCTCAGAAAGCAGCGGCAGCATGTGTTTGTAGTTTGCGGAAGTCCATTATCTTGCCGATATATAGGCTGGGAAGGTCCATACGATGGTCACTGAAATAGCCGAGCTGGCCCTTAGTGCACTGCAAAAGCGCAGTCCGTATACTTTGTATACCGCTTGAAGGGATAGACACTCCCACGGGCAAATGCCTTCTAGGGGTAAAAGAACCGCAGGTACCAAGCTAACAGTCAACATGTATCCGTTCAAGTTTTGCTTCTCTTAATAGCTCTGTTAAGATGTCAAAACCCGGCCGAGTAATATAATAACTCGCTAGGAAATGATGGATTCGAACCAGTTATCTCTTGTCTGGTTCGCGGTTGACCAAGAATAAGAACTGAGAAAATGCTATCATTAATTAAACTCCTACTAATTAATATATTGTCGTCAAGTCATTACCGGGGGTTAATAACGGAGATGAGTAGGCGGCAATTACCTTCCATCCAGCCCGTTATATGGCCCCCACCCAAATGGAGATGTTCGTGATAAATCGTCATAAAAATAAAACAAAAAAGGCCAACGAAGAAAAAAAAATCCAAAAAATAAAGCCGCATCCACCCCCACCCCGATATTGGCTGGTCTGTATCGCAGCCATGCGCCGGACAACACTTGCAACCAGATGCATATAAATACCTCATAAGGCGAGGTAAGGTAAGGGAAGAGGGAACGGAACACAACAAAACACAAAAAACGGCGCTTCGCAATTCTATCGTGGGTATTGGTACTTTGAGGCGTCGAAGTAGTCACCACCTCCAAAAATAAAATGAAATGAAATAGGATAAGGGGTATATGAATAAAGCGGGATTTAGCGGCCTGGGCAAGGCATATCAGACAGCTTTGCCCTTACCTACTAGGTTACGAATGGCCCAGCGCCATTCATCACCCAGTCTGGCTCGGTCTTCATTTATCCACTTGCCGACTTTTCGTCTCCATTTTTCTTCCTCGGCACGCTGTCGTTTGATAAACTCAGGCCCAACGTCGAACTCTTCTGTAATCGCCCATTCGTCTGATGATTCGCCTCCACTTTTATCATCCAGATTCATGGTATCGGCTTCAATGCAACCTGGGGAAGATGGGGCGGTGGATGCTACAATGGACTTTCGAGGGTGGTCCTCCAGATCGTCAAGGCCAGCAAAAACATCCTCCTCTTCATCAACGGAAAGTGATGGTCCGGATTTACTTCCCGGTCGGGAGTTAGATGCTTTAAGCCAGCACATACGCTGGGGGTCGAACACCATTCCGCCAACCACCTGGGATCCTGAAATGCCTCCTACATTGGAGATGAGGGCTGGGGACGGTTTTAAGGACGCAGGCGTTGGCTGCGTCTCGAATGCGGCCGTAGCATTCTCATTACCTTCCCACTTGTAAAGTGCAGGGTTATATTGCATACCTTTGACATCTGTAAAGTTGAATTAGTAGAAGCACGTTACTGAAGAAGGTTTAGTAAATGTTCTAGAATACTCACTTTTAGCGTCATGGACCCCATTACCCATTGGCTTGATGAGATGGGGTCGGCTAAGGGAGTGTTTATGGCCATGGCGACTCCGTGGAAGTGAAGGGCTGGCCAGAGGCCGATTGCTAGGCTGGGTCTTCCAGTTTACGCTCAGAGAAGTGAGTGGGCCGCCGTGTAGGTTGTTACCCATTGATATTATGCGCTGCTCTCGTGCATTCCGGGATGCATTTGTGTCCCGCGCAAATCTAGGCGTTGAGTCCTGCGCTGGTGGGCTTATCGGCCCTGTGGATGGGACGGGAGTTTCTGTCCTCGGAGCTGTGATGTGTGACTGACTCAATTTGCTTCGCAGGGAGCGTGGTGCACCGCGTTTAAGGGGAGCCTTCATGAATCTGCTCTCAAGGGATGCGGAGGTTGGAAGGTCATCAAATATATCAAGTTCAGTACCATCACCAAAGTTCTTCCGGCGAGTGGGTTTAGTGATGGTTTGTTTTGCGGTAGCAGCGATGGTATCTCCAGAATAGTTTATAGGGCGACCGGAGCTGTCGTAGCGTGTTCGCTTTGAAGACCTAGATGTAGATCTTGGGTTCATAAGCATGTCCCCTGAACTTTCTGAGTCGGTTCGACGGAAGTGTCGACTGGATTTGACACTGACATGATGAGATTTGCTCGGGGATACGCCTGCTGGAAGGAAAGGTACCTGGGGCCGGCGTTGCGAATGGAGACGAGATTCGGTTCCATGACGGTCAACTGGTGTTTTGGGACGAGATGTGGCTGCTGGCTTACTGTGGCTGACCTGCCTTGACGGGGAAATTTGGGGTTGGGAAGCAGTGGCTCCTCCAGATGAAGGGCGGATAACGGGCGCTGAACGCTTGGACTTGAGCATCTGCGAGTTGGTGCTCACAAGTTCACCTCGTAACACCTCTTTGGAAGGCCTAGTTCCGAGGACTCTTCGACTGGGTGGCGAGAGGTTAGATACTAGAGAGTTCGGCAGTGGTATATTTGTTAACGATGAATGCGCTGTGTGACCACTTAAACGGGAGTGAGGACGCCTTGGAGTTTGAGAGACAGGCGCCCCACTTTCGGAAACAGGTTCCAGATAGGTAGAATGAGGTCTCTCGTGGGTAGAGAGTCGTGGTATCCGCGTACCCGCAGTAGAAGCCTTGTTGGTGAATGTAATGCTTGTTGCCCCCCGTCGAGGAGGCGTTGACGGCGGTTCAATTCTTCGTTTCACGTTTCGATTAAGGGTCAGCTTTCCAGAGTCAAAAGCTTCGCCATCTCCTATCTCGATGCCCGAAAAGAAATCATCATTCATTTGTTCGCTATGTTTCGGGCTCTTACCACTGGGAGTGGTCTGTTGTCCAGTGGGTGTTTCCGGGATACTAGGTGGTGGTGATTGTGGCCTGTTCCTCCTTTGAAGTGACTTCTCGAGGTCCAATGGGCCGTCTGGGAGGATCAACCCGTCAATGCCATCGTCTTCGCTTTCGATGGTTAGGCAGCTTGACATGCTCGGGCTGAGAGCTCCTACGGATGAGCTACGGTTGGAGCGGCCATCCCTTCGGGTACCCCCAAAACGGACACCAATGCTGCCTTCTGCCCATTCAGTGTCAAAATCATCGGACAGAAAATCGGAAGTAAGGGACACATCCCGGCGTTTGGAGAGGCGCAGAGGTGTACCATCATCGGGCAAGATTAATTCAGACTCAAAATCATCATCTTTCGCACGCGTGTCTAGTCTTGTGGGTGTGTTTGTGTGTTGGTTAGATCGAGTCTTGGTGATCTTTATTGTAGATACGTCACCAAACAACATGTCCTCCTCTGTGTCACGAAATTTGACGAGGTCCTGGAGGACAAAAGAATGGGCATCTGCCTGTTTATCAAATTTCGGAGCAGGCAAAGAGTCCAAATGAAGCAATGAATCCGGTGCCGTAGTTTCGTGGTATAGTTTGACCTTGGGCTTTGCTTCAAAAGCTGAAAGGTCAAGGTCTTCCAGCCAGTCGTCTCCCACAGTAGCTTTTTGTTTCCGGCCACCCAGCCTCTTTATTGACCCTCCGAGCAATGCCGAAGTTGGTATATCAGGCGGGATCGGTATCCCTGCATTCTTAGCTGATATGATTGCGTCCTGATTTGGCGAGTCATCGCTAGGGTTCAGTAAGAGCTGCCAGCTTTCATCGTCACCCAAATTAGAATCACGGTCTGACCTCCAAGAACGTCGAGACGAGATTGAGTCGCGGTGGCCCGACGGGCGAACGGAAGATCCTGTGACGGACGTGGTAGCAGAGACCGTACGCAGCTGTATGCCATCACCACAGTGTAGGTCTTCATCATCGTCCCAGCACTCAATCTCTTCTTCCCTCTGTTTGTGCGTGATTAAAGCGTCCATGTTGGACTCCATGACCACCAAAGTTTCGGGCAAAACGTCGGAGGCTTCATTAAGAACTCGACGAAGAGTTACCCGCAGAACGGTGTCTTCCTCCTTTTCAATTGTGGCTTGTAGAATATATAATATACGACGAAAAAGTAAATGGAGGGACGAGCGAACGTAGGGTTTATGGGTTGACAGGATGGTGAATGCGTTGCAAAAGGGGCGCGGCAAGAAAAAACAAGGAGAAAAGAAAGAAACAGGGTCCACACGCGGTCGAACCCCCGGGTTTTGGTCAGTGGCGAGGCTGTCGACGAAGAGTAAAAAAGGAGAGGGGGTTGGAATGAGCGAAAGGAGTTGAAATATCAGGGGCTTGGAGAACAGGGCGTCTCAGACAATTTGCGGTCGTTGTCTGATACAGACCCTTGGGCGGTCGTTTCGGGGGTTTGGAAAAGAAAGGGAGAGGTTGGGACCCAGGAAAAGGCGCCTAAGCTGGTTCTGGACAGCTAAGCGATGCGGCTAAGATGGGGCGCGCTTTGCGACGCGCTCAGCTGACTCAGCCGCCAGTGTTGTTCTTCCAGCAAAGGGAGACAGCACACTTGGCTCCAGGGGAGCGCATAGGCGGCGCTGAAGCTGCAGTAGCGGTTAATCCTTTACTATTAGTAGCTATGGGCGGCAGCCTTACTTGGTTGGCAGAGGTTGAATCGCGACGAGGTAGTGGACGCGCAGCACCGCTTACTGGTCGATTTCTTGGGCGTCGTTGGGCAGGGTTGATTGCTGACCAGCGAAAAGAGTTGTCAGCGTTGTTCGCAGTTAATTGGACGACCGGGATGATTTTTTGGGATGATTTTTTGTTATGAAGTTCTCACCGTCTCGCCTGTACCCAAGCAGCACCCAATATATGCAGTCTAGCTTCGTCTTTTTTCCTCCTGGTTTCTCTCTAGCTTATTCGTCCTTTTTGTTTGATGTTTGTTGGCTAAGACGAGGCCGGGTATCAGTCATGTGACTGTCCTTATCGCTAGCTCTAGGCAGCAGCTACTCTTACTATGTGATATATTCTAAGGAATATTTGGAACAACCAATTTATATCTCTCCCTTTTTTTTTCATTGTATAGATTGTGTTGCACTGAGTTACTGGCGATTAAACAGCCCTTTGGCAATGTGTCACGATAGCGTCCTTCGTATCCCGCGGAGTGATAGATCCGGCGATTATGCACTGATCAAAGTATCGAAATCTGGAACTTCTGACTTGGACTTGCAGCTTATTGGAACTGAAGGGGAGAATCCTTATGTTGGATTTTGTAAGTATTCCTTTTTTCCGGCCCAGAAATTGTTTTTATACAGCCGGTAACACTGTCTCACAAGTATATGACTTCCAGTGAAGTCGAGTGGAATTAAGAAGCTACGAGCCCGAAACTACCGCGGCGATGACGATGAGTGGGCTGCAATTCTTTCATACTCCTTTGGCCAAATCCAAAAGTCCAATGTAGACGCAGAATGGATTTCTGGGCTAGAAGTTCTGGCTTCAGTACAGGCAACTGGCGACGATGATGAAGAAAACAAGGAACTGCACATCACCTTGAGAAAACGGATTGACTCCATCACGGTATGCACCGATAAACGGCTCGATCGACCACCTGTGTTTGAAACTAAAAACGCGTGTTAGCAAAAACTAGGAACTGTGACCCTAAAGCAGGACGATGAACAAGCAATTGAATTGTTTGAATGGACCGGGATGGCTGTGTCCAAGGCGAACAACCTAGGAGAACAAGTTTCTACCCTACATGCGAAGTGTCAGGAGGCAGAAGACACAATAAATAAACTGAAAGCTCAGTTGGACGAATTCATCGAAACCAAGAACCAACACGATGAACAGTTGATCGGGAAATTCGTTGGGCTACTGAATGAGAAGAAATCCAAGATTAGGAGTCAACAGCGTCTATTGATGAAAGCCAAGGAGAATCCGGAGACAGGTTGGTTCACAATACCTGTTATGATATACATGCGGTAACTCAATTGCTAACGAAATGTAGCCGCTCAATTAGAACGGGAAGCCGCTACAACAGAAATACCACAGAAGTCTTCTCGTAAACCTGCCACAAGCAGACGATCTAAACGAAAAGCAGACGAGCCACCCCCCGAAGAATCGGAAAGCGATGACGGTTTTGACGCAATGGATATCGACAAAAAGGACAATGTTACCGAAGTAGACCAGGATAGTATGGATGAAAGACAGGATACACCCGAACCTCTAGAGGATGAGACGGCATCAGAGTTAGACGACGAGGGACCTCCTGCTCCGGCACATAAAGAAGGGGGAAGGGCAGAGATAAACCGTAAAACCACGCCCGCTGCTTCGTCTGCAAATACTACCTGGAATACTCGTGCGTCTGTAAAACCCGAAGTTGCAGAGCCGCCACCGCCGCGAGAATTGCCGTTTGGCAAGAAAAATGTAGCGTCGAAACCAGTTGTTGAGACGAATGTGGACGGTGAAACCGACTCTGAAGACGATGAGCTGTAACGATGCCGTTTTGGTAGTTATACCTTGGCTATTCTATTCCTTGCGCTGGGGATGGCGACGTCTCAACGTGGAACATCTACGGTAAAACATGAAGTAATGAAATAAATAATAGTTATGTCACGATTCCTTCTTCCTGCTTTTCTCTTGTACAGGGTTATCTCTAGATTAAATCAGCTCCAACTTGTATAAAAAACAAAAATCCCCGCATCAGCTTCCCTGACCCCTTTTCTTTCCCCTTTGCCACGCAAAACAAGGGCCACTTTTCTATCCATATTGACACGTACAAAAAAGATGGCAAGGTAGGACATATGTGGATGATGCTACAGGTCACAAACACTGGTGAAAAAAAAGATAGAACGATGTAGAAAAAGGTAGAATATGTATATAGACAAAAATCGAGAGCAAAGGAGAATGAAACGCCTAGAACCGCAAAGAGAGTACATAGAATCAGGTTGTTTTGACAACGGCAGGGAATGCATGGGGGGGACAGGGCTAGGGGAAGGAGGTAGATATATCTAAGACTTTAGCCTTGAACCGCTTGGGCTGTAGCTGAGCTCTCGCCCGCAGCCATAAAGTTGGTTTCTGGGTTTCCAGTTTCTTTGGCGGCCGAACATCTTGCCATGGTCGTTGAGCTGTGGAGTAAGTCAGTATATTGGTGAATTAGCAAAAGGGAGAATGGGAAGGCGGATTAAATACATACCTTCTGGAAATAACGTCTGTGAAGTAGAAATTCTCGATTGGCTTCTTCAGTGGAGCACCGGTTGCTTTGCTGCCTCGGTTTTGGTCTACCAGCTGCACTTTGCTCAATGTGGCGAGAGATGAGGGCTCGACGATATCATATCTTCGCAGGGCAGGGCTGATTTCCTCCATGCGATCTCTCAGCATTTCAACATCGTCATATGGCAATGGAGCGCTGAGGAACTCGCTGACTGCTCGGATGATCTTCCAATCTTCTCGGGCAGCTCCAGCGAGAGAGGTGGCGGCACGGGTCATTTGAACACGACCTTCAGTGTTGACGTATGTTCCACTCTTTTCAGTGTAGGCGGCGCCTGGTAGAACGACATCTGCGAGTTGGGCACCACGGTCACCATGGTGACCCTGGTAAATAACGAAGGCACCCTTTGGGATATCGGATTCGCTGATCTCGTCAGCACCGAGTAGCCAGACCATCTTGGGTGCGGTATTGGCGACTTCGGTAGATGGGGTGGTGAAACCGACTTCGTAAGCTCCACCTCGAGATGCAACACGCTGCAAAACGTTGTAGCCTTGCCATTCTGGGGTGATGAATTTCGCGGTGTTCTTATCAATGAAAGATCCAATTGTTTCGAATATGGCCTTGGCATCAGGATGTTCTGCAACTGCGCTTCCAACGATGATCATGGGTTTCTTTGCGGCGGCAAGTTTCTTTCCGAATGCTCCGGTAAGGGTAGTCTTCAGGGCAGCGGCATCGGTTCCGAGATGTTCGAATTCAAAAGTGCTTTCGAAGGACTCTCCAACAAGACCGATCTCAAGGTTAGAACGGAGGTATTGTTTACGAATACGAGCGTTGAGAACGGCAGCTTCGTGGCGAGGGTTGGTACCGACCAGGAGCATAGCATCTGCTTCTTCAATTCCAAAGATTTTGGAGTTAAAAAGGTAGTTAGACCTAATATCAACTCCGTGAGCAATAGGCTGGCTGCCACCAGCTTGGTCCAGAGCAAGATTTTCGGATCCGAGTTTGTTGGCGAGGTCTTTCATAGCAACGAGAGATTCAGTCTCAATTAAGTGGCCAGCGATAGCCTTGAACTCATTGCCCTTGGGGGATAGCGACTTGTGTGCATTTCCAATTTCAGTCAAAGCTTGCTCCCAGGTTGCAGGAACAAACTTGTTATCCCGGCGGATGAGAGGAGTAGTGAGCCTCTGAGTCTTGAGACCATCGCATGCAAATCTAGTCTTGTCGTTGATCCATTCCTCGTTAACCTCATCATTAAGTCTGGGCTGGACGCGCATGACCTCCATTCCTCGGGTGTCGATAGTGATATTGGAACCAAGTGCATCGAGAACGTCAATGCTCTCAGTGTGCTTGAGTTCCCATGGTCTGGCACGGAAAGCATACGGCTTCGAAGTCAATGCCCCAACCGGACACAGGTCGATTACGTTTGCAGACAATTCGGAGTCCAAGTTCTTCTCCAGATAGGTTCCAATCTGCATATCGTTTCCCCGTCCGGTAGTTCCCAACTCGGGGGCACCAGCCACATCATTAGCAAAGCGAACGCATCGTGTGCAGTGAATACATCTGTTCATGGAAGTTTTGATCAAAGGACCAATGTTCTTGTCCTCGACGGCACGCTTTCCTCCGACCTCATGGAATCTTCCTCTGTCGGCACCATATCTCATCGACTGATCCTGGAGATCACATTCTCCTCCCTGGTCACAAATGGGGCAGTCGAGTGGATGGTTGGCAAGTAAAAATTCCATCACACCTTCTCTGGCTTTATGTACTAGAGGCGAGTTCGTCTTGACTACCATTCCGGGTTGAACGGGCCATGCACAGGAGGCGACTGGCTTGGGGGCCCTCTCGACTTCAACAAGACACATTCGGCCTAAATCAAGAAATTGTAAGCCATTTGATCAGGACACTCCAAGGATTCAGTGTTATCGTACAGTTTCCTGCAATCAATAGTTTCCTTTTTTGAAATGTTCAGCGATGTTCTTTTTTTCAGTTAATATGGGTTATATATACTCACTCATGGTAACAATATCTACGGCAACAATTAGCAACTTAAATCCAATATAGCATAGCCAACGCAAGGGCAAGCATACCTAGGGACAGTTGATCCAGCCTTCTCACAGGCTTGGATAAGTGCGGAACCAGCTATATGGCTAGTTAGTATATCGTTATGAATAGCCGTGGGGTGCGCGCAGTACCTTCTATCGATACCTTCTTGCCATCTAAAACATCAATAACCAGTTAGCAGATCATCCGGAGAAGCTTAATATGCCGACAACTGACCAATTGTAACTTCAACTTCCGCCTGCCTGGCGCCCGTCGTGCTGAAAGGACGAGAGTAATTGAGAGCCGTCCATCTCCTTGATCGTGCGGCGACACGGAACAATTGTGGCCGCATGGCTGATGAAGTGAAATAAAAATCAACCTGAGCAAGAGCAGAACACCGAAATAGAGGGAGAGTCGTGAACCGTGAAGGCTGCGTGACGGTGGATGGCCTTGCTATGCGAGCGATGCGAGAGAAAGACTTGGACGTCTTTCTGCTTTCGACTTTATTTGTTGCTTATTCTTTTGCTTCTCTCTGGCCCTTCATTCAAATCCTCTGCATTTGATTGGTAGATTGTCACGGAGCGGAAGAACTTGACATCCGCGCTTATATCGACATAAAAATTATTTCTTCACGCTTTGATTTCTTCTTTTTCTTTTCTTTCTTCAACTCATTTTTAACGGACATAGATTATTGTAGGTGGAGGGTACGCTCTCTTCGGAGAGGATGCCAGCCCTTCCTCCTCTACAGTGTGATCCGAGAGCAGTTCTTGCACCGTAGCTGGAGCGCCCTAGGGTCGACTTGTTGGCCTAGTTATGGAGCTGTTCCTTACCGACGGATGCTACATGCGTGCTATCATTACAAAGGAGTATCTGAATGGATTCAACTGCAAATTCGAATTATATATAATAATTTCTCTCTCGCTCCAAACTAATGGAGCCATAAGGTATATAGATTCTATCCAATCCTCCGAGTTACCAAAAATCAGAGAAGGCGTTGGGATCCGCCGTCTGCAGGACGCCGTTCGTGCAATTAAAAGGAAGTAAAGTATTAACAAGAATAAACAGGGGAAGAAAAACTATGTCCCGAATCCCTTCTAAACTCCACAAACCCTGAAAGAAAAAAAATAACATGATTGGTAGCATGAACATATATTACTTCTGAGGCTGGGATGATGCATCGCCCGGTTGCCATGTGAACTCTTGCTTGGTTCCTGGTGGTAACCAGGGCCGAGCAATACTATTCCTCCTCGAAACGCCGTTGGTCTTATCGTCTTCCTTTTTGCCATTCATGTCCGTCGGATGGATTCCAAGACCACCAACCGCTGGGGATGGGAAGGTGTAACCGTTTGAATTCCATGCCTTGGCGGAACCATTTGAAGCATTGTTGAGAGGAAGGATGGAATCCTTTTTATGGAAGTGGTCTGCGTTGGCCCGTCTGTCTGCAGCATCGTCCTGCTTGTTCCTGTCGTATAGATAGAGACCGAGAAAGGTGAGGGCAATACCAAACGCCTGTATGGGTGTGGTTGAATTGCCGAACCAAACGATGGCGACGACGACAACGAAAACTCGCTTGATAAGGGAGGCGACGGAGTATGAGACTGGTGATATCATGGAGAGTAAGACGAACGCCATGATGTTCTGGGCAAAGTGGAAGACACCGTTGAAGATGAACTCTAGCATCAAAGGGCCGTGGTCAAGTGCACCTCTCTTATTTGATAGGCTGATAGAACCAGAGGACAAGATATCGATCATGAGAGGGTAGCCTTCGGATAGGAACCATATCGGTAGTGTCAAGATGAAGGCGAGACCGGAACAGTAGCATAAGAGGTTTAGCTTGTCTAATTTGGTACTATCCCCTGGCGACTGGCCGTCTGCTTCTGCACGTGCTGCCTCGTTAAATAGCTTCTTTGAAAATATATTCTGGGCCACGAAAACCAGAGCGGCTGCAAGTGCACAGATTATGCCAAAGAGGTTTGTCGAGAACCCTGCAGAGCAGGCAAGCATAACACCCAGAGTGAGGGGGACGAGGGAGAGGTAGGTGGCCCTAGCATATCGGATTCGAAAGAAGATACGATAAGCAAGGACAGTAAAGAGTGGAGACAGCCCTTTGATGGTATGGACCAGTGAAACGGGGATCTGTGAGGTCGACATGGAACTGAGTATGTGACCTAGCAGCTGGAAACCGGCCAAAGGCAGAGCTGTCGAGATGATAGCATATGAAGGATAGCGGATTTTATTTTTGAGAACGGGCACGGCGGTTTTTAGTATAGGAAACACAGAAGCGAGATATGCGAGGAAGAGACACCATGTTGATACAAATGCAAATTGAACGATCGTGAGCGTAATGGGTTTCGGTAGAGCTATGAGGATGGATTTTGAGGATGTGTTTGTGAGCGCTGATGTCATGTACCAGACTAAGCAAAGACCCTGGACAAGTCAATTAGCGGAACAGGTCAGCCACAGCTTCCAGCCTCTTTGATCCATACTCACGATAAGTTTATAGGAAATCGGCGCCTTTAACGACTCAGCTAGGTCCTGAGCGTTCATGCTGACACTCGTCCCCCGGGTCCTGAATGACCCCAGAGCCTCACTGAAGCTCTTCCGTGGACGATGCGAACGCTCACCCGGCGGTGGCCCGCGCGAGTATGCACTATTCTTCCGTGGCCGCCATAGCGGTTCCCCCGCGTATTTGACGGTAGACGGCAAGAAAACGCTCTCTTCTTGCTGCTCGTTCAGTGCGTCGTCATCGCCCAGACTAGGGAACTTTTCGGTCGTGGAGGTGTCGGCAGTCATTTGAGGTTTCCAGGAGGGCGGCGGAGCTGAAGACTTCTGCTGCCGTGTATCGACAAGCGTTATCACGCTCATTATCAGCTTGAACAACTCGGTGATGCGTCGTGGTTGGACGTATCACCATTTTCTCTTCCTTCCACCAGAAAAGTTATGGAGATGGATGCGTGTACAAGGAAGAGGGAGAGACGCTTCTGATTGGCCAATGAAACACGTGTTTTCGAGAGCTTATGGGCGAGTGGATGAGTCAGCAGCTATTAATGGACGCAAAATATATCCAGGGATACAGTTACATGCCATGTAAAGATAGTAGAGATAATAATAGAATAACGGACAGACATCGATACGAGAAAACAGAGACATAAACAAAGAATATGTCTCATCTCCTTCGACAAGGAACGAGGACCAGGTTATCACGTGGAAAAGTCACATGATAGTATGCTGTCCAACTACTCCAGATTTTTGACATCAGACATTTTAAACTACTCCAACAGCGTCTGTTTCGGTAATACCTGGTATGGCAATCGTTGTCTAGCGATTAATTGCTTCATACTGAACTTGGAGTAAGGGGTAATGGCCATCTATTTGGCTAGACACCCTATCTATTTATATCAGTGCTCAGTTACATAAGCGGCGGCTGTAACTCTCCACGTGACGGACCGCGTTCAACCCAAAAAACCAAGTTTTGAGCCTCCATTGGACCTTGCTCTCGTCTCGTTTTCCCCAAAGGCAAAACCACTCTCACGACGCAGCTGTCACCCTCCTTCAAGAAAGATACCCTAGCGCCACTAGCTTTTTTGGTATGCTAAACTAACTTCCATTCGGGAACTCTCGACCGGTCAGAATGGCCGGCTCCTCGGTTTCTCACTCGCTAGTATACCCGAAGGAATTACTCCATGCGTCCAGATGAGTGAAAAGGACGCCGTCTTGTTCAACCTGACAGGGGCCCAAGTGGTAACCTACTGAAAATAAAACCTGGGAATGGATAATCTCATGCTAAAATGGCTGACAGAATGTCGGTGAACCCCGCAAAGAAAGCAGCATCAAGATGAGGCGAACGGATATACGGGAATATTGCATTATACCCCCCCGTTGTAATATCGAGTCGTGCGCCACCAGTCTAGAATGCTAGGCTACTTGAATATCATATTTTTCAGATTGTGCACAGTACCACTGGAACTTAACGGGATTAGCAGTTCTAACTGACTGAGAAATCAGTTAGCCCATATTTCCTATGGTGATTTACTACTGTTTGCTACTCGTTCCCTCAAAAGGAGGCGTCGATTTTCACGCCTGGCGTGTTGACGTTGAACGAAGCTATACAAAAAAAGATAACCTGCTAGTCTGGCCGCAAATCCCCAAATGCGCCATCCAGCTGACCTTTCAATCGGGCCGTCATAGTGAGGGGAAATGCCTCCAGCCAAGGCGGTATATTCTGGATCGGGGCTTGAGCTGTTGTCTGGTTTCGAATAATCCCAAAAAATTGTCGAGCTTCTTAATTTTTTGATAACTTAGTGATACTCTAGCCAGTCCAGGACGCAATTATTCAGAACAATAGAAAACATAGATCTGCGAGGTGAAAATACATATAATGCCAGCATTTCTCTGGACATTGTCTGTATGCTCTCAATGGCTTCAGGGCCTTACCAACTTATCTCCTCATACGCTAGGAACCAACACGTTCAACAGCTTTGTGGGAACAGGATATCTAGGCAGCATGAGATATTCCCAGATAGCCACCTGGGTCTGCATCCCTCTGTTGACATGCCGCGGCGTTGACGCAGCCAGCTCGGCGAAAGATGACCCAGATCCATTGCTTGACGATGAGCCTAGCTTTTCAAAAACATGGCAAGTTCTTGGGCCCTTTGAGATAGGCACGAGAGGTCAGTAGTCTACTATATCACCAAGCATATGAACACTTAATGACATCGCTTACTAGAATCATCATGGGGGGCCGACCCCCTCGAGGCCTATGGTGGATTCCAATCCCTTCATTATGACCCAATGGCCAATTTTACCAGCTCTCTCGGGCTTAATGGTGTTGCAAATTGGTCGACAGCGTCTGCCTCTGTTAATTCAACCTCTAGCCAAAAGGAGACTATCCTGCATATCAGCTTACCACCAGACAACCTGACGTCTCTTCAGGAAGTGTATGGATGGGATGCAAAGCAGTACCAAGCTTGGGCTCGCGGAATCTTGACTATACCCGACACTAATAACTCTTTGGTTGCTTTGTATACAGATAGGATCTGGGAGTACCGGATTGACAATAAGTCTTACTTTGGCGGTGATTTCTTTGGTTTCCGCAGAGCACCGGTTCTCTTGGATCTGGCTCCCGGAAATCATACCGTTGATCTTCGCGTGGTCCGTGATGTTCGGGCTCTCGGTGCAGTTGGTGAACCGTATATCAACGCCACCCTCATCGCACACAACATGCCTAAACAGTTAAACGTGGACAGTAAAAGCATTTTGGTTGCTGATGTTGTTGATAATCGTTTGATAAGCCCTTATGCTTCCGTCACTCTTCACAACGCAATGGGAAACTCTGTCAAGGTGGTAGGCATTAAAGCAGCTGGAGCACAGGTAATTATCCTACAGCCTCCTTGGAGTATACATTTAACAGTATGTAGGCCCCGGCCTTTAGCTTGAAGCTGTTGAACGGCACTGTGAAGTTGGAAGGGACACAGTCTCGCGCCGTTGGTTTCACTATCGAACCGAACGTTAAAACCAACGTTCCATCTCCGCTTGATTTATATTTCGAATATACAATTTCCGGAAGTCCTAACGTTCAGAAGACCCAAACCCTTTCGATCAACTTTACACGTCGAAAAATATCCGAGGTTCAACAAAATACCTTTATACAACCGGGAGGAGTGGTATCATATGCAACTATGAGGCCCCCAACTTCCCCGGAATGTAAATCTGTTGAGGGAGCAAAACTTCCGGTACTGCTAGGCCTCCATGGAGCAGGGCAAGCAGCAAGCGATGAGATTATTCGGACCATGCTCGATGGAGTATCTGATATTTGTGCCTGGACTCTGTTTCCCAGTGGTGTCACCCCTTGGAGCGGAGATGATTGGCGTAAGTTTTAATCTTACAATTATTATGTTACTTGGTTAACTGACTCTTTTCTAGACACTTGGGGTTTTGCCGACTTACAGAATTCGGTGTTAGCGCTTAAAGACTGGATCAAAAACGCTGGCTGGAGTGGACCTGGGGTGATAGAAGGAGACTGGATTGTGGCTGGACATTCAAACGGCGGTAAGTCTACCCGCAGACTCAGACTGGGTAATAATCTAAATAGCTAACGAATAACAGGCCAGGGAACTTGGTATACCATCTCTCATTATCCAGATAACATCATTGCTGCGGCTCCTGTTGCGGGCTATACGTCAATCGAAAGTATGTCATTGTACCCCTTCATAATTTTGGCACCAAATTGATTACTCTACTCAAAAAGATTACGTTCCGTATTCAATGTGGCATAATACGGACTCTTTACTGGCATCCATATTTTATCGAGCCCGCCAGGACTTCAAACATGAACTTCTGGTCAACAATTTCGCTGGAATTCCTGTCTACCAGCAGCACGGTGCATCCGACGACAATGTGGTGGTATATCATTCCCGCCTGATGCATAGATTGTTGCAAGAGAATGGCTCCCCTTCGAAATACCACGAAGTCCCGGGCAAAAACCATTGGTATGATGGGATTATGACCTCCGATTTCCTCAAGGACTTTTATTATACCTATGTCAAGCGCCCGAATGCCACCGATCTTCTCCCTCCCAGATTCTCGATCATCATTCCCCCTGCAGGCCATATGGGCTCTAGGGGAGGTATCTATATTGACCAGTCGCGTACCCCTGATCGTGCTGGTTCGGTTGAGGTTGAACGAAATTCAACCAGCGATGGAATCTGGAAGTTAAAAACACGGAATATCCGTCGCTTCCACTTGGAACCCAATGCAATCAGATCACAAGTTCCATTGCATATTCAAATTGATGGCTCGGATAAATTCCCTATCACCCCTAGCAACTCTACCACAACATGGTACACGCAAGATAGCACTGGGAAGTGGACGGCCGAGAGCGGTTCGTGGCAAACTATTTCGCAGAGGTACGGCCGGCAGACCGGTGTGAATGCTTTTCTCCGCACACAAGCACCGTTTACCGTGACTTCCAGGGCTAAGGGGACTGAGGACCTCGCACTACAAACATGCCGGAACTTATTTCAGTATTTGTCCGCCGATTGCATTGTCTCATACACTGCACCTGCAGCAAACTCTACGGTGGATAACCAGACAGGTAACATTGTTACCATTTTGCTTGGTAGCCAGCCCGAAGGGTATACGGCTGATACGTATCCCATCTCCCTTACCGCGGATGCATTGGCCGTAAATGCTCCTGAGGGTACAACAAAATATCCCTTCGAGATGGGTCTCGGCGCCATCTTCCTGCGGCCTTTAGAAAATGAACGGCTCGAGTTGGTGATCTGGGGGTACGACATGGCCGGCCTACAGCAAGCCGCTCGTCTGGTCCCTGTCCTGACGGGAGTCGGCCAACCCGACTTTGTGGTTGTCAATAAGGGTACTCCCTTGAAGGGACAAGGCTCTCTCTATGCTGCGGGATTTTTCGACTCCGAGTGGAAGATTTCTGCCGCATCCTATGTTTCTTGAGTAGATAGGCTTCTGCTAGATGGCGTCTGCGAGCTTGGTACTAGATACAAGGTGTGTTTACTAACACCATGCAATAAACAGCTCTTTAATAATGGCATAATATATGTCACATACATGTGTGTCTCCTTTTATCGATCTTATATAGGTTGCCGTTATGTTCCCTTTAGCATAATACCCTGATACCTTATAATATATAGGATATACCCCCATGTAGTGAGATAAACAAGCACATAGCTGTCTGGAATACACACCATATACTTCCCTGCTGGTGTATGCCTGAGGAACATGCTGGATCTCAAGCGCTTACTGAGCGACTAAGTAAGCACTTAGACTTTTTCCCACCTTGTCTTCTGTCACCGCCCTTCCTTTTTCGGCAATGCCCACAATCTCAACTTCAACCTCCAGCTTTTTCTTCTTCTTCTCTTCTTCCACTACATCGCGCTCTCTCCAACCTCAACCTCGCCTTCTGCTGCTCGCCAGCTTGCCTTCCTTGCCCTCTTTGTTATTTTGTTCCATGTATCTTGATCTCTGCTCATACTTGCCCTTTTAATCGGCTCTTTCTGCTTTATTTTCTTCTTCAGATCTTCTTCCCTCTCTCCGCCTAAAAACTTCTTCCATCTATTTTCCTGCATACTTGCTTGGTGTTTTCTCTACCTCTCATCCTCTGGCTCTACAGCTCGTTCGATTTTGCCCTGCTTTCGATCCCTCATACACGTTGAGGCGTCTCCTTTTCACGAGTTTGTTGTGATACCAGAGCCTGGTGGGTGGCTTTTCGCTTCTTTGCATATTATTCTACCTCCTTATCTTCTCTGAGCTGCTTGACTTGGACCAGCCACTCGAGGATCTCGCCTTATCTACAGATCTTTTCCCCCTACTTAGTCCGAAAAAGTGTGTCAAGATCGTCTTGGTCATGTCTTATAAAATCATGGAGTCCTCTAACGCGTCTCGAAAACCGTCTATCCAGTTCCAGGCTCACATTGACCCCACTGCAGGCAACATTGCACCTCATGGACGTTTTGGCTCGGTAAGTCTCTCCTGGTACACGCCCTTTTGGTTGATAGATCCCTGTTATTGATGATTTGGGAATTTTCTAACTCTACAAAAGGGAACGATGAATCTAGGCTCGACTGATACTGGAACTAATCCCCTTGTCTCGTCAAAGCTTGGGAATATTCAAAACACTCCAGTTGTGGACGACAAGGTAGACAGACCATGGCTCGTATCATAATATACCCTTCATGGTATAAACATATGCTAACTTTACTAGAAAATGAAGGCTGCACAGGCCGGCTCTTCAGCCCCCTCCTTTTCACAACAGTCTGTTATGGATCAAATCCTTGCAAAGCTATCCCCAAAGGACAGCAAGTCTACTGGCTCTGCTGGAAATCCGGCCACCAAGTCCTCAGATACCCATTCCTGTTTAGCAAAACAGCCCTCGGGAGAAAATAATTCTACCCTTGCGAACCTGGGAGACTCAGCTTCTGCGTTTGAAGGATCCATCCCATCCGGCTCGGGTAGTCAGCCAAACCTGAATGCCCGGCAGAATGTTGTGAACACTGGGAAAGGGATGGATGCTCAGGAGATGCTCCGCTTGCAGCAAGAATTGGAAGCTGCAAATTCTCGTATTGCTTTGCAGGAGCAAGAGCTTGCCCAGACTCGTGTTATCAAACACACACTGGACCAAGCTATGGGGCCACCATCTGAAGTTGACTTCGGCGGCCGTGAAATTACTGAGCAGACAATCAGCAACTTGCAGAATGCATTCAATGCGTCCACCCGCCAGTTTAACCAGCGCCAAGAACAGTGGGCGATACAAGACGATGCTCACTCTGATATCTCAGACGCCCTCTCTGCTGGAGGATACAATAGGGCTTGTGGCCTCTGGAGCGCTCAATCTCAACCACCAGTGAATACCTTTGGTAATGCTGACAAGATTCATCGTGATTTTATGATACATGATACCAGCGTCAATGCTGATGCTGGCCGTAATTGGGGAAATCGCACTAATCAGCCAGGATATAACCCCCAGGCTGGGTTTCCTCTCAACCAACGTATATTTTCCGGACATGGAAGTCCACCCTATGGGTTTGACAACCGATATTCAGCCGAGCCAGTTCCTCAGATTCAAGGACCTAGTAGCCGCCGTGCTACGCAAGCTAGCCGTGCAGCTTCATGCTTTCCTCCCCAGACGTCACCATGGGGTGCATTTTCCCCATCTTTGGCTCCTGCTAGTTCTATCCCTAGGCCAACTAGCCAGCAACAGGTTGGAACGTTTCAACCACAGAATGCATTTCCAAGTACCAACACGTATCAACCTCGTCCAATTGGCACGCCTTTATCTCCAATGGCGGCGGAGTTTACTGCTTTCCCTCCTACCCCTGGATCATGGACACCCTCAGTAAGTATTCGGATACTGTTCGATGTCAAATGCATCGGCTAATTCTATTACAGGCAACTTCCGGAGCTGGTTCGACCTACGTGTCTCCACTTGAGCCTTTGAATTATCGTCGTCTGCTAGACAAAAGCGTATCTTGCGACTGGAAGTATATCGTGGACAAGATCGTTTGCAACAACGATCAGCAAGCGTCTATCTTCCTCCAGCAAAAGCTCAAAGTTGGTACTTCTGAACAGAAGTACGAAATTATTGAAGCAATTGCAAACCAAGCATACCCCTTAATGATTAATCGCTTTGGTAACTTCCTGGTTCAGCGCTGCTTTGAGCATGGCACTCCCGAACAGGTTATATCCATTGCTAACGCAATCCGTGGCAACACCTTGAGCCTAAGCATGGACCCCTTTGGCTGTCATGTTATCCAAAAAGCATTTGACTGCGTTCCAGAAGAGCATAAAGCGGTTATGGTCCACGAACTTCTTCGCCGTATCCCTGAAACTGTGATTCATAGATATGCCTGTCATGTGTGGCAAAAACTTTTTGAACTTCGTTGGAGTGGTGAACCACCACAGATTATGGCTAAAGTTAACGAAGCACTTAGAGGAATGTGGCATAAGGTTGCCTTGGGCGAGACTGGGAGTCTCGTTGTCCAAAATATTTTTGAAAATTGCGTTGAGGACGAGAAGGTATGCATTCAATTAACCGATAATAATGGACCAGCTTGCTAATAGTTCTATAGCGTCAAGCTATTGAAGAAGTTCTCGCAAAAATTGATCTACTTGCGCACGGTCAGTTCGGTAATTGGTGTATCCAGCACATTTGTGAACATGGTGCTCCACCAGATAAGAGTCGTGCGATTGAACACATCCTGGTTTGGGCCACCGATTACAGCATGGACCAATTTGCTTCTAAAGTGGTAGAGAAGTGCCTAAAAATTGGCGGAACAGAATTTCTTGACAGGTATCTCTCAAGGGTCTGTACTGGACGCCCTGACCGTCCGCGTATGCCTTTGATTGACAGTCAGTGCCCATACTCAGTATTCTGTCCATATAACTGTACTAACTCTCTGGATAGTTGCTGGAGACCAATATGGAAACTACTTGATCCAGTGGATACTCCTTAATGCTGGAAATCAGCACCGTGAGCTTGTTGCGGGTCATATTCGGTTAGTGCATCCTTATCCTCCTATGATTCCTTACTAATATCTATCAGTAAACATATGGTCTCCCTTAGGGGCTCTAAGTTTGGATCTCGTGTTGCCATGCTTTGTTGTAACCCAAATCATGTTACTCGACCTGGGCCAGGAGCAGGTATTCAAATCAGCCGCTTTAATTCTCCTGAAGAACGCGCTCCTGGGCCTATGACTGGTGCTAGGTTTAACCGCAACTCGCAGTGGAGTAGCAACTACCCTCCATTCCGTTGAGTCCTTTCTATTCATTCGCTAACAGCAACTGTATGACACCAATTGCCAGTGCTCAACTACAGCGAGTAACGGAAGTGATTCTCATATCGGAGTCTAATTTACAGCTATTTTCCTTTTTTTCTAGGATTCTCGGATACGTGGATGTCGCGCTTGGTTCAAAGCCCCAAATCCTCATATCTGTCCGTTGGCTTGTTAAGGTCCTTTGACAAACATCCGATCTGATTCCTCTTTTTCTTTCTCTTTTTTACTCATCTCTGCTTTTCTTGCTTTTCAACTACTCCTTTCCCTGTCAGGGCCTACCTTACTTCATTTCATTCACTTAAATTGTCATATCTGCTGTGAGATGAACTTATCCAAAATAGGCATGGGTAGCTACCTGGTGCTTTGGTTTACCTCAAGGGTTCAGTTTCCAACATGTTGTATTCGGCGGGAATATTGTGTTGTATTTCTACCAGTTTCACTCTTTTCCTTTATCAGGGGCCATCCCTTCCTTACCTTTTCACCATTTATCTGTTACATTTCCGCTGGGAGCCTCCTCAAAAAGACTACCATGAATTGTGGGTATATGAGGGATAAGGGACTATTTGGTCATCAATACGTTATGTTTTGTATTCGCTAATTTATGTATGATAGCATTGAGAGCAGCAAGCTGCCAAAAAAAACCCCAAAAAAGAGACTTATAATTGTTGCGCTATTCAGCAGTTGCAGTCACTGGTGTCTATGCATAACAGAAATTAAATGATGCTCGTATATAAAATATATATGTAGCCGCTAGCGGCTAGCTCCTCAAAACGCCATTTTCGGCTGCTGTGCCTTGTATACTCAAGCTCTAACCGATGAAGGGGAGCCAATGATAATACTGGTATCAAGTAGGTCTCCCTTGTACATACTTATTTTTTTAATAAAGAAAGGCCAGGTTTTTAATCTTCAGGTATTAACAGATCCGATAATCACTGGGCCACTTCCGTCTCCATTCTCGCCGATACCATCACTCTTCACATTTTCTTTCTCATCACTCTTCTGATCTCCTTCGTCTTTCTCCCAAGGCTTCCGCCTTCGTTGGGCTGTACTAGCGGTTTCCTGACCTGTTAATACGGTATCAGGTATCTGTTGAATTCCAGGTATCGGCTGGCCTGTTGTGATAAGCTCCACAATACGTGCAAAAGATGACGGATACGCGGGTTGTTCCTCTTGTGATTTGACCGGGTTTTGCGTTGCAGATGCGGATATTGATTCTGACACCACTGTTTCATTATCATTATTTAAAGATGGGGGTATAATCTCATCCGGCTGTGATGGTAAAGGCTGCTCCTGGAGCCATTGTTTATATAAAATGTAATCAATTGGCGGTTGAATTGCAAACTTTCTAATGAAAAAAAAGACTATGTTAATAAGCGCACAGTATTATTTCATTATCTTTGTTTCTAACGAACGTACTTGGAGAAGTAGAAACATTTAGCTTTGACAACAAGGTCGTCTGTTCGGTTGATCTGTTCGTCCGTTGCGGGAGTTCTAGGTTGGCCAAGGATAACTGCTAGCCCGAGTTTGAACTCTGGATCTGCTGTGAAAGAGTAAGAGGATAACCTCTGGTATATATCGGTAGGGTTTGCTGTTGAGCTCGTTGAAGCTGCGTCTGTAGATGGGATTGCGGGGGATGTCATTGCGGGGTTATTTATGCGAGTTTCACTATATATCGTGGGTAATTTCAAGTCACGGGATATATAGTAAAGGTGGTCACTTCTCAGGTCTCTCTGCTAGCAGGGCCTGTTTGCTTCTTCAAGGGCTAGAGTAAAGAGAATATATAATTGTTGGTCGAATAGTTAGAGCGTAAAGAATGACGTTCGAATAAGGCACAGATAACTGTATCGGAAATACCGTACCATTACAAATATCTTACCGGAGAAGGAAAAATGTAATGCCGTATTACCGTGGTCCAAGCGCTTCAGGACTGCCACTTCCAACTTTTGTTGTGTGTTGATGCGAAACCGAGAATAATCAAATATAGATAGAATATGGCGGCCTCTAGATTCAAAACATCTCAGTATTCCAGTGGACAGTTCGTTGAGAGCGCTGGCGCAGTGCTCTTTGACTTCTCTCAGAAGGAAGCAAGGGTATGTCTGATACACTACCTCAAGACTGGCGAATGGTTGCTTTCAAAAGGACGTCGGAATTGCGGCGAGCCCCGGCAAGACGCTGCTTTGCGAGAGGTACGGGAAGAGGCAGGATACCAATGCCACCTCTACCCTGTGTCCATGCCAACTCGTGCACCGGCAGTAACTGATGCCAATGATACCCCTGATCAATTACGGGTCCACCCTGGCTTAACGGAGCCCTTTATGTTGTCTATTCGTGAGATAGGGGATTCAAATATTAAGCTTATTTGGTGGTATATTGCAGAACTGGAGGAGAATGTGTTAAAGATGGATGGTGAGGGGGACTTTATGGCGGAGTTTCTCGATTGTGACGAGGCTATGCGGCGATTGACGTTTCAGGGTGATAAGGATGTTCTAGCCAAAGCAGTTTCTCTTGTGAAAGGCCCTTGACAGCCTGCGGAGGTGCGTCTTTTATGCAGGTGTTGGCTCATAAAGAATATGCTGAGAACTGGGCTGTCTTCTATATATCACTAAAACTAAAAATCACAGCATTGATTGAATTAGATTTTGAATGGATAGGTGTAAAAGCTAGGCAATCCGAACCAAAACGCCAATTTTCCTTTTTGAATATAGATTTGCTTTTATAAGAAATGATGCCCGTGTTGAAATAACAGCAATGGTAATGCTTTGCGTATAGTACAGGAGTAAAGCAGGTCGTTGCATCGTTGACAGGATAAAGGGGTTGGAAGATATCAAGGGACAGCCTAGCCTGTGTCCATTGCATCGTCGTTATTCAGAGTTTGAGAGTGGCCGTTAGCATGAGGCTCGGCTGTTGAATCAGAAACAGACGCGCCGTTAAGGGGTTTCCCGCTCTGGCAGCCAGGGCAATTATGCACGATCTCATGGGCGAAGACATCGCAATCAATGCAGAAGTGGTGGTGACACACTGTGCATTCATATCTGCTGCTGACAGACATGCCCTTGACGGATCCCTCTTGCCTATCCCACTTCTCTCGTGGCGGTACGGGAGGGAAGACATTGCCACATGCGAAACAGCTGACGCTCTTCGACGCCCTCTTCCACGGAACCTCGACCCAGTTGATCAGCGGGAAGAGATGGTGGTATGATCGTGCCAGGTGGGTGGAGAGAATAAGAGTGAGATTGCAGGTTGGACATTCGGCGGGTAAGGAGCATACCTTGCTTCCGCACCGCGAACACATGTAGCCACCTCGAACTGGTTTGGAGTGGCATGCACAGAGTGAGGGGAACGGCTCTACGGTTCGTGAAGGGAAGCCCATCATGAGCAGGGAGCTGGATGAGTAACGCTGTGAGTACGTTACTGGCGGAGTGGTGACGTCCAGCAAGAGATCCCACAGGTGCTTCTCGTCAATGGCCACGCCGTAGCTAGAGTCGTTGCCGTCGTTTGTTTTGGCGCATAGTTCGCGGCATATGGCGACGTCGGCCGCCAGACCAATAATGCCTACTCGGACCTTGTCTGCGACGAGGGAGGTGATCGTTTGGCGGATGTCGCCTGGGTCTGAAGAAAGGAGGGCACCGAGAATGATGATGACTTCTCGTGTACCGTGTGTGGGGGTATGGCTATTGAATGTTAGCACAGACATATATGCTATGTATGATAGTAGAGAATAACGTACTATAGAGATCCACGGGCCATCTCAAGAGCGTTCTGCAAGCTAGGCAGGCCCTTTGGGTCTTCTGATCGCAGAGCATGGAGGGCCAGTATATGTTCGGTCGGGTTGCCGCTCATCTCGCTGACCTGCACCGCTACACCGTCCTTCATGCCCATGATGCCCAGCTGCGAAATGGGATTCTGCTCGAAGAACTCAAGCACGAACTTTTGCGCATATCGGAGGGTGAGGAGATACCTGGTCGGGCGCAGGTCTTTCTCCGCCATGGCAAAGGAGAGATCGAGCACGAGTATCATATGCCGTATGATACCTCGCTGTAGGGGAGTAGTATCCTTGAGCAACCTGCGACGACTCATCAGCTTCTGTCCTTGGCCGGTAATCTCTTAAAAAAAAAAAAACATAAACCACCAGGTGTACACAAACCTCTTCCTCTTGTCGGCTTCTAAAAGCCCGTCTACGGTAGCGGTGATGGTTCCATCGGCGCCTTCGACCAGCGTCTCCCACGTCCTTGCGACTTCCCACTCTGCACCTCCACGCTGCTTCTTCTTTTTCTTCTTCTTTCTGCTCTTCCTGCTCCGGTCCTTCCGCCGGCTGCCAGCCGTACGGGTGTCGACGACATCGTCATCATCTTCGTCCTCTTCCTCGAGATTCTCGTCCAGCTCGTCCACCGACCCTGCGTCGCTGTACTCCTCGTCTGAGTGTGCCATCGAGAAGAGAACCCTCTCTGGGATGCCTGTTTCGAGACGCTGGCGCGCTAGAGATCAAGTTTATTCGCATGAAGGCGATCTCCTTCTGGGCGCCTTGGCTGCAGCAGCCGCGGTTGCAGGCAGGTTTAGGCGAGATGAAGTTGAAGAACTTCGTATCTTCAATCTCGATATTCTCCGATGTCAACGACTTTTTTCTCGTTTTCTGTTGTCCTCCTCAGATTATTCTTCTTTATTCTCCTACAATTGGTCGTCAGTATACACATACATTCAGCCGGAACGGCCAAGATTACTGTATACTTCCCGACAAAGCTTGTCTGCCAGCACCCATTGAACCACCCCTGCAGGTCTATATCTCGTCTTCCGCCCTGTATATCGCTATAGGTCGCGTGTGTCTTGTCTGGTGCTGTCGTGCGTGCGTGTGTGATGGTTGTGGCTCTGGCGCTGCGCTGTGGTGGTCGCGGCGCGGGAGGAAGAAGCGTCGCTGCGGCTAAACATGGAGTGCGACGTCATGCCGCCCGCCCTGCGAGTGACTTTGCTTCTTCCGCTTCCTCTGTGCCCCTCCTCCACTCCCATGCCTCCTCCTTCTCCCCGCGGTCCCTCTCGTCCTCTTCTCTTTTCCCCTCTTCCTCCTCCTCTTCCTCCCCTTTCTCTCCCTCTTCTCGCTCTATAGCATCTCTGTCTAGTCTCCGGCCGGCGGTTCATAACTCTGCTGGGTTAGCTATTCCACTCCAGAAAAGATCCTGCTCTGCTGAATTCCGCACGATGAACCCGAACGAGAGGGAGACGCTGCCTGACGTGTGAGTCCCGGACGTACAAAAACAACGAGAGAAAATAGATATAAGCTGATGTTGATGTCAATTAAAGGGCAAAGCCATCTCACTACCATGTCTCGTTGTATGATCTTACCATTGGCGGCAACTGGGGGTACAAGGGAACCGTCAAGATAGACACCAAGATCACACGCCCTTCCAAGGAGATTGTCATCAATGTCAAGGCAATTGATGTCCAGTCCGCTGAGATCTCTGCCAAAGATGGTATATACCCGGTTTCTACGCTGAGGTGTTGATATATATACTAATTGTGATATAGGAAGCGCTGCCAATAAGGCCACTGACATCTCATACGACCGCAAGTCTGAGCGTGCCATCTTCAAGTTCGCCCAGGAGATACAGCCGGCAGACTTGCTGCTGACCATCTCCTTAACTATCAATAACTTCATGGCTGGTTTCTGCCGTGCCGGGTACCAGTCTGCAGCCACCCCAGGGCCAAACACACCCAAGGAAGGAGAGCAACACTACATGCTCAGCACCCAATTCGAGTCCTGTGATGCTAGACAGGCCTTCCCTTGCTTCGATGAGCCCAACCTCAAGGCCACCTTTGACTTTGAGATCGAAATTCCAAAGGGCCTGACCGCTCTCAGCAACATGCCTGTCAAGGCCAAGCGTGATGGAAGCAAGCCTGAACTCGAGTTTGTCTCTTTCGAGCGAACTCCCATTATGAGCACTTATGTGAGAGAACCTGAACTGTAGCGTGTTCGACGTTAATTGTGCTAATTCCTCCGTGTAGCTCCTTGCCTGGGCTGTCGGTGACTTCGAGTATGTCGAGACCATGACCAAGCGCAAGTACAACGGTGCCAGCATCCCGGTCCGTGTTTACACCACCAGAGGCCTCAAAGAGCAGGCTCAGTTTGCCCTGGAGTGCGCCTCTCAGACTCTGGACTACTTCTCTGAAGTCTTTGAGATCGACTATCCCCTCCCCAAGTCCGACTTGCTAGCCGTCCATGAATTCGTAAGTTCGCTTATCCCCCTCTATTTGCGGCTAGCATTCTGATCTAGTCACCAGGCTATGGGAGCAATGGAGAACTGGGGTCTCGTTACCTACAGAACCACTGCCGTCCTTTTCGAGGAAGGAAAGTCTGATGAAAAATACAGAAACCGCGTTGCCTATGTTGTTGCTCACGGTGAGCACCCTTTTACCTTCTTTACTCTACATCTCTTGCTAACTGAGCATAGAATTGGCCCATCAGTGGTTCGGTAATCTCGTCACCATGGACTGGTGGAACGAGCTCTGGCTCAACGAAGGTTTTGCTACTTGGGTCGGATGGCTTGCCGTGGATCACTTTCATCCAGGTTGGTTCTCTATTACACTAACAATATAAGCCAAAAGCTAACCTTTACTCAGAATGGAATGTCTGGTCACAGTTTGTCGTACGTCAACGTAGAGGTACATTGGTGTAGATGATTTCCTATTATTGACTGTTTTACAGACTGAAAGTGTGCAACAAGCAATGAAACTCGACTCCCTCCGCGCATCCCACGCCATCGAAGTTCCAGTACGAAATGCTCTCGAGGTTGACCAGATCTTCGACCACATCAGCTACCTTAAGGGAAGCTCCGTCATTCGCATGTTGAGCAGTCATCTGGGTCAAGATGTCTTCCTCAAGGGCGTTGCCAAGTACCTCAAGGCCCATGCATACGGTTCGTGACTTGAAACGACAACACTTATCATCTATTATTACTGACAAACCCTCCAGGTAATGCCACCACCAATGACCTGTGGTCCGCCCTTAGCGAGGTCTCCGGAAAGGACGTTACTTCCTTCATGGTTCGTCAAGTATCGTTCATCTATGGCTTATTGACTTATCGGCTAAACTAGTATTAGGACCCATGGATCCGCAAGATTGGTTTCCCCGTTGTAAACATTACCGAACAGACCAACCAGATCAATGTTGACCAACGACGTTTCCTTGCATCTGGCGATGTCAAGCCAGAGGAGGATGAGACCATGTGGTGGATCCCGCTTGGCATCAAATCAGGCCCCAAGGCGGAGAATGCTAACGTCCGCAACTTGACTAAGAAGTCTGACTCTGTTGCTGACATCAACTGCAGTGAGTTCTACAAGGTCAACAAGGACCAGTGTGGTTTCTACCACACCAACTACCCACAAGACCGACTAGTCAAATTCGGTGAAACTAGACACCTTCTCAGCTCGGAGGACAGAATCGGCCTGATTGGCGATGCTGCCTCTTTGGCTGTCTCTGGTGAAGGAAGCACCGTTTCCTTGCTCGCCCTTGTCGAGAAGTTCCAGGATGAGCCCGACTGCCTGTACGTTGATTCCCACCCATGATTCGCTACGTGTCTGTGCTAACCTCTCCCCAGTGTCTGGGCTCAAATAATGACCTCCCTCGGAAATCTGCGATCCATCTTTGGAACGAACGAGGCCGTCTCTGCTGGCCTGAAGGCATATGTCCGCAAACTGGTCACTCCCGCAGCCGAGAAGATCGGCTGGGAGTTCAAGGCTGATGACGACTTCCTGACCAAGCAACTTCGACAGATTCTCATTACCGCTGCTGGACGTTCTGGCCACGAAGGGTAAGTCGGATGCCGACCGCCTTCTATCTGCTTTAAAAATCCCGTTCCTGTTCTAACTACCATGATACAGAACCGTTAATGAGGCCAAGCGCCGCTTCGACGCCTGGGCTTCTGGCGACCAGAATGCCATCAACACCAACCTCCGCTCTGCTGTCTTCTCCATCAATGTCGGAGAGGGCGGCCGTCGTGAATATGACCAGCTCGTCAAGGAGTTCGAGACCAACACTTCCATCGACGGAAAGGAAATCTGCCTTGGCGCTCTTTCCCGCACCACTGACCCTGCTCTCATCAAGGAATTCCTGGAGTTCCTCTTCTCCCCCAAAGTCTCCGCTCAGGATGTTCACACCGGAGGCGCTGGTTTGGCCGCCAACCCCAAGGGGCGCTACCTCATGTGGGACTTCATCAAGGCCAACTGGAACCGTATCGAAGAGAAGCTGGGCTCCAACAAGGTCCTGCTCCAGCGCTTCGTGCGTCTCAGCTTGATCAAGTATGCCGACCATGCTGTTGAGCAGGACATTGCCAAGTTCTTCGCCGACAAGGACCAGGACGGATACGACCGTGCTTTGGTCATTGCAGCGGACACCATCAAGTCCAACGCCGATTACAGGGAGCGGGAGGAGAAGGCCATCTTGGAATGGCTCTCCGCCAACGGCTACGCGTGAGCAAATCCCTCATCACATGAGCCGCTCTTGTAAATAGCATTTCTTCTGTTTCCATTTTTCTGGATGACGGCGCCAACACAGCCGACACGAGCCGCATGAACAGCTCTCGAAAAAAAAAAATCAAAATCACTTCTGTATCTTAACGTCATAACTATCTACCTACCATATCCCTTGAAAAAAAAAAACACACTGTTGCCTCTGGTAGACAAAGTACTGTCGGGTATCTTCCGGCCTAAGTTTGGTGTAAAAGTACTCTGTGGTACTTCCGCCGTCTTTTTCCCAAAGTAGACTAGCGCCGCCTGGGATCTCAGCGTATCACGTTGTTTCAACCTTCACCTCTCTCGTTCTCTTCCTTCCGCCCTCTCAAGCCAGCAAGCAGCATCATCGACCAGCACGAAGCAGCATCTCCAGTCCTCTCCCTGCCAGAGTCTCCTTCAGCTAGACAGCTCGATACCATCGCCCGTCTCGATCTCTGCACTTTCCGGTCGACCACCAGCCAGCCGTCTGACGTCTTCTTTTGCCTCTTTTCCCCCCTCCCATCACCCTGTCGCCTTCATAATGACTCCTGAGTAGTAAGTGCCTTCATCTCAACTAGCGACTCCCTGCCTTCCCGCGAGACCCCGGACCATGCCTTCTCCGATGGATATATAGCTGAACTAACCCGTCGATGGCTTTTATAGAGCTTTCTCTCTCTTTCCGGACGCTGACCACAACGCCCTTCAAGGCTGCAGCCGTCCTGACATGTGACGTGATATAACGGCCGGTACTGACCTGGCTGCCGTGATAGATACGATTACTTGTTCAAGCTTCTCCTCATCGGTGACTCCGGTGTCGGAAAGTCCTGCTTGCTTCTTAGATTCGCAGACGACACCTACACGGAGAGCTACATCTCTACCATTGGTGTTGACTTCGTATGTTGGAACTCTTCCATATCCCGTCCCTGGCGTCAGAGAGAGCTACTTTCTAACAGAGAATAGAAAATCAGAACAATCGAGCTCGACGGAAAGACCGTCAAACTCCAGATCGTACGTCGCCTGTTCCCTTTGACCGAAATGGCACTGGCCTCAGTACTAATGTTAATATAATGAACAGTGGGATACGGCTGGCCAAGAACGATTCCGAACCATCACATCTTCCTACTACCGAGGAGCCCATGGAATCTGTGTGGTTTACGACGTGACGGATATGGACTCGTTCAACAACGTCAAGCAGTGGTTGCAGGAAATTGACCGCTACGCCACACAAGGCGTCAACAAGCTCCTCGTCGGCAACAAGAGCGATATGGAAGACAAGAAGGTGGTCGAATACACCGTTGCAAAGGTTCGTATCCGCTCCTCTTACCTCCCTTACCCTCAAGCCGTTGAATCCCCTGCTAATATATCCCGCTACAGGAGTTCGCCGATAGTCTCGGCATCCCATTCCTCGAAACTTCCGCCAAGAACGCTTCTAACGTCGAACAAGCCTTCTTGACCATGGCCAGACAGATCAAGGAACGAATGGGAACCGCAACTGTCAACAACAAGCCAACCGTCCAGGTCGGCCAGGGACAAGGCGTCCAGTCGAATTCCGGCAGCTCATGCTGTTAAACCTTCCAGTTTTTACTCCTTGCACTCGACCGATGCCGTGGTTATGCTATGCCTTGCTTCCCACGCTACAACTGTCCTAATTTTTCCCTTTGGCGTGAAATTGGCATTCATGAAAGCAGTGTTTCAATCGGAATTGGGTGGGGTGGGGTTTAATTTAATGCCGTTTTAAATGGGTTGTTTACACTTGGTTTTTGTTTTCCCTTATATTTATCATTCTCTTCTTTCCTCCTTTCTTTTTCCGCAATCCAGTCCGGATCTGTCTTACATACATAACTTATCCAGCTACCTACCTACCTACCCACCGATGTGCCATGCGTACCATACCATGACGAATTTGATTCCTAACCCCCACACCCATCCCGTCGTTCCATTCCCGTTACCCGTCCCGTCCCACGTCTCATTGACCACAGCAGGAAGAGGAAGGCCTCTACCCGCCTTATGAAAAACCTAATGCTGCGCTCCCCGTACTTCTGGTTTTGTGTCGGTTTATTTTCCATTATCCCTTATTTCTTCTCTTTTCCTTTCTTATAAACCCGTTTGCTTCGAATATTCTAATCCTGTCGCCCACAGCTGACTTGGAATGGAGCACGCTCACTTATCTTACCATTTCATCTTTCTTTTTCCATCTGTTTTCTTCCTCCTGATGCTTTTTCTACATCTCGCTCTCTCACACATCTGTAAACGTCCAGGTCATCTTAGAATATGTTTCTATTAGTTTCTCACCCCCACTTTTGTTCCTGCATGTTCCCCGTAGCGTAGTCGACCGCGGTGGATCAACGGAACCATTTATCTTTGTCTTCCAAGGTTGTTCTATATAATGCTTAATGCAAGAGAGAGTATCGCCGTTTTATCTATTTCCTGCTTAGTCATCTTCTTAGTTGGAAGTAGAGTAGTCACGTGCTTTAATTCCCTTTTGCCGAGGCCCAACATACAGCCTTGTATAACTAGTGGCTACATGATACTCCAGGCAGTATATAGTATATATTGTTATTGTGCTCTCTAAATAGTACATAAATATAGATTATGCGTGTTTTTCTAGCATTATCCGTGATGCTGGGATTTCAACACCCAAAGCTTTGCCATGGGAGTCTACCTCGAATATAAACTGATCAAGCGATGCTCCCCCGTACTTGACACTATCAACGCTCAACCATGATACACAGGTGGGCGTCCCATAGTCAGCGAACTCATCTTTGTCCTGGAAGACTGCTCTAAATGCTTGTCTCGACGTAGACGCTCGCTTGGAGATAAGATGTGTTGGGTAAAGTCGTATGCTCACAGAATCAACCTCCTTGATCCCATTCAGGGCCGCCAATGTCTTCCGGAAATCGGTGCCGTTGCTGATCCATGTATCAATGAATAGACCGGGGAAGCTATCCGCCGAGATAGAAATAGACGAGTTTTGTGTGGGTGAAGAGTAGACTCCACCGAAATTGACACTGGCTTGAAGGGTTGCAATCTTGGTTAAGGCCGGTAGCAAAGCATCGCCGATAACACCAACATGGGGATTGAGGTCCGGGCTCGTCGTACTATCAACAGCTAGAACAGTAAACCCAACGTTGAAGTCGGGAACAAGGCCGATATATGAGCTATACAAGCCGATGCTACTAAGAGCTGTATACACATCTATCATCGATGTGTTGGGGTAGCCTCCACCGCTATATATAACCCAGGGATACCCTACTGAGTTTGCAGGGTTGGAAGTGTGGGTAACGGGTTTCAGCCAGCGGTTAGTTTGGGCGCGCGAAAGGAGGGTTGCCGATAGGATGGACTTCCCGGCAATGGCTAGATCGGTGACAGTGGAAAGCATTGAAAGTGCACTATTGAGAGAAGTTTAGTACAGTCCATCTTACTAGCTGGCTATGCTTCACGCGAGGACAGGATCTTACGCTGCGTCTTGCATCGCCCATTCATGGTTATTCATATCCGCTAGGACTACTCCTGGCAATGGATTTTCCGGTGAGGCTGGACTTGTCCTTCTCAGCTCGAGAGGCTCAAGAATGCGTTGATTAAGCACAGATTCAAAAGATTTTCCGGTAATTCGCTCCACAATGTATCCTAGAATTCGAAACGCGTCGTCTGAGTAAATAGGTGTAGTCCCCGGGAGGGCTACGGGAGGCTGTCGGACAATATACGAAAAGAATTCTGTTTGAATGAACATACTAAATAAGAATAGTTCAGTTAAAGGCGCGGAGTAATTGACCTACCAGTACGGTTGCACGAAAATCCCGACATACAGGGGGGTATATCAGAAGCAGAAGTGGATGGCAGACCAGTGTACTTAGAGTCGTCTGGTTTACCCAAATTGTGCATAGAAGCTGAAGACATATTAATCAAAGACCATTCAGACAGTTGCTTCATAGAGCAAACTTACAACCCCTAGAAATTCCAGCCATATGGCTTGCAAGCTGGCCAACCGTAACAACTTCCCAGTCGACATAGCTAACCGGGTCTTGTTTTGCATCCTGGTGGTTCATCGCATCGGCCAGTTCGGGGATGTATTCTGTAACAGGATTATTCCAGATACGATCCCCCGCTTCAATTAGAATAGTCCAGATTGTGAAAATCTTAGTCAAACCGCCGATGCGATATATGCTATCGTTTCCCACGGGGTGAGACTTCAATGGCGGCGCCGTGTAGTGATAGTCAAAGAAAAAGGGCTGGTTGCTGGCATTGCCTTGATTAACGGAGAATAATGATAGACTAAAAGAAGTAGTATTAGGGTAGATCTCCCCATGGGAGCCATTCCCTTCAAAAATCAGGCGATTGAACGTTTCTGCGAGGTCCTTGAGAGCAGGGGCTAGGATTTCGGAGCTTGTATCCAAGGTAAACTCAGGGAATGCTGGCCCTAGAAGCGGGCATGGGGTGAACGAGACGCCCGAGGAGGCGAAAAACAAAATGCAACAAAGCAGGGTAATAGTGGGAATCATCATGACTATTTGAAATGACCATTCTCTTTAATTTGGGGTATTTGATTCTTTACTATTAGCTCTATATATACACATAGAATCGGATCGGAGTTGTATAAAGCTTACCAAAATTTATAGCCCAAGCATGCCGGGTTCGGCTCGGAGTTATGCATATCAGCCTCAACTCCACCTAAGCTGAAACTAACAGTGGACCATACAAGCAAGATTTAATTAATGTGCTTTATAGAAAAAACTAGTCTTCAAGACGTGGTTAGAGTTAGTAGAATGTTTTCCTGACAAGAGCATCACATCCAGTCATTCAACATTTGATCTATAGTGAAACTCTCCTCCATTGAATGGTAATCGTTCACCATGCTGGTAAATAAGTCGGAAGGTAAAAAGTCATGTAAAACGCTCGAGTCATCCGCTAACCGTTGCTCGTCTGGGCTGGAGGGATCTGTGGTTCGTGGTTCTTCAATGAGAGAAGGATCCTTTGCAAGCCGTTCGTCAAACCAAGCTTGAAGGCGGGTAACACGATCGGCAAAGTTTGAGAAAATGTCCCTGTCTCCATTCAAGTCGACTAGATCAGTGGATAGCTCTGATACGCGCGCTTTTAGCTGCATCAAAATATTCGAGAACGATTCCTTGTGCCGGACTAGGGCTGGAGTCATTTGTGTCGTAGAGGTTGTGCCGGTTTGTCTACATGTGACGATCAAAGCAAACCCGATCTGCACCCATTCAGTGTTGTTAAATGCGGTTTCAGAGTGAGGCGGTAGTGAAAGATACAGCTTAAGAATCGATTGTGCCGCAATATGGCCCGCACATAGCATTTCGTCCGAGACCGCCGTCTGTGTAGGTTTAGGTTGCTTCCCGGCCTTTTCCAGTAAGGTCAGCTGGTATAGAGAAAGCTCAGTGGCGTGAAACTGAAGGGCAATGAGCGCTATAGAGAAATAAGGATTAGGCAGGCCTTTAAAGGGTGTGTCGGTTTATTGTGGTGAGTACCTACATGCCTCATCTAAACTAAAGCCCGACCGGCCACGGAAGGCCTCCAGTTCAGCTTTCAAACTCTGGACATAAAGCTCCATCGCCGAGCCAGGGTTCGCCAACTCCATCCCATGTCGAAGGGATATACGATCAATCTTCTCTGCAATGAGCTGGAGCTGGACAATGTGGAGGATAGATTTGTCAGACGGATATTCAGCCGCATCGTAAAGAGATTTGCAACACTCTTCGAGGTAAGCGGTATGAGGAAAGGTAGACGGTTTCTGCAAAAGCCCAGAGATCCTATGACGGCATGAGCTTAATTTTTGTTTTCTTTTGTCTTTCATTCCATCCTAAGTTTCCCATTCTTAAGTGGCGGATACCGAACTCACGTCGAGGAGAGATAATAGCAACCTGCAACAGCTCTCTGTTCATCACGGCCTAATGACGGTCGAGTGTACGTGATGTCGTCTGGGTCGTAGTTCGATGTGAATCGGATCCCCGTTTTCCACGTCTTCGTCAGCGGTGGCCGATCCAATCGTAGCTCGATGATGAGGGCAATGGCTAATTGGAGGAATTGGGTATAGCGATGCGGCCGCGTGTGGTAGTGGCACCTAGCAACAATTGTTGGTTCCGTGCTTCTCTCAAATTTTGCGTACTTGTGTTTGAAATGATGGTAATTACCAAGCCAGGTAAACCAGCAATCCTTGTAGCAGATCGAGACAAACCTCTCCATTGGTGATCATTCGGGTGGCAATAGCTGCCTTGACTTCCTGTCCCAACTTTCGCTGCAGCGGCATGTCCGTGTAGGATGCCGACGAGATGGTAGCTAGAAAGAGAAATGGCCTCTCCCGGCGAAGTTGCTCCGCCATTACGTGCGGCGGAATCAGGACGAACGGAAAATGTTCGGTCATACCAGTTTTAAACGTAGATATGAAACGTTCAGCATCTTCCATGGTTAGGAACCCCCGATCAACGACATCTTTGTCGACAGCATCAACACCGGCCTGGAAAGCTCCAGTGGTGCCGGTAGGAGGCACCATAGCATCACGGGAGCCCATAAGCTCGTTGACCTTTGACTCCAATGCATTGATCCTCCTTTCTTGAGTATGTTAGCTCTGCTATGCAATAAGAATAGAAGATATTCCCACTAACAGGTCTTTCTGGAACCCATTGAATCGCCGGCGAGTCTGGCGGGTTGCGCATTCTCTACCTAGGCGATAACATCTAAGTGAGAGTGAGCGAGACGGCTGTAAGCATATATATATGTCCTAGCTAGCCCAGACTTACCGACTGCACGTATCACTGTCCGCGTCCCGTACACAACGTACCTTGGAATCGGCGCAGCTTTGGCAAGTTTTAGACAGCGGCATCATGGACGAGCACAACAGTAAACAAGCCAAAAATAGTTGGAATATGGAGTTCGTTTGTGCCCGGATGTTGTTACTGTGACATACGGAGAGGCGCGGATAATATAACCCTTTGGTCATCAAGTCTTGCCTGCACTAAAAGCGGCGATAGGAGCCATATAATTATATCGTTCGCGCGTTAGTCGAGAATATAACCGCCCGATAGGGGGTCTTTTATAGCAATTATCTTTTAGATATATATTTGCGAACGGGCAGCGATTAGCGGACAGTTCTGTAGATGCTAGGATCCCTACGAATATCTATTGTGCTGCTCGTCCGCAATCTTCAATCTTACTTAATCTTCCAAATGTTAGTGTCACCTGACTTGGTAGGTGCCTCGGTACTGATGTAGTCACGTGAACGATCGAAATTAATTATATAATCCGCGTCTATGCTGAAGTTCAGGCGGCTATATAGAGTATATTACTACTCTGGCGCGTTTAAATATACCAAGCATATCTATATGTTACATCTTCGTCGTCAAAATTCCAACATCCCATGTAGCTCTCACAACCTGTAGTACTCTAGCTACGCTAACTTACAAGATACTTTGCAATTTCTTAATATCTTTCTTCACAGCAGGGAAAGTGGAAATTACCTTTATGCTCGATCTATTAAGGGTAAATGTGATACTTCTCTGGAAGCGGGGAAGTTGCGCCACGTTGAGAGGATGGTCCAGTTTACAATCTGTATAGCCACCTTCCAAATTTTGGGTAGAATTGAAAAAGATCATGCAAAAGGTGTATCATTCTGGGCCTAATCAGACTTTTTCTCATTTTTGGTAAACATAAACTTTGCAGAGTGCTTATAAGAAGATAATAACATCTGACCTTGGGAGATGCACGCGTATCAAGCATAAATGAAGCCTCGTTTATAGATAAGACGAATCAACAACCTGTGCTCCGTAGAGAGCGTTGCACAGCATCCAAAAGTCAATCGTCGACTACAGGTTTGTTGCTTCAGGTCTTGAGTGTCTAGATTCGCATACACGGAAATGATCTGTTATATCACATTTACAGGACACTCACACCGTCACACGGCATGGGTTAGACATCACAAGGCCTCTATACTAGTTCCCTGGAAAGCTGCAGTGCTTCTCAAATGACGTAATTAATAAGAAGAGCTAAGATATTTAAGAAGCCAAAACTTCCCCCGATGTCAGAGGGCAGGCTCTCATCGCTTGGATTTCTAGCAAGTCTCTTTTCCTGATAGACACCTATCGCTTTTAATTATTTTTATACCCCCAGTGGCAATTGTCTTATCCTCTCGCACACAAGCAAAAATGGATCTCACCCGCCTCCAAAAGCTTGCGCGGAAGTTGGACGAGTTAGATAGTGCATGGAGTAGATTCGACTCTGTGCAAGCGGAACGAGAGGCAGAAATCCGTCGACCTGCCAAGCATATTGATGTGATGTCTGACAAGGAGTATGACAGGATAAAAGAAGCCGAAGGATATGTCAAGGAGGTATTCGACGAGCTCATTCATACCAGAAAAATGCAGCTTGAGACTACCATGGACCTAGTTTACCGGTTCTTCGCAGGTGATGACAACAAGGAGTTGGATAAAGGAATTAAGCACATTGCGGACTGTGTTAGTGGCACATTGGTACTTCGATGCCAGGCAAGGTCGAATCCCTTCTTCAAAGATCCTCCCCCTGGAAGAGCCAGGCCTAAAGCAAACCACGAAGGATCAGCCGAGGCGAAAGAACTGTCCAAAGAAGATCTCGAAAAACTCGCCAAAGAATTGAATATGGCCCCGGAGGACGTACAGAATTTTGCAAGTACGGGTCTGGGAGGGGATAGGATTGATGATGACAGTGATCTCATGATAAAGTTGAATACCCAGACCCATCCTGGGGCGTCATCATCCAGAGCGGCTTCACTTCTTGAGTTTGCTATGCGCATTCCAATATTCCACTACCAGGTCCCCGATTCCTTGGACGTTATTACGACAGAGATCATCGCTGAGCAGGTGATAAACACTTTACACACTCTGTATATATATATATATTGAAGCTAATTGAGTCATGTTGGAAATATAGGAGGTCTCTCTGGTGGGTGCTGTTATTGCACAACTCAAAAAGGACTTCGAAGCAGACAAATACCCATCGGAAACAGAGAAGAAAACACTCGAGGCCTTTTTCACCAACGAAGTTGCACAAAAGGCCATGAAAGCTCTGCTTTCTGAGTGCGCCATGTGGTTTAACGGCCTTGCAGAGACATGTGTCAAGGTCATTCGGGCTGCAGATGAATATGTGCCTGAAAACGCCAAAGATAGACAGCCTGTGCCCAAGAAGCAGTATAACGAGCTGTTGGAGCCAGCAAGGAAAGAAATGTTCGACTTCATGGGGCGTTCCCGAGACTACTTTAAATAAGTGATTGTTGCGTGTTTTTACCAAAGCCCCAATTTCAACAATTGGTGCTATTATGCCATTATGTTAATTTACTCAATTTCTGAACTATTGTCATTTTTTATTGGACTGAAAGACAGTATTCAGTAATATCATTGCATGATACGGAGTAGAATTGCATTGTTCCTCGCGTAAAGACGACGGCCTATTACGGCGACTAACGTACTCCGTTCATCATGGATTTTACTGTACGTACATACCACCAGGGAGAAAGTATCGACTCTGTCGGCATAACTAAAGTTCTTCTTACCTCTTCAACTTCCGGGTCATGGCCATCTGGAGTGTCAATATACGCCCCAGCCCCTTCGCATGCTGAGTTCATGTAGAAATAACTAAGGTTCGAGCTCTCCAGCCTGCTCCCAAATCACTCCGTATGAGTTATACTATAAATCACCAGATATTCGCTTTTGGCCTGATCCAACGAAGCCTTGCATCGGTTCATGGAAGAGTAACTTCCACGGCCCTGTCATCGAGGTCGGAATGCCACCCAATTAACCCCCCATGCTCCAATTCATTCGAGCCCCCAATCAATGTAGTTGGAAAGCGGCGGTATTCTACATGAAAAGAGTATGAAGATGTTGATATCAAAGAGAAAGATAATTAGTAGCTTGAAAGTATAGCTAACAGTATAGTGTTGTAGTCCTCACCGAACATCCAAAACAGGGCCGCGTGGCCTAATGGTTAACCTATCACCAAAGATTTGTGCGTTCGCCGCGGTCGTCTATTTCTTTTTTTTCTCCCTCGTTTTTACCTCCATAAATGATTTACGGATGCCGGAATTATTCGCTCCATCCAGAAGAGTCCTTGTGAAATATCTTCAAGTTCAAGAACTCGGTACTGAGGGGCTTAAATAATGCAGATACTACTTGATCACGGTTCCTTCACAATAGCTCAAGCTATATCATCCACCTAGACGAGCCAGAAGCCCAGAGCACAGAGAAACGACGTGAATTTGACTGATGTCCCACCAAGGAACAACAAGAGAGACAAATATCGGCGGGTTGGGGGTTCTCCTTCGATAGAACATGAGCTATCGCCAGAGAATGAAGATGAACGAGTTGAGCGCCCACCAGTGTTGGACGAAACACACTCCCAACGGTGGAGTACGGATTAAAGCACTTTCGGCGGTCGTCAGGCCTTTAGTGTGACCCCTCATACATCTTACTATCATGTTCGGTTTGCTTCTAGAAACGTCGCTTTTTCGGTATTGGAGATTTTTTCGAGTCTAGTACTACTATGACGGAGCCGGAATGAACTGGTCATATTCTGAGCACGAAAATTGAACAATCGGAGGGAAATTTACTGTTATACGACGCTCAAGTCGCCTAACCGGATCTCCAGTTTAAAGATTCAGATTAATTGTCCTTGCTCGGTCCGCAGTGATAGCTCACGAGCTCGGTGGCTACGGTTGAGCCGGTCCCCCGACATCCGAATACATAGAACGGAGTATCTCGTGGTATGTTCCCCAGGTCGAAAAAGAAAATAGCTGTTAGCAGGAATATTTTCGAAACAGCTCGCCCAGGGGCTTCACGAGTCCGAAGCCTGGATAGTTTTGCACGGGCGGCAGTGATGATCCATATGTACTGATGATACGTATAGTAAGCGTTTGGGCCTCGTCCCAGATCCTTTCTAGAGTTGCTTTTTTGGGTGCTTTGAGTGTTCAAGCCACGCCATGGCGGCGAAAATATCGGAAAAGCCTAGGTTGATAGGCCGAGCAATTTATAATATTTAATAGTTATCTGGAATCGACATTGACTGCCCTGATAAATATTTGTCGAGTCATGTTAGCTTCGTTTCCGATGTTCACCACTTCAATAAGCCGAGTGATAAACACGAGAGATTGACATATCCCTCTCATTCTCTGGATGACAGGCCTTTCACATTACTGCACCCTCTTTATCCACTTTTTCGACCTTCTCGAAGATGGAAAAATGTTATATACTAGGCATATTGATATTATATGCATGGATTAGCCCTCCCGACAGTCAGGGCATGGAAAACACAACCTATATACACGAGATATATTGGAGACAATGATTCGATACAGAGGATGGAGTTCTTCGCCAGCTGAGTTCGGACGGGGATCTACGTCTAGAAACTTGCAGAGTTCAGGGTTAGTGCAACGCCAAGTGTGTACAGGTCAACACTTTGGCCGATTGTTGGCTGATAACCGATACCCATAAATAAACGCCACAGCTCGCTCCAATGTCCCTTGTTCCTTACAGTTTCGAAGCTTTCGATCTAAAACGCGGCTCCAGGTTTAGGATGGCGATGGCCGGACAGAGCATGGCTAACTGTACATAGTTGGCAGCCACGGCCAACCTTAGCAGGTGGCAAGTCAAGAGACCCTGCCCAGAATGGAAGATGCTCACATCCAATAGCGATCGGATATCACAGGTATGGTGGCTTTTACATGCTTCCATGATCTCAACCTTATACATCCTTGTCAAGACTGCATGTGTTGTGATGGTGTTGTCGATTTCAGATTGCTTTTCCTGTGCCATGGCGAGGCTTGACTAGAGGCGTTCTTTTGACATATATGAGCACCGAAACGCCTACCTAACTGGAAGCAGTTCACGCCATGAAAGCCCCCTGTCCCGGAACGGTTAACAGTCGCTGGACTGTCACATTCTTGTCTGCTTCTTCAACTCGTCTTCCACGCCCTCCCTTGATTGAAACTCATGGGATCGTAACAAAGGCTCTTCGGAGAGGCTTCTCAACCAGGCCGCCGAACACCTCTGTATATTCTTAAGCAGGGAGAGCTGCCACTCTGGGGTATGGGGTCAAGCTGGGAAATCGGCCAAGGGTCATCTATTGATGATAAAGGTCCCATGGTCATCGGCGCCGCATGGCTTTCCTTCGTTATAGCGACTCTAGTGCTTGGTGTAAGGATATGGCTGCGGACCTGCCTTACAAAACTCTTCGGATGGGATGATGCTTTCATGATTCTGGCATTGGTATGATATTGTTTCCTTTGCCTGCGGCGAACTATGGACTAAATTGTTTGTTCACCAGGTTTTCGGATGCGTGCATTCGGCCCTTGTCAACGCCTCCGTCAATTATGGCCTGGGAACCCATCAGGCCAATCTTATGAAAAGCGAAGTGATAGAATTGACCAAGTACTTTTGGCTTTCGGGGCCTTTCCATGATTTGGCCGTAAACTGGGGGAAGGTTTCTGCCATGTTGCTGCTCATACGTATTGTGGAAAAGGCAAAGCGACAAGCGCTTTATTTCTACATTGGGATAGTTCTTCTCACCCTTGTGAACACGGTGGATGTGTTTATTATATTGGGGCAATGCAGGCCAATAGAGGCGGCTTGGAATGCCCAAGTTCGAGGGAGATGCTGGGCAAAGAGCATCGTGAAGATTTCTGCTTATTTTCAAAGTGGTTAGAAATGCTCTTCCCTTTTCATCGAGTTTAATGTTAACCCATATTGCTTTATAGCCTGTTGTTGTTTATCCGATCTTATTCTCGCGGGATATCCTATAATCGTGATATCAAACCTGCGAATGCCCCTTCGTACGAAAATAACCCTTTCAATAATCCTTTCGCTGAGCTTAATGTATGACACTCGCCTCTGTATTGTGATCCTTTTTTTTTGGGTTATTCTAACATTTTTACTTAATAGCGCCTTTGTTGCACCCGTTATGAAGGCCTATTACATCTACCGCATCGGTAACAGCTCAGATTACTCTTGGAAAATGGCCGACTTGGCCATCTGGGGGGCCCTCAAACACTACCTCGTCATCGTTACGGCCTCTATACCTACTCTCGGTCCTCTAGGGAAACACATTGCACGATTAACATCCTCACGGGGGCTCAGATGGTTTTCATACGCAGAAGAAACCCGCTCCTCCTCATACCTACCGAAGACAACATCGCTCACGACGGTTACCGTAAACTCTACCCCTAGCAAAAAGGTTTTCAGCCAGGGATACAGCATATCTGCCGCGAGACGAGGCGAAAGTTATCCAATGTCTATATACAGCAGCATATCAAGACATGGCGGAGGGCGCAAGAAACAAAAACGGAATCAGCAGAGTGAGGTGGCGAGCAGCCAGGAGGCGATAGTCGAAGTACCGGAACAGCACATAGACGAGATCACGAAAGTGACAGAGGTATGCATACGAACGGAGTCAAAGGAAAATATTGCAGAGTATTGGGAACAAAGAATCAAGCCATGGGAAGTAAAGAGTCCCGTATAACGGTTTTTCATAGTAATGGCATCTAGGGCGCTACGGAGCATTGGGAAGGAAGCATATAACATCATCACCGGAGTCGGATAGAAATTGGCATGGAACTTTTCTTCTACTATTCTATTATATATAATACAATATAACTGATGCATCGCAAAAAATACCTGTACACTCCATAGTATATTATCAAGAAGACGTTGGGGCCTGCATCAAGAAAGAGCCGAGGCAAAAAAAAAGATCGCGGCTAAACGTCATATGAACGAAATTCTAGAGATTCTTCGTCTCAAGGGAGGAGAAAATCACAAGCAAGCAGAAGACGCAGAAGATTTCGGTATCTCTCGCGATTTGGCTTTAAATTTCGGGTTTGGTCGCCCACTTGTCAATTCGATCGTTTTTATATACAGCTCCTTTTCGCTCCTTTTCCACTCTCTTGACCTGACTACCTTTTGCTGCCTTTGAGCATTACTGCATCTGCTCCGTTGCCTGACACCCGCCTCTCGACTAATTGGACGATATATTTTTTTTAATTATATATCTCAGTATAAGATGTCTCAATCTCAAGCAGTAACAGCTGCTACTTCGGCAGCTCAGAAGCCGAAGCCTGCGCCTACCATGGCGGCACAGCAGAGCGACAATATCGCACACGCTTTGGCCGGAGCTGGAGGAGGAATCTTGTCCATGATCCTGACGTGCGAATCTCTTCCTTATATATGTACTCACATACGCACTGTGCTTGTCTCTCTTTGGATGGGTGCGCTAACTAAATCCTCTATCATTATAGGTATCCCTTAATCACCCTCTCTACTCGCGCGCAAGTCGAATCGAAGCGCGCTGATTCCTCGACCATCGAAGCCATCCGCCATATCATCAAGCGAGAAGGTATCCGGGGACTGTACTCAGGTCTCGAGTCTGCCGTTTTCGGAATCAGCGTTACCAACTTCGTCTACTACTATTGGTACGAATGGACTCGCGCTGCGTTCGAGAAAGCCGCCGTCAAGGCCGGCCGGGCGTCCAAGAAACTCACAACGGCCGAATCCATGATTGCTGGCGCAATTGCAGGTAGCGCTACGGTTCTGATTACCAACCCTATCTGGGTGGTGAACACCCGCATGACTGCCCAGCGATCAGACACTGAAGAAGGTGGTACCAAAAAGGTGAAGACTACGATCCAGACGTTGAAGGATCTCTTGCGCCAGGAGGGTCCCACTGCACTCTTTGCAGGCGTCTTGCCCGCTCTTATCCTGGTTATCAACCCTATTCTTCAATATACTTTCTTTGAGCAGCTGAAGAACGTTGTTGAGCGAAGAAGGAAGATGACCGCCACGGATGCGTTCTATCTCGGCGCTCTTGGAAAGCTACTAGCCACTTCCATCACCTATCCATACATCACGGTCAAAAGCAGGATGCACGTTGCCAACAAGGAAGGGCCAAAGGAGAGTTTGAACGACAAGTTCAAGAAGATTATCAAAGAAGAGGGATGGGCTGGTCTGTACAAGGGTAAGTTAAGCCTCATCTTGCCGCCAACAGAGCTGACCACATACGTGATTATAGGAATTGGCCCCAAGGTCAGCCAGAGCGTGCTCACAGCTGCCTTTTTGTTCGCATTCAAGGATGTGCTCTACGACACCATGGTTGCTCTCCGCCGACGAAGCATCCGCAAGTAGATGACACCCTGATATCAGACTGTAAAGGGGCTGTAGTGATCTAATTCTATTTATTCCCAGGTGTACGCGGATACCCTGAAACAGCAGAAGAGGATTCATATATGACATTGTATAAATAACTATATATATATATATCAACTAGCTAGTTACATCTCGATACTCTTTACACCTACACATTGTAATGGATTAATAAATACAGCTTCATGAATAGCAAGATGCTTTCTACCCATACCATAACCCCATACCAGGAAGTAGACCGCCCTGTCAAAGTTAAAGACTGGACCTGTGGCTCAATGGTAGAGTATCTGAGTCCGGATCAGGAGGCTGCAGGTTCGAGTCCTGCCAGGTTCGACTTATTTTTTTTGCTTGACCATTTTATCACCTTTTACGTTGTCTATGTATGTCTAGCTTATCGCTATTGTTATTTTATATAGTTTACTTTGGTCTTGAAGGTGTAGCACTGGGTCTATTTTCTACCGGAATTAGAGAAAAATAGCACTCAAGTATAGAGCTTCACGTGATTAAATCGGGTTGAGTATGGCTATTATTATGTAATCATGAAAATCGCGACTTCTACCGATCGTTTAAACGCGACTTCGAAAAGACCCAAAACAATTGATATCTTCCCCGTTGAGCTGTTCGCAGGCGGCAAGCCGCTATATACCGTTTTAGCAAGCAAGATTTGTGCTTTCCCTCTTTTAACTTGTGATACTCTGACCGCTCTCCAAGTTCCACTACCAAAGGACGCCTCTATTGTCTCGAAGCTTCCCAGCTACCCGATATTTCTATTTCTAGACAAATCCGTCTAGTTACTGACGCTACCACTTTTGATGGGGGAAGCCTCCCTTAGTGCCTCTTACCACTGCCTTGAAACTCTTTATACTATGTCCGAACGCTGGAATGGAGTGAATATCCATACGTATCGGTGAAGCATATATAGAAGGTGAGAGAGACTAGTAAGCTTGCAGCTCTCTATATTAATACCTGCCAGCTGAATTATTAATATATGTTTACGCAGGTTGAGAGAGATTGCCGACCTGGAACAGGGTTACTTATGGCGCTTGATAAAGTATCGTTGCCTCGAAGAAGCGCCCGGATTCTAAAAACTTTAGAGCCCACCGAAGATTCAGATGATGATTATGATAACGATGATGCAGAACAGGAAGCACAGCGGTTACTTCAACAATTTCTATGTCGAAAAGAATCGCCTTCTCGCCAGAGGGCGCCATCAACAACTTCGTTGAAAAGGAAGGCTGACTGTCTCACTGATAGAGAGCACTATCATCTCCCGGAGCCAAAGATACCACTATCCATAGCTGGAGATAACACTGGAAATCAGGGTAGAAAAGATGGCTCTCGGGAGACAAGTAATGCAATAACCAAGGATTTGTCCTCAAAAGATAATGAGAATTCGGAGAATCAACCCCCTGATTTGATTGAGCGAGATGGCTTACCTCCTCCCTCCCCCAACTGGGCTGGGGACACTGGTAACACTCCTGATGTGTTTTCTACAGGTTTGGATGGTTCTGGCAGGACTTGGGCTGCGTTGCCCGAAGCAACACATAATAGCAATAATAACACACTAGACTCGGAATCTTCCTGTGTTGACACCCCCCACTCTCCTACTTCACAATGTACATCATGCACTCTTCCTACATCGGTGTCTTTTAGCTCTTGCTCATCTTCCTTTGGAAATACACAAACTACCTCTACGGATATACCACTACGGAGGCCACCAGGTTCCCCAAACCTTTCGAAGATGGGTAACCATGCAATTCCAACGAGGAGATCTAAGCGTGAAAAACTTCAACCAATTAATTATTATGCGCCCATCCCTGGGTTTACGGACTGCGATGAAGATTATGAAATGGAAGCCCCCGAACAAATAACCATCGATCAACAACCTCCCCCGCAACTTCCAAGCCTTGCAACCAAACGAGTTGAGACTGTCAAACCTCGGCTTATATATCAATCACACTCCTTTCATATCTTACAAGAGCCCCTCAACTCCAACCGCCTGAACGATAATAATACAGAGGCCGGCCTTCCATATGCCTCTTCGGAGACAAGGAGGAAGAGCGAGGAATTGATCTCGCGTAAAGCCATGGAAGAAGGGAGCACACTTTTCCATGTTGACTTCATTCTGAACGAGATGACATCGCTCTATACCCTCCTATGTGGCCATTCTGTTCCAGATGACGAGACGCCTGTACAAGATCATCTATCCAATGCTATCCAATTTGTCGACATTAAATGGGTGGTCAAAAAAATCAGGAAATTACGAAAATTAAATTCTTCGTTGCCTCCAGGATTTGATATAAATAGCATATTCAGTCCTGAATTATCACGGTTGAAATTGTCAAAGAGATGGCAAAGGGTAGTGAGACGAATTGCCAGAGTATGTGGCGAATCCGTCGTGGATAATCGCCCGGAGGGGTACATAAACATGATCGAGGGGATTGGTCGAACTGCCATTACTACTGTCCTTCAAGAATGCGAAACCATCCGTGAGTTAGAACACAGGAATCTCAAGGTTATTCGAAAGTTCCTCTTGGACGCACAAGCTAGAGTTCTCTCTAGCACTCCCTCAAGTTTGGTAACCTATCGTTCTTCAGCCCCGTCTCCTCGTGTACCTTTGGCCTATACGGATGTTAACCTACCGTCTGCTCTATTGCGGTCCCGCCAAATAGGCCACATGCGTCACGGAGGGAAAAACCGCGCCATTGCCAGCTTACGCGAGCTACGTTCCAGAAAATGGGAATTGTGGAAAACGTGGAAAGGGGCTTCTCACGATGTAATGGTGTTATCATGGGCGCCGGATGGGACTCAATTTGTTGCCGGCACCACCACGCACTGTGAAGACAATATGCAGTATAACCGCAATAATAACCTGCTCTTGGGAGATTTGGTTATGGGCTCAATCAGAGAACTGCCCGACCACCGAGTCCCTCGCCCTCTAATCGCTACTGGAGACTTCGCAAACCAGAACACGTTTAACAGTCTTGATCCTGATTTATATATGACAATAAGCGCGGTCCAGTGGTCAGAGAGCTATCTATATACAGCCAGCTATGACAAAACTGTGAAGGTATGGGAGACACAGCCACAAGTACGTTGCGTTCAGACCCTGCTTCACCCTGAAAAGCTTGATGTTATGGCTATATCTGGAGCCGTGGACCACCTTGTAGCTACAGGGTGTCAGGATACCTGTCCAGTTCGAATCTGGTCAGCAACGTCAAATAATGCACATAGTTGTGTTGAGTTGAACAAGTATCCTGGTTACGTGCCTTCGTCGTTGACCTGGGGCTCAAACTCTTCCTGTGCAGATATGCTAGCGGCAGGCCTGTCTAGAAAATTCACTAGATCAACCTTCTCATCCTCAAAATACGGATCGATTGTGCTTTGGCAGGTAGAAGCGTCTTATGTCAACCGCTTAATGGAATGGGAGATGTCCCAACATATTTCTGACATTAAATGGCACTCTACCAAACCCTTATTTATTGCTGGATGTTCCACACCTACAAAACTGGTGAGATCAACCGGCACCAACATCCGCTCCGTCGTCCATCTTTACGATCCTCTAAGGTCAAAGCATGAAGTCGGCTCGTTCAATTGTTCCGCGTTAGATATAAACGAAGTCACGTTCTGTCCAGTAGATGACAACTATATTACAGCTAGCTGTACAGACAACTTGACTTACGTTTGGGATCGCCGCAATCCATCCAGTGTATTGCATAAACTTGGGCATGGGAAACCCATTAGCCAATTGGATACGTCTGTTCCTCAAGAAGAGGATGACACTGGTGTATGTTTAGCAATCTGGAGCGGCGCGTCTTTTTATACCGGAGGCTCGGATGGTATAATCAAATCCTGGGATGTTAGACGTTCCGCGGACGATCTGATTGTCGAAGACATTGCCAGTTTCAGCCATGGAATAATGTCTGGCGCGCTATCTCCTGACCAAACAAATATTTTAGCTGGCGATAGCGGTGGATCCATCCATGTACTTTCGACAGCACCCTTCAGCCGTGAAAACGGCCAGGACCTAACTTACGAGGCCGCAGTAATTGATACCCAAGATGATGCGGAGGAGAAAGTAAGCGGTATTCTGGAGGCAAAAAAGCTTATAGAGTCCGGACAGCTCTCAAGGCACCCGAAATTTGGAGTTGGTAAGGGAGTTTGCTACGAAGGGCCTTTCGCTTCTTGGGCTCGTCCCCCAGAGACCCACCCAAATGACATGTCAGTTACTCCTTTGCATCCGACCATTCAGGAACAGCAGTTAGACGGGCCTCCTGTACACCAAAGACTGCTTCTCAGCAACGAAGATCAGCAACGTATTTTCAAACACATATCTCTAGCTACTGCTCGGAATCAACGGGGCACAGAAATCCAACCCCCTCGCGGGCTACGTCGTACTCAACAGCCGCTTACGCCAACTACAGGCTACCAAAGCCCTCAAAGCTCTTCAAGGGAAGTAATCGAGATTAGCAGCGACGAAAGCGACGTTCGTTGTCGCAGAAGAACCCGAAAGATTCCATTTCGCAGCTGTCGGAAAGTTACGCTGGCCACTCCATCGCGGCCCATGACAAGAAGTTTCAAGATCAAGTCTGAGCTAGTTTCACCAGATAAATCAGTATGCATTGATTTGACTGGTGATGGATCAGACGATGGCATTTTATCTCCCTCCTCACTCTCATCCCATGCAACTTGCATTTCGAAAGAGCAACAGGATACGGCTATGGATGACAACTTAGAAGAAGATGGCTGGTGGCCACATAGCAGGGATATCTTAGCGTTAGACTATTGATTGGAACTGAAGAATCGCGGCATGGCGAGAGTCGTGTAAATACATTATTATAATAAGTTATTCTTTCGGATCTACCTACGTGCACAGACTTTTTTTAAGGTTACTCCCGCGTAAATCGTAAACTTAACCAACGACCAAGCTAAAGTTAACCGTTAGTTATATAACTATATAAAACAAGGAGCGCGATCAGGCATAAACTATTCGCAACGACATGGTCGCTAATTCTGGTAATACTTCAACATTTCAAGCAACTAGCAAGGGCTCAAACTTTCTGGGTCCACTTTTTTTTTTCGTGAAGTAAGAATGGACCTCTGGCTGCGTGGTTTGGGCTGGGTATAAATAGGTCAGATTCTACTCCATAGAAAGATCCGCAGTTGGAGAACTGTAAGGCCTAGGGGTTACCCGGAGGAAGAAGATCGGGAGAGGGCCAGGCTCAGTTGACAGCATGGTGATATCTATCAGTCGTACATTTACACAGGGATATTTCCGATAATTCAGTAAAGAATCTAATGCACACCCTCCTCCAGTAAGCTAAGCCCGTATTCCGAGCAAACCCATGTATACAGGCAAACTGCCCTCTGAAGTATTTCAATGCGAGCCATTATTGTAGTAGAAACTAGTGAAATGTTCCCCTCTTCCTTTTGAAACGAGTCATCGCATTATTTAGACATCCTTGTAGATATTGACCAATGCTTTCTATTTCCTTCTCACATGAACCCAAATAGGCGCCGTACTATGTATGTACAACCATGACTAGGCTGCGCATATCAACTTTTTACCCCTCTTCCAATCAAACCCTGTAAGTGCTAGTTGGGCCGTGTCTGAAATTCCAGGCCGCCCTGGTATTTGCAAGTCACTGTCCATGAATAACGAGTTAATATAGATTCGGAAATTGCATTTCTGCCTGGTCTTGCATGTCGTGGCTATAAATAACCTGGGAATTTGACAATGAAGCATGTACAGCCTCGATGCAAAGACGCCCAATAACGAATGGCCAGGGGGACAGATGATCACCAAGGGTGGGCAACCAAATATTATTTATACTTCGGTCAGAACCTACAGTTTATAAAGTTCGATAGCAAAGTTCGATAGCAAAGTTGACATCCAAGTGCCATTTTCCCAGAGTTAATTATGACGGTTGAGAATACCGACTATAAAAAGCTAGGCGATCCAGCCCTGCTAAGCAAGATCGACGCTCTTTTCGCCTGCGGGGTCGGAGAATATGTCGACCTACCCCAGATCGTCGTCGTTGGCGATCAGTCGAGTGGTAAGAGCTCGGTGCTGGAAGGACTGACAAAGCTACCATTTCCTCGTGATAGCGGTTTGTGTACGAGATTCGCAACACTGATCACCTTTCGGCGCGCGCAAACAAAGAACATATCAATCTCTATCAAACCCAATGCGAATGCAAGCAGGGAGCACGCCGTAAAGGTGCGAGCATGGAAGGCTGACTTGGAAGTTCTGGGCCCAGAGTCATTCGGCAAGATAATGAAGGAGGTCGGTCTGAATCTTATAGATCTATAGCAACTACCGAACTGACACTGTATTAGGTCCATGAAGTCATGGGGCTGTCAGGACAGGAGGGAGATGGGGAAAGGCAGACGTTCTCCGATGACGTTCTTCAGTTAGAAATATCTGGACCTGATGAGGATCACTTGAGTGTGATTGACGTTCCTGGGATATTCAAGAACACGACTGACGGCGTTACGACAAAAAAAGACATCGAAATGGTCCGCGACATGGTACAGAGCTACATGAATAACCCTAGGTCGATTATGCTCACAGTCGTGCCAGCGAATGTTGATATTGCTACCCAGGAAATCGTTGAGATGGCAAGGGAGCTAGACCCGGATGGCGAGAGAACTCTAGGAGTGTTGACCAAGCCTGACCTTGTGGATAGGGGAGCAGAGAGAGCCATAATCGACATGATCAATGGGAAACGGTCGGGAAATCGGGTGCAATGGAGTGTTGTGCGTAACCCGGGGCAGCAGGATTTGCTCGACCAAAATACAGATCGCCTATCGGAAAGGCGCTTCTTCCGCGACGTATCACCTTGGAACACCCTGGAAAAGGATCGCGTTGGTATCGATGCCTTACGTATACGCTTACAGGAAGTTATCACTGCTCGAACACGCCATGAGTTTCCCAAGGTAAATAAAAAAAGTAATGCGCCTTTCAGTTCAAGCGTTTCTGACTAGTTATCTTAGGTTAAAGCTGAAATTAGCAAGCGTTTGCAAGCCAGCCGCTATCTGCTGCAAGCACTTGGTACCGAGCGCGACACACCCGAGAAACAAAGGGCATTCTTAGTTAGCCTAGCGACGCAGTATGAGAGGGTGACCTCCCACGCAATGTCCGCTAACTATGGGGCGGATGATCTCTTTGATAAGCACAAAGGTCTCAGAATAGCAACTATTGTAGCCCAAAGAAACGATATCTTTGCTAGGAATATGCGTCTCGTGGGTCACGAACGCGAGGACGATTCGAATTTGGACGTCTTCGGTGACACAGTCAAGAGGACAGTTAAAATTCGGACAACTGTCGACAGAGACGACTTAGAGGGTATTCTGCAGCCTCAGGAACACTTGTTCCAACCTGATTCAAACATCACATACTGGTTGGAGACTGTATATCAAGCCTCCCGTGGATTCGAACTTGGAACCTTTGCGTCAACTCTTCTGCCAGCCATTATGAAAGAGCAGTCCAAGAAGTGGGAACCGGTAGCATTAGGCTACATCAGTGATATCATAATTATGGCCCATTCATACGTTCTCTGCCTCCTTGAGGCGATCTGTATTGATGAACGAATGAAATCTGGTTTAGTGTCTGTACTTATGGACGGCCTACTCGATAGGTACGGCAAGGCACGGGATCAGGTAGTATTTCTGCTCAGCATCGAGAGATCAGGCCCTTCTGCTACATTAAATGATTCTTTTGGTGACAATTTGCATAAACGGTATGTGGATCAGTTTTCCCTATAAACATTGGCTCGTACTAACATCCACAAGGCGGCAGGGACGCCTCCAAAACGTGGTAGAGAGGAAAGCAGTTTCAGACACTTCCGAAAGTGAAGAAGGGGACATGGAAGCTGTTCGAACGAATAACTCGGGCCATGTCGTCAAGGAGCTACATGATATTCTTATTTCATATTATGAAGTTGCCCGCAAGCGGTTTGTTGATAATGTGTTGCTACAGGCAGCGCATCACCTGCTCGTGACTGGCCCGGATACGCCGTTGCGGTTGCTCTCGCCATCGTATATTCTCAATCTTTCCGAAGATCAACTTGAAAATATTGCAGGCGAAGACCCGAACACGGTACGGAAACGCAGTAACCTGAGAAAGGAAATAGAGGAACTTGAAAAAGGGAGGAGGATTCTTCTATGATGTTCTATGGGCCTGAATCCTCAGCTAATTCTTCCTTGTAATTTTTTCGCTCCATTGAATAGTTTCTAGGAAGCATCAAGTTCGAATTATTTTATTTACAGTTTGTTTGGTCATCCTTCCTGACTAGAATAGGGAAACGCAAGAGCTTTGTTCTATAGTTTACAAATAAGGAATGTATCTCAGAGTCGATCGATACATAACAGTTAAGCAACATTGAACACCCTCAGGGAAGCATAAAACATTAGGTAGACATATAAACTGGTTTTCTTGAAACTGGGAACTAGTATAATGCTGGAAGTATCAGCACAAACGTTGCTACTGTAGCTGGCCCATAATGTTTTAAGGTTACTCCCGCGTAGTTAACCAAATTGAGGCTGAGTCTTTGGATAAAGTTTTAACTACCAAGAAGCATGTTAAGGTGCCTCCCAACGGCTATTCTCTTAAATACGGTTTGGGGGCGTTCTTATAGACCACTGGATGTGTATAAATGATCTAGTATCGACCAAGATTGACAACGTAAATAGAATGGCGGAGAAGGACTTAGTGTGAACTAGCTATAAGGAATATGTTGAAATACTTAGATCGGAGTAAATTATATTATACGTAACTAATATGGGCCTAAATACAGCCAAATAACACGGGTAATGCCATCCTGTGATATAAGTAATAGATACCATCACCCGGAGCCAAACAGTTCTATGATACAGTAAACCGAAATGCAACAGAGGTTACCTAACTACTGTAGCTCGAAACAGGCTGGTCAAGAGATATGGAGCTAACAAATGGATGCTTCATTGCCTCTTCAGCTGTAGGCCGTCCTGCTGGATCAATAACAAGGAGATGTTCGATAAAGTCAATGCACTCTTCAGAGCAGATTTCCCTGGGGAGCTTTTGTAGTTCTTCCCGCAATGACCCAACCGTGATGAATGGGATTGTCTCACCAGTTTTAGGATGCACATATCCACTCTTCTCAAGTGCCGCGCCCATTTCAAAATCCTCTTTATACTCTGGGTTTTCCGGCATATCAATGGGGCCCACGAGCCTATGTATTTTTGCCAGGCACCATGCCGTGTGATTTCCTTCGATGATCTTATCATGTGGACCAAACAGGGTTCCAGACATAAGCCAATGTGTGATCTATATTATAGATAACGGTTAGCCTTGTTATCCATCGGCATACGCTTGTAGGAATACACGTACAGTTACCCCTAAAGACCACATATCTGACGAGTGCCAAACACCCAAGCCCTTCCATACTTCAGGAGCGCGCGTTTCGTGGGTCTGCGCACTAGGATTATTCTTTGCAACACCTTCGGAGAAAGCTTTCTAGAGTGTAAGTATTCATCTTCCACATAAGCTATTAACCAAAGAAGAGAGACAGACCGTTATCCAAATCACCAAGTTTGACAATAGGTGATGGAGAGTCGAGATTTGAAAGGAAGACATTGTTAGGGTTCACATCTATATTAACAAAATCAATAAGATAGGTTATATAGCGGGATAATAGATGAATAACTGCGTCTACCTGTATGTACGCCCTTCACTCGCTGGAATACTAACAGCGCCTCGAGCATCGATCTAGCGACTATCTGAGGAAGTCTTGGATTCGAAAAAGGCTTGCCAAATGGGCGAACTAGCCACAAGTCCGTATCCATCCATTCCAAAACCAGGCGCTTCTGTATGGTTGGTGGTGATGGGCTCCAATCCTCATGTTCTCCCTTCTCGATGACGTCTACTACTTGACGAATGTAGGGACATTCTTTTATGACAGGCAACTGATGGGCGCGGAGCTCTCTCTCCACGCGAAGATCTTTAACTACTAAACTGAAACGGAGTCAATTATAATCTATCGACAGGAGTGGCATAGGGGAGGGCATATATACCTACTTGTTGTGATAGGGCCCATCTGTGGATGTAACCCTAGCGGCTTTGAAGACTGAGGGCTCTTTAAGGACCTCGAGTAATCTGTATGAAGCCTTGTGGCCCTTCAAGATTCGATTTATGGATGATGCCATCGTCTCTGGAAGGCAGCAGATGTAGGGCTTGATAGCACTCCGAATGCAAGGCAATTTTCATTTACGAGCCAACAAATGCATGCAGAACTTCTGGCTAGTTAAATAATGTATCAGAATCTACCACTACACTAAAAGGAGTGAGCCCACACTAATAGTAGGCAGATGTTGAAGTTTGACATAATGTTAGTTAACATGAGTTAACCAGGTAAGCAACCACAACAGATTATTGAAATATTACCTGTATTCCACAGACATCTTGGGAGTACATAGACTTCTCTGTGCCAACAGCCTACCAGTCAGTGAACAGTTTGACGGGATATTCATGCAAGTCCTGCCAGACCCTCGTTGCTTGATACATCTCTCAGGTTGCAGAAGTAGTTATCACTCGTGGTATAATGATTCCCGTCTTCTACATATATCAAGTCAATTACGTTGTCATTTTGAACAGCCAGGCCACCGCAGTTGACATTGTGATAGATGCATGGCTGTGATACTCCTTAGAACACGGCAAAGACCATGTTTCTGCATACTAGATATCCGTCTCTGATGGAATTTCCCACATTCTTTGGTATTCTTAGCATCTAGCTTGAATTATTAAAATTATTATCTTTAACTGATGACGTCGTGATTTTCGTAACGAATATTTTGTCAACTCGAAGAACTCAACTTCATCGACATCTAAAAATCCACAAAAGACTTATTTTTGGAGATTCACTCAGAATTACGAGGATAAACCCTCTTCATGAACGGCGAAGAACGAAGAATACAGAATGAAGACCTGGCTGAAGAGATTGACGCCGTCAATGCTATATACGGCCCCTCTACGATAACACTTACCACCTCGTCTCCTCACCCGGTCTTCGCGATACAGCACACGATAATACTAACAATACCAAACCATGAGACTGTCTCGTTTCTGCTTGGGTTTGACGCCGAATATCCATCGACTCCCCCGCGCGTTCTTGGGCCTGCATCAAGTGGATCGAGAGGTGAAGGGAAGAAATGGGCGGATATATTAACGGAGTCTGTCGGGAGAGTATGGACTGAGGGATCGGTTTGTCTCTACGACTTGATCGTCGATGCGGAGGAACGGTTCGATGAATTGAAATCTACACAGAATGAGAAAGAAGAGAGCGATACTGCAGACCAGGAAACATCTGCATCTACGATTCAAAAGAGTGACTTACACTCGTTTGGGTTAACCGCCTCTCCGCCGTGGGTGATATCCGATCCTATAACCGAGAAAAAATCTGTATTCGTTGCGAGAGCAGCTACGGTCGAATCGAAGGAGCAGGCTGAAAAATATCTAGACCATCTTCTCGCTACAGAGAAAAAAGTGGCTTCGGCAACCCACAATATCACCGCATGGCGTATTCGTCAATCTCAGCAGCCTTCAGACGGGCAGCGACAACAGCCAGGCCGTGATACCGTTATTCAGGACTTTGACGATGATGGTGAGTCAGCGGCTGGTGGAAGATTGTTGCATCTCATGCAGTTGATGGGGGTGTTAGATGTCGTGGTGGTAGTGACAAGGTGGTATGGTGGAGTGAAGCTGGGACCTGATCGGTTTCGAATCATTAACGCTGCAGCCAGAGATGCGTTGGTGAAGGGCGGGTTCGAGGCAAGTCCATCGGCAGAGAAAGGAAAGAAGAAAGGGAAGAAGTAAATATAGGACCAGATACCTCGTTGATTGCTCGACGTGTTTTGGATCTATAGGCCTCTGCCACTTCTCTTTCTTCGGGCGTGAAGAGGCCGTCTGCTGCCCTGTCCCTCATTCAAATATACGGGGAGCCCGAGAGCCTGCAATTACCCCTTTTCGTGGTATCGATTGGGCCAGAATTACCCACATGAGACGCGACATATGTCACTGTCACATTGCTGCTGGGGAATACGTTTCGAATGTACGGATTCCCAAGGCTTCTCTGCTGATGTATGGCTTGTTGGATTATATGGATGAGGTTTCTACATAGTATGCTGTGGAGCGTACTCGTTACAATTAGAAAAAGGGAAAACACGGGCACTATTTGGTTATGAAACGAAACAAGTCGTAAAGAGTTAGATCAGAGTATACCTCATAAAGCCTGTTCCGACGCATATACCCCTATGGAGCCGACAAAGGAGATGTTCGGTGTCCAAAGTGATATGTTTCAAAAGCCTTTTGTTGGCTCTTAAAGCTTGTTCCCTCTTCTATTCCTGCGATCGGTTATAATTATCCCAACTGTAATATGCCTTTAGCGTAGCGAGATACACCCAAAAATAAAGAACGAGCGGCTTGGAGCTCGCTTGCCGGCCCTGTGCTGCTGACGGGGAATGTGAGATGCTCATATCTGTTTTAGTTGGCGCCCTATCCCATGTTGCTGCAGAGTCATCTGGGATGTTAAGGATATGAAAAGCAGCCTTGGATGCTGCCGCGAAAAGTTTGTATGTAGATGTTTATAGATTCTATCTTGGGATGGCCCTGTAAATCTGACAATGATCTTCTTTTACCGCCGAGTCATGGTTCAGGGTGTTCATTTTTCGAATTCTGTATATACACTGTCAAAGTCAGATAAAAATGGTACCTCTACGTACAAGCAGCCCTTTACCAAAATGTAGCCTGACTGGTTCTCATTTTATTGCGTAGGACGGGTAGAATATACGTCAGAGGCTTGCGAGGCATCGACAAAACTATCAAGACGAAGACACGGGTCAGACGAACGGGTTCTGGTTGCTGCTGTGAGAGTTGCCGTCGTACCTGTGGGCTTGACCATGGTCAGACTTGCCTCCGAGCCATGGATCAACCATACGGTGGAGTCGAATGTTGACTGACTTCAAAAATCATCGTTCAAGCCGAAGATCCTTGCCATTATATACAATATTGCCTTCGCTTTACTACGTACGGAGACCCTCTATACAGAAGTGAATATAGTCTGGGATCACTCTGGTGTCTGGTGTAAAATACCCCGGTGCTCAACGCTCACGTCATACATGGGTCATATAGTTGAGAATATACAGAGTATGGATAAAAGCCGTTGTGCAGAAGGTCGCTCCAAGGCCGAACTGCGGAGTGTGTTTCAGGTTTGTGTTCTTGGTGCATTTGACTGGTTGTCCGCCCTTCTCGAGGCTTGGATCTCTCACAAAGCCACCTAATCACATCAAACCAATAAGAAATTCGCCCTGGGCTATGAGAAAAGCAGTGCTTAAACGAGGGTGGATCGCATGGAAAGATCGAATGGTCTATTCGTAGATCTTACAGGGGTCTTTGCTGGGATCGTCTACCAATCCATGTGGCGGGTTCGACTTTGTCCTCAGGCGTTATGCATAGTAGCGGGGAATCCTGGCCGTCATTCGTCGTTGGCGGTTAGGAGATATCCAAATTCGCCTGGGATCATCCATTTCGGGTGTCGCTTTATAGCGTGGTTGCAGATTACAGGCCTTATACTCGGCACCTCCATTCTTTGGGTGGACATCTCCCACAACTGATAGATGGTATCAGTGTCTGACAAGTTTAAGCCGTCTGCCCTGGCATATACGCAACACGGCAGCGGCAAGAAAAGTTATCCCCCCTCCATCGAGCGAATGGGCGAACGAAGCCCAACACCACTAGGATATATCCCATGCAAGCTTTTTCATTCACTTTATGTTTCTGCCCCTGAACAAACAGAAGAGCCGTTTGCTTTTTTCGACCTCTGGGTCGCTAAGTGTGGCGGTAAAGTTGATTTCAATTCTTTGCTTCTTGAGTTAGATTTCCCTTCTACCGACTCGACCGAGGGAGCGGCAGAAATTCTGCATGTGTAGTAAACTGTACCGCATGATGGGCCGCTCATCAACCAAGATTCAAATTGTGTGACATAATTGCCATCTTCTGCTCCTCCAACGCCTCAACCAGTCGTGGGGCTCATCATGGTTTCTTTTTCGGAGTAATCCTAGCCTGTGGCTGCGTGGAGACAAGAATAGCCAATCCGGCTGGCGTATCCACAGGGAAAAAGAATCTTGGGCGCCAAAACTCCTTCTCCAGGTGCCCCTCAAAGACGTTTCAAATGTTGGATTTCTCGTGTGCATGCCTGTGGCGTGTCTTGATATCATCTTGGACTGGAGACTGATAGGCCAGTAGAATCAAATGTCGTACAGGTCAGCTCGACCATCCCCAAGGCCCAAGGGGCAGGTGGAACAACAGGCAGACTCCAGCTTTTGGCACAAGATGCCAAAACTATTAAAGACTGCCACTTTCCCTGCGTCTTTCCAGTCTTCTTCTTCTTTTCTTCATCACGCTGGAACGTTTCGACTCGATCTACCATTGTTCATTAGCTTCTCTCCTTTTGGGCCAGCCCCTTTTCGTTTCTCTTTCATTTATACACTCTTTACTTGCTTGCCTGTGGCATTGCAAAAGAGCATCACATTCCTTTCCCTAAACATTTGCGGTCAAATCATACCTTTGCACCATTGAATCAACTGTATAGTTCGGGCTCTCCCCAGCTGAATTATCTTCGAGGTAAGACTTCGACAGTTGTGTTGCTATTGTTGCGTTTGTGTTGTTCATTCATGGTAGTTGAAGGAAATTTCCGTTTCGGGAGATTTCTACTTCAACCATCTTCTTCTCCTAAGCCGAGCTTCACTTTTCTAGCATCTTTGAGTGACAACTTAAGACTGACTATCCAACTAGCAATCTTGCAATCTCTGCATCTGTCGACAAAGTTCCATCAAGAGCTGCTATCTTTCCTGTTTACCTCGTCTGGTTACGAAGTGAAAAAGAAAGGATATATAAAGCTTCATCAACTTTGATCACCCTCACTCCTTAAACAACTTCAACTTATCGTGTCGAACGTTTCAGTATCACACTCTTTAAAGAACTTCTTCTTTTTCTAAAGAGCAGAGTCCAAAAAAGACAACACCGCAACCATGGTTTACTCTAAAGCACTTGTTGCCGCTGCTGCTACCTTCATGGGCCTTGCCAACGCCCATATGATTATGGAGAGCCCTGTGCCTTTCAACCCTCAGAACCTTGACAGCTCTCCCTTGCTGAGAAGCGGAGGGGACTATCCTTGCAAATTTACCCAGAACAAAGAGACTGGTGGCAGTTATCTCCCTGGCGAGTTCGACTCCAGTAAGAACCAGTTTGCTATCGGTGAGAAGATCCCCTTGACCTTTAGGGGCTCTGCCGTCCACGGAGGAGGATCTTGCCAGGTCAGCCTTACCACCGACAAGTCGCCAACCAAGAACTCCGAGTTCAAGGTTATTCACTCCATCCTCGGAGGCTGCCCTGCCAACGTTGACGGCAACCTTCCAGAAGACCCCAACGGGCATGGGGCATCCAAGTTCGAGTTCCAGATCCCACCCAGCATCGCTCCTGGAGAATACACTCTTGCCTGGACCTGGTTCAACCGTATCGGAAACCGTGAGATGTATATGAACTGTGCCCCTATCAAGGTTACAGGAGGCTCCAAGAAGCGCTGGGAACCTACTCCTAAGCGCGACCCACGCAGCTTGACTCCTCTCTCCAAGCGCGCCGATATGCCAAACATCTTCATTGCCAATATTGAGATTCCCAGCCAGCCCTACTGTCAAACTGCCGAGGGCATGGATGTCATGTTCCCTGATAGTGGTGAGTCCGTCGAGAAGGCAGGCATGCCTAACCGTCTCCAGAAACAGGGTACCGACGTCTGCGCCAATATGGGAGGTAGCTCGCCCAAGGCTGGATCTGGTGACAGTGGAAGCGGAAACGGCGGCAGCGGCGGTGACAAGGGAGGCTCACCTACCTCTGCCCCATCTACTCCAGCACAAACCGAAGCTCCATCTCAAACCACATCTTACGCTGCTGTCCCCTCTGGAACTGCCCCAGCTGGTGACTCCGGCCCTGGAAACGGCGGTATCTTCCTCCCAGCTCCAAATACCAACCCAACCGCACCAACTGTGCCAGCTCCAACTGGTACTGGTATGCCAACCCCACCTAGCAACGGTACCCACGCTGGGCCATGCACTGAGGAGGGCCAATGGAGCTGCTCTGGTTCCAAGTACCAGCGATGTGCCAGCGGTCAGTGGACTGTCTCCATGGACCTTCCCTCTGGAGTGACCTGTGAATCCCTTCCAGGAAAGCGTGCCCCAATGCACCGCCGCCGTGGGCACAACCTTCCTCGCCGTGCTTAAACAGGTTACAGAACTGATCTGTGTCAGCTGTTCAGTTGCCATTCGCTTTTTATTCACTTGAAAAGCAGGATTTACCCGTGTCAACCGGCACTTTTTTTTTCGAGATTTTCTTGTATCTCAAGCTCGTTTCATTTTCCTTTGCCTGCACTGATCTTTACCTGTTTGTTATTGTATTTCATGGCAAGGTGCACGCAATGGGGTACTTCACTTAGCATCGTTTGATACGCTTGCTCTGGGAGTTTGTTTCATTTGAACATATTTTTCTCAAATTCTCCCAAAGGTCGGGATCTCCTACATATGATGGGAAAAATGGTTTACTGGTGGTGGTGCTCTCATTTATCATCTAGAGCACATTCATTGTGCATGAATTATGATCTGTCTCTTAGAAAATGCCTCCAGAATTTGTTGTAGAGATGAAAATTAAAATAAAATAAAACCCAAAGACCCCATGATGGATATAATTGGTTTTCCGCATTCAGTATATTGATCTTCCCGTTCGATTTTGGGTAGAGAGTTCTCTTAGTGTGAAACCTCATTCATCGTACGTACGGAAAGTTGGTCGTACACTCGATGATATAACTATACAGGCTTCACCTCTAAATTCCTACCGTCATCTCTATATCCATCCTCAATATCTTCGTAGTAGTGTATAAGATGACGTTCGATTTTCCTCTTCGGGAAGTATACAACAATAACCACGTGACTATAAACCACGTCATGTGATTGGTTTGTCATGATAGTCCAGACTAACCCAATACAGAAGTAGGGCTTAGGGTTTAACCTTTTTGTGTTTCCACATCGAGCGAAGCGAAAAAAAAAGCGACTTCGCGATGAGTTTCAATATCTTCAAAGCCGCCAATCCTTGAGGACGCCGACTAACCAAGCAGCATCACGTCGACAACAATGGCCTCTCGTCCAACTGTCTCCATCGCCACGGCGGAGGGCAAGCCCAGCGGCGCTACCCATCCGCTCCCTACCGTTTTCCTTGCGCCAATCCGTCCTGACATTGTCCAGTACGAAAGAACACCTTTAAACAAGAGACAGAGAGATGGAACACCTTTACTGACTGGCTGACCAGGTCCGTACACACTGGTATCGCAAAGAACAAGAGACAACCATATGCCGTGAGCGAGGAAT